AACCCTAAATCTCCATCTAATATCTCATTTCTAATAAAATCCTCTCCAAACTTCCACTTAATCTCTTAAATTTAATAAAAACTTTAATCTACTATCTTCAATAAAATCATCCAAAACATTCATTTATCATTTTTATTAATAAAAAAACCCTAAATCTCTATCTAATATCTCATTTCCAATAAATATCTCTCTAAACTTCCTTCTAATCTCTTAAATTTAATAAAAACCCCCTCCTAATCTATCATCTTCAATAAATTCTTCCAAAATCTCATCTCTAATAAAAACTTCTTTAAACTTTCTTATCATCTTTAACAATTCTCCACTAACTCTCGGGCTTTTTTCTCCATTTTTCCTATAATTAAACGGCAATTCTCAATTTTTATTTCATTATTCTAGATTAAAAATCTACACCTCATTCTTCTACATCTTCTTCTATATTATATATAAACAATGGATATATGCACTTTTTCATTCTAATCTCTTTTTTCATTCTTTTTACAACATTCCCATAACAATCACTCCCAACAACATGATTTTTATCATTTCCGGAACTCTTATTTTCATTCCTTCATTCGGTTTCACTTCTTCCTCTTTCTCTTCCTCTTTTTGTGTTTCTGTTTCTTTACTTGAATCACTCGTACATCTCGTAGGTTTGCATTTTCGCATTGACGTCAATGTCACCGTTGATGTCACTGTAGATGTACTTGTCAACGTACTCGTATGCAACGATGTACTCGTCACCCATGTATCTGTCGTTTGAACTAATGTACATTCTTCCGTTACCTTCCCTCCATCTACCGATTCTGTCGTCGTTGCCGTCGTTGTCGTTGTCGTCGTCGTCGTTGTTGTTGTTGTCGTCGTCGTCGTTGTCGTTGCTGTCGTCGTCGTTGTCTGTGTCGCCGTTGATGTCACCGTATGATGCGGTGTAACTTTTAATCCTTCTATTCCTTCACACAACTCGTCTATTTCTTTACAGACCGTTTCACACTTCGGGCAATCCTTTCTAAACTCGCAGTCTCCTTTCAAACCTTTACATTTCTCTTTCAATTCTAAATACAATTCCAATGCTCTCGCCGTTGCAACAAATGCCTTCTTTTCTGGTTCTGATACTTCTCCACTTACAAATGTTCTCCGAACAAGTATAACATTACTCGTGTTTGTCGTTCCACTTGGTGTTGATCCTCCTGGTGCTGGTGGCCCTGCTGGTGCTCCTGGTGTTCCTCCTGATGGCCCTGCTGGCCCTGCTGGCCCTGCTGGCCCTGCTGGTGCTGGTGGTGTTGATGGTGCTGCTGGCCCTGCTGGTGCTCCTGGTGTTCCTGGTGCTCCTGGTGCTCCTGGTGTTCCTGGTGCTCCTGGTGCTCCTGGTGCTCCTGGTGCTCCTGGTGCTAGTGTTGGTGCTGGTACTGGTACGCTTCCTGGTGTTCCTCCTGGTACTGGTGCTGGTGGTGCTAGTGTTGGTGCTGGTACTGGTACGCCTCCTGGTGTTCCTCCTGGTACTGGTGGCTGTACCGGTGGTCCCCCTGGTTTAGGAGCATTGCCATCTTGTCCATCTTGTTCAGGTTTTGATAATACTAACTTAGCTTCCTTCGTAAATTTTTCTGATTCCTGTTTCACCTTTTCGTATTCATCTTTCTTCTTCTTTAATTCATCTTTCTCTTTATCCAGTTTATCTTCTAAGGTTGGACATTTTCTTTTTACTTTTTCAACCAACTTTTTGCAAACTTTTTCCTCAACATCCTTATTTTTATCAGTATTACAAAAACTATTGAATTTCTTATTCGCCGGATCTTTCTGCTCAGTACAATGCTTTCCCAATGCTTTTTTACATTCAGTTTCATCGCTTAAACTACCTTTCAATTCATGCGTCAACTCATTCTCCAATTTTAACTTTTCAAAGAATGGCTTGCATTTCTCTTCCAGTTGTAAACAGACTCCATTCTTATTGGAATTTTTTTCTTTTTTCAACCTATCTGGACAATTTTCTATATATTGATGACAATATGGATCAAACAACGTGCAGAGTTCTTCAACCAATGTTTCATTTCCATTTTCAATTTTATTTAGAATTTTTCCATTGTCCATGTTATTTTCTAAAAAAAGACACTCATTTTCTGTTTGTTCTACCATAAAACTACATGTTTCTTCTCGTAAAGCACATGAAACACTAAACTCATCCTTTCCTCTTCTAGATAATTCCTCACATTCTTTCTTTAATACTGCCGTACAATTTCCTTGAGTTCTTAATGCATCATCTCCTCTTTTTAATAATCTTTTTCTCAATTCTTCTGTAACTTTTAAATATTCACATCGTCTATTCAGTGTATCACATTTCTCATGATTCAAATATGAATCACTTTCAAGATCTTCGCACTTCTTCTTCAATTCTACACAATCTTCCTTTCTTGGAAAATCTCTTCTCAAATTTAAAACTACTTCTAATTCTTCCGATTGAAGAATTACATCATCTAAAAGTTCATAACATAGTTCAGTCGGTCGATGACACTTTGCAAAGTATCTTCTATCCTTCTTAAGTTTTGTATAATTACCTACTACCGATTTTTGACATTCTTTAAGATTCTCATCAGCCAATCCTAAATTACCAATAAGCCCTTTCAATCCTTCTTGAAAGTATCTATTCAACATCCTATCTTGTCCCTTTTTATAGCATGCTACTCTTACATTTTCACATGCTTTTTCAATTTTATTCGTACATACACTTTCTAAATGGAAACATTCTGATTCAAACTTTCTACAATCTTCCCTACTAACCAATTTTGATACCTGTTCCCATGAAAAATATTCTGATTCTTTATCTTTTTCAAATTCCGTAGACAATCCTTTCAGATAAAGTTCTAATTTAAAATTCGTACATTTATCTTCTACTTCTACTAATTCTTTGCATTTATTCTCTTTATCTTTATCTTTATCTTCACATAATTCTTCTAATTCATAATCTAGGTGTTTAAAAAATTCACAACCTTTTAACGCTTCTTTGCATTTTTCTTTATTATCTTTTTCAGTCCTTCCTTTGATCAACAATAATATTAGATCTTGCAACGTCTTATATTTTGGTTTTCCAACAATAATTCCCTTAGCTTCTTCTTTTTTATAAAGATTTTCCACTTCAATCTTTTCCGGAAATCTTGGTTTTTCTCCAACAGGACTAAAATCTAATTTTGGTCCTTCATATACAATCCCTTTTCCCTTACATTTTTCCTTAGACTCTTTACATTTTGAATTACTACAACTTGATCCATAGAAATAACACTTTTCAAGATATTCTTGACATTTTTCCACTAATTCTTTATCTTCAAGTTCCTTCTCTAAAGGCTTACAATTATCTCCATGATTCTTTCCAAGGTATTCACACGTTTTATCTGAATTAAAACATGAAAACACTAATTCATCACTATATTCACTTAATCCTTGACAAATTTCTTTCATTTTTTTTTTACATTCATTTGTATCATTAACCTTCCCTTTAAGAGCTCTTAAAAGAATTTCTTTTGTCACTTCTCGACGTCTCTGTCCATAACATCTATCTCTCAACTTAACGCATTTCTCTTCAAGATTAGTTGGATCTGCTTCTTCTAATAATACACATTTTTCTTCACATTTTTTACACTTTTCATCTGTTAGGTTTTTCAATGCTTCTTCAACTTCTGTTTTGAAATCATCCAATTCTTTTTTAACTTTATTTTTCAGGTTTTTGCATTTTTCTTCTTGTTTTCCATTTTCACAAAGTCCCTTAACTTTGACATCCACATTCTTTAATTCTCCATCTATTTTCTTCAATTCAGCACAATATTCTTCGAGCTTTTTCTTGCATTTAGCATCATCATTATATTCCTTCTTCACAATTAAACCCAAAACCTGTTCCTCCTTAATCTCATCATTTCCTGCTGCTTGTCCTGCTGCTTGCCTCTTAACCGGCTGTGCCATCGCCGCCTCTTTCTGGGCGACTTCCTCTACCCATCGCTTGTCCCTGAGTAGCATATGACTGGGTGAATCAAATCTAAATCTTGAAATAATTCTTTCAAAATAACCATACATTTTAATTTTTTTATGATAAGCATACATTTCCTTAATTTTTTATGATAAGCTTGGACTTTACCCTATAAAGCAAAATTGCGGGGTAAAAAATTGTGAGGGTAAAATTGCGGGGTAAAATAATCAAAATTTCAATTCGCGATTCTTGATGCTTTATTAAAAATTTATACATCATTCTTCTACATCTTATATATTATATATAAACAATAGATATATGCAGACTTTCATTCTAATGGCTTTTTTTATTCATTTTATAACATTCCTATAACCATCACTCCCAATAATATTATTTTTACTATCTCTGGAACTCTCATTTTCATCCCCTCATTTGATTTCACTTCTTCCTCTTCCTTTTCCTCTTTTTGTGTTTCTGTTTCTTTACTTGAATCACTTGTACATCTCGTAGGTTTGCATTTTCGCATCGACGTCAATGTCACTGTAGATGTCACTGTAGATGTACTTGTCATCGTACTCGTATGCAACGATGTACTCGTCACCCATGTATCTGTCGTCCGAACTAATGTACATTGTTCTGTTACCTTCTCTCCATCTATCGACTCTGTCGTCGTTGTCGCCGTTGTCTCCGTCGCCGTTGCCGTCGTCGTCGCCGTTGTCGTCATTGTCGTTGTCGTCGTTGTCGTTGCTGTCTTTGTCGTTGCCTGTATTGTCGTTAATGTCGCCGTAGGATGCGATATAATTTTTAATCCTTCTATTTCTTCACACAACTTGTCTATTTCTTTACAGACCGTATCACAATCCGGGCAATCCTTTCTATACCCGCAGTCTCCTTTCAAAGTTTTACATTTCTCTTTCAATCCTAAATACAATTCTAATGCTCTCGCCGTTGCAACAAATGCCTTTTTTTCTGCTTCTGATACTTCTCCACTTACAAATGTTCTCCGAACAAGTATAACATTACTCGTGTTTGTCGTTCCACTTGGTGTTGATCCCCCTGGTGCTGGTGGCCCTGCTGGTGGCCCTGCTGGTGGCCCTGCTGGTGTTCCTCCTGATGGCCCTGCTGGCCCTGCTGGTGCTGGTGGTGTTGATGGTGTTGATGGTGCTCCTGGTGCTCCTGGTGTTGATGGTGCTCCTGGTGTTCCTGGTGTTGATGGTGCTCCTGGTGTTCCTCCTGGTGTTCCTGGTGCTACTGGTGCTACTGGTGCTACTGGTGCTACTGGTGCTGCTGGGTCCACTGGTTTAGGAGCACTGTTATCCTGCACCTTTGATCCTCCACCTTGTCCATCTTGTTCAAGTCTTGATAATAGTAACTTAGCTTCCTTTGCAAATTTTTCTGATTCCTGTTTCACCTTTTCGTATTCATCTTTCTTTTCCTTTAATTCATCTTTCTCTTTAACCAGTTCATTTTTTAAGGTTGGACATTTTCTTTTTACTTCTTCAACCAACTTTTTGCAAACTTTTTCCTCAACACCATTATCTTTATCAGTATTACAAAAACTATTGAATTTCTGATTCGTCTGATTTTTCTGCTCAGTACAATGCTTTTTCAATGCTTCTTTACATTCATCATCTTTACCTAAATTACCTTTCAATTCATGCATCAAGTCCTTCTCCAATTCCAACTCCTTCCAGAATGGATCACAGTTCTTTTTCAGTTCTTGAAGGGATTCCTTACCATTTGTCTTTTCCTCCAAGATTTTTGAACAAATTTCCATATATTCATCAGAATATAAAGACCACGATAGACAAAGTCTCTTAACCAAATTCTTATTTTTATTATTATTTTTCAGAATATTTTCCGTCCTATCTTTAAAAGTAAAACATTCAATATTCGTTTTTGCTATCATAAATTCACATGTTTCTTCTGGTAAAGCACATAAAATACTAAATGGATTTTTTTCCTCTTTAGACAATCCCTTACATTCTTCCTTCAACGCATCTATACAATTTTTCGAAGTTTTTAATGAATCATCTTTTCTTTTTAAAAATCTTTTTCTCATTTCTTCCATAACTCCTAAATATCTACACTGTCTATCCAATGTAGCACATTTCTTATCACTTAAACGTGAATTGTTTCTAAGATAATCACACCTCTTCTTTAGTTCCACACAATCCTTTTTTCCTGGTAAGTCTCGTACATTATCCAAAGTTTCTCCTAATTCTTTTGACTGAACAGAAATATCATCTAAAAGTTCTAAACATAGTTCTTCTGGGTGAAGACACTTTTTCATGTATTTTCTATCCCCATTAACTTTTTTACATTTATCTCTTACTAATTTTTGACATTCAGACTTTTTACCAGTAAAATTTAAATATCTAAGATTTTTTAATCCACTTTCAAAGTATTTACCCAACGCTCTATCTTGTCCCTTTTTATAACATGTTGCTCTTACGTTTTTACATGCGTTCTCAATTTTATTCGTACATACATTTTCTAAATAAAAACATTCTGACTCAAGTTCTATACAATCTTCCCTACTAAGCGATTTTTGAAGTTCTCTCCATGAAAAAAGTCCTGAATCTTTATTTTCTTCAAATTCCGTAGACATACCTTTTGTATATAACTTTATTTTAAAATTTAGACATTTTTTTTTTACATTTGGTATTTCTTTGCATTTTTCTTCTTTTTTTTTACTTGCTTCTCTGCATGAATTTTCCAACATAATATCTAGATATTTAAATGCTTCACAATTTCCTATGACATTTTTGCATTTTTCTTCTAGTTTATTGTTTTTTCCTTCACTCAACAATAACAGTACAGTTTCAAAGCTTTTTTCTTTTGGTCTTCCAATAATAATTCCCTTAGCTTCCTCTTCTTTATAAAGATTTTCCATTTCAATCCTTTCCATCAATTTTGGTTTATGTAGAATTGGACTAAAATCTAATTTTGGACTTCTGTATCGAATCCCTTTTTCCTCACATTTCTTTTCAATATTATCACATTTTGCATTCTTACAACTTGATCCATAAAAATAACACTTTTTAAGATATTCTTGGCATTTTTCCATTAATTCATTATCTTTAAGTTCCGTCTCTAAAGGTTTACAATTATCTGTATGATTCCCTCCAAGGTATTCACATGTCGTATATGCATTAAAACATGAAAACATTAATTCATCACTATATCCACTTAATTCTTGACAAACTCCTTTTATTTTTCCTTCGCATTCATTTATATCAGTAACTTTCCCGTTAAGAGCTCTTAAAAGAATTTCTTTTGCTACTCCATGACGCCTCTGTTTATAACATCTATCTCTCAACTTAACGCAGTTGTCTTTAAGATTAGTTGGATCTGCTTCTTCTAATAATACACATTTTTCTTCACATTTTCTACATTTTTCATCTGTTAGGTTTTTCAATGCATTTTCAAGTTCTGTTTTAAAATTATTCAATTCGTTTTGAATCTTCTGTTTCAGATCTTGACATTTTTTTTCTTTATCATTACAAAGTCCCTTAACTTTAGAATCCACATTCTCTAATTTTCCATCTATTTTCTCCAATTCCTCACAATATTCTTTGAGCTTTTTCTTGCAATTATCATCATTTTTATATTCGTTCTTCACAATTAAACCCAAAACCTGTTCCTCCTTAATCTCATCATTTCCTGCTGCTTGTCCTGGTGCTTGTCTCTTAACCAGCTGTGCCGTCACTGCCCTTTTCTGGGTAATTTCCTCAACCCATTGATTATCTTGAGGATAGCCTTCAGGAAAAAAATTCTCATAATCATCTTTTCTAAAATAATCAACTCCCGGATGATTTTCAAAGTAATCCATATAAGAATCCTTATTAATTCTAGGATTCCAAATGCCTTTAGAGCCTCTTATCTTTTCCGATCCTAATAATTTTTCATTTTCAAATAACTCTATCACTTGAAGTTCTGGAAAAAAATAAGTAAATGCTCAAAAAAAGAAAAATATGATGTTAGATGAATAAAGTATAGATCTAAATTAAAAAGCAATAAAGTGATAAAAAGATTTTACATAAACAGTTAAAATTAACTAAAATATCATTTTTATTTCACTTTGAATGCTTTTTTAGTTAAATCTTGTTTAAATACTCTTTCTAGAAAAAAAAAATGAAAATGGGAAAATGAATCATAACTACTTAAATTTTTAAAAAAGCTTACCTTGTTTATTTATGTTCGATATTGCATTTTCTAGAGCGGCTACCAAAATGCAACCTAAATATACAAGAAACGTAAAAGATGTACTTCTCATTGATTATAGATCAGAAAGAAATAGAAATATAAAAAAAACAATATCTATTTGTCAGAATAAATGTTAAGGAGAAAATAGTCGTAAATCGTAAACTTTATATATCGGATTCTGAAAAAAATTAACGAGATGCCGAAAACGTAAGGTTAATCCTTAATTTAAATAATGAAGATCAAAAAATATTTTAAAAAATCAAAGTTTTTAAAATCAATTATTTTATTTTTAACATGTAATTATATTTATAGTAGTCTTTTCCTAGAATGCTTATTTTTTTAATATTTTCGGATATCTTTTCTGTAATTATAATCATTTAGTTTGTCTAATAAAATATATTTAAAAGACATTTGACTCGTAAATAATCAGATTTTTCTTAGATTTTTCTCTGTTTAAAACATTTTTCTTCAAAATTTCAAGAAAAAATTATTCTATTTTTTTAAAAAGCATTTATAATTTATCTTGTAATTTTTAGGGTTAACTATCTTAGATTCTATTATGAAATTAATATATGTTTATTGAGTTAAATTGAAAATTCTTGAATCAATAGATTAGGATTTAGATGACTTAATCCAAATAGACATATATCTATATGGTTTGACTCTAAACCCATCTTCCTGTAATAGCCATAACGCCAAAACCTAATACAATACAAAAAATTGCATATAACAATTTTCCTAATTTTCCATCTCGAAGCTCTGGCCTAAAAATAAAATCATATACAAGAAGATCTGCTATTACTGTATATAATAATATTCCTCCAGAGAGACAGTTGAGAACTCCAGAAATAACTACAGCAGTAGATGATTGCAGATTATTCGCACCTTTAACTAAAAAACCAATGGCAATAGAAACAGGTGTTGATATAGCATAAATAACTGCAAAAAAAAAACTACAGACCATATTATAGTGAATAAAATCAAATATTCGAGAACCGAGACTGAGACCCTCAAACATTTCTATAAATTTAGATAGTGTCATAATTTAAAGAAATTCTTACGATGGAAAATCAACACAATGTAAAGAGTTAAAAATCTCTCTTTCCCCGTAGCTGCTATAGTAAGACCAATAATAACAGAGTGAAAAATAATTCCAAGCTCAAGCATAAATATCGTTATTAGATTTTCCTTTTTAGTATATTTCTCCGGGACCTGTTTCTGAAATTTATCTTTTTCTATATCATTCGACAAGTCCTTTTGAGTATCCAGAGGATCCTTATCATTATCAGGAGCATGCTTATGGAATGGTAATGTAGGATATGAATATTTTTCAAAATATTTTGAATCAATATATCTTAAAGAAAATACTTTCAATGAAAATATGGCAATTATTCCGGCCATAATTAGTACTGCAGAAAAATCATATTCTTTCCATATGCCGACGAGGCATGGAGAAAATCTTAAATTCTCGATACCAGGTTCGAGTAACTAAAAATAAATTATATACATATATATATATTACCCAATCAATTACGTGAATAAGTGCTGTCCCAATAATAACACCGCTACCTAAATGCTTTACAAATAAATGTAATGATTCGGATACTCTTAAAAATCTGATCCTATATGAACATAGCGGGAAAAAAACGCCTAAAAATTAGAACAAAAGAATATCTTTTATAATCTCATTTACCAACGGATGAAAATAATAAAATTACAAAAATCGATGATATTTTAAGAATTGGACTTACTTGACTAATTTCTTCAAACTTACACACATCTGAAATGTTGACATTATTAGAACGCCCATGGCTTCCATGATATAGAATAAACCTATTTTGCATTTTCTGTTAAATAATTTAATAAGCAGTATATGTATATATTTACGTAATGAATTTATAATACTTTATAGGTTTTATATAATTTTAAAACTAAAAAGGATCTAAAATTTAAATATTCTGTGAACTTATGACTAAATTAAGTAATAAAATATTCGTGGAAAAAAATGAATATATATATATAATATATATAATATAATATATATATATTATATTATATATATTATATATATTATATATATATAATATATAGAAACACATTATTACATATTAATATTTTTATATCAGCTAATATTTCCTCCATTTTTTTTATTAAAAGCTTTAAAGTATGTTTTAATATATCAACAATTTTTTTTTCATGAATGATCAAATGAAATTAGTTTAATAATCAAATTTTCCGAAAAAAGACTTTAAAAAATAAAACGTAAAATTAGAATTAAAAAGTTTATAAATTAATAAAATAAAGAATTAGTATGACACTATTAACCGTAAATGTGTAAATAATATTTTAGTATTGATATTTTAGCTCTGAATTTTTTAATTTTGATTTTATGATATTTCATATTTGTAAACAATTATTTTCATTTTAGAACAGACTAATATTAAAATTTTAAAAGTTTAGGAATTACCAAATAGCTTTAAAAATTACAAAGAAAATTTTTGTTTATTATATTTAGGTATTAAGATTAGTTGCAGAAATTATGAGAAAAATTATAACAATGATAAAAAAAGTCATTGCTGAAAAAAATTTTAATATTAATTATATAATACAATTATTATTGTTTAAAAAAATAAATAGAAATCATGTATCGTTATAATGAATGAATTATTTATAAAAAAATTAAAAATATCTACATATTAAAAACAATAAGATTAGAATGTAAAATAGATAATGTTTTGTAAGGAAATATATAAAGTTTATGCTTATAAGTTTAGTGTTTGCCATAAAAAAAATATATTTTAAAATGAAAGTGAATTCGCATGTTAATATTTAAATATGATGATTCATGAATTTGATTGTAGTAAGTCATGAAATATAAGGCAATAAATGTTTATTGAAAATGTAAATTATAATAAAATTTTACGATCGATAAAAACTGAGGTTAGGGTAAAAGTATAGTAATAAATAATTTTGTAAATTTTTATAAAAATGAGTATCTTAATTTTAGTATATTATTCTATGATGTTAATATGGATTCTTTAGGTCCTCAAATTACAAATCTTATAATAATTTTAGGCGCAATGCAGATTTCAAAAAAAATAAATTTTGATGATCCTGAAGTTTTATTTTATATTAGATGTCTTTGTATTGCTTCAAATGTAATTATCGCGTTGACTTATTATTTATGTTATATTTCTATCCGAAGGAAAAATGGTGAATTCTATTTTATTATTTTTAATCATTTAATTAACTACAGATCTTACTACTTTAAAATATATTAAATCTTCTACTTCTATGAGCGGTCAGTCTGAACAACAACTTGTTGTAACCACAGTTAGGGAATATGATACTATTGAGTTGAAAAAGGCTATAAAGCAATCCTTTATAGGAGCTTGTAAATTAAACCGTATGTTTTTTCATAAATTAATTGATTGAAGGTATGATAGCGGTGATGCACTTATACTTTAAATTTTCTCAGCCTCTTCTTGTACAGTCTATTTTGCCTCTTAAAACAGTATTAGAAGGAAAGATTGTGCAGCTACATCTGTGGAAAAAATCTGCGTCTGGAGAACTTAAAAGACCTTTTAAGAAACCACAAGGATTTTTCGGTGTTTCTTTAGGAGATGATATTAAAACAGACAAGAAAAGTATTGAGCAGGCTGAGAAAGCTGGAGTTGGAGCAAAAGAAGAGTAAATTTTATAATTGTTAAATACAATCTGCATAATATTTATGGATGTAAATATTATGATTATATTAAAAAAATGAAACATAATATATCCTAATATTGTAAAGCATTTTTATAATAATACTTATTTTTTCATTTTTTCAGCTAAATCTACTGCCATCTTAATACTTCCTATCATAGCTGATAATTGAATTTTTTCAGATGCTCCACTTGATAAACGATATCTGTTTTAATTAGAAAAAGATAATCGAGTAGATCTAATTTTACTCAATTGTAGCAAGACTATCCAGTATATGACTTTGTACATTTACTGGTAGTTCAAGTTCGTCAAGAGTTTCATGTACTCTAGTTATTATATCTAATAATGCTAATCCTCTTTCGGTTTTAAGTCTTGTAATAGCTAATAATTATTAACAAAATCATAATTAAAAAACAATATACTATTTAAGCAATTTAAAAGTTCGTCGTTTAATATGCTTTTTACCATTAATTCAATGATTTCGGGATGAGGATTTCCAAGACAATTATATATTGCATCTTCATCAATAAAATCATAAGCTGCATGGCATGCCTGTAAAATATTTAACCCTTTTCTCATATCTCCATGAGTAAGGTTTACTAAAGCAGTCTTTCCTTTTTCACTAATATTAATATTTTCTTTTTCAATAACATAATTAAGTCTAGAATGAATTTCCTTTGAAGCAAGAGGTTGAAATCTAAATCGTGTACAACGCGATTGAATTGCAGGAGAAATTTTGTTGACATAATTACATATTATACAAAATCGTACATTTTTGGTATATTTTTCAATAACTTTACTTTTTAATGAGTTAATAAAAAAATTATACTACCTCTTCTCAGTGCATTTTGAGCAGCTAAGGTCATAGCATCTGCTTCATCAAGAATAATAAGCTTAAATCCTGAGCTATTTATATCAATTTTTGCTTAAAAAAGTAAAAGTACAACTTAAATATTTGTTTTGTACTTGCAAAGTTTTTGATTTGCTCTCTAACTACATCAATTCCTCTTTCATTAGAGGCATTTAGCTAAAACTTATTAATATTAAGATGTAATACTTTATAATAATAAACTTCTAAAAGTTGATTTCGAAACTTTGGTCCATAAATTTTTTTAGCGCATGCTAAAATTGTAGATGTTTTTCCTGTTCCAGGAGGTCCATAAAATAGTAAATGAGGGATTCTATTTTTTTCAATGAATTTTTCAACTATTAAAAATAAATCATAGCGTATAAGGTATCTTTATAACTACTGGTAAGGATAATGTCTTGATGAGAAACGATTCCTTTTAGACTTTCTGGTCTATATTTTTCAACCCTATTTAAAATTAATTCTATAATAAATTTAGATCTTACAAACCATGGAAGTATGTCATCATTTTGTTTAATATTATATGTTATCGTTTCTTTACCTTTGTATGATTTGTTATTTTGAATTGAGAGTTTATCATTAACTATAGATTCATAATCAATGTCCATATTTAAAATTCTTTTAAATATATTTAAATTAAATATTCAAAAAATATTTTTAATGAAAGATAATATATTTATAAAATTAACTTTTTTAATTGAATTTACTTGTAAATATATAATTAATGATTTAATATTTTTTTAAAAAATAGAAAATTAAAAAAACATTAACATAAACAATTTTAAAAATTATATAATCCTAAATAAATACAGCTTTAGAAAAAGAATGTACTATGCTATAATATTGTGTATGTAATAAAATTTAGATGAAATATTTTAATAAATTACATTAATATTTCTTCGGCTTCGAATCCACAAGAACATTTTTTTATTGTCAATCCCGTGGAAGAATCTATAATAGGTGATGAAAAATTATGTATATGTTTTGTTTGTTTTCCTTTAATCCTTTCAATATAGTGTGTTGTTCTAGTATGTTTTTTGAACTCTAATTTTTTAATCTGTATATTTTAGAACTATTTTATTATACCTTGAATTTTCTTTTGTAGCTTTTTATCTTTTTTCAATTCTTTTTCTTTAAGTCTCCGTTGCCATTCCCTATCTAATTTTTCAGGTCCACCCCATTTTTTCCATGCAAACTCTTCAACTTGGTAACGTAGAAAAAGCATCATTGTACTCCATTCTGGTTTTCGAGGGTTAGATTTTCGCATATGGGGAAGTATTTCTTTATCATGAAGCTCAGCTTACAAATTATTTAATATGAATTATAATAAAATTTAAAACTTACAATTTGTAAGGAGATAGTCCTAAATATATTAATATAAAACAATTATATAGTATAAATATACTTCTTTACATTCAGTTTTTGTTAAAAGAGAGTATTTATCTGGTAAAGCTTTTTTACATTTATAACACACTCTTGCATTAAAAATCTCTAAGAATTGAAAGTCTAATTCAACACTTTCACATTCTTTGCATTTAATATTCTCAGATTGGTCAAGACTAATAGCTAATATAGATAAATAGAATGAATTAAAGACATTTTTTAATGCATACCTGGTTCGAATATAATATTTTGTTTTATACCTTGATTAAATTTAGATTCCTGAGCTTGATTAAGGGGATTTTTATCAACAATATATCCTCCTTTGTAATCCTTTATTTTCGATAAATCTATTGATATTTAGTCATAATTTAATTAAATTAGTTTATTAATAAAAATACTATATTCTACGTAATTTTGTGACATTTTTAAGAATACCTAATTATTTTTTTCTCTTTGATATTTGAGGTTTTTCATTTTTTTTTTCTTTGATATAATTTTTGTCGCTCTAATAAAATTCTTTTGGCATTAAGCTTGTTTGTTTTCTATAAAAATATAAGAGATATTACTGTTTTTATTGCTTTTAATAAAAAAGGACTGTATATAATTTCAAAATTAGACAGAGCTTTTCTAAATATGAATACGTACTATACGTTTTATTTGTTCAGATGTAATAAATGGTTTATTTGAAGTATGTAGTGTATTTGTCTAGGAAAAAAACTTTCCTAATCATTTATAGTAAACATTGCTACTAATATTATAACGAAATAATCTCATGTATATAGTCTTAAAAAACTATTTTTTATAAATGTTATTTATAATATTTATTTTGATCGAAAAAATACATTCAGAAATCAAATTATTTTGATCATATAGGAATATAGGAAAAGATAGTTCTTTGTATTTATGGTAGTTTTTACTAATGGAGGGGATTTAGAGGTTATCATTGATGAGAAGAATCCAACAAAAGAAGTTATTCTACCAAATTCATCCATCTTCTTAAAGCTTCCTTCTAATTTATTAAAATTTATTATTGTAAAACAAAACACGTAAGTATAATTTCTAGATTTTTGAATATACTTTAGTGATATTGTAGAATAATAAATCTGGGTAAATTTGGCACGTTTTGTACTAATGATATTATTGGTCATCCATATGGATTTACTTATGAAATATGTAACCAAGAATTGAAAATTATGAGGAGCGATAGAATTCATGAAATAGGTATCTTACTAGTTTTCTATAGTTTTTTCTAATGATTTTTTAGAGGATGAAATAGCAAATAATAAAGAAACAATGGATGATTCTTTTAATCAGCTGCTTACTTATGATGAAATAATGCTTCTAAAACAAAATAAAGATTTAAGTGGACAAGTATGAGTAGATAATTTTTTTTATTTATATTAAATACTAATAGGATATTGTAAATAAAATTGTTTTTTCACATAAAACATATGATCAAAAAACTGAATATGCAAAAGATAAATACATACGTAAAAAAATCCAAAAATATCAAAAAGGATTTACTACTATGTTTCCAACAATATGGGAAATTTCTGAACATATATTAATGAAAGATTTTTTAAAGATAATGGATTTACGGGCAGAAATAATAGCATATATTTTAAATTTAGGCAATGTTCAGCCTGGAGGGAAATATATCGTCGTAGATGAAACTTCCGGTTTATTAGTGGCCTCAATATTAGAACGTATGGATTGTATTGGTCAAATTATGTATATTCATACTAATGAGCATCCAAATCTGGATAATTGTAAATATTTTGGACAAGATTATATTCCTGATAGACTCATTGAGAAAGATGTTTTGTTAACTTTAAATTGGCTAAATGTTATAAATCGTAATCAAGAAATTGAATTTGAAAATAAAGATATCAATACAATGAAAACAAAGTATATTGAAAAATATTTAAGAAAAAAAAAAGTGCATGAACGGCTTAAGCGTAATATTCAGTTGCTTAATAAGGGGGAATTTGATGGGTATGTTTTTTATTTATAAGTTTAAATTTAAATTTCTTAGACTTTTTATTGCTTCAACATATGATCCATCAAGTATACTACCACATCTCATTCCTTTTGTTGCCGGCTCTTGTTCTATTATTATATATTCACCTTATCGTGAAATACTTGTCGCTACTTCTCATTATATTTCTTCACGCAATACACATGATATTCTTGCTCCCATAATTTCCGAAATTCGACATCGTCAATATCAAACCTTAAGTAACAGAACTCATCCGTTTATGGTATCCAGATCTTTCATGGGATATGTTTTATCTACAATAAAGGTTCTTCCATGTCTTAAAAATCTTAGACCTTTGGGAAAAAAATAATTTAATATGTATATATTAAATCTAGAATTAAAATGTTATAATATAGGGCTTTACCCTGATATTTTTAAAAATCGTTAAACGTGACGTTCAAAGCTTTCAAAAAAATGACAAAAAGAACGAAGAAGGTAGGCTTTTTTATATATATTATATGCAAAGAAAGGTATTTTGTGACATATAGAATAGGTTGGTGTTACAGGAAAATATGGGCCTCGATATGGGTCATCACTGCGAAAGGATATTAAGAAAATGGAAATTCAGCAACACTCTAAATATGTTTGTACTTTTTGTGGAAAAAAGAGTGTAAAAAGGAAATGTGTTGGTATATGGAGGTGTTTAAGATGTTCCAAGGTGGTTGCTGGAGGGGCGTGGACAGTTTCGTAAGTGTTTTTTTGAATAAAATATGTGGTATTTAGAAATTTATAGAACTACTGCTGCTGCTAGTGTTAGATCAACTATTCGAAGATTGCGTGAGATGGCTGAAATCTAGATATTCTATTTTTTATTATAAGAAATAAGTAGTGCATTTTTTACTTAAAAAGTATTGCGTTTTATTATATTGTAATTAGTATTTTAAGACATACTTTATTTAAATATGAAATATTAATTGTTAATATTTATTTCTATGCTAGAAAGTTCAGTTTGTTAATAAATTAAATAATATATTAATATAAATAATATTGTTTTGGCTTTTTATTTTGATTTGTCTTTTTTGTTTGCTTTTCTAGGTTTAATTCCTTTTTTTTTAAGTAATCTGATTCTGCTTCTTTCAATTAATATGTTATCGAGTTCATCAAATTTAATATTATCGTCTAGTCTTTGTGGAATTGTTTTATCATGATTAGTTATGTTTTCATTTAAATTTTGCGGTATTTTGTTGCTTATTTTTTTGAGCTTAGCTATAAAAAAACTATATACTATTAACATTTAAAGATAATTATTGATATTTTTTCACCCGTCTAAGTTATGAACGTGAGGATAATATCTTTTACATAAATTCATTTTAGGATTAAAGACTTTATCTCTAAAACGTGTAAAGCCGTCCACTCCAAAACTTAAGCCAGTATCAACCAGCTTTATATTTGGTCTTTTTTTTAAAGCATAATCAATAACCATTTCATTTTCATCAATAGTTACGGAACATGTTGAATAAACAATATAACCACCCGTTTTACTATTCGCATCTACCGAATCAATTGCTGATAAAATAAGTTGGCGTTGAAGGTGGGAAAGAATATTAAAATCTTTTTCCGTCTTAAAAAATTAGACTTAGATTTTGTAGAAAAAATAAAAATACTTTTTTTATTTTAATACTTTGATCTTTTGAAATTATACCTGTTCCACTGCACGGGGAATCCAATAAAACTCTATCAAATCCTCCCATAACTTTCGGGAAATCCCTTCCATCATGTCTACATACTATTGTATTTTTAACTCCAAGGCGATGAATATTTGCTACAAGACTTTTTATTCTATCTTTAGAGAAGTCGTTAGCAAATATTACTCCTGTGTTTTTTTGCAAAGCGGCAATATGTGTTGTTTTTCCACCAGGTGCAGCGGACATGTCAAGAATTCGTTCATTAACTTGTGGAGATAATGCTATAATAGGAAGAAAGGATGAAGCTGTTTGAATTGTGTACTTTCCTGAAAGATATTCAGGCGTTGCTCCTAAAAATAAATATGAAATGGTTATGATTTTCTTATAAGATAATACCTATAGGCACTTGACTTTCGAATATTTGTATACCAACTTTTGACCATTTTTCAATAGGTTCCAAATTAACACCTCTATTCATCAATGCATTTACAAGGTCTCGTCTAGTAGTTTTCAATGTATTAGTTCTAATAGTAATAGGTCGTGGAACCTCATTTGCTTCAAAAAATTCAAAAGCCTAGAAATTAATGATTTAATATTAAGTAACTATACTTACTTCTTGAACATTGAACATGTTAAACAGCTTTTCTGCCAAAAATCTTGAATATCCGTAATATTTACATATATCTTCGAGAAGCTGTTCTATATATTCTGATCGGCTTTGTTTTTTTTCTGAAAAATTCTTAAAATTACTTAAAAGATGAATAGTTTTTTGAATTCTTGTTTTTAAAAATTGATGGTCGTAATCTTGTTTTTTTTGATTAATTTCATCTTCTGATAAAGAAACAGATGATTCCTTATTAATTGATTTATCAATTAACTTTTCCTTGTAAGAATTAATATGTCAAATATAAAATAAACAAATGAAATTCACTTGGTTTGATTTAGTATTTAATACAAGATTCATTTTTTCAGAGATTATAGAATCTGAATCTGATCTTTTTTTATTATTACAATCACTAAACATATATTCTTTATAGGAATCATTGTTATCTTCACCTAAAGAACAATACAGTTCATCTGTATCAGAAATGGAAGAATCTTTAGAATTTTTAAAATTATCATGATCGTTACTAAAATTTGTAATAGATGATTCGTTTTCTAAATATAGTTTGGATTCATTTTTTCCTGAGTTATGTGATGATTTTTCATTTTTTTCAGTTTCTTTTATAATTTTTATTGTTTTTTTTTTTAATTTTGCTTTTTTTCTTTTAAACATTTGACTTTTTTCATCAAATCTGCGTTTATTGCTTATATGTCCATATTGAACTTTATGTTTTTTAATAAATTCTTTCAATGATGGCACTTCCTGTTTATTATGCTGCTGTGTCTCCATTTTTGTCCCTATTTATAGTTAACTCTTGAATAATAAAGAGATTATGTAAAAATTCTTTAATATATTTAAGTCAGTTTTAAATTAGATATTCTATAAGGAAACTTAAAACTAATTTTTAAAGAAAAAGAAGATAAAAAATTCCAAATTGAATTTTCTTTAAAAACTACAATTTTGAATAATTGAAGCCAGGACCATTTTAAAACTCTTAAATATTAAGGGCTCCAGGGGGGTTCGAACCCCCGACCACATGCACCCAAAGCATGTATGCTACCTCTACACCATGGAGCCAGTTTAATGCGGAGATAGATTAAAATAATATATAATTCTATAATACTTAAGCATTGAAAATTCTGTGATTTTGTTAAGTTTTATTAAAAGGATATAAGTATAAAAGATTAGAAATTGATTATTGATATACGTTTATATTAGAATAGTTAAGTTAAAAGATAATTATAATTACTGAGAAATGAAAAGGACAGATGGAAAACGGCATTCTAGGCAGTAAGCATAAGGCTATTGATCTATTTGAATCTTGTTAAAGAAACATATATAGTTTTTTTTTAAAACGTTCACACTCATATAACTCGATTTTACAACCTATATCAATGGCCCAAACATCTGTTTTTAATCCGCCATTATATGGACATCCACCTGGAGCATTGGTACCGTTGTCATTTACGTATTATCTATTTTATTTTTTAAAGATATTCTCATAATACTAGGAGTCTTTTTAGGACATCTTCTATACAATTATCAATAACACCTGAATCTTCAGATAATGAAAGTCTGAATAGGATTCAAGGCAATGGTTTTATAAAAAAATATCCATTGATATCAAAAGTCCCTACTTATGAATATTATGGATTTGTATTATATTTGGGAAGCAGTATAGTTTTTGGTATGCGAGTTTTATTAAATAATCGCTGAATTTATAGATTAAATGTTTTAATTTTTGTAAAATATTTCTTACAGGTTATTAGGCATTTATATCATTTGGAGTTATTTCCCTATATCCTTGCTTGATGTTATGGGAATTACATATTACCCAGAAAGGTAGGTAGATTATTTATAATAAATTTAATTAAGTTGATAAGATGGTGGTCTTTGGCATTACCTTCTTATTTTATAATCACTCTTATTTATATTTATTTCGCTTTATTAAGTTATAATATTAAAGTATTGACACCAAAACTCAATCAAATGGAATGTATAACAGATTCATATGCAAAGGTTTCAAGTACAGTCGATATAAAATCAAGTACTGATGCTGTTATTGATTTACCTATTGGAAAAGTTTCTTCTTTGTTATATGGCGATTCTGGTCTATTTGAATAATATAATTCCGTATAGTAATGCTAGTTTATAAAAGAATATATATGAGCATTTCCGTTATTTGTTTTTAGAAAAAATATAATACATTAAAATTTATATTTTTATTTTAGATTTTATATTCAAAATTTTTATAGGATTTATTACTGGTTTTTAGTGTTTCTGTAAAATATATGCCATACTTAAAATGGAATTTATATCGTAATTATTTATATTTTGGTAGTTGTAATTATAAATTATTAAAGATTTTTTTTTTGATTTTAGTTTCGGTATGAAGTTTTGATAAGCTGTGCTTTCAAAAATTAAATTAGATGACTTCTGAGATTACTCATAAAACTAATATTAAGTCTTTATATGAAAATATAGGAAATTTAGAGACTAAGGTTTTGAAACCTGAAATTTTAAAAAAGAATGAACAGTTAAATAAATTGGACCAAGTAAATGATTTAAAAATAATTCCAGATCAGTTATATTCTATTAAAAATAAGAAAAATAGTTCATTTAGTTGTCTTTCTGATGATTTGTCTGGTATATATTATTATACAAAAGTAATTAATTGGTATGATAAAAAGACAGAGTCTATTGTCCAGAGAACAATTGTTTGTCAAAATGGTAGTTAGATTTTTTGTATACAACTTTTATTTGATGTTTTCATTTTAGAAAATAGTCCATATCCAATAATTCCTTTGGCAAATTTATTTATTCTTCAAGATTCTTCAGGGAATTTTTTATCTGGTTATTCCTTGCAGAATTCTCAAATTTCTGCGAGCTCTTTACTTAGTATCATTGCAAATTATGTTGTTTCAAGCGTTTCTGAAGAACACTTGGATAATATTTTGCCCCGTTTGCCGCTTTTACATAAGTGTTTAAATGTAAATCCTTGCTTTAAAGATATTTCACGGTTTGATGGTGAAGAATCTAAGATATTTTCAATTTTAGGAGTTCAACTTTTTCATGGATGGCTCCCTAGTCTTCAAGAAGATGGTTTTGATATTTATAATGCAATTATTAAGGCAGAAACATATGAAAATGCTTTAGAAAAAATATCTATAATGAAAGAGCTTTTAGAAAATAAAAATCTTGAGTATGCTTCCAGTGATGAGAAGATCTCTGAAGGCCGACTGCTAAATCGTTTTCTATGTTCATATCCACGTTGCTTAACACCACATGGCATAACGGTTTTACGAGAAAAAATGTCTCCAGGAAATTTATCAATATTATTCCATAATCTCCATTTTTCTTTACTTTATTCTCATTATCAGACTGGAGATCTTTATACATTAGTAACTGATTATGCATATAAAGATTATGAAAATAAAGTTGTTTGGGAATCTTTAGAAACATCTTTATATTTTAATTCAGATTTTATTCTTCAAGATAATTTATTTAATGATCTGTCTGGTATAAATAATGAGTAATTTTCTAAATTTAGTTATAAGAATTTCTAATTTGTAAAGTTTTTCTTTAGCTTTAAATATGCAACTCATGGAAGATCAGCAAAAAGAAAATTGGGTATATTATCTTTCTCAATCAAAAAAATATAAAAAACATAAAACTTCAGGAAAAGTTAAAGAAAAAAAAAAAAATAGCAGGTCAAATAATGATGTAGTTCCTAGTTGGAAAAGAAGAGCTTCAGATTCTTTTGAAAAGTTAAATAAACATTTGCAAAAAGAAAAAAAATGTATAATATTTTAAGTATAAGCTTAAAGAATATGTTTGTATTGAAAATGTCCTTATAAATATTATTATATTGGATTTAATTCTATTAGTACTATTTTTATATATAATTAATTAATAAAAGATTCATAATAATAATGTTTAATTAAAAGTAAATCTATTGAATATAGTATAGGTTTTTAAAATATTATAATACGTGTAATAGCAGTTAGGTTTTGTAAATATATCATTTATAGATATTTCAAATTTTTGTATTTACTTTTATTATACCATCTCCACCGACACTTGTTACATACTCTAATTGACAAGTATTGTCTCTTCCATGCCACCATGAAACATCATTAACGCCCTCCTGTGCTTTTGTATGATGATTTGAAATTTTTTGAATGCAAACTTGAGGAAATTGCATATCCCAGAATCTAATTGAAGAATCATGACCTAATAATATATAAATATTTTTATATTATATAAAATACAATTATTACCTCCAGAAACCAAAATTCTGTCATCCGGGGAAATATCTAAAGATGATATTGCATTTAAATGACCAAGCATTGAATATGTACATTGAGCTTAAGAATATTAGTAATATAATATAAATAAATAAAGTTACCTGAATTTATATCATAGAAGCGAATATATTTATTTTCATGACCAGAAATTAACATATTTTCTTTGGAAAGACTTATAATTTTGTTAATTTGAGTATCATTGGTTCCATCTATATAATTATAAATAATTGTAATCGTATTAAAAATCTTACCATAAATTTCATCATTTCTTAATTCTAAAACACAGCTGCCCGTTTCAATATCGTATATTCTAATTATTGCATTATTCCATGATACCGAAATTTTTCTTATATCATTGTTTAGAAAAGTTATACTAGTTGGGATAGCAGAAGATGATTTGTTTAAATTATTTCCATGAAAATTTAATGTGGAAAGAAGAGGCGATGAGTCAGTATGATTAATATCCCAAAGTTTTATAGTTCCATCAGCAGAGATTGATGCTAATAGACTTGATACTGGCTGGAAAGATAAATCCCATACAGCATTTGAATGTCCAGCAAATATGCTTGGAAGAGTACAGTCATCTTTAATAATTAGATTTATTATTAAAAAGTTTTTATTATACCTATAGGAGCATAAATATTACGTTGAGGTTCCGGTATTTTCCAACATCTAATACTAGAATCAATTCCCGAACTGAAGATTTTATTAGCTTCAAGTGCAATACAAACATTAGTTACTATTCCAGAATGGCCTCTATAAGTAATTTGAGGGATAATATCTTGGCTAATATAGTCCTGTTAGTGTTGTATATTAATAATACTAGGATAATACTTCCGTATTTTTTTATTATTTATTGGAAGCCTCCAAAATTTAACAAGTCCATCGTCGCCACATGTTGCCATACTTGCATAACCTGAATTTTCGTTTTTAGACATTGAAACCGATCTTATATTAGTTAAGTGATTTTTTAAAACGAATTTGGTTTTCCATTCAGCATATGTATTTTGATTATTTTCGTCAATTTTTTCGTCAAATTCATTATCATCATTAAAATCCCAGCTGCTATTTTTAATATCTGTAGCCATATGTCTTTGTTGTAGACATGAATCAAGTAATAGCTGGGAATCAGTAATTATCGCTCCATGTTCAATTTTTTTTTTATGTATTTGATTATCTTTTTGATGAGCTTCAGATGTTTTACTTAAAGACATAGATGGTAGATTCGATATTAGTATTTCATTATAGTGGTAAATATTTTTTTGATTTTTTCCGTCATGAATGTCTTTATTTAAAATAATTGGATACGAATTAATATGAGATGAACAATTATTTTCAATAGAATTGCCTATATTATCAGTATCATACGCTTTAAATGATTTATTCTTCTGTTGACAGAATTGGTTTGACGATATTTTTATATTTTCATCATATAAATTGCTTTTATTTTGTTGAGAGGATTCTTCTGTATTTATTGATGATGATATTGGTGTTAATGCAGAATTATTATGTAATGGAATATAATGTGATTGAATAGGATTAGTTTGGTATAAAATAGGAATATCTGTTAATATATCTGGTTGAGAATTAATAAGATATGTAATTTCTTGGAGACATCTATAAAAATAAATATATATCATGTTAAAATTTAATATATACTTTTCTAAAAATTGTCGACTTTTTGTTCTTTTAGTTGATTGTTGTAAGTTATCATGAGAAATTTTGCTTTCAGGAAATAATTTTGAATGTAATTCCTTTTCCTCTTGTTTAGCTATCTCATCAGATTCGGCTATTTTTCCTGGACTATTTGATTTATTGTTATTTTTTGTTTTAGATGATAACTGATCTAAAAGAGTATGCTTTATAGAACTAGTTGTAGGTGATAAAAGATTCATCGATTTTAATCTACAGTTATCGTTAGAATTACAACGAATAAAAAATCAATGAAATTTTTCGTTAAGTTAAATAAAACCATTAAATCAGATTTAAATAATATAACGCTAATTATTCATTCAAGGAATTTAGACAAATCTGTATCATACCTTTCTTTTTGAAGAGAATCCTCAAGCATTTTTATTCTTTTTAAATGTAAATCTTTTAATCTATCAAGCCCTTTCCGTTCACCTTCAAGTTTTGAAATTTTTGCCTAAAAATGATTGAGTTTTATTTCTTTCAGAAGAAACGCTTTAAAAACTGCTTATATACCTTCATTTCTGCATATTCAATTTCCCAATAATTTCTATCCCGCTGATAGCGATATGCTTCTGTTTGTAAAAAATGAATAACTCCTTGAAGTGTATATTCTGCAATTTCTCCCTTGTGATTGTTTCGTTCATCAAGAATATTCTGAAATAACATTTTTAAAAAAGGCTTTTATATCTTACTAAAGAGATATAAAGAAATGTTTTTATTTTTAAGATTATGAAAGTTGGTTTATCGTAGGTTCTTTAAAATAATAGAAATAAGGGTATAAAATATAACCTTTAAAATATGGGATGCAATACTCCTATTAATATAATATTAATCTTCATATATGTATTATTAAATCATTTTTGATACTTTTAAATATATATTATTTTAAATATAAGATTTAAAGAATAATTATATCAAATTTTAGCTAAAAGGTGAAAATAAGGATATTGATATATTTAAATTATTAATTCTTATTTTTCTCTTTTAATAGTTATGAAAACGTAATGTATATTTTTATAAATTAGTTATGATTTTTAGTAAAAAAATGTAAATAATGTATCTATTGTTTTTTGCACTTAAAATGTTTTTATAAATGTATTAGCATATTTCTTTGCTAAGTTTTATGTAATATAATTAAGATAGGGTTTTGTTCATAAATTTTCTTTTACTAAAACATAACCACCATTTGTTTGGCTTGTTGTCAGAATTAGCATAAACATGATTTATAAGTCTTAATGCTAATTCTTGGCGAAATTGAGCAATATATTGTCTTAAAAAGTCTATTTGAAATTAAAACATAGAAAAATTATTTATGATATATGAACCTAAATCGGACTGGTTTGAAGGAGCCGGATACAATGAATTAAATGGAAATCCCGCATCTCCAGGGATGGTAAAATTTTCAAGAGCAAATGTATTAAGTAATTTGATTGAATCATTTTTAGTACAATTTGCGCGAGAAAGTTTATTTAAGCAATCTGAAATAAAAAGAATACCATATATTAAGGTACGATCTGCAGATCCCTTGATTTCAAAATTCTTAAAAAAACAATTTGCACGAAAAAGTTCAATACATTCATCAACGATATCTTGAACAGATAAATCATTTACTGTTTGAGATTAATTATAAAGATATTAATCTTTTTTTAAGAAACCTTCAATTTATATTAATACATTTTATGTCAAAATATATTTTACTTATACCTATTTGTGAAGGACCTCTAAATTTCGTTTTTAAAGGAAGAATAGCAAATCCTGCTATTTGAAATTCTGTATTGTTTATGAATGAAGAATGATATGCCTGTTAATCTTTTTAAACACAGATTTAAGTGATGATTTTATGGTTAATTACCGGCATTGTTATTACAATAATTTTTTTTAATTTTTAATCTTAAAGTTATTCGACATCAAAGAAATTATGGTTTGTGGTCTTTTTAAAATCATTATTAATAAATAGCTAATTAAGATAGCAAGTTTATAATCAAGAACCATATACTAAGTATAATTTTTGATATTTTTTTAAGGTATCAGACTAATTTAATTTAGTGGTAAAGTTCGTATTAATACAACTAAAGGTGAAATAGAAATTGAATTATGGGGTAAAGAAACACCAAAAGCATCTAGAAACTTTATTCAGTTATGTAATTTTTTTCTTTTTTTCTGTTTTTAGTTTATATAACTGTTAATAGGTATGGAAGGATATTATAATAATACTATTTTTCATAGACTTGTTTCCGGTTTTATTATTCAGGGAGGAGATCCAACAGGTACAGGTATGGGAGGCCAATCTATATGGGATGAACCTTTTTCTGATGAATTTCACTCTCGTTTAAGATATAATAGAAGAGGTCTTGTTGGAATGGCTAATACTAGTAAAAATGATAATGGTTCTCAGTTTTTTATTACATTAGCACCCACTCCTGAATTACAGGGGAAGAATACTCTTTTTGGAAGGATTGTTGGGAATTCTATATATAATGTATTAAGGATGGCAGAATTAGAAACGGATAAAAATGAGAGGCCTTTATATCCTCCAAAAATTCTTTCAACAGACGTTTTATTAAATCCATTTGATGATATTATTCCTAGGACAACTGAAGGGGATAGACTAAAATGTATGGAATCGTTTCTATCTTCAGAAGAGGGTTTTAAAAGTAAAACAAAAAAGTTAGTTTATAGTTATAAGTTTATTAATATTGGTTAATTTTTTTAGAAATAAAGTACTTTTGAGTTTTCAGGATGAAGAAACTAATGAAGAAATTTGTAAATTACCTAAATTTAAGAGTAGTCATGACATAGGAGATGATTTAAAGTTATCAGAGCAGCCTGCGATTGTAACAAGTGTTAAAAGAAAATATGACCTTCTTGATGAAACTAAGGATATCAAAATAGCTACTAGGGATGTAAAAGATATTGAAAATGAAACAAAAAACCTATCTTATCCTACTCTTTATGTTGAAAAATTAGGAAAAAAAGATTCTTCTGATTCTAAAAAGACAAAAATAGAAGAAATTCAAGCACAAATTCACATTTTAAAAGATGATATTAAAGCTATTGGTAAAAAAAAAAGTAAATATTTAGGTTCTTTGGAATTTGAAAAAGGAAAATTGCTTTCTTATTTAGAAAAGGAGAAAGAACGTTATCGAGTTTCAGAAAAAGCTATTGTAGGAGGCAAAGGAAAGTCAAAAAAAGGGAGAGAGGAAGAAGTATATAGACTTTTTTCTTTAAAATTATCCTTTTATGTAACCATAATTTAGACACTTGCCAGACTTTCATTATTTCAATCTAAAATTTCTTCAAAAGATTGTATTGAAATAGAAGAAGAAGAAGAAGAAAAAGATGCATGTGAATTACATGGTGTTCCTGGATGCTTTTCGTGTTTTGATCGTTTAGGAGAACATAATGATTTACCCGAAGAAAATAATAGCGATTGGTTTGCAAAGAGACTTGTTTTTGCTAAGGATAAACTTGGAAAAGATCATACATTTAGTGCAAATAAATTAGATGATTTCGAAATAATTGATCCTAGAGAAAGAAAAGAAAGAGCTATTTTTGAAGAAAAAATGAAGAAAAAAAATTATGAAATATCCAAAAGTTTCAGGTCGAATTATAAAAGTCATAATTAAATTTATAAAATATATAGATCATATAGATATATGTGATTATGGTTTTATATTTTTGATAAATTTTATCTCCATAAAATATGATAAATAGAAATTTGTATCAATAAAATTATATTTAATAAAATGTCAGATTAATAGTTTTAAGTACAACTGTTATCTTTATTTAAAGTACTTATTAATTCAAATTATGTAAATGTGATCTTTGGTTTATAGTATTATATAATAATTATTATTTTATATATTTATAATATTCAGTGTTATATTGTAAGTTATTTTAAAATTATCTTAAAAGTAAAATTTTAAATATATCTAAAATAAAGAAGATAAAAAATATAACAAGGTTTTATTTTCATAAATTTTCTATAATATTATTTATATTATAAGTTTTTCAAATATTTAAAAATAAAATAAAAAAAATATTCGATACTTTAACGTAATTTAATGAAAAGGTATTGTATTTCTTTAATATTAATATTTTTAATAAGAATGAATAGGTGAAGATGACATAATGGAAAAGAAGTATGGGAAAGAGCGTGAATATTCCCGAAATAACACCTGCTTTCATGATCAAGAAAATATATTTAGAAATAGGTAAATCTTTAATAATAAAAATTTGTTATGATAATTAAGCCATTTTAAAGAGATGAGCGGCTTTCTGTCTTAGGATCTCGGTCTTTATATCAGAATTATTCATTAGAAAAGCGTGGTCAACGGTTTAATTCAACTTGTCCAAATATAATTCCTCAAGGGTCACGATATTCATATTTTCCGTTATATCATTGCGGACGGAAAAAAAAATACTTATCTTCATTTTATAAGCATTGTTCTGAGCAATATTCATATTTGCCATTTTATCATGCACGTCGTAATCGTTCTTCAGATTTTGAGTATTTTTCAGAACAAGTAAAGAATAATAATGGTATTGATAGATCAAATAAATATGAAAAAGATATAGATAGGAATGGGTATATGTCGGATCTTTCTAAATTTGACTCTAATTTAACTGTTAATAATGCCTTGAATAAATATCATGATCAATCTTTTGATTCATATATATCAATAGGGTCTTCGAAAATGAATGGAAGTATAAAAAGGTCAATGTATTATAAGAACATATCTAAGGAAAAAGGTTGGAGTAGATCTAAGGATTTCTATAAAAATTTTACAAAAAAATTCTCTCGATTTGAATATGAAAAAGATGATAATTATCGTACAAAAACTTCTATTAATGACTTTTCCTTGGGTATTACAAAGAATGTTCTTTTTGAAAGAAATGCGGCGAAAAAAAATGATATACATGGATATTATAATAACATTTCTACTATTTCTTCTGGCTTAGAGGATTGTTATTTTGATCAAGTATCAAAAGATGGTACGTCTTTGGGAGGAAAATCGGAGAATATCGTATTTTTGGATGATACTAAATTGCAATCCCCTTTTTTTCCACCTTCATCTGACATCGTTAATGACATTAATAAAGATGATTTTGATAGTGATAGTCGTTTATCATTTTTTCCAGATACAAAAGAATTAGGAGAAATTTTTGTTAAAAATGAAGAGAATATGCAGGAGCTTATTCAAAAAGAAGCGCAGTTTATGGATCAAAAAGCTCCTGATTTTAGAAATACTTCGTTAGATATCTCTTGTGCAATAAATGATAGTGTTATCTTTCAAGATTCTTCACATCAAGAAGATAATAGCAATTTGGATCAGAAAGATATTCATATTAAGATACAAGGGATTAATGAAGCAATATTAACATATGAAAAACGTTTTCACGAAATCGAAAATAAATTAGAAACTAAAGTTATTAATGAAGACAAGATATTTCCTTCAAAGGCAGAGCTTCCCAATCTTTTGGCTGGTAATTATTCTTCAAATTTAGAAACGAATATATGTTCAAGAATTTATTCTGAAAATAAAGAAAAAGCAGAGCAGAACTGTATTAAATTTTCCTACTTTAAAATATCAGATAGTTCATTAAATGGATATTCCTTTTTAAAGGAGAATGAGATAAGACATAAACGTTTACGTCCATTCTTGCTTTTGCATATTTCACGAAAAAATAAAAAAATATTCGAGAAAAATAAAGTTCTTCTATTACAGTATCAAAAATATCAGAGTTTTTGGGAATCTCATGTAGAAAGGTTAGATAATATAAAAAATGCAAAAAAGAAAGATATTGAACGATATGGATCTTTAGATTCACACGTAGATAGTTTATCATTAAGAAGTTTTAGAAGAGGACAGGGATTAAACTATGGTGATTTTGTTAGATCCGATGCCGATTTTGAAGATATTATAGCTAAATTGGGGGTTGAAGATGATCGGATTTGTCGTGCAGCAGTAATACCTCCTATGATTTTAGATCCTGAAGAAAGCGTTCGATATAAATATGATGATAGAAATAGAGTAGTTGATGATCCTATTTCTTCTTTTCATTACCCTACTTCTATAGATATTTGGACAGCAGAAGAGCATACGCTTTTTAAGGAATTATTTATTAAATATCCTCAAAAAAATTTTGGTTTGATTGCTTCTAGTATTCCAAATAAAACAATTTCTCAATGTGTTTTGCATTATTATCGTACAAAGAAACAGGAAAATTATAAAAGTTTGATAATGTCGAGGAATTCTGATAGAATAAAGAAAAAGGGGAGAGGTCGTTCGTCAAAAAAGATGGAAAAAGCTAAAGTTTCTTCACTCTTGGCAGATCTTCAGCCTAGGATAATAAATGATGATATAGATGATTATGAAAAAGATTAATTTATATGAAATTAAAAAATAATTCTATTAAAAATAAAATTCTTTTTTGTTGAAGAATTAAAATATTTAAGATTTAAATTATAAATTAAGTTTGATATATGATAATTATAAAGAAATATAAAGAATTTATTTATGGAGGCTTTTCAGAGGATATAAATTTGATTTTATAAGAGGAAATGTTTAAAAAAATCTTTGTGATTGAAATTTTGAAAATATTAATTTCGGTATTTTTTAAGGTAAAATTTAGACTATTGAAAGTTTGATATATATAATGTATATTATTGGCGTTACTTTAATCATCTTTTTATATTAAATATATTTTATTATGAAAAAACTAGACTCTTGATTATAGGGAAATTAGAAATTTACAGTAAATGTTTTTAATATAGGGATTTGTATCTAATTTCATAGTGATTTTATATTGTTATGATTTGATTTTTAATAATTTTGAGAATATTAAAAGCGGGAATATATTTATATTTGATATTGAAATTAGAAGTTTACAGGGTTGTTTAATAATATATATTAGGACTATGATACTTTTTTATATTCCTAATAAAGAATATAGTATTCGAATTATTTTTGAATTCAATTTGATTTAAATATTCAAAAAATGTTTTATGGGTGTATATATTACAAATATTTTAATATCAAGTAAAAATTGTTATTTTTTTATTTTGTTTTATAAAAATACTTTTAACTTTATATATATATATTCTGTATGTATGAATATATTGTATGATTATTTTATAATACTTATAGAAATCACATTAAAAAATGTTCTATGAATTAATAAATAGATTATTGAGACTTCCTTTAAAAGAATATTCTAAAATGCCTTTAATGTTTTTGTTTCTTTTTAAACGTTATCAATTCTTTGCAAACGTAACGGCTACAATTAAGGGAAATACTATGCTTGCATCTGTGTATAGCTTTACCATTTTAGCATCTGATTTAATTTTTCCCCAGCTAACTGCTTCGTCAGGTCTGGCACCACTATCGCTTCCATCAAATTCTTGCTCAGTATTTATGTAAACAGCGTAATCTGCTCCATTCCTCATTAAATTGGCATTTGCTATATGATGCTTGACTATTCCTCCTCCAAGAATGATCATTCCTGTGCATTTTGCTCTAACAGATATGGTATTGATTGATCTAATATCTGATGCAATATCTATAATCAATCCGGGATTTCGAAAAGAATGAAAATATATCATATCTCCCATAGAACCGTCAGTTAATGCAGGGCAGAAAATAGGTATTTCATTTTTATATGCCCAATAACATATGCTTTCTTCGCTATTTATTTCTTTTCCAAGACGATGAATTATAGAAGATGGTGTCCATATTTTATTCTCTTTTTTTTGTTCTTCTAATAAAGTATCAAGAATCGGTATTATCCAATCCTCGAATTTACAATAATTATTATTAGGTATTAAAAGATTTCCAATTCTATTTAATCCTTTTTTTCGAAGTTCTGATCCATCAAGCTCAAAACTTCCTAAATATGTATGATCAAGACATTTAATAATATCTTCTTCTACTCCTCCTGCTGTTGTAACAATACATGAAACCTTTTTATGTTGTACTAAATAACGAATAGATTCTCTTACACCTGATGAGACTAAATTCGATGTATAACCAAGAAAAATAGTACATCCTTCCTTTTTATTTTCCAAATATGTATATTCTTCTTTCTCTAACAATTCATCTGGTAACCTCCAATTCTTCTATGTATATAAACTTTTAAAAATATGCTCTTAAAAATAGTTGTAGTATACCATCTCATTTATAATATTTACTGCCAATGCAAAATTTGTTGCTTGAAATCCCGTAGTATACATAGATTCTACCAAATCCTCTATTGTAAGATTAGTTGCATCTGCTTTTTTATTACTAGAATATTTGTTATGATCAAGTCCTACTACTCTTACTGCATTTTTAAATATTGGCTCAGAATGAATCAAGACTGATGCTTTAGATATTTCAAATTCCTCTGACTTTTTAATTATGTCCAGACTATTATTCATTTCTTAATAGATAATATACAAAATCTAGAAATTAATATTAATATAACTTATGTATAGAATTATAGGTTTTATTAGATAAATTTTAATGATTTTTAAGTGTCGATAAAAATTTTGAAAATTAAACAGAAATAGATTAATATATTAGTAATTTCATATAAAATATGCAAAGGGTGTGGTTAAGTGAAATTTTGGCTTTAATAATGATTGAAAATGGAGTTAAATTTATTTAAACATATGAATGTTTTAAAGATTTGAAAAAGCACAAATTTCTGGGAAATTCGAAAATGTCGGTTGATCCCTTATTTGGAGGAGATTTAGTTAAGTCTCCTGCAGCTTTGGGTAATTTTATACCTCTTCCTCAGGCAAAGAATGTTCCAGCTTTTTTGAATAAATTATACAAGTAAGTAAATATAAAATTTGTATAGCTTTCTAAGTTAGTATAAAGTATGGTTTCGGATTCAGCATCTGACTCTCTTATAAAATGGTCTGCATCAGGTGATTCTTTTTTAGTTCTTCGCCCAGAACACGTAGCAAAACATATTCTTCCTCGGTTTTTTAAACATCATAATTTTTCTAGTTTTGTTCGTCAACTTAACAGTATGTGATTTTGTTTATTATTTTGTTTTCTTAGTGAGATATAGTGTATGGTTTTCATAAAGTTCCTCACCTTCAGCATGGGGTTCTTGAATCTGATTCTCCAAATGAAGTTTTAGAATTTTCTAATCCTAACTTTCTTCGGGATCAGCCGGATCTTCTTTGTTTAGTAACAAGGAAAAAGGGACCTCAGTCTGGAGAAGATGGTTCTTCTTTGGATTATTCTGCTATTATATCTGAAATTCAATCTATTAAAAAACACCAATTAACTATTTCTTCTGATTTAAAACGTATTCAAATGGATAATCAAGCTCTTTGGCAAGAAGCATTAAATTCAAGAGAAAAATGTCGTCACCTTCAGGAAACTATTGATAAAATTTTGAAATTTCTTGTTTCTATGTTTTCTCCTGAAAAAAGGAGTTTAGTTCAAAAAAAAAGACGTTTATTATTAGAGGAGAAATCAGTTTCTTCACAAGAGGAAAATTGCCATAGTAATTATTCTGTATCAAATGTGGGAAATCATTTTTCTCCACAAGAACTGTTGCCTAATGATGATGTTGTCTTGTCGTGTCTTATAGAACAAGGTATTATACAAAATGACGAGAATAGGTTTACTTTGCCTTACTTAAATACAACGCCATTATTGACTCCACCACTTATTTGTTCACATGAAAATTTATCTATTGAGCAACCATATTCGAATAATATTCTTGAGATTAAAACAAATGAGAATCTTGATAAGAATATAAACTCTCAAATAATTTCTCAAGATCAAGCTCTGCAATCATTAGTAAATTTGTTAGGGATGGATATTAATCAAATTAATCCTGAACTTCCTGCTGAAGATAATGTAGAAATTGTAAAAAATGTTAGTAATGGAAATTATACGTTAGAATCAAAGAATAATTCAACTGAATATTTTCCTAATGAGTATGATTATGAAAATGTTGATATTGATGAATTTTTAAATCAATATGGTAACCTATTTTTTAAAAATAAGAATCTATTAAATTTTATATTAGGAAGTGAGCATTCTTTTGATGAAAATAATTCTATTCTTTCTAATTCATCTGTAAAGAAGGATTCTAATACAGGAATATCTCAAGAAATTAATGGAGTTAATGGGGATATAAATATAAATAAAAATTTTTTGATATCTGGTTCTAAAAGAAAACGTATCTATTGATTTTTTAAATAAATATTAAGGATTTTAAGTTCGGATTGTAACAAAAGTATAGAAAATTTAATAAGTATTATAATATATATGTTTTATAGGAATATTAGGAATCTTCTCGGATTTTATTTTTATAGGTTGTATCAGAGAAATATTTTATCTAATGCGTGTTTGTTTTATCATTATTTTTAATTTGTTTTTTTGAGTATATCTTTATTTAAGAATATAATTTATATTTATGTATAATAATTTAAATATAAAATAGTAGAATTAATATTAAAATGAAAATATTTATATCATTTTACGGTCATAATTATTGCTGTAATAATAGTGAATAATTTTGAAATTTATTATATTTATAGTTTTGATTTTTAATATTATATAAAATCAATTAATTACTATATAATTTAATATAAATAAATGCATTTTACTTCTAAATTGAATTTATTTAAAAATAATTAAATCATTAATAAACATATAAAAAGTTTATAATAAATTAAATATTAATATTATTTATTATTTTGTTAAATAATTTATACTACAAATGTTTTAAATATTATTTAGGTTTAATTAAAATCTAAAATTTATGCTATATTTTTCTTTTATATAAATCCTAAATACATGAAAAGACTTCTAGTTTTTTAATATAAAGTCCTATTGACAAGTATTTGGAAGGATATATGTATAGCATAAATTTATAAATGGTTTTGTCAATAAAGGGATAATAATAAGGTATCATTAACAAAATAAAAATGAAACATTTATAAAAATTATTGTTTTAACTAATAATTTGTTCTTATCCTAATATTTTTAAATAAGATAATTTTTGTTACAATTATCCCACTGAACGTCTGCAAACTTTCTCAATAACACTTTCATAAACAATCTCACTAAAGTCAGTTGCCTGAATTTCAATTGAAATACCACTCAAAGCCCGTCGAAGTGCATCCTTAGAAGACGCATAAAGCATTTTTGATTTAATTGGAGATACATCAGGTGACCTAGATTTAATTAATCTCTTTTTTTATATTATATTAATCTTGTTTAACGATTATATTTACGTATACAATAAATAATAAAAAATAAATAATAAAAAAACTTACCAGACAAAAAAACATATCTAAAATAACCGTTAATCTCTTCTTTTATCTTACTTTTCTCCTCACCTTTTTCCTTCTTCCTTCTCCTTTCAATTCATACTCGAAATCATAAACTGCATAGCGACAATCATTTTCTGGCAAATCTTTAATGAACTCTTCATAATCCACATCTTTAGATGTCTTTTCAACAATAATATGTGTTTTCCCATCGTTTATAGAAAATATAATATATTTTATAGATTTACCATGCTTTAATTGATGAAACGATTCTAAACATTCATCACTCACTTGAACGCCCGATTTTGACTAGTCGATATATATTAGTTTATCTTGATAATTAATTTATTCCTCCTCCTCTTCTTCCTTACAAACAAACTTACCATAATAAATGATTTCAAGTAGCTTTTTTTCTTTGAAAAAAATCGTTAAAGGAGCTGTTGTTTTTAAAGATGTTACTTATGTCAAAAAAAAAGATTGTAAAGAGTAAACCTAACCCTTCCTTTATTATGCCCTAATCTTATCACTAATCTTGATCGTATCCCTATCCCTAAACCTAACCTTTCTTCATTACAGATTTCTTTATCCTAGACCTACTACGATCTTTATTAGGGTTAACCCTTTATCGATCTTCCCTTTTGTTTTTGCTTTTTTCGCGTCATGGCCTTCACGTCGATCAAACGTAAGATCAGGAGCAGGAATTGCATCCAATAAGTACGATTTGTGTGTCAATTAAAGGATTAATATGAGAGAAGTTATTTCAATTCACGTTGGTCAAGCAGGAACACAAATAGGAAATGGTAGGTTTTAAGTTGAATAATAAAAAAAAGAGAATCTAATCGAACATTTTCTGATAAAAATATTTAGCATGTTGGGAGGTAAATAAAGGGATAAAGGGAAAGATAGAATTGATTTATAATAGCTTTATTGTCTTGAACATGGAATTGAGGTGGAAATTCTATTTATTTATTGGTTAAAATGAATTGATAGAATTTTTAGCCGGATGGACGATTATCAGCAGAAAAAACGTCAAAACCTCTAGATGATGGGTTTAGTACGTTTTTTTCAGAGACGGGTATGTATATGAGGATTATATTTTTAGATTGACAGATTAATTTTGTTTTAGGAAGCGGGAAATATGTTCCGCGCAGCATCTATGTTGACCTTGAACCAAATGTGATTGATCAGGTTCGGACGGGAACATATCGACAACTTTTTCATCCAGAGCAATTAATTACGGGGAAGGAAGATGCGGCGAATAATTGTATATTTTATGGTTTTTTTCTTTAAAAAAATATTAATGTTATTGTAGATGCACGAGGTCATTATACAGTTGGAAAAGAACTTATTGATCATGTTCTTGATCGTATCCGCAGAGTAGCTGGTATTATGGCCTTTATTTTTCTTCATTTTTTTTTTATAATCTTAGATAATTGTACTGGTCTTCAAGGATTTCTTGTATTTCATTCTTTCGGCGGCGGTACGGGTTCTGGATTTGGCGCATTACTTTTGGAACGTCTTTCTGTTGATTATGGGAAGAAGTCGAAACTTGAATTTTCGGTATATCCTGCTCCTCAAGTCTCAACTTCTGTAGTGGAGCCGTATAATTCTATCTTAACTACACATACAACTCTTGAACATTCAGATTGCTCCTTTATGGTTGACAATGAGGCCATATATGATATTTGTCGTCGAAATCTTGATATTGAACGTCCGGGATATGAAAATTTAAATAGATTGATTGCACAAGTTGTCAGTAGCATTACGGCAAGTTTGAGGTTTGATGGTAGTTTGAATGTCGATTTGAATGAATTTCAAACGAATTTGGTTCCATATCCAAGAATTCATTTTCCATTGGTTACTTATGCGCCTCTTATTTCTGCAGCTAAAGCACATCATGAAGCTAACTCAGTTGCTGAAATAACTAATGCCTGTTTTGAGCCAAATAATCAAATGGTAGTTTTACTGTTTTCTTACTAATTCAATTGATAAATTAGGTTAAATGTGATCCTCGCAATGGAAAATATATGGCAACATGTCTTCTGTATCGAGGGGATATTGTAACAAAGGATGTTAATTCCGCTGTTTCTTCTATTCGAACAAAGCGTACTATTCAATTTGTAGATTGGTGCCCGACAGGTTTTAAACTTGGTGTTTGCTATCAACCACCTCAATATGTACCTGATGGTGATCTTGCCAAGGTCAGTAGAGCAGTATGTATGTTAAGTAATACAACATCTATTGCGGAGGCATGGAGTCGTCTTGATCATAAGTTTGATCTTATGTATAGCAAAAGAGCATTTGTTCATTGGTATGTCGGTGAAGGTATGGAGGAAGGTGAATTTAGTGAAGCACGGGAAGATCTTGCTGCTTTAGAAAAAGATTATGAAGAAGTATTTATTAGTTTGGATATTATGATTTAAATTGTTAATTTTATTTAGGTTGGCCAAGATTCTATTGAAGGAGAAATTATGGAAGAAGAATATTGAAGTGAAATTTTATTAGATTTAAGAACGTGGATGAAATTTAGTCTATAGTTGGTAGATTTTTATTTGAAAACAATAAATATATTTTCTGTACCAATTGTTTGTCTTAATGATTACTTGGTTTATAATAAACAATTTTATCATCTTCTTTGAACTGCATTTTTTAATTTTTTATTTGCAAAAGTAAATATATTGAAATAAAAATTTAAAATAAAATTAACTAAATTTTTCTTTATCCTTTTAAGGACATAAATTAAGATTCGAAAATATTAGATATAAATAGTAAACATTAAAAGTATTTATTATTATAAAAATTTAATATTATCATTATCAAACATTAAAAACTTTTAAAAAAAGTGTATATTTAAATCATGTATTCATAAATATACATATTATACACATATATATTATCTCTTTCAATAAATAGTATTAAATAACTAGTTTAATTTATGTTTGTCTTCATGATCATATTCTTAAATCCCTTTTTACTTCCCCATTCGCCATTCTTAGATTGTTTATTAGTCACATTAAAATTCAAGTTTTGCATCATAACATTAATATCATTTTGTAGATTAGAAACTCCTAAATCGAATGATGTATTGGTAACAGCATTAAGTGGCTGTACTTGGTGAAAATTCGTTTTTGACAATATTTGAGTGTTCATAGTTCTAATGTCATTAAGTGGCTTCATTGACCTGATTCTAGAATTCATATCTGATTTTTCAGAAAAATTACTTGTTAAAGGTAGCCCATTTGACGTTAAATTAGTAGCTGACAAAGATGCAACAGGACTAACTGATTGATCAGAAATACCAAAATTAGGTTTATTCCAAAAATTCATTGGTATATTATCTGTATTGTTTGAATTTAACCTATTAATTACAATATATTTAGCATCATTTTCACCACAAGAAGTGTATTCGAGACCCAATTTTTCTGCAATATAATGAATAATACGACGTTGTTGAAGACTTGTATCAAGAGGAAAAATCAACTCATTAGGAGCATTAGGACTCTGATCATTTCGGAAAAGCAATAAACGAGAATAAATTTTTAAAGTGGCTTCATCATTAAGATCAATATCTAAAATTATAAATATAAATATAGAAATAAATTGTAGATATAACCTTTGGATTTTCTTTTTCCTTTGAAAAATCCAGGATTAGATGAATTATGCTGTTCTTCATATTGGTTTCGTTTTTCCTTTTTTTCTCGATTTGCTTTTTCACGATCTGCTATGGGTAAAATACGTTTATATTCAACACGAAGTTTTCTGCCCATAATATCATGTCCATTAAGCGAAAGGATAACACGTGTTGTTTCTTCTGGTGTATAAAAATTAGCAAAAGCAAGACCTCTGAAATTTCCATTATCAAAATGATAATTGAATGCATATGGTTTAGGAATATCAAGTGTATCCTACACCTATTAATTTTTCCATTAAAAATAAAAAGACATACAAAAAGCTCAAGAAGCTGCTCCTTTTTTATTTGAAAAGGTATATTTTTAACAACAATAGCAGAAGGAAGTACACCATCTTCTGTTCGGGCAGTATTTTTCAAATTAGTTATTGTAGACTCCTGAAAAGAATTTTCTTGTAAATTATCCGAAGTATTAGCTTTAGAAGTGCCTGATGGCATAAAAGTAGTGGAAACATTTGGATTTTGTGAAGAATTGTTCGTATCCGAATTATTTACCCATTTCTATGAATTGTTAAAACAATTAGCTAAAAAAAAAATGTCTACAAACATTAGTAACTCTTTCTTTTCCTTCTGGTATTGATCTCCAAGATGCATATCCGTAATTATCATACGGTATAGATTGAGTAGTTGAATAATAATAAGGATAGGATGGTGATATTGTTGAGCTTTGAAAATTTGAAGATCCCATGGTATTTACAGATATAAATGGCGCCGTCTGTGGACAAAAAGCATAATGCGAATCTTTTAATCGTTCAAAATGTGCTGCATCATTATGTAAGGCTGTTTGTTGAGAGCTTGTCTGTGTATATTGAAAAGGAAAACGTCTTGAAAAAATATTATCTGGAGATTGTATTGACATTGGTGTAGATGCTTGTGTTAATGATTCTGTTGCTGATGCTTGCGTTTTTCCTAAATTATTTGTCCATAACAGTGGTGATGAAAATGATCGAAGAAGTGGTAATTCTTTTATATCCTTTTCATGATTCAAAGAATATCCATTAAACAAACGAGATTGAGATATATCATCTCGTTTAGTTGAAAAATTTTTTACACCCTGATAATAATTCATTTTTTTGTGATGTTCTGCCTCATCATAAGCTTCTAATTGTGATGATTCATCTGTAACCGCCATTGGATCTACAAGACTTTTTTAAAAACTAAACAAAAGAAATAAATGATAACCTTTACGATAACCCTTTAAATTTATAATAAATAATCCTAATTTTTTAAATAAATCTCAAAATATTATTTTTTCAGATTTTTATAAAACGAATTTTAATTTAAGTATTTATTGTTAAAGATCTTTCAAAATATCCCTTGATAAAAATAACATAGAGATAGATGTATGTCTAATTTAAATGATAAAGCTTATATATCCATTAAATATAGTACTGAACATTGAAACCATTCAATGTTCAGTACGGAAGAGATTTTAACCCTAACCCTTATAATTATAGGTATGACATAACCCTATGTTTTATCATGCGAAAAGATCGTGATAAGCTTAGGTATATGTAATATAAGGGTTAGGGTTGTTGAATACAAGATTCAAGAGATTTTAATAAAGCTGAGATCGAAATATCTTATTGACATTTTAAGAAACATAAATATTTCTTTATATTCATTATTATTATTTCTTTTGACAATAAAACTTTATTATATAGTTTATCGATATTAAATATTTGTTTTTTAAGAACGTAGTAAATTTAATACGAACGAAAGATGTCGGGTAAAGGCAAATCACATGGTGGGAAAGGGAAAAGCGGAGGAAAGAGTGGAGAAGGACGGATACAAGTTTCTCATTCAGCACGTGCAGGGCTTCAGGTGAGTATTTGAGAAAGAAAAGGGACTTGGATTAATGAGCGATTTAGTTTCCAGTAGGTCGTGTTCGACGATTTATGAAAGCGTGTACACAGAATAACGTACGTGTGGGAGCAACAGCTAGTGTTTATATTGCAGCAGTTCTTGAATATCTTACTGCGGAAGTTCTTGAGCTTGCAGGAAACGCGTCAAAAGATCTTAAAGTTAAACGTATTACACCGCGACATTTGCAACTAGGTATAAGTTGTTTTTTTTTTTTGATTTATTTAATTATATTGACAATGAATAGCAATTCGGGGGGATGAGGAGTTAGATTCGTAAGTATCAAAGATGGCTAAGGGATGATTTTTATTTGTAATATAGATTGATTCGTGCTACGATTGCAGGTGGTGGTGTTTTGCCTGTAAGTATTTGAAATTATATTGTTTAGATATTAATTTGTATTAGCATATCAACAAAACATTGCTTCAAACACCGAAGAATAAGAAAGTTTCCCAGAAATAAATGTGTATTAAATTTTATTCAATTCATTTCATAATTAATTAGCTCTACGTATACTTTTAGTTTTCGTTATTATACGTAAATGTTAAAAAATTGTTTTTATCATTAATTGTGGTTTTAAGCTTATATATTTATTTTTATCAACTGACCATATTTTCATCTTGTACTATATTCAATCTTAATTATGACAAGAATATATATGTTTGATTGCTTATATTTTTTGATAAACGTTATGTTTTATTACTTATTTATGGCTCTTTTGTTTTATTATAATATAGATTTATATATTTATAAAAAAAAATCAAATTTCTTAAATAGTTTTTAATTAACATTGGTAATAAATTTAAAATGATGCATAAACTTTCATATATTATATATGTATATATTTTGATTTGTTTTCATAATATTATTTTAATGTAACTTCATTAGTAATTTATTTATCGTTCTTCATATATTTATTAATAAAATACATCTTAAGTGTACTTTTTTATTATTTATAAAAATTTCATTAAATATTTCTATTTCTATTACAGTAAATTTTTCAAATTTATTTATATTTTTTATTAGATCTTCTCTACTAGATATATTATAGATTATTTAAACGAAATATTAACTTCCTCTGAAATAAATACATTTAAAATCTTTTATTTTAAAAAAAATAATTGACAAAACATATTGATAGTTATATTAATATTTGTATATTAACCACTTATACATTAATTTTAGTAAAAAAATTGTGTGCTAAGTAAAAATTCCCAACATTAGATAAATTAATAATTTATAAAATTTAAAATAAAAACATTATTTCATGTCATTAAACAATACGTTTAAAGAATAATAGCAATAACATTATGTTCATTACGCTGATAATGAAGATCTTTATATTATAGAATAAAAACTACTTACTTAAAATGCATATAGATAATATATATCAATATCAATAACCTCGATGACCAACATTATAAGACCAGTCTTTTAATTGATTTCAATAAGTTCATAAATCAACATACCAATGACTTTGTTCTTCATTTAGACCATAAATATTAATGAAAAACAAAAAAATAATTTTACTAAGTGCTTTTATTGTTTTTTTTTTTTATTTTTTAATGTTTGTCCTTCACCAAAAAAAGCCTTTTTAAATTTGTCATTTTCATTTATGGTTTCTATAGGTTTTATTTCATAACCAAAAAAAAGGGTTCCAAAAGGAACTCTTAGAGGAGCAGGTGGTGCATCATTATCCTCGCTTTTCGATATTTTAATATCAGTCATCATAGATTCTTGATAATTTTCAACAGGTCCACCATTTAATTTATGTCCTGTAGACAAAAAAGAGCTATTCTTCCCCATTTTTGAAGTACTAGAAGTCAGTGCTTCTTGATGTCTTATTTTTTTTTCAATATTGCCCATAATTTGCATATGATTATAAGCATCTGATTTTTTCAGAGGTTCGGGCTCAGAATAACCAAGAGGAGGCGCAAAATCTACCTAATTATATATTAGAAAGACTTTTTTAAATAATATTACTTACTTCTAAATCTGTTTCAAGAACAGAAATACTTCCTCTACCATCATTTGGTTTAATATCCAATACTTCTATTTCATATATTTGCTCATTATAATTAATTTGAAATATATCTTCTTTAGTTAAGGCAGAAAAATTTCTTAGAGCATTTTCTAATCTAAAACAAATCAATGTCATCTAAAGCATTTTATAAATCAATACACAGCTTTAGGATCAGTAATTTGAAGAAAATCAGGATGTTGAGGCCGGATTTTTACATAAGATCCCTGTGGAAGTTTTGTGCTAATAACCGATAATAAATCACCTTGTTCAAGCAAAAGTGACTGCATCATCTAAACCTTATCAAATTATCCAATATAAATTTCTTCAAATAATACCCATAAAGGTAAATAAATTCTTCCTTCTTCAGCAATAAATTCTAAAACTCCAGCATGTGTAATTCTTTCTTTTTCCGGATTTTTTAATTCAAAAAGCATAGGATAAGAAATATTTAAACGTGCTAACATCATTTAATAAACTTCATTCAAATAGAAAAATATATTATTTCTTACAAAGCTTATTTAAAGCACTTGGAGGAAGTATAACTTTTTTTATTAATAGATATCTTTTTTTTAAAAATTTATACCTTTTCCGCCAAAATTAACTGAATCCCTTTCATTTCCTTCCATCATTGAAATACTATAACATCGATAATATCCTTTAAAAGGCTGATTTACCTGGAAATCTAGAAACGACCATCCGTCAAACCCATAATCATCACTGTTTATATCATTATAAAACCGATCCCTTGCAAACTTGATATTCATTAAAAAAATTCAAAAATAACAAAAAATATAAATTACCATATTTTTAAATAATTAAAAGAAAATATAATTTAAGTTTAATATAACAAAAATTCGATTATGTTATATAAACGTCTTTACAAAAAAATAATATAATAAATAATAAAAATTTATTTTCCTTAAAAACAAATAAACATATTTTATATTTTTATTAAAATTTGAGATTTTAAAATGATAAAAATAGTTTAAAATAAATAATATATTAAATAAAAATATTCATCTTATTACGTAATCATGTATTTAATAAAGGAATAAGTTTTCTTAAAAACTTATAATTAAACTATCTTAATACTGTTTAAAAAAAAGAATATTATAAATAAAAAATAATTAATATTATTAATAAAGTTTACTATTCTTATTGAAATATAGATCCAATTGATCATAGAAGATTTTTTTAAGGTTTTTTATAAATTGATATTTTCATATATATTGAAAGCCCTCCGAAAAAAAGTTCTAAAAAACTATTCTTGAATTATAGTTAATTTTGTTGATTAAAAGGACATTTGAATAGATATTTTAAAGAAGGAAGAGATATCAAAGCTGAGAAATGAATTCAAAAATACAGAAAACATCAGAACATGGTTTTTACTTTTAAAAAAATTATAATTTGGACAAAATTGATATAAAATAGATATATTAGTTAATTTAACACCAGAAGAAAGTGAGGCTTATGAAAAGCTTTTCTGTGAAGCAGATCCGGATAATATTGGTGTTCTTTTAGGAGAGAATTCGATTAATTTTTTTGAAAAAACGGGGCTTTCTCCTCAAATTCTGGGAGAAGTAAGAATTTGAAGAGAAATTTCCTTAATTTACCTTTATTAGATATGGAAGATTGCAGATGATGAAAATATGGGATTTCTTACGCGAAAAAGATTTAATATTGCTCTTCGTTTGGTGGGACATGCTCAAGAAGGGCGTCGACCAAGTATAGATTTAATTAATTTAAGTATATTGTATTTAGAGTTTATGGATTTGTGTTTAACAATTTCTAAGAATGCCCATTACCAAAATTTAATACAAAAAAACCCATAAATTGGAATATACCATCTCAACCTCCCGAAAAAATCCCATTAATAACTACAGAAGAAAGGAATCGTTATCATAATATGTTTAAAAATCTTAAATTAACTAATGGCTTTATAAAAGGTACTAATATTTATTATTTTTTTTAAAAAAATATTAATTAGAGTAGGATCTCAAGCAAAATCAATATTCTTACGAACACATTTGTCAAATGAAATATTAGGTCAAATATGGTAAATGCATTTTTTTTAAAAACCTTCATTTTATAATATTGTAGGAATTTAGTTGATATTCATCATCGAGGCGCTTTAAATATTACAGAATTCACAGTTGCTATGCATTTAATTCATTCATTTATAAATGGTTCATTAAAAAAAATACCATCTATTTTACCTCCTTGGGTTTTTAATATGGCTATTGGAAAAACATATAGTCATGGATCTTCTCACAAAGTAATTTCTGAACATTCAGTTACAAAAAATACTAGTAATCTAAATGAAAAAGATTTTTCTAATAATTTATCACGCAAATATTATAAACATCAACATGTACACAGCAAACCTAATCTTTTTTTTGAGATTGATACAATTCCACCAAATGATTGGAATATAAAACCACAGGAAAGATTTCAATATAGTAATCTTTTTAAATCGATTGATAAAGCTAATGAAAATTATTTAACTGGCGATGAAGCAGTGTCCTTTTTTTTATCATCAAAGTTACCAGAAAAGACTTTAGCGCATATATGGGATTTAGCAGACCTAGATAAAAGTGGTAAACTTAATAAAGAAGAATTTATCATAGCAATACATTTAATACGACAAAAACTAGTAGGTGTGGACCTTCCAGCGTCTTTACCGCAAGAATTAATGCCACCTTTTTTTCAAAAAAATCTTCCACAAGAAAACACGTATTTCTTATCACCATCTAATCAGGAACCATCTAGCTCTATAACAACTGAATCTTTTGATATAAATAATTCTTTTTCTCCGCAAGTTCAAACAACATCACCATCTCTTCCATCATCAATTTTTTCAATTAAACAAACTACTACTGATCCATATGTCGAAGCTTCAGCTATAATACCATCTTCGGATTCTGTATTCTCACCATCATGTTCTCATCTAGAAACACCATCTATTCATTCATCTCAAAGAGCACCTTTTATTTCTACATCTGCTTTTAAACAATCTATTGTATCATCTGTTACTCCAGATTCTAAAGCTTCTCTTCAAAAGCCATCTACTACAGTAGTAGATTTATTAAGTGATACGAATATTGAGAATCTTGAAAAAAAAGATAATGATACTAGTGAAATGGAAAACACTTCTAATAAAATTTCTTCTCTTTCTAAACAAATACAAGAATTAAAACAGACAGTCACTTTGACAGAATCAGAGTTAAAGGCCTCTAATGATGAGAACTGCGAAATTGAAGAAAGATTATCACAGATTTATATTTTATATAAAAAAGAAGTGAAAACTGTTCAAAAAATTCAAGAAGATCTTACAGAATCTCGTGCAACTACGCAAAAACTAAAACAGAAATATTCAATTCTTAAAACAAGATTATATACTTTGCAAAATCAAAAACAGGAACAACTTGAAAATTTAAAACATAGTACAGATGAAAATATCGAATTACAACATAAAATAGAATTAATGAATAATCAATTGTCTTGTTTAAAAGAAGAGTTAGAAAATATTGGAAAAGATTCATTAGATCAAAAAAATATGATTATGATGAGCAAAAAACAATTATCTATATTCGAAGATAATTATACGCAATTGAAAGCCAATATTGATAAAGATATAGTGATACATAATGTCAATGAAAATAATGATTCTGACTCTGTCTTATCTACTAGTAATCAATCATCAAATCCATTTCATCAAATATCTGATTCTAATGAAATAAAACAAATATCCCCATTGTTTATTCCTGTGCGTAATAAAATTAATACCAAGGGTCAATCAAACATACAGGACAATTCTATTAAAGATTTATCATCAAACATAAATTTACAAATTTTAAAAAGACGAGATAGTTTATCAGAGTCTTTAGATTCATCAGTGGTCGTTCAAGCTCCAGAATCTACTCCTGGAAAATTATCTAGAATAAGTTCTTATCCTGGAACACCTATACCATGGATTATGAATAAAAGCAATTCTCCTAAAATCTTAAATGAATTATCTTCAAACTTTGACTCTGATATCTTTCTTAAGGATTCTTCTATAGAAAAGTTTGAGTTCTATAAAGAAAATCCATATTATGACTTAGAAGTTACGAATGTCTCGAGTAATTCTAAAAAAAATTCAGATGAATCATGTAACGAGAACGAGTTTAAAAAAGGTACATTTAATGTAAATAATTTAGATACAGAATTATTATATCCATCCAACAATAAAGAAGATATTTCATTGGATTCAAGTTCTAGGTTGGATGATATTTTATATAAAGAGTGCAGTATCAGATATTCGGACATTCAGAATACAACTTTACCAGAGGAAAATATAACAGGAAAACTTCCTGGAACATTTCCAGTAGATTCTGATAGCCGAATAGTGAACCAAGAAATTTATTACACATTTAATGATAAAGAGAAAAGTATAAAAGATGATGTACGTTTATATTTTTTTATCACATTATTAAATAATTCTAGAAAACTAATAAAAAAACAGAAAATGCACATTTTGATCCATTTTCATCTAAAAATAGCAATGATATTGTACCTAAGAAAAATAAGGCTGATTTTGATGAGGCATTTTCAAATTTTATTGCAGAATCAGATGACTTTTCTAAAAATGACAACTTTGCATCGAAGTTTCCACCTATTGAAGATTTTCATAATTTATCTGAATCTAATGACATTAATAATTACAATAATGATTTAATTGGTAATTCATTCTAATTTTTTCTTCTAAAAATTCATAAAATACATTAGCTCATAATAAAAATAAGGACCCTGTCATTAATTTATCAACATTTAATGCTGATTATAATGTTTCTTATAATACAGAAACATCCACGACAGATGGAAAGAATATAATGAACTCTAATACAGTGCAATTATTAATTAATAATTTTAAAGAAACGCAATCTAAAGAATCTTTATCAAGTTTACACAAATTTGATTCAAATAATATTGAAATTTCAGATGTTACATTACAACTAGATAATATACCAGAAAAATATGAAGATAAACGGTTTCATGATCTTATTGCAACAAAAGAAGTTAATAGTTTCAAATCCGATCTTTCTACTCAAGACATCAAATTTAATACTTTTTTCACCCAGCCTTTTTCTGAAGAACCTAAACATGATTGGGTAGCTATTAATTGTACAACGGATTCTCCGTTATTAAATGGTCAAGATATATCTATTAATCCTGATCCTACTTCTACAAAATAAAAATTCAACTTATTTTACATAATAATTATAAAACAATTAAATATAAATTCAATTACACTAATCTTTTCAAAATACGTTTAGGTTTTCTTTATTTCTTATTAAGAATTTTTATATCTTTCATATATACATCATCTTTATATATATATATATTAGTACATAATTTGAAATATAATACTTTTTTATATTTTGCTAATTATATAAAATAAAGAATATCTTTAATGTAAAGTCTTTCTTCACTTGTTATATATTTTCTTTTTCATTTTTCCATGACATTCTATCGTTTATCATACTGATCGACGTTTTTAAAATGTCTAAGGAAAAAAGCTTCCACGAGATTCCATGAAAGAAAGATATAAGATCGAGACGTATGCGGAGGTAGAGAAGGTATTAAATTGATAAGCGATTGAAGTATTTATTATAACAAGGGATGGCATTTGAGAAAGCAAGTGAGTAGAAAGTATAGAAAAATAGAAAAAAAACTAATATGTATAATTTGTTTAGTTGGTATTGATTTAGGCACTACATTTTCTTGTGTAGGAGTCTGGCAGAATGATCGAGTTGAAATTATTGCAAATGATCAAGGGAATCGAACTACACCCTCATATGTAGCATTTTCAGATACAGAGCGGCTGATTGGGGATTCTGCAAAGAATCAAGTTGCTATGAATCCATCGAACACAGTTTTTGATGCAAAACGTCTAATTGGCCGTAAATTTGGGGAACCAGAGGTTCAGGCGGATATGAAGCATTGGCCGTTTAAAGTAATTGATAGAGGTGGAAAACCATATATCCAGGTGGAATTTAAAGGGGAATCCAAAACATTTACCCCGGAAGAAATTTCATCAATGGTCCTTATAAAGATGAAAGAGGTAGCAGAATCATATCTTGGAAAAACAATAACGAATGCGGTCATTACTGTTCCTGCTTATTTTAATGATTCTCAACGACAGGCTACAAAGGATGCTGGTTTGATTGCTGGATTGAATGTTCTTCGGATTATCAATGAGCCTACCGCAGCTGCTATTGCATATGGGTTGGATAAGAAAACGGAAGGGGAAAGAAACGTACTTATTTTTGATCTTGGAGGAGGCACTTTTGATGTATCCTTATTGACAATTGAAGAGGGCATTTTTGAAGTCAAAGCAACAGCTGGCGATACTCATTTAGGAGGTGAAGATTTCGATAATCGTCTTGTAAATCACTTTGTTCAGGAATTTAAACGTAAACATAAAAAAGATATTTCTGGAAATCCACGTGCGCTTCGACGGCTTAGAACTGCATGTGAGCGTGCCAAACGATCTCTTTCTTCATCAACACAAACAAGTATTGAAATTGATTCTCTATATGAGGGTATTGATTTATATACTTCCATCACTCGTGCTCGATTCGAAGAACTTTGTCAAGATCTTTTCCGAGGAACCATGGAACCAGTTGAAAAGGTTCTTCGAGACGCTAAAATTGATAAGTCAAGTGTTCATGAAATTGTTTTAGTTGGTGGTTCTACACGTATCCCTCGTATTCAAAAATTAGTTTCAGATTTCTTTAATGGGAAAGAGCCTAACAAATCAATCAATCCTGATGAAGCAGTTGCTTATGGTGCTGCTGTTCAAGCAGCTATTCTTTCTGGAGATACTTCAGAAAAAACGCAAGATTTGCTTTTACTTGATGTGGCTCCTCTTTCAATGGGTATCGAAACTGCAGGTGGTGTGATGACTCCACTTATAAAACGAAATACAACTGTTCCCACTAAGAAATCCGAAGTTTTCTCTACTTATTCAGACAATCAACCCGGTGTATTGATTCAAGTATTTGAAGGAGAACGCCCACGTACACGTGATTGCCATCTACTTGGTTGCTTCGATTTGACAGGTATTCCGCCTGCACCTCGTGGTGTTCCTCAGATTGAGGTTACCTTCGATGTGGACGCAAATTCAATTCTTAATGTTTCTGCTGTCGAAAAAGGGACCGGCAAAACGAATAAGATTGAAATTAAAAATGAAAAAGGACGTTTAACCAAGGAAGAAATAGAACGCATGATTCAGGAAGCAGAGAAATACAAGGCAGAAGATGAAGAAGAAGCACAACGTGTTTCTGCTAAAAATGGATTGGAATCTTATGCCTATAGTTTGAAAAATACTTTATCGGATAGCAAAGTGGGTGATAAGATTGGCGAAGCAGAAAAAACAAAGCTTGAGAAAGCAGTAGCCGATGTGACTTCATGGTTAGAAACAAATCAAACCGCTACTAAAGATGAATATTCTTCTAGACAAAAAGAGCTCGAGGCCATTGCTGGACCTATTATGATGAAATTCTATCAATCAGGTGATGGTGTTCCAGGAATGGGAGGAGCATATGGTCAGCCAGGTGGTTTCCCTGGAGCAACTGATGATCATGGGCCATCTGTAGAGGAAGTAGATTAAGAATAATAACATCAATGCTGTGATTTTTTTGAAATGTATCTAGTTATTTAAGAATGATTTATGTTGCATTTTATATATTAAAAGTAAAATAACTTGAAGACATTCTATGTATTCATATTGATTTTTTTTTTATTTGCCAGCAAATAAGTTTATAAAGCAAAGGAGCAATTCCAAACCATGCAATAAATCCAACAATTGAAGCGTAGGCCAGAGTCCATCTTAAGGTGTAAGGTAAACCTAATATAACTTGATCAAGGACTATTAGAAATGGTTAATTAAAAGAAGAATAAAGTAAAAAAATACATAAATGAAAAGATAAAGGATGAGATGCCATAACGGTTGGATAAAGAGAAAAATAATCAGGAATTAAACGTACACGTAAATAAAAATTTAATGATGAATTAATAGAGTAAATAATTGAATTTGAAATTTGAAAAACATCAAAATAAATAAGTGCTGGTGACTAAAATATAAAAATTAAAATAAAATATTTTTTAATTTTAAAATCTACCGTTGCAGGCCATGAAAGACGAATTTCATATGTATGATTTATATGAAGAGAATGAATAAAATACCACCGTTCAATTAAAATAGCAGAATTATTAGGATAAAAACCAAGTTGAACTTGTTGTTCAAGATGTTGTTGAGGTAAAAGATTTTCGAACACAGAAACAGTGGTTTGAAGCGTAGGGAGGGATGGAGATGCCGTAAAAATAATTTTTTCAAGATTACCACGAACTTGATAATAAAATAAAAATAAAAAAAATATCATTTTTAAAATATTAATAAACGAGAGTTTTTTAAAAAAAAAGAATGAGTGAAAAGATAGAGGTGGAAAAAAGCTTTGCAAAAAGTTTTTTACATAATTTAAGTCAAAAACCTATTCGTTATAAAGATGATTATAATTTACCTCTTTCTTCTTTATCTCAAATTCCACCAGAAGTAAGTTAAATTTTTTGTTTTAACGATTTTTAATAAAAAAATAGATATATCAACAACCTATTCCGCTTCCAGAACGTCGTAAAGAAAAGCTATGTGTTGATGGAAAAGGTTATTTTTTAGCTTTTTTTTTTGGGTGAAAAATACTAAAAAATAAAGACGAAATTTATATTCATTTAAAACCCTTAAGAGGATCTAAAATTGACATAAATATTATGAGTAATAAGAATGAAACAATTCTTAATATTAAGGAAAAGATATTAAAAACTCTTGGAGTAGAATTATCTCAAATTAAATTATTAAATAAAGGAAAAGTACAATCAGATATGAAACGTATTTTTGAAATATTAGAGCCTGAGCAGAAACAATTGATGTTTCATGTTATGATTATGGAAAAGAAACCATGTGAGGGAAATAATGAATTTTCTTTAAAAGCATCTAATGAGTCAATAATTAATAAAAATTCAGAAACATTAAATTTACAATTAGACAGTTTATTTTGGGAAGATTTAAAATCGTTTTTATTAACAAAACTTGATACAAATGTATGTGATAAGGTCTATAACATTTTTAAAGATGCATATGTTTCTGAAATAAATTTATAATTTTTTATTATAAGTACAAAAAAGTATGTTAAAACCAAAATTATAGATATAAAAGATACAAATGATGTTATAGAACAAGAATGTATTTAAAAACCTCCCATACCTCCCATATTACCCATACCTCCCATACCACCCATATTACCTGGTCCTCCAGGAGGACTAGGTGGCTCGGGTGCATCTACAATTGCACATTCTGAAGTAGCCATAAGACTAGCAACGCTAAAAGCATCTACTAAGGCTGTTTTTACAACTTTCAAAGGATCGACCTAATAATTAAGTTATGAAAATTAATTTAATATGTATACTTACCACACCGGCTGAAACCATATTACAAATTTTACCTGTAACTGCATCATATCCCATCAAAAATTGATCACCATATTCCTGAGTAAGTCGATTAATAATAACAGAGCCATCTTCAACTCCGGTATTTTGTACAATAAGTCGTGTAGGTTGCTGAATAGCATTCTGAATCGTCTTTACTCCTAATTTTTCATCAAACGAATCCATTTTTTCAGCAACCACATTTAAAACAGATACAGCCTTAAGAATAGCTGTGCCACCACCAGGCAAAATGCCTTCTTCAACAGCAGCACGAGTAGCATTCAACTAAAAGGTTATTTTGCATTAACTACCATATATAATACTTACAGCGTCAACAAATCGATCCTTTTTTTCACCAACTTCGACCTCACTAGCACCACCAACACGAATGACAGCAACACCTCCGCTAAGTTTGGCAAGACGTTCCTGAAGCTTTTCTTTTTCATATTCAGATGTACTAGGATCATTAATGGCAAGTCTGATCTGTTCGCATCTTTGGGAAATCATATCCTTTTGTCCATCACCATTCAATAGAATAATATCTTCCTTTGTAATTGTAACACTTCCTGTAGAACCCAATAATTCAGGTGTAACTCGTTCCAATTTCATATCCAGCTCATCTGTAAACACCTGACCACCTGTAAGGATACCAATATCCCCTAATATAGATTTCCTGTTATCGCCAAAACCAGGTGCTTTAACAGCTGCAATTTGAAGTTGTCCGCGGAGCTTATTTAAAATACATGCAGCAAGTGCTTCCCCTTCAACATCTTCGGCTATAATAACCAAAGGTCGTCTTTGATTTACTGCAATTTCAAGAGATGGCAAAATATCTTGTAATGCTGATATTTTTTTCTCGGAAAGAAGAATCAAAGGCTTTTCAAACTCGCATTTTTGAGTCTTAACATCAGTAATAAAATAAGGAGATATATATCCCCTATCAAAACGCATGCCTTCTGTAATCTCAAGTTCATCGTCAATAGTTTTTCCCTCCTTTACTGTAATTACTCCCTCTTTGCCAACCTACATTGTTACAAATAAAATAATAATAATTAACAAGATACCTTCTCCATTGCATTAGAAATTAAGCGTCCAATATGTTTGTCTCCATTTGCTGATATCGTCGCAACTTGAGCAATTTCTTCTGATGTTGTAATATCTCGTTTATTTTTCTGCAAAAATTTTACTACTTCATCAACTGCCTTTTGAGCTCCTCGACGAAGATCCATAGGATTACAACCAGCTGCAACATTCTTAACTGACTCTGAAAGAATCGCACGAGCCAATACTGTTGCTGTCGTTGTTCCATCTCCTGCTGTTTCATTTGTTTTATTTGCTACATCTTGAACAAGACTAATAAATTCAATCAATGACTTTTTATCATATTAGCAAATTACCGTGCACCAAGATTTTCAAATTTATCTTTTAATACAATACTTTTTGCGACTGTAACCCCATCTTTTGTAATTTTGGGGCTTCCAAAACTTTGTTCAATAAGAACATTTCGTCCTTTTGGTCCTAATGTAACTGAAACAGCTATTATCCATTAATAAGAGATAGAAAATACTACAGATTCATATACAAACCTTTTGCTAAGACTTCTACTCCATTTAAAATTGATGATCGTATATCTTGTCCAAACTTTAATTCTTTTGTTGAATATAGTCGTTGCTGATTCAATCTTTGATTTCTTATAAAGAATAATAATTTCCCTCCATGAAGACCTAGCAAATATTGAAGACGACTCATTGTCCTTACCAAATAACACTAATTAATGTAATTTTTTTTAGTTTTTCAATTTTTTCGAAATCGATATTTTTTTAAGTAGCAAATCTAGCAAGTTCCATATAGACCTATATGATAAATTAAGTATAAAAAACACCTGTAAAATGAATGAAAAAATGTCTGTTTAAGAAACAGAAATATAAATAAAAGAATCTTAGCTTTTTTTTGTAGAATCAATAAATATTTTAAAAATTAAAGTCGGTTAAAAAAATAAAAAAAGAATGTATAAAGTGAAATTGAATGTATTTTTAGCTGAATGACAAATCCTGATTGAATAAAAAGCGATAAATATCAGAAGCATGATTGATATCTTGATTAAAATCAATATTGAAAGAAATACCTTGTACAGGTATAAGATGTTGAGAATAAAGAGGTTCAGTTCTAATAGGATGTTGAAAATAAGTAAGAGTAAAAATAATTTCTGGACCTAATAATGTTAAATAATATATTTAATTAAAAATTATTTTTAACTTGTGCTGGTATTAATAGAAGCGACACGTAAAATTGCCTGAATAGCAGATAAAATTGATATTTTTTCTTTAGTAGCAGTTAAAGTTGATGCGTATATAATATCTATCATTAATTATATATCATTTTAAAAATGAATTTATTTACATTGTCCATTAGGACAATTACCAGTTGCGCTACCATCAATTATGACTTGTACAGGATATTCATTTGATTTTAATGAATGAGGAGGAAATGAACATATTATGCTAGTATTTTTTTTAAGAATTCGAGACAGATCACCTTTGACAAGGCAAATTGAACGTAAAAGTGGAATCTCGTCCAATATTATAGTATTTGGTTGGTAATTTCCTATCTGATATGATGTAATAAGTTTTTTACATTTGATTTTTTGGTTGTCATCAAAAGTAACAGTAACTGGATATTCTTCTTTATCATCAATATTATAAGATGTAATTCGTTTTTTCAAAACAAACGTGGCGCCTTTCAATGCTGCATTTCTTGATAATGCTTGAATCAACTCACTTCCTCCGCCAAATGAACAATTCAATATTGCAAACTTTATAAAAACCCCTAAAGACAAGAAAAACTGTCTTATCTTTGGAAGCGCTTCTTTAACTGTGATATTAGGTAGATAAGAAAGCGCAATACCATATACAAACATGTTTGTATATAAAGTAGGCAATGAAAATGGTTCTGACGAAATAAAATCAACAAAAAGATCATCATCATGACCTATATATCATTAATTCATATAAAATATACTCATGATCATTACCCTTCAATATTTCCTGACTTTTCTCAGATGTAATATCATATATAAATTCAATAAAACGCATCACCCTACGTTTCCATATAAAATCTACGTTTTTATTGAATGCTAACATTTCTTTGGTATACAGAATCTCAGAAAATCCGTTTTCATATAATTCATCATATATTAAAGATGATTCAAAAGATTTAAAGTGAAGATATAATTGAAGATTAAAAGATATAATTAAATCAATTATTTTCGATTTACAATAAATGAGAGATGGCGTAAGACTAAAATAATACATCTTCGGCTTTTCCATAGCTTCTTCATTATTGATTATCAATTCTGAATCATAATAAACTGTATCTTTGATAATCAAATACATTTTTCCCCTATTTACTTGAATAATTACCTCTATCTAACCAAATTAAACTTTATATATAAATAATACTTAGTAATAAAAACTTGATTTAAGTTCTTTTGCCCACTTTTTTAGCTCATCCCATCTTAAACTTCCGTAATCTTTTCCATAATATGGATTAATATCTACATTAAGTACTGTATTTTTTACTGAGCATGCACTATAAATAATTTAGCATAGAAACAATATAATAATACTTACCAGACAAGAATAGACTCTGTAAGACCTGTTCCGTAGACAATATAATCATATTGCTCGTTATTTTCCATTTTTTAACGTATGTTCGAGATATTAAATATTCTATCAATATATGAAAGAAAAAATTTAAAATAAAACAAAATTAATAAGATTTAAAATTATATTTTCTAATAAATATATTAAATATATTAAAATATATTTAATATATTTAATAAATTATACTTTTGATGACCAAATTTCTTCACTATTTCTACCTTTTTTAAGCATTTCAAGTTTTTCAAGCCTTTTTTCAAGTAACATCTTTTGTTCCAATTCTTTACTTTGACTTTTTGAACGTAGACACCATAAAAAATCTCTCCACTTTGATGAACAGTCTGGACGCTGTCCATAACGATAATAATGAACAAATTGATTTTTTAATGTATAACACATAAAAAAACTATCAAAATAGTACTATCAAATATAAAATTAATCCCTATCTTTTTAAAGTAGCTTCTATTTATATAAATCTATATATATAAATAGAAACTAATAAATACCTGTAAAGAACAAGGTTCTTCAAGTTTTTCATTAAGATTTTCATTAAGATTTAAAGAATTATTGTCAAAATATTTATTATTTTCTTTGTTTATAACATTTTCATCAAACATAATGATTTCTTTTAAAGAAATTAACCAAAAATTTGAATTATTTAATCGTTCTTTTGAGAAAACTTATAATTAAGATAATATCAAAAGAAATTTCTTATTTCCAGATTTAATTAAGGGTTTTATAATCCCTAAAAATAAAGATTTTTTTTTATCTATATGTATCGCGTCTATAGATTTTTACCTGAGACGTTCAAAATCACTTCTAATATTAAAAATTTATTTTTTTTTTGAGATTTTAGAGAAAAATGGAGTATTTGAACAGTAAAATCTCATTGATAAGTCAAAGTGGTATACGGTAAGCGAAATATAGTTTTTGAGCGGGTTTAAACGGTTTATTTAAACATGAATTCTAATAAAAAATGATTATAATAGATATATTGGAATTCTTCATGATATTAACTCAAAGGATTCGACGATATCACTTAAAAATGTCCGTTCTTATGGTACAGAAGGACGCAAGGGGAATCCGAGGGAAGAAATTCCAGCATCAGACAATATTTTTGAGTATATTGTTTTTCGTGGTTCAGATGTTAAAGATCTAAAAATTGAGGAGCCAGCGCCCCCCAGATCTGTTGTGCAGATGCCTAATGATCCGGCTATACTTAGGGTACGTTTTTGAATATTGAAATGTGGATTAGAAAATGTTTTATAGTAAAAAAAGTGAGATGTAAAAAATGTATTTTTTTGAAGTAGAAAAAATACATTTATACTATAAATAATTGTTTTTTTATGATTTAGATATTATTTATTATTGAACATAAACTTATTAAAATAGATGACAGAACCTCAATTGCATCAGTCACAAGGATATTCTTTTTCAAATCAACCATATCAAAATATTTCCAAGTATTCTTCATATCAGGGATATAATACTTCACAAAATATCCAGACTGGAGCATCTCCTGCTTATTATGATAATGTTTCAGGGATTTCTGAACATTCAGTCAATTCAAATCATTCTTCTAAACAGCCTTTACATATACCATTAACACAGGTTCCGTCTTCAGTAGCTACAGATTCTAGGTTATGTTCTCTTTCTATGTCCCAAAATAAAGCGGAAATCAACACTAATAATTTATCTACTAAAATATCCAAAAATGAGCCCATAGCTTTAGCTATGCCATTGCCAGCGCGAACGAAGGCGCCTACGGCACATCAAACACCTGTTAAGCAAAATGGTGCAACAAATCTTAAAAATATATCATCACCTACTAGTCTATCTAAAGCTCAACTTTCTGTTGTTTCTACAACAAATACTGAGACCTGTCCTGAGATTCAAAATATAACAACTGAAATATCAAGATTGAGTACAGGTAGATTCTTCTTTAAGTTTATTATTGTATTTTAACAATTTAGAACGTACTGAATCACGAAGTTTTCGCTCACATAGCTCAGGCAATTATTTAATGCAACAACGTCATGGAAAACGTCGTAGTAATGGATACAGTTATCCCCAGAATGTTTCGAATATAGTTGAAGCACCAGAAGAAGAATTCAATTTTACACTTTGGAATGCAAAATTTAAGAAAGACGTTTTAAAATCTTTAAACAAGCAGGATACAGATGATCCAAATAATTCAGCTATTCCTTCTAAGGAAAATTATTATGATAGTAGGAAATCTTTCTTTGATAACATATCGTGTGAAAATAAAGAACGTATTGAAAATAAAGAAAAAGGAAACAGTCGAGCAAGACGTGATCAAGAAAGAAGCCAAAACATGGAAACTTTTGGTCAAACTCGATTACAAACAAAAAGGCAAGGTAAAGGTCGAGGAAGAGGTGGATTTTATGGGGGTTATCAAGGCCATAAGTATAAAAATAGTAATAAAAACCAGCGTATAGTAAATGGCGAATCAACACAGTAAATACAAAGATAACAAAGTCCTTTTTATAAAGTATAATATTTTAGTATTCTATCATCTTATAGAATATTACAAAAATGCAATTAGATATCTAAAGATCTATAAAATAAACGATTATAAATGATTATTAATCCTTAATCATTCGTTCTTTTGACATATATCCTTTAACTTTATGACCCTGTCTTAACATGTTCCAGTAACGTTCTGAAAGTTCTTTGCAGTTTTCGTAATGATTAACTCCTTCTATTTTATAACATTTATCAAGTTTATCTCTCACTAGTCGTAATTCCATCGCCTGAATCCAACTTTCTCGAACGGCATATAACTTAGCTGCTTGTAAAGCTACAAAATACATTAAATCGACTTCATTTTTTTATTTCTATATAGATTATTTGGTATTACCTTCTTTATCATCATAATCAATTTCATCAAAAAGAACTTGTTCATGTTTTTTCATATTTTAGCTTTAATTCTAGCTTTTTTTTTGAAAAAAAAGTAAATAGAATAATTTATAATGAAATAAAAACAGGTATATATGCTCTTGTCGTCTTTTTTTGTCTATTTCAAATATCTTTTTTACTTGTTCTATTAATCAATTTTTTTGTCGTTAAAAATGACAAAATATCTAATCTCTAAGCTTATTTATATAATTTGTCTTACAATATCAAAACTTTATATTTAAAAAGACTTATATACTTAAAATAAGGTTTTAATTTATTAATTTTATATTAAACATGATGTATTTATTATTAATCTTTTATCTAATAATAAATGCATTTTTTCAAATATTTTAAGATTTATCTGATTTCTATACAAAAAACGCTTCGCTTAAGAATTTCGATTAAGATATAGATATCTTTGCTAGAGCAATTTCGGTAGTACGTTTCAATATAAAAATATCAGTATTCTTAGCTAAATAGAATTTTCTATTATCGAGGCTCATGATTTGGAAGAGGTGAACGTCTCTCTGTACTCCAATGTTGTGTACTTTGATGATTTAAACGAGGTTCTTTCCATGAAACAGATGTAGGGTTCTGCATCTCGTGATAATGAGTCATAGATGCTACGGAAAACATATTATTATTAACGGGATAATGATTATATAATGCATTTGTTAATGCATCCATTGATCCTCTTGTATAGTTCGTTGTTAATGGATCTTTTAATGATAATCCTAAAATAAAGGACTTAGTATTAAAATCAATTAATTTAAAACAAAAATTACCTTCAATTTCACTTTCATTCAAAAAATTAATTTTCTCATAAGGCCCTCTTGTTTTTTTATTACTTGGAGATATCACCTTTGATGGCTTATTAAACGTCATTTGTTCTAAAGATTCTTGTAAATTATATGACGGCATTTTCTGTTGTTGAGATTCTTCTAATCTATATTCAAATGATTTTTGCATTTCTTCCGCCTTTTGCTCTATTTGTTCCTTCATATATTTATCTATAATCTTTTATTAACCTTTTTCTTTTAAATACCCTTCTAAATCATACACGTAATCCTTTTACTCTCTTCAATCTGTTCTTCTGAACCTTCATATAATTTTTCTACAACTTGAATTGAATTTTCATCTGCTTCATATACCATTTGCAACACCTTTTCTACTGCTCTATTATATTCAGCATCATTTGTAGGTGTATGCCGTGTTAAACTCGCATATTTTAAAAATAGAACTAATGTTCGTACTTGTTCTTTTTCCTTTTTTCTTTCTTCTACTTCATTCATTGCAATTTTCCTTGCTATTTCTATTTCTTTTTGTTTTGCCTCTTTTTCCTGAACCATTAAACATGAAAATTGTTTCCATAGTTCTTCCAATTCCTTCAACGGATATAACACTTGATCTTTGTTTTGTAATAACGCTATTTGATCTTTATTCAATTTTTCTCGCTCTGGCCCATCAAATTGTTCTTGAAGCCGTTCTAATCGTTGCTATCATAAAACGTCTTCATGTCAAATTTCTTTATACCCTTTGAAAAATACCTTTTTCTTAAGATAAGTCCGTAACCTCTTATAAAGTATATCTAAATATTCACTTCTGTCTTCTCGCTGCATCTCTATCCGAGAACATCCGTTCGTTCTTTAATATTAAACTTTTAAAGAAAATATAAAAAACAAAGACGTAGATAATTAATGATAAATACCGTCAAAAAATATATCTTTATTTTTCTCATAAAAATAAAGATATTGAAAATTTAAAATAATTAACCTGTAAAAATAAAAAAAAAAACCTTGAAAAATAAATATTTTTAATTAAAATAAAAAAACTAAACCTTGATTTTTGACCAATTTTTTAAAATTTAAAAATTTTAAACTTAAAAAATCAATTTCATATAAGAAAGTAGATTCAAAATAGAATAATAAAAACACAGATTAACCACGAAATCTATCAAGTGATAACTAAGAAAATAATATTAATTTTCTTAAAATATTTATATTATTTTTTTTAGAATTTACTTGTATTGTTTTATGAAGATGTGGTACACGTAATGTTTTTTCATTCATTTGGCGCGCTTCAAGTGTAGCTGTTCGGACTAAAGTACTTAGAAATAAAAGATAATCAAGATAAACCTATAAAGAATTAGATTATAAGAAAAAGACGAAACAAAAGATACAAGAACATCAAGATTTTTTGCAAGACGACGATGAGGTATATGTGCTTTAAGAATAGTCTTAAGTGTACGTCTTGGATAAGGCTTTGTCATTTAATTAAGATGGAAAAAAAACAATGAATATGCTTTATATATGTTGTTTATGTTTTATATTTTAGGTATGTGGGATATATGTGTATTGTATGCGCTATATATGCGCTATATATGCGTTATATATGCGTGTTATATTCACTTTTGTTCACTTTCTAATTTTAAAATGTTTTCTTTTAAACGTATTCTTTTCCTTAAAATTCGACCGCATATTTTTTAAATCGCATAAAAAATGGAGGAATCTGCCCTTTTTTCTAAACAATTTACAGGTAATTCTAGATATCTTGAGAATCTCATGATAATCAGTATAGGCAACACCTCTCTGTATTTTTTTCTGTATCAATATCGTCAAGTAAAGTGTTTTTTCCAGTCAATTAAGCTTATAATGTATTAGCCATTATATTTAACAAGGAACTTGAAATATTTATATTCAGAAGGATCAGATGAACCTAAAATAAGACGTCCGAGGTGTTGTGTTAATTCATTTTTATTTGAAAAAGAATTTGGAATGAAAGATTCAGGAGTTTGGACAGTATATATGAGTCATCTAAAAATCCGTATTTTAATGGCATTAAATGAGCAAGATTAACATATTTTAAGCTATGTGGATTGAGAAGAAGAGATCGGAAGTTCCAGAAAGGTTTTTTGCGAGATTATTTTTATATTGTTCAAATGGAAAATGTGTATATCAAAAAAATATTGAAGGAAAAAGCTCTATAGACACTATGGGCAATTTGTTGTTTCATCAGGAAGAGCCTTTTAGGGTTCCACATACGGTATTTAAAATGTCTAGGGGAGGGATCAAAATAGATCGTATTTGTAAGGGACAACTCGTTTTTGCTGTAGAAAATGAGATAGGAACAATTTCGGGCGCAATGGATGTTATGAATGGTTTTAAAAATATTGATGCAGAGCTTTCTATTGGAAAAGATTTTGAAAAGATAAAAAAAGGCTCATTTTTCTATGTAACATTCAATATTCCATATTTTAAGGCATCAAGTGATTTTGATGTACTATATTTTGATGAAAGTGGAAACGAAAGGAAAACAGGATATATATTGAGCTTGTGTTTTACAGGAAAAGTTATTCAGAATACAAAATTAGATTTAAATTCAAAAATAACTTTAAGGCCGAAACTTATTGTTAAAAATAATACACAAGATATAGAAGATAAAGTTGAAATTCGTTATATTTTCAAAGCTGAGGAAAGTGATGAAACGGTTGTAAGAATCTCTACACGTCAAGATTTTAAATGTCTATGGTGTAGAGGAAAAAATTTTCATACAAGACAACGGTTACATTTTCATTTTCTTATGAATCATGAACTCTTTTCTTTCAAACTTGAAATCAATAGTCCTAGTTTTTTGCAATTTGAGGTGAAATTAGCTAATGAATATCCTTTTAAACGAATAGGTGACCAGAAAATGGATTTCAGAGTTTTTCAATGGATTAGACATATGAAATTTAAACATAATATTGATTCTATCTTGTTGGATAATGGAGAATCTATTCTATCTCGTAATATAATGTTTGGAATGAAAGTTGAGCAAAATGAATCTGTACAAATGAATATAAAGCCTAAACCAAAAATACAATTACTTTTTCCTTTAAAAAGAAAAAATAAAAGAAAATTTGCTGCCCCTAAAATGAATAATTTGTATAAAACTATGTCAAAAAGAAAAATTATTCCCGGTGAAATATTATCTGAATCTGAAGATGATATAGATGAAACATGGTTGATCCAGAAACACGAGGATGTAAGGATTATTATGTATTTCGTCATAGCTTAATCTATTTAGATGCTGGACGATTTTATGGATATAACTATGTCAGAAAAGGCTTTTATGAAACTTTGGGATAGATTTATAATCAAAGACAGGTACACGTGTTATCATTTGGTTTTTTTCTTAGCAGGATAGGCCTATTGGACATTGTAATCTTCCTAATTCAATCATGAGATTTGTATATTCTCATAAAAATATCCTTCATTCAGAAAATCTGGTAAACGAGTTTTGGAAGCATCTTTTAAATCTTGTTCAATATAGAATTATTGATCTTTTAACTTTACGAAAATCTATGGAAGTAGTTAGAAACATCCATGATAAAACAGAAACAAATTAAATTTGAAAATAATTTATAATTTTGTATTATATTTTTGATATGATATAGCAATAATTTGGCTATTTTAATTACCATTTATCGTTGTTTTGTTATTAATAAATCTGTAAACATAAATAATCAAATATTTTCAATAATGCTCAATATTTTTTTCATGCTAGTCTTTGAATAAAATACTGTTGCTCAAAGGATTTTTTGGAAGCATTGATTCTTTTTTCTTTATAAATTTTTTTATATTTGCAGCCTGACGATCCTTATATTTGGAAGATTTTTCTCTTTTTATAAGCGATCGTATTCTTGAAGGAGATCTAGAAAGAAATAAACATGATTATGCAATGTTTTGTAAAATTCATACATAAATTCTTTATTTTCGTAAATAACTGGACCTCCAAATGAACCCTCTAAAATACAAATAGCTGTCATTACAAACCGAGGGCCAATTTCAACAAGTGACATATCTACATCTGGCTGAAAATTTTTTTTTCCTCCTTCTGTTTTTTCAACAATCTATAAAATCATTATAAAATTAGTATAAATAAATAAAATATACCTGATAATTTCGAAACCATATTTTATTATCTGCAATAGAAAATGTAACGACATGATCAATAAATGGCTTACTTCCTCGTGCACCTTTTGGAACACCAAAAATCTAGGCTTAAATTAGTCAATATCTTTTAAATATAAATATATGTTACATGAGAAAAAAGTTCCTTAATAAGTCGCATGTGTGGCTCTGCATCAAAACTAGAATCAAATGAAAGAATAGGACGGGATCCTTTCAAACAATTTCCCGTAAGATGAAGATCATCCATTGTATGTACTTTTAAATAATAAATATGTTGTTTATTTTTTTCAAATTAATATACCATTTTGTACATGAAATTTAATTGTAGGTCCATTAGGAACCTTGGCCATCCAAATATATAAATCCTGATGCTTTCTTGCTTCAAAAAATAATATATTGTTACAATTATAAAGCTCTGCCACTTCATTTAAATGGTAAAGTTTCGATTTCATATCAAATTTTGTATCTTTTTTTGAATGAGGCAACATATCTGCAAGATCTTTCATAAGATGACGTTGTCTAATCAATAAATACTTATTTAACTTTAAGGAAAAATATTATTTACCTAAAAGTTGTCCCTCGAGATGATAAAATAAGCACTTTCTGGCGAATTTTCTTAAATCCTGTTGAATCATTTAGTTTTTCAACAAATCCTTTGCAATAACCATCTTCCTTTATACCTGTGCTATGCTTTAAGAGCTCTTCTAATGGTTTTTTTTCCTTTTTTTGAGTCTGATATTTATAAACTGACATCGATCACCGCTTGAAGATTCCGCAGCCGATCTTCAAATACTTAATAAAAAAATATATAGATCACCTATTACCGTCTAGTTGTTTGTGTTGAAAATACCCCTTCATGTGTAAGATCTATATCAATTTGTGTAGGTGCACAAAATGGTGAAAAAACAACTCTAAGTGCTCGATTTTGAGTACATGTTTCTTGACATAATATTGAACGTAATAATAAGATACGAGCATGAATATTATTTGACCATACAAAGCCTAAAGAAGGCACTTTACATGAATATTCATGATGTTTCCAGCCCTGAAACCAAGCACCTTGATAATTGTAATCAAAAAGTGTCATTGTGTCTTTTTTTATTTTATCAGAAACCTGATTAATAACAATTATAGCACATTGATGTTTTTCTGCAAGTAATCTTAAATGTGCGCCTAATCGTACTAAATCTCGACTTCGATTGACAAGATCTATTAAACCTGATTTTATTGTAGGGTTAGACATTTTATCTGTTTGATAATATATATTTGATACATCATATTCTGCGCGAAAGTGAGTTGCTATATTATCCAAAACAACCAATCCAATATTATATCGTTCCATAGCTATTGGTAACTGAAATTGAAGAATATGATTTTGTTCTTCAAGATCTACGCATGTTATGCAATATACACGATTGCCTAGCTCATTAATATTAATGTTTATACTTGGATAATGTATTTTAAGCCGTTTTTCAAAACTTTTTGCCATTTCAAAGAATCGTTTTGTTGAAAGTCCTGATTCTGTTGAAATATATATTGCATTTTTCTCTAATCCACCCAATTCTTGAGGTAATTGAACTGTTAAACAAAGTTGCATACAAAACTGTGATTTTCCAGTACCACTAGTTTAAAAATATTCTTAATTTTTTTCTATTTTTTTTCAATTCTTTTACCTTTCTCCTACAATCTCTAAAACATGTCCTAAAGGTATTCCTCCTGAAAGAATCTCATCAATTATTTTATCTCCTGTAGTAAAAAACTCTATTCTATCCCAATCATATTCTTTTTTCTTAGGGATACATTCATGTATAATTTTATCAATTAATTCTTCAATCTCTGCCATTCTTATAGATGTTTTTTTGCAAATATCCAATGGATCCAATGTTAAGAGATCTAATGTTGATAATTTTGCTGTCAAAAGGACTTATTATTTCCTTTCTTATATTCCATCTTAGATACCTTTTTCAAGAGCTATATATGTTTTTTCATTACATTTAATCTTTGGACATGTTTGCCATAAATCCATCTTTAAACAGGAAAAAAGATTAACTTATTTATTTTTTATTATAATAAACAGGGGAATATTCTTTTGGTCTTTAATTCTTAAGAAATTCTTAAGAATTTTTTAACTTTTGTTAATTTTTGGTTATCAATTCTTAATATTTTTTGACGTTTAATCTAAATTAATAAAAAATTAATAAAAATTATTAAGAACGATTAAGATTTTAATAAAAAAAGTTAGAAAAGTAAAGAAATTCTTAAGAAAGTTAAAACAAGGGTTAATATAAGTTAAAAAATTCTTAATAATTGAAGGCTAAAAGTTAAGAAATTAAAACTAAATAAGAATCAATGGAGAAGATTCTCTCTCAACGACTTGAAAGACTTGGAGAACATTCACATATTAGAGGAATAGGGTTAAATGACCGTTTAGAACCTCGTCCATCTGCTGAAGGAATGGTTGGACAATATCAGGCGCGAAAAGCAGCAGGAGTCTTATTACAGATGATTAAAGAAGCTAAAATTACAGGCCGTGCAATTCTTATTTCAGGACCTCCTAGTACAGGCAAGACAGCTATTGCTATGGGTAGAAATATTAGAAATTTATGTTAAAAAGAAGAAAAAAACTAATTAAATTTTAAGGAATGGCTCAAAGTCTTGGTTCAGAGGTTCCATTTACTATGATTTCAGCATCAGAAATTTTTTCATTAGAAATGAGTAAAACAGAGGCTTTGATTCAGGCTATTCGGAGGAGTATTGGGGTTAAAATTAAAGAAGAATCTGAGATAATTGAAGGAGAAGTGGTAGAAATTCAAATAGATCGTTCAATTACAGGTGTAAGTAATTTAGCTGAATTTTTCTTGAAAAAAAAAACAAGAAAAAAAGGGAAATTAATATATTCTTTAGGGGAATAAACGTGGAAAAATGATCATGAAAACAACGGATATGGAGACTGTTTATGATTTAGGGAATAAGATGATTGATGCTTTAACAAAAGAAAAAGTTATTGCAGGAGATGTAATTTTAATCGATAAAGCATCAGGTAAAATTTCAAAATTAGGATGTTCATTTGCACGAGCAAGAGATTATGACGCTATGGGATCAGATACGAAATTTGTTCAATGTCCTGAAGGTGAGCTTCAAAAACGAAGAGAAGTGACACATACAGTATCTTTGCATGAAATTGATGTAATTAATTCCAGAACACAGGGATTCCTTGCATTATTTTCTGGAGATACAGGCGAGATTCCTTCAGAAGTTCGAGATCAAATTAATACTAAAGTCAATGAATGGAAAGAAGAAGGAAAAGCAGAAATATGTTCAGGCGTTCTTTTTATTGATGAAGTTCACATGCTTGATATAGAATGTTTTTCATTTTTAAATAGAGCTTTAGAAGACGATCTTTCACCTATTGTCATTATGGCAAGTAATCGAGGTATTGCTCGTATTAGAGGCACTAAATATAAAAGTCCTCATGGCATTCCACTTGATTTCCTTGATAGAATGTTGATTATTTCAACTTCTCAATATAGTGTGGATGAAATTAAACAAATTTTACATATAAGGTATAAAGAATAGACTATTTACGATGTCTGATTTATATTATTAGATGTCAGGAAGAAGACGTAGAAATTTCCCCTAATGCACTTAGTCTTTTAACAAAGATTGGACAAGAAACTTCTATTCGCTATAGTATCCATTTAATTGCTACAGCATATCTTATAGCACAAAAAAGAAAATCAACGCAAATAGATATTGAAGATATACAGAAAAGTTATACATTATTTTTGGATCAAGCAAGAAGCGTTCAATACTTAGAAGAATATGCTCAACAATATATATCTGAAAATGATTATATTGATAAAATAGATGATATTAAACCAATGGAAGTCTTCTAAATTCTAAATATAAAAATATCTACTATTTGTATTTTTAAATATATTCATAATTAATAATTTTTTTATACATTTCTAAAAAAAACGTGTAAAAAACTCTTAACATCTTTCAAACAAAACAATCATCCTTTCTGATCATAAAATGTTGTGCATATCATGCTGTAAATGAAAATCCAAGATCTTCCAATGTTTGAAAAACTTGATCTCCTATTTTTCGTATTTCAATTTTTTGTTCTGTAAAAAATCCTCGATCGTGCCATTCTTTTATTTGAAGTCTTTCATAAGGCCCATATATTTCATCCTTTCCTTCCCATTTATATTCATATTTTAGTTCTTCTTTTCTCGGATTTTTCCAAACTTTGCCCGTTTCTTTTTGATATTTACGAGCAATTGCTTCACGTGTTAAATCATAAATCTCATTATGTCCATATTGCATCAATTTATCCGCTAATTCTGTAATTCTTTCTATATCTCTGTATTTCTTTTGTGTTTCTTCATTTTTTAATTGTTGTAAATCCTTCTTATTTTTATTCGTCCATCGTTTTTTTTGCTCCAATCCTTCTCCCAATCTCTGTAATGCCTCCAAAATAGTTTCTCCCACTTCGAGAAGACTTAATAACGTTTCGTACATATTTTCTAATGACAATTCTTCCTTTTTTTCTAATAATAACCTGTCTTCTTCCTCTTTTTTTTCCATTGCTTTTCTTGCCCTTAAAATATCTTCTCTTCTAATCCCTTCTAACCAAATATCATGCTTTGCATTCAGATCTGGTGCATTTCTAATATAATTCCCTTCTTCATCAAATCTTCCTTCTTCAAAATCCGCTTTCATGTTAAATGCTTCAATTTTAGGCGGATTTTTTTTGCGTCCACTTGCCCCCAATTCAGAATCATAATCTTCATCATCCTCTTCATCATCTTCATCAAGAATATCTACAAATTCTCTTCTTGAGTCAAAATCTTGACCCTCAATCTCCTCTAATTCAACAAATCGGGTCTTTTTTCCTCTTTTTTCCGTATATATGCGCCCATTTTTGTATTCTTTTTCATTTCCCTCGGATTGTATGCGCTCATTTTCTTCAAAAATATCAATTTCATCCCTTTCTTCTCTAATTCTATCATCTTGAGACGAATCCGAATCATAACCTAACAAATTTCTCTTAGTAACAGTGTGGATTTCAAATTAATCTTACCTTCTGTCCAAACCCTCTTTTTATTCTGCTTTTTGGTATTTAAATCCGCTTCAAGAAGCTTGTCTTCTTCTAAATTTAAAGCAGTACCGACTCTTATATGATTCATGAAAGATCACGAGTCGAAGGGTTTAGAAAAAAATACAATAAAAAGGCAAATAAAAGAAGCAGAATGAATAAAAAAAATCTATTAAATGATATAAAGGACTAAAGTGGCCGAGAAATAAAAAAAAATAGGAGTGAAATTGTTAATTATATTGAAAGTTCAAAATAAAAAATATATGAAATGCTTTTAACAACAACCAAACGAAGTATTTTGCTGTACATTACTCCCTTGGGTGATTCTGATATGTGACTTTCCATTTATTGCATATGCAGAATCTGAACCAATACGCTTCTAAAAAAAATATAAGAAAATATAAAAAAATAAAAAGAAAAGGATTACTTTGATTTCTTGAGCCATAGTTACAAATGCTTGTTCTACATTAGTTGAAGATTTTGCAGAAGTTTCAAGAAATGGAATATTAAGTCCATTGGCAAGTTCCTTTATAATTAAAAAAGTTAATAAAAAAAAAGAAAAAACCTTTGCTTGAGAAGGATCAACCACTTTTTTATCAACCATATCAGATTTATTTCCGATTAATAATTTATTCACAGATTCGCTTGCATAACGATCAATTTCTTGAAGCCATTGTTTAACATTATTAAATGTATCTAAAACGACATGATTATTTTCCGTTTTTAAATTAATATTATTCATTATATATACCCTGATCTGTTACATCATATACAATAATAATACCATGTGCTCCTCGATAGTAGGAAGAAGTAATTGTTCGAAAACGCTCTTGTCCTGCAGTATCCCACTAAAATAAAATATAAGCTTTTTTAAATATATTTTAATAAACATACAATTTGAAGTTTTACAGTTTTTCCTTCAAGTTCGATTGTACGAATTTTCTACATTTAAATCATTAATAATATCCATTTTTATTTGAAAAAATATACAAAGTCAACTCCAATTGTTGATATATAACTTTCTGTATAAGTGTCATCTGAAAAACGCAAAAGTAGGCAGCTTTTTCCAACACCCGAATCTCCGATTAATAATAATTTAAATAAATAATCTATTCAAATTATATATTAAAGCATATTCATATAATACTTTATTTAAACAGTCCTACCATATTCTGGATTCATTCTTTAAACGTATATTTTTTTAATTTTCTTTACCGCTCATTTTCTCATTACCATGCTACTTTCTAAATTTCGGTAGGTTTTAACCCTTTAAAAAGGTTGAAAAAGTGTATTGGAAATAAAAAGATAATGCCAAATAATTTGTTTTCTATCTTTTTCTTTACATTTATTTTATTTTAAACTGATTCATTTTAAAACATCTTTATTCAAATACATATATATATATATATGAAAAAAGCGTATTTTGGAATATTAGAAAAAAGTATATAAAATATGTGAAATATCTTGATAATTTCTTTATTTTTTTCTTATAAATAATTTTTCATTATATAACATCACGTGACGCTTATAGAACGATCAAAGCAATTAAACCTGTATTTTTCTTAATTTTAATGAAGCCGTTGATTTTTCCATCACTTTTTCCCCAAGATCTTCATTCTTTATGGTATAAACCACATCATTTATTATCAGATTCAGGAAGTCAAATTGGAAAGTCTCAGCTAGATCTTGATGAGGCTGAATATGAAAATAAAGTAAGTTTTTTTTTAAAAAATTCATAAATGTATGAAAGTCATTTAGAAACTTGTTATTCGGTCATTCGGATCAACTTGGATAAGACCGGTTGGTATTCAACAAACAATTCGTGAACAAGAAGAATTGGAATCAGCAATGAATGAAGAAATGGATGAAGATGATGAAATTAATCAAGATCCTTCTTTAGGAGAGGTTGGCCATGAAGATGTAGAAGAAGCGGATTTAGATGCAGCCATTCCTGAAGTAATTAGTTCTGAACAAGGATCTGATGAGTTTGAAGATAGTTTTCAGAGTTTTCTGCAATCTCATAATCAAAGAAGACAATTAGCAGAAACAAGTATCGATATTTCTTTAAGTCCTTTTGATCCTTTGAGACAAAGGGCTTTAGAAATCGATTCTGGTCTTGATGTTCATGATGGAGATATAATGGTTTGGGATGGAAATGTTATAACATAATTGTTTTACTTTTTTAAGGATTAATAAATTCTAAATTTCAATATTCGTCTTCGGTATAAAATGAGTTTTTTTCTTTTATCCTCAAATCTATGATTTTTTTAAAAAAACGGTTATATTTTTATATTCAAAAGATTACAAAATTCTAAATGGATATAAAATCTTAAGATATATTATATTTCAACACTATTTCTTTATATTGCTTTAACAGTTTAATTTTGTTTTAGATTCTTTTTTCTTGAATTCTATATTGTATCTTATGTTTTTACTAGGATATAAAAGGCCTTAAAATTATGTTCTATATTTCAAAATTATTTCTAACATTATCTTTACGTATCTTTTTAGAATATCTTCTTTTATTAAATTTTCTTAGATTATTAATAAATATTAAATAAAAAATATTTTAATAAAAGGTTTTTCTTAAATTTATAGACTTATATATATATGTAATTTTATTATTTGATATCTGGATTTTTTTCAGATTTTCAACGTATCGATTTTGTAGTAAATTTTCAAGAAAAAAAAACCAGTTAAGAGGGAAGAAATTGGGGAGATATCCTCGGTATTTATTGAAGGAAATATGCGGGAGGTTTGTTTGAGAAGAAGAACAAAAAAAAACTGATTATTTTTAACAAAAAAAAACAGGAAAAAGATATTATTATAGATGGCTTAGATGAAATCAAAGATTCTTCAAAAAACCTTTTTCTGGAAAAAATGGACGAAGATGATAAAGAGGATTATATAGATGATATATTTCCTGATCATTATTATGATAATGGAAAAATCCCGGTTTTTAAACCAGTAAATAAACATATTATGTTAAAAAATGAAAATGGGAAATTAATAGTGGTTTAGACGATGGAACAGTTTCATTGTTTTAATAGATTTGTAAAATCTATTGATTCTTATGGTATGAAGACAGGGATTGTGAAGATTATTCCACCAAATGAATGGTAATTATGTTATGGGTTCTTAAAGGGTATAAATATTATTAGGTTGGAGAAATTGCCGAATTATACAGAAAAGATTAAGAAAATACGATTAAAAAATCCTATTGAGCAGCATATTGTTGGAAATGGTGGTTGTTTTCGACAAACAAATGTTGAGAAAAGACAGACCTTTAATTTTCCTAAATGGAGGAAATTATGTGAAAGTCCTAATCATTTGCCTCCCGCTCGTAGAGGAGAAACGAGGAAAATATCATATAATGATAATGTGTGCAAAAAAGCCAAAAATACTGAATCTATTAATAATTCGTTTGAATCAGAATCGAATCATGGAAAAGCTTTGATTAACTGTTTATCTGAAAAAAATATGAAAAAAAAGATAGAAACGGATATTTCTAATTGTGAAAATGAGTCTGTGAATATATTGCCATGTGAAGTTTTTCTTAAGAAAGAAGAAACAGAAACTAATTGTTTTTTGGAAAAAAGTCTTAATATTGATATAGAAGGGACTGAGAATACACCGGAAGCCGACTCTAATGGGTTGATTCCTAAAAAGAAAGCTAAGAAGAATGGTTTTGGAAAAAATAAAATTAATCAAACTGACGACTGTGATTTTCATGGTTTTGATTATAAAATAGCAAATCCAGAAGAATATACGATAGAAAGATGCAAAGAACTCGAACGAATTTATTGGAAGACGATTACTTATAATAATCCATTGTATGGTGCAGACATGCCTGGTAAAAATATCTATTTATTTTATTTTATTATTAATTATTTTTAATTTAGGTTCGTTATTTGATGATTCTGTTAAAGAATGGAATGTTTCTAATTTAGATAATATTTTAAACAAAATGGATATAATTTTACCGGGTGTTAATACTTCTTATCTTTATTTAGGAATGTGGAAAGCTACTTTCTCATGGCATGTAGAGGTAAATAATGGATATTATTACTATGGTTAGTTAAATTTTAGGATATGGATTTATACTCCATAAACTATTTACATTTTGGTGCTCCAAAACAATGGTATTCAATATGTCAAAAAGATGCCTCTCGATTCGAAGATATTATGAGGAGTAACTATTTATTTATCATTTAACTATTGAACTAATATGATTTATAAAGGGATTTTTCCGAATGATTATAAGTCATGTTCTCAGTTCTTAAGACATAAAACATTTAGCGTTTCTCCTTCCGTTTTAGCACAAAACAATATTGATGTGAATCGTCTTGTACAACATCAGGGTGAATTTGTAATAACATTTCCATATGGATATCATTCTGGATATAATCTCGGCTATAATTGTGCTGAAAGTGTAAATTTTGCTTCTTATAGTTGGCTTGAGATTGGAAGGAATGCTAAAAGATGCAGATGTATTCCAGATTCCGTTCATATTAATGTGGATGATGCATTAAGACGTATATCTACTAATATTGGTAGTAAAAATTTAAGTTATTTAATTTGCTTAATTTTTTAGAAGAAAAACATGAATCAAAAAAACGAAAAGTTAATAAAAAGGAATTTTCTGGATTAAAAGGATTGAAAAAAACAAAATTGTTACAACAGAAAAAAACTGGATGTGTACGTTTTTCTATATTTGTTATTTTTTTTTATAGTATTTAGTGTATTCTTTGTCCTAATGAATCTATTGGAGAACCATTAATAGTAACAAGTTGTGGAGGCTTATCTCATAGGATATGTGCATCATATATCCCAGAGACGTATGTTGTATCTGATACGGCATTGTCAAAAGATGTTGTTCATGGAATAGATATGATAGAAAAGGCACGATTTAAATTAGTAGGTCTATTTTTGATTAGATTTTGTTCTAATTTTATTTAGAGATGTATGTACTGTCGTTCTATTAAAGGTGCATGTTTTCAATGCTCTTATCCAAAATGTGTTCGATCTTATCATGCAACATGTGCTGCATCTGCTGGTGTTTTGGTAGAAACATTCCAATTGGGTTTAAATCAACAATTTTTTTTTAGTTGTAAATTTCATCGTCCAAAACGACCTAAACCTGAAAAGCTTGAAGATGACCCTCATATTCATAAGTTTGCTGCAGAAGTTACAATTGGTGATGTTATACAAGCACAATATACTAAAGGTGATATTTTTTCTGGAATAGTGAGAGAAAATCGTATAGATGAAAATATAGTTTTAATTGAGATATCATCTCGGTATTATTGTAGATTTTTATTTTAAATTTTTAATATTTTTAGTGACTTATATGAGGTTGAATATAAATGGATTTTAGCACCGCCTCTTAGAACTTTTCCTCCATCTGAATTTTTTTCATCTAATAATGATTCTATCAAAATTAATGGCGTACAATCAAATAAAGAGAATTATATACCCATAAATATCTCAACTCAAAACAATGGTGAAGATTTATTTAAAAATGTTTCTATTCAGGAAAATGATGAAAAATTATCTACGAATATTTTAACCCAAAATAATAATGAAGATTCATTGGCTACTTCATCTTATAATTTTGTAGCTTCTGCTAATTCGGATTCTGATACCCTTGCTTTAAAATGATATCCTTTGATGTTTTAGTATATTAAAAGAAAACCAAATGCTAAAAATTAATACAGTAAGGATTAATAAAAATGTATGGTAAAATCTATAGGATACAATTTAGGAGTTAAGTTTTTTTATATAAAACATTGATCTTTAAATTATATATCATTATATATATTAGACATTTAATATTTTTTGTATATAATTCACATTTAAAGAAAAAAAATGATGATATAATAGATTTTTAAAATATGTTTATAAATATTAATATCAAAATAATTCACTTTAAAATATTTTAATTTTCATTTAAATATATTTAGGGCATTTTTTGTTAGAGATTACTTTCTAAATATTAAAAATCATTTAATATTAGTAATTAATAAGATATCTTAAAAATTTCCTCTTTCAGATCATTTTTTGGTTTTATTGGCTTTTGATTTATCAAAATAAGGACATTAAATATTTTAATAAAACGGTAGAAAAGATTAGAAATACAATATAATTTTATTATTTTTCTAATACCAAAAAAAAACTAAATAAAACAAAATCTGACATACAATATTACTTAGAAAACATTTTAATAAATGCTTCTGTACTAAATGATTTGGGACGTTCAATTGGAAGGCCTAATGCACGATCCCAAATGAGCTATAAATAAATATTAGAAAAGAAGAAAAAGATTCTATGTTATAATACCTGGGAAAGTATGCCTAATGCACGAGAAATACCTAAAAAATACTGAGAAATAAAAAACAATGGGATAAAAATATACCAAAAAGTACTGTATAAAACTGTTGTTCTACCAAACCGTAATATCGTAACAAAATTCCAGAATGTGCATCAACATTAGGATATGGGTTTTTTGTTTTTCCATGCTTGAGTAAAACTTTTGGAGCAATTTCATACACTAATGAAACAAGTTTAAACATGGGATCATCTATGCTGATTAGATAAAAAATAGTGATATATATATATATATATACTTGGTAAATGTTTAAGAGCAAATTCACGCTGAGCTGTATATCGAGGATCGGTCTTTCTTAAAACAGCATGGCCTAGAATATATAAGAAAAAAAGAGTAGATATTAATGGTATATACCATATCCAGGAACAACTTTCCCTGCATTAAGAGTAGACCAGAGATATTTTTCAATATTTTCTTTTGTGAAATTGTCTCCAATTTCACTTTTCATAGCTAAAATCCAATTTAAAACTTCTTGATTAGCAAGGCCATGAAGAGGTCCAGCAAGGCCATTTAGCCCTGAACTAAGTGAAAGCATAGGAGAACTTAAAGCACTTGCTACTAGATGGGACGTATGGGCACTGACATTCCCACCTTCATGATCCGAATGAATTGTAAGATAAAGTCGAAGAAGTTCATTGAATTCTTCCTTGTCGGAATATCCGAGGATATTAGATAAATTCCAACTGTAATCTTTATCTTTATTAATAGAAGCAACTCTTCCATCCTTATATAGGTTTCTATAAATTTTCCCGGCAATTACAGGAAGTTTTGCAATAATATCCATAGAATCCTTAATATAAATTCATATTTAATTATAAAAAGAAATAACTTACATCGAAATAATGTAGCCAATAATCCTTTTTATTAATTCCTTTTGCATATGCTGCACTAAAAGAAGATACTTGTTCAAGTGCCGTAATAGCTAAAATATGTAAAAAAGATCACTTTTTAAAGGTAATAAAAACCTAGGGAAAATTGAGCCATTGGATGTAAATTAGGTGGGCAATGATCAATTAACTTTTTAAGAAATTCTGGAATATCCGAACGAGCTGCCCATTCCTCTGAAACCTCTTTTACTTGTTCTTCTGTGGGTATTTCACCCGTTAATAGTAACCAGAAAAGACCTTAGATATGAAAATGAATAACATTCTTCCTTTCTTCATTAAACGTACCTTCTGGCAATGGTTGGCTCCCTTGAGGTGCTTTTGGAAGTTTTTTCTGGCATTCCGGAATAGTCAATCCACGAAAACGTATACCCTCTTCTGAATCTAAGACTGATCCTTCCCATACTAGACACTAACTAACTTCAATACGAACTTTTGATATAAATATATATAAACCTTGATCCCACGCATTCCTCCATATACCTGATCTAATGTTACTTCGCCAAGTAATTTCTGACCGTGTTCTGATCGTAACTTTTTCACTTTTTCTTGCTCTTCTGGTATGCGTTCTAAAAGTCTTGATTTTAATGACTAAAAAATGTAAATTTATGTCTGAAAACAAAAAATTATGTTCTCGTTGGGATTTACAGTTCCAATACAGCGATAGTTTAGTAAGGTTGACCCAAAAATCTGTTATATAAGACCTCTTTTAAGACAAAAACTATTATTTACCGGTCTTGAATAATTTCTTAAAAGAATTCCTCTCATATTCTTCTTTACAATCAATTTCTATGCCTTTAAATCTTTTTTTTAAGATAAATAATCCTTAAAACTGATTTTTATTCGCTTCAATCAAATATATCTCCTTAAACTAAGATTATACCCCTAAATATATGGTTTTATCTACTTAATTCCTCTATATAACCCTTTTTTCAGACTAATATAGTCTATTAACCGCCAATCAAGCAAAAGCAAATAATCTATACTTAAAATTAATGTATTGAGTCCGGAAAAAATGCTTAAAACCTTTTTCTAGAGTACCTTCTTTAATAACGTGTTCTTCGTGCTTAATATTGGTCTGTTCTCTAAAAAACAATAGCTTTTTAGCTCTTTATAGACAATATAGGTTTTTTCGGCAGGTTGAAGCGATCGATTTGACGATCCTTGGCTATTTATATAAGCAAGCATATTATTTGAAATAAGCATTTCATTGCTCTTTTAAGTAATAAAGCCTCATTTTTATCCCAAAAAGGTATCTCTTGTTACAGACAGTTTGAGATTTGTCTTTAATAAGTTTTTATTTAACGCATATAGTCAGGTTTTATCATAGATTTATACATATATTATCTTTTATTTAAAGCATATAGCTCATTATTAAAGAATAATTTACCATTTCTATTAGCATATAATCGACTATTTTTGAAAATTATTGTATTTTTCATATAAAAATGAATCAAAAGTTAGAAACAATTGAAGCTCTTATTTGTATGGAAGTACTAGAAAAAATAAATTGTTAATATAGAAAATCAGGCAGAGCTACGGATGAGTATTTGACTCAGGAAAACTGGGAGTATATTTTGGATGTATGTGATTGTTTGAATCAAGGAGGGGATATGTACGCTATGTTTTTTGGGATGGAGAAAAATGATTAAAATATTATAGAAAAATGGCAGTATTTGTGCTTCAAAGACGGTTTTTATGTGGGAATGAGAGTATTCAATTATATTGTTTAAGCGTATGGAAAGTGCTTTATGTATGCGTAGGTTTACGAAATATATAGTTAGTTGAGGCACTTGTAAAAAATTGTGGATTATCAGTACAACGAGAGGTTTCATCAGAAGTATTTATAGAAATATTTTTAAAATATCTTGAAGACGTTGTATGTTAATGAGATATTTTTTTTTGTTTAATGAAGTAGAATGCACATTTTGTGGTTAAAGAACGAATATTATTGTTAATTCGACAGTTGGCACTTGATTTTGCGTCTAGTCCTCTTTTTGAATATGTGAGAAAGGTTTATCAACAACTTAAATTTGAATATAAATATATTCAAAAAGGTAAACAGTTTTTGTGTGATATTTAATATAGAAATAAGATATTTTTAATAGAAAACAAGAGAGATGAGCAAGGAGAGAAAGAAGAAAAAGAACTTCAATTAGCTTTAGCGCTTTCTTTGGAAAAAAATGAAGAAAATCCATATAATTATCAGAAAAAAACGAAATATAGTGAATATAATCCATTAACTTCCAAACGGGATTATTCTACAGCAATTATTTCTAGAGTAAGAGCTTTGTTTGATTTTCATGCTTCTGAACCGGGTGAATTGTCATTTCAAAGAGGAGACATTATTACTGTTTTGGAAGTAACACATAAAGATTGGTGGTATGGATCTTTGAATGGGAAAATGGGCATTTTTCCTAATAATTATGTTGAAAAACTTCAGGAGCCTACTCCTGATGAACTTAGAATGGAAATTGAAAATGAAATAAAAGTTTTATCTTATGAAGAAAATATTGAAAAATTGTTGGAAATATTAAGTAATGTCGGTTTAACTGAAAATAATAATATTATAGAAAGTGAAAAATTTCAGGTGATTTTAGAAATTTACTTTTTTATTCTTATAGTATTTTAGAATCTTTACCATTCAACTTTAACGATTCGTTCGAATCTTATAAAGCTTATCAAAAAATATGCTCAAAAAAAAGGTTTTCAAGCGGTTTTTAAAATCCATTGTCTAAATTTAGTAGACGATATTATATCTCTTAATGAAAGATTTGTTAAAGCTATGAAAGATTATGAAATTCTTATGGAAAAATCGATGACGCATTTTAGTTATACGTCTTTGCATAATCAATCTGTCCAGCAATATCATGATAAAAAACATGATGATTTTCAAAAATATCCTTCCCATTTGAATTTTCCTTGTCAAAATGAAGGTATTAGTCATTCAACAGAGTCTTATTATTCTGTTCGTCGTGATAATACATATTAAATGCTTTTTTCGAGGCATAAAAACGCATTTTCAAGAATAATATATATATATACGTTTATATAAATGTCAGTTTTATGCTTTACAAAATACTATATTCTAAAGAATAATATACTATTTTTTATTCATTCGTCTTTTGGACTTTTTATTAAAATATATTTAAAATTGTTTTTAAAAAGTTTTTAGATTTCTAACATCTTTATATATTTCTAAACATCACTTAGGGTTGCAGAAAATGTGTTTTTTTGTATATATTTAAATAAGTTGGTTTTTCAAATTGCTAATTTATATTAATGATCAATAAAAAAATTCAGATTATAGGGGAGCTCATTACTTTATTCTGGTAGAAAATGAATGAACAAATACTTAATTAGATCAAATATAATCAAAATGATTTTATAAATTACTTTTATCGATCGTGATTTTTCTTTATGGCTCAAGCTAAACCAGTAGAACTAATTTTCCTAGGAACAGGTTATTAATTTTTTAAATTTATTTTTCTATTTATATAATTTAGGGACATCAGGTTCAGTTCCATCTATTCATTGTTTAACGCAGAATCCTCCGACTTGTTCTGTTTGTATTGATGCAACCTATATTAATTCCAAAAATCGTCGACGAAATACGAGTGCAGTAATTCTTATTAAGGATTGTAATGATGATCTTAAAACTCTTGTTATCGACTGTGGAAAAACTTTTTACGGTTTGATCTATTGTGAAAAAGAGTCCTTTGTAATATTTAATAGAAGCAACACTTGAATATTTTCCTCGTTATTCTTTGAGGAAAATTGATGCTTTATTGATTACTCATGTAAATTTTTCTTTTAATGTGACCTTTTACTGATTTATAAGGCACATGCAGAGTATTTTTTATTTTAAAAAAATATCAAATAATTAATGAAAATAGTGCTATTAATGGTTTGGATGATTTAAGAGGTTAGTTTAAATGATATAAATGTTTAGAAATTGTATTTATGTTTTAGGGTGGACATTAAAAGGGTTAATTCAGGATTATATTGATATTTATCTTACTTCAGAAACGATGGACACTATATCTACTACGTATACTATTTTTAAGTTTATATTTATCATTAATATTTACAGATTTCCATATTGTGTATACCCAGAAAAAGCGACAGGTGGAGGAGATGTCCCATCTTTTCGTTTTCATATTATAGACTTTATTCATCCATTTATTGTCGAGTCTTGTGGAAATATAACTATATATCCACTTAAGGTTCAACATGGTGTCTTTCAAAATAAACAGGGAAATAAGCTTCCATTTTATATTTTAGGATACCGTATAAACAATTTATCTTATATTTCCGATGTAAGTGTTATTCCAGATGAAACTATCGATATTATTAAGGGTTGTGAGTTTTTAGTTCTGGTATTTGAATGCTTTTTTTATCATTTTATTATCCCTTAATAATTATTAATTAGGATGCATTAAAAGAACAGCCTCATTTATCTCATTTTTCTATTCCACAAGTAATTTTAACTTTTTTTTTTCTCTTTAAATTAAAACCAATAATTAGGCTTTAGATTTTCTATCCCACTTAAGTCCAAATTTACCAAAAAAAATCTTTTTTATTGGATTTGATCATTCAATTGCGCATGATGATTTAGAAAAACGACTCAGTCAAGAAATTCAGCATGGTATTCTTAAAAATACATGTATTTTACCTGCATATGATGGTATGAGAATTTCTTTGATTGATTAAAGGTATTTTTTTAAAAAAAGAATTATTTAACCTTTCTTAATTGTTGATGAACTTTAAAAATTAATTTTTATTTATAATTTCATTTAAATAATTTATCTTTATATTTCTTATCAATTATCTGATAAGATTTAAAGGTCTTGAAAAAAATTAAAAATATATGAATTTTCCAATTAAACTTCTTTTTCCGACAGCAAAAGAAAGTTATATTAGCCAAAATGATATAAACTTCTCTTCTCCTCTTTATATTCAGGTTCCATATGTTTCTGTGCTTATATCTATTGTACTTGGAAGAGAACGGCTAAGATGGATGTCTGAAAGATTGAACTTTAATGAAAAAAAGGAAAAGTCTGTGCTTATTTTATGTGGATATACAAAAGAAACTTTTTTAAAAGAGATTCTACATGTTCAGGATATACAACATTTTTCTACCAGTAATTCTGAAACATCTATATGGTCAGATGATTCTTTTTGGACAATGGATGCAACAGGTGCATGGATATCTGCATCAGAATATATTGATTTAATTTATGTTCCATCGCTTCGGGGTCTTCGCGCTATTTTATCAGTATATCATTATTCTTCTTCATTAAATAGGCTTGCTATATGGTCATTTCTAAAGATTCATGAAGCATCTGGAGAATTTTCAGCACAGGGTCTTTCTAGGACAATAGCATTAGCTATTGAAGCTTGTAGAAATGAAAATATAATTTTTTGCGATTCTATTTCCATAAAATCACTAATTCAACTTCTTAATAGTAGTACAAAGGTATCTGGGATCTCAGTTTGTTCAGCAATTAGGCAAATTACTGTTGAAACTGTTATGGAGAGATGGATTAGTGCTTTCTGGGAAATTGTTAGTTTAAATGAACAAGGAATTGGGTATGGCATTTGGAAATATCGTGGAGAGCATTGGAAAGTATGCTGGAAAGATTCAGGAAATGGAGAAATTAGCGATATTGAATACATACGGCTCGATTAATTAAAAGACATAGCAAAAAATCAAAGTGTTGTATAATTGATATTTAAAATTATAAATAATTATGAAGTGGCTGCTATTTCCATACATCGATTCATTTCGTCCATATAGAGTTCAACATGACTTTTAAGTTTCGAAAATTCATTTTGAATAGCTAATACTTCTGATTCAATATGAGAACGCAATTCTGATATTTTTTTCTCAGTAGATTCAATTATTGTTCTTTTTCTATCCATTTCATGTGCTCTTTCTGCTCGTTCGACTGTTATAATGTTATATTCTTTCCGTATTTCGGCCATTTTCTTCTGAGCAGCTTCACGTTTTGCTTCAGCAGAACGTTGAATTCTGGCAAGTTTATCTTCAGCATTTGCCAATTGTCGGTTTAATTGCTATGTTAATATTAGACTGGTAAATAATATTTCATAATAAATGCCTGATCTTTAACTTCCACTTCACGCACTTCTAATTCTTTTTGGTCTACCATTTCTTGATGTTTAGCAACCTTACGAGATGCTTCTTCTACTTTAGCAATTTCAATCTCACATTCTTCCATTAATTTTATACAATTTAATATATCCTATAAAAATAAGAATTAATCCAGATAATATATAAAAATAACTTGTTCAACAACTCCAATTGCATCAATTTTATTTTGAAGCTCTCTTGATTTTTTTTCTAATGATGCTATAGAGCTTTTTTCTGATGCTAATGATGATCCCATATCTGAAATAAGTTGTTTTAGTTTCTCTGGAGAATGTACAATTCTTGAACGAAGTTTCATACATTCTTGCTTTGTATTGACTGTAATAAATTGGTTGTTTGTCTTATAATAATTAGATTTTAAGAACAAATAAATATATAATACCAAACGCTCAGCAATTTCTGCTTTTTCCGTTTTCAAAACATCAATTTCATTTGTAAGAGCTGTTTGTATCTTTTTCAACTCTCGAAGGTCATTTGTAAGTGCAACATTGATCTCTTTTGATTTCTTAACTAATAACACTTCATCTGCTTGCTTTATTTTTAGATTTTTAAGTTTTTCTGACAAATCTTGGTTTTGAAAAACAAGATCTTGATGTCTAGAAACATACGATTCCTAAAAAATATTTGATATACTACCTTATAATGTCTTTTATACATACTGCTTTTTGTGCATGTGTTTCAAAGACCGGCATACGCTCTTCTCTAAATTTTGCAAAATTAATCACTGCTGAAAGAATTTTCTTAACACGTGCAGCTTCCGGCTTTATCAAATCACGAATAGAAAAATCATCAATACCCACTTCTGTCATTAACTTTATTCTATTCATTGTTAATACAAATTAACCAAATAATTTCCAAATAACAATTTTTGATGAAATATAATAATGCTTAGTGAATCTGTATAAATTCCCTTAAATAATTAATAAAAAATATAATCCTTTATATATATACTGAGTATTCTAACTCGTTATGACATGCACAAACAAAGTTATCATAATTCTCCCATGTAATACCCATTAGTATATCAGAAAACGCTTCATAAACAAGTTTCATTCTCTGACAAGTAGGTTTAATTAAATCTTCCTCTGAAAATGGAATTCCTAGTTCTAATAAAAATAAATTAGCCTAAATTCTTCAAAATTTCACAAAAAAAAAGCATAAAAAAAGAACCTGTCATGCATTGAAGTATTTCCGGAGGTTTTAGAGTAGGAAATATGTAATTACTAGTCATTTTACTGCTTTTTTTATGATATTTTTTATTTCTTAAAAATATGTTTGTTTACCATACCCTCGTGTTACTAAGGCAACCATTCACGTGATCTGTTGTCGTGGAAACGTATCAAATGACATATGGTAACGACTTAAAAATATAAATATAAATTTTTTCATAAAAAATACTTAAATATTAATCTTTTTAATAGATTTTTATTGATATTTATATCTTTATGTGCTTTAAGAGAATTTAGAAACATCTTTTTCCTATATATTTTGATATTTTAATTATCCGATCGATCTAACAACCTCTATATTTTAATATTTAAATTTGACCTTTAAGTAATGAGTGTTTAATGGAAAAAAAGATATAAAGCGTCAGTTATTTTCTGTTTTTCTTATTAGAAATTAAAAAGGATTTTTTGTTTTATTTGGATTCCAAAAAAAACGGTGAAAAAAGAAGAATTTTTGATAAATTTATGGTAAAAAAGAGTCAAAAAGATGTCTCAAATAGGGATTATTACCAATGGAAATAATAAGAAAGAGATGGTTTCATTGGATGGGGGTTCTTTTTCTGAAAAAATGTTGGAATTAGACCATGAAAATGAGATAAATTATAAACAAAATATGACGAAAAAAGTGGGGATTTTTAAAGAATATTTAATAGAAAATAATTGAAATTAACTAGTTTTCTAAGGGGGTATATTGTAGTAATTGTGGTGTGTCATATACTCCATTATGGAGACGAACATCTAAAGGACAATATGTTTGTAATGCTTGTGGACTTTATTCAAAAGCAAAGAATATGTCGAGGCCTGTTCGTTTAAAAAGAGTGATGGTTTCATCGGTATCTCATCGTATTCGGAGAAAAGCGGCTATTTTATTAAAAGTGAATGGTGAAACATGTGCAGGTAATGGTCAATGTAATGGTACGGGTGGTGCACAAGGATGTGATGGATGTCCAGTGCTTAACAATAAAGTGTCTAAAACGACGAAATTTATTTCGGAGCTAGAAAATAGAGGACAAGAGTCAGATAGCAATTTTAATTTATCGATGGATAATTATGGTATTCACGCAGTTACATGTCAGAATTGTGGAACAACTACGACTCCTTTATGGAGAAGAGATGATTCTGGAAATACTATTTGTAATGCATGTGGTAAGTTTGTATATAAAATTATTTATTTTTAATTGTTTAGGGCTTTACTATAAACTTCATTCTGTTCATAGGCCTATAAGTATGAAAAAGAATTCAATAAAAAGACGGAAAAGAATTCATGTGCAAAACAAGAATGAAACTGTGGATAGTAATATTGAAAATGCTACATCATCGCTTCTAGAACTAAGTAATAGGTCACTTGTAGCCTTATCTCATGTCTCTTCAGAAGTGACAAGGCCTTTGTTGAAAACACTTTCAGATAAAACTGGAAAAGATGAAGATAGAGCTAAATTGAATGATCAAAATTTTCAGGCTGGCTCTTCTTTTGATTCCACATTATATTTAAAAAATGCAGTAAATTCTAATGAGAATTATAAAGATAATAGTATTTTTTCAAAAGAATCTACAAATCTAGTAACGAAATGTCATGATGATCAATATATGTCTCTTTTGAATTCCGAATATTCAAAATCATTAGATCCTACAATGTCATCTCAAACATGTCCTAACCCTAATAAAAATACATATAGAGTACCGGATATACAATCCATGCTTAATTCTGCGCCTGGGAACTCTGGTAATGTGTCATTCAAGGTTCATACGAATATGGCATCTATAATAGAATTATTAACTTTAGAACATCCATCTGGAGTAGAAATTTTGATTGTTCCAGAAAATGTTGAAAAAGATACATCATTGTATAAAAAATACATAGAAAATGTCAAGGAGGACGTTAAAATTCATGCGGAAAGACTAAAATTAATGTTTTCAAATGCTCAGAGAATTATAGAGGAATGTGACAAAAAATTATCTTCTAGATAGATGTTTTGAAGGATTTGTATTTTATATGAAATTTTATGAAGGAAATATGACTGAATATATATTTCAAATTAATGTTTACATAATGGCTATAGATAGTATATTTTGGTAGCCTTTATCTCATTGTAAATCATTTTATAACTCCAAAATTGACTTGGATTTAATTTTTTTTCCAATTCTTTCAGCTGCTCTATATATAAAATGAGATCCCATGATTTCAAATACCATTAAATGTTTTTCATCAATCTCTTCATATGAATCCTGTTTTTCATTTATATAGTTAAGAATCTGTTCTATTTCAATACTAAATACTGAGTTTTCTTTTGGGATAACTGTAAATATTATAAATTATTTAATGTTAATATAAATATACCTTTTTGTTGGTTTTTTTCTGTAATTAAAACGAATGTTTTTTTTGTTTCTTTAATACATATTCCTTCAATACCTACTCTTGAAGGGCATCTTGACCGAACAACTTTCAGTTTACTTCCATGCATATCTGCTTTTAAAAGTTTTTGTGATATAATTGATATTGAACTAGAACCAATAATTTCTTTGATATATTCCTTCCAAAGATTATGTAAAGGTATCCAAATATTGTATCTATACTACTTTAAGTAGATGTTTTTGAATATTTTATGTATATATTATTACTTGCAAGCATCTTTCGAAATATTATAGATTCCTGTAGCCTTTTTTTCTCTAGAACTAAGAGGTCTTGGTTTTTTTTTACGGCCTTTATGATGTAATTTTGATAAATAATTAAGTCGTTTAAGATTTCTAGGGTCACTGCCTTGTTCATTATTTTTATATCTATCTGTTGGATGTATTAATAAAGGTTTATTTTTAACTTTATTTATATATAAAGATTCGGCTATTTCATCCGGTAATCCTTTTTTTAATAAGCTTAATGTAAGATCTTCTTCATATTCATGTTTTTCACTTGATATTACTGAAGAAAATGTGTCTTTTTGTGAGGAAATAGATTGATAAAGAGGATCCATTATGATTTTTCAAATATCATGTTATATATACTAAATATTTTGCTTTTATGAAGAAAAACAAGTTAAGATCTGCAGAAAAAATAGAAATTCTTGTATAAAAATGTTTGTCTGTATAAAAGAATAAATTGTATGAAATATCTTTAAATTTGATAAAAAAATATATAAATTCAGATATTTTGGTGCCGAATGATTCCTTGATATTAATTGTATGAAAAATCTTGTTTTTGATGTTTTTTATATATTTATATATAGAAAAAATAATTACTGATATAAAAATTTGAAAAACTGCAGTTTAACCATTTTTAAGAATAATTTTAATGAAATTTTTAATAAAATTTTTAAATTAATGCTTATTAATAATGAATAAAATGAATAAAAATGTTGTATCTTATTATTTTTAATATTTATATAAATTTTTGAATATTATAAAATATGAATGAAAATATGTATATTAATAAATTAAAAATAAATGTGTAGAAAAATATAGAATAATTCGATTATTTATATAAATTTATAATAATTTTATATTTTCTTAAGTTTTAGAATATGATTTATTTTTTATTGAAATTTATATAGAATGCTTTAAAAAAAAGAAATATATAATAGAATTTTTAAGTATTTTAGTATTAAATATTTTTTCTTTTTTATTTTATTATATATTTGATTTAGTCATTAATTTTTTATAATATTTAATGATGGAGCAAACATTGGTGGATTAAATATAATTTTAAAAATAATTAAAATGGATATCATCTTTTTTCAATTGTACTATTGTTAAATTCTTATTAAAATTTTCATAAAAAGTTTTATTTTGTAAATATTCATTATGTAGAATTATTTCTTTTTGAGTTAAATTACTTTTATTTTAATGTTGATAATTTAAAATCTTAAGAATTATTATGTAGATAGATAAAAGTTTTTAGTTTTCAATGTAATAGCATTTTTCTATGATCTCTTCAAATGATTTTATCTGTTAATAAAAGAATTAGTTGGTGCTGTAGTTTTAGAAATATTATTAGGATTAATATTCTCTAAAAACATTTAATTGCTGCTAAATATTTTTGAGATCAAGAGATATCTTAAACACTATATTATCATACATAAATCAAATTATACTAATGCTATATTATTTGATTATTAACACACTGTGTTGAACTTATTTTAAAATTACTAGGTACTATTAGAAAATCATCTTTTTTTTCTATATTATCACAAGTTTTAATATATTTTTTATTAGAATTTGAAAAATATGCTTTTCCGTATTCCTGGTAGATATTTGAATCTGAAACGTTATGTAAATCATTGGACTTTGAATGTAATAACATACCAGTCATATTTGAGGATTTAGTTTGTGGAATGGTTGTACCAACAGACAATTCAGAAGTTGTATTTTTTCGAAGAACTTTTTTAGATGTTTTTTTTTGAACACAATTTAAAGATAACGAATTTTTTAATGGTAATGGAGCAATGTCTTTATTATTGACATTACTAAAAGCTGAAGTGTATGTATCTGGTAAAATAAATAGTTCGTCATAAAGAGAGTTAGTAAATGATGATGATGTGGTCTCTGATTGATTAGAATTTCTAAAAAAAGTAGATGGCATATTATTTGTAGTTAATGTAGATGCAGAGTTATTTTTTGCAAATTCATAAAATACTTGAGAAAAATTTTGTGTCATAAATTTCAAAATAGGAATCAAAACAGACACATCATTCTTTGGCACAATACCTTCCGAAACTATTGACAATAAAACTTTCAAAACTTCTCCATGAGTTTTATTTAAAATACTGTTTATGTAAGAATTAAGTATTTAATAAAATGTTAGCATACTGCAAAGTAAGATATATGACTAAATATAAAATTACATAGTTTCCTTGTGGTAAAACTAGCGTGATATCATGAATTTTAGATATCTTTTCATCAATAGAATCGGGCTCGCCTATTATTATTAGAAAAATTATCATAACAAAAAGATAGTAGTATACCAATTATATTTAAGCAGGATTTTATAAACTCTTGGGGTAAAATTGGCCCAATTTTCTTATTAACATGTGTTTTCATATAATGTTTAAATGCAGCATACCCAATCTTTAAAGGAGAACCCAAAATTGCATAATTCTTTTCGGGATTTTTTGCTATTAATAAATAAGAATTATTAATATTACATTTTCATGCATAATACCGATTTCATTTGAGAGCTCAATAGCATTTTTGAGTTCCGAATTTGAATAGGTTAGTGTAGAAATAGAATCAAAATCTTTTACAGATTAGATTAATCATGACAATTCTTTATAAAAACCTTCAATAGAACAAAGTGTATGAACAAATGTTTCAGCGCCATGAAATATATGTCTATCTTTAATTATTTCTAAAGAAGAGGAGCCATTGTTTTTAAATTTTGATATGCAATTTTCACTATTTAACTTTGTTAAGCTAAATGACAAAAATGATTTTTTTATAAAAGTTTTGGGTAAAGAATTACTATGTGAAAGTGATGCCGCTAAATCTCTAGGTGGCAATTGGCTATTTTCTAAAATCGAACTTGTATGATTATTAGAAGAGTTAAAATATGTGATTGATGGAAAAATTGTTTTGGTTGAACTTGACGTTGAATTCAATTTAAAAAGACATGACAAGAGAAATCTATATTTTGATATGAAAAATGGAACATTTTTAGGGGAATCCCAAGATTTTAAAAAATTATGAAATAAAATTGCTAAAAATTATTAAAAATTAAAGCATAATAATATAAATAACTAACCTTTTTGGAATATATTTTCTAAAAGCATATCTAGATATTGAAATTTTTGGGGAGATAATTTCCAAGATAATGGTGAGTGAAAATCTAATCTAAACCCATATAAAAACACTTATTTTTATAAAGGAATATACCTATAGATTCCCGATGATTCTTCGATTAAAAATAATCCAGAAATGTTTATTTTTGGAAACTTTCTTTCGAAAGCATTAATTAAACTTTGCTGAACATACTGAATAGCAATTTCTGACTTTATATTTGTTAAATAGCAATCTAATAAAACATATATATTTTACTTTTTTACGTTCTTTTTTATATTCAGATGCCTCAAAAACATTACATATAATGTTAATATTGCTTTTTTCAATTTCTGCAATAAAGTTTTTCGAGGTTTTATTTTTGGCTTTTGTTCTGTAGAATTTTTCAACAAACCCTATTACACAATGTTTTGATTCAGACATTATAGACATTTTATGTTCAGAGAAGCTTCCCCATAGTTCTTTATCTGTACAGGAATTAACAGGAGCTTGTACTGTTATCCACATATTTGTATCATCATTTTCATCAATGTCTATTTCAAGATCATCTAAATTAGCCCAGCATTGAAATAATATATCTTTTCTGGAAACCGAAGTTGTAAATCCAAATGAATTCTGTCTTGATCGAAATCTATGAAATGATGAATTATCTTCATTAGAAATAAGATCTTTCGCGACAGGGATATGTGATGTTTTCTTTAACATCGCTAGACAATCTGAAAACAATAATAAAGTATAAAATAATCTTCCCGATGAATTTAAAAAGGGTGGTAAAATCTCTATAACATCTACAGCAGTAATAAAATAACGTGAATTTGATATAAGTTCTGCTGGAAACCCAGAAATATAACTCATTAATTTCTGAAATAATTTGGATCTTTTTTCTGCCTCCATAACTTTCATTTGTGCTATTTCTTTGATAATAGTTAAGGCCTTTTGAAAAAGTGCTAATGCGGGACTCTTTGGATGTGTATATGAAATGACATCTAAAAATATAAACATTGTTTTAAAAAAAAGCATTAATAGAATACTAACTTTCCAGAAATAAAGAATAACGAGGAATCCGTTGCACGGGTTCCATTATAAGTTCCCGAATACTGATGTTTTTCTCTGCTTTATATTTTTGATTCTAAAGTAATTTTATAATTATATAAAATCAATGTATAGTATTCTTACATCCACAAAATTCCTAAATTTAGGATTACGTAAATTATGCCTCAGAAGAGATTCAAAGTCTACACTTAATTCTAAATATTTGGCATATGTTTTTTTAAATCGATAAAACTTATAAAATTAGTTAGAATTACTTGATATGAATAAATTGTACATGTGTAACGAATGAATTTGCCTTTTCAATTTCCGTTTTCGCCTGTATGAAATCCTGAAGAAAGGCTGAATTTAATGATATAATATCATTAAGAGATACTGGGAATATCCTATTGATATCATATAATCCTAAAGGAGGATTTTTTGACGATTTTGCTTGAGTTCTAAGTGGCAAAACGTAATCAAGTACTAAATGACGTAGTCTTTCAATATAATTTTGTTCTGTTTGAAGGATTTCATTAAGAATGCTTAAACGTTTTTTATCGTGTTCCTATAAACCATCAGGATAATATAAAATAACATGAAAACTGTCACCTTATAATTATCTGTCATAGGCCCTGGAACAATCTTTTTGTTTTCAAATGGCAATTCCCCTGATTTCTCCTCATTACTAGTCATTTCCTGAAGTTTAGAAAATAATGGTGTAGCTTTAAAAATATGTTAGATAATAAATATTTTTCAGCTTAAAAACATTTCTCACATTTCGAATTGTCTGGAAGAATAATATCTATATTAAAAGATACGATTTTCCTCCTTTTCAATATAGAACATAAAATAGATGATATATCTGAAAGTTTTAAAAGTTTACAATGTCCCGCAATATCACCTGCATGCATTTCATCAAAAGCAATTCTTCTTTCTTGATCTTCATTGCTTCTTAAATAATTGTATTGTCTTAAAACCTCTTTTTTAATATGTAATGGTATAAAAATAAAATATTGAAGAATAACCATTGCAATCACTTGAAAAGATTGGCTTCTAGACGTATGAGGAAGATGAGATATAACAATACTAAGTGCTTCTTGATTTTTAGGGCTTATTAAAGGAAGCGAAAGAGGCCCACAGCATGTAAATACATGAGCATGAATCATATTAAATTTATCAACTGCTACTGAAATAAGAACTAGTCCAACCACTGGATCATCTGTTATATAGTGTATCTGATCTAAAATAATAAATTATTAGGAACAATTAACCTATTTAAATCATACTTTTTTTAAAAAATGAGTCTACATCTAACATATCTTCATATGTCATATTTCGCCAAAAAATGGTCGAATCTCCTCCCGAAAAATCATACATTATATTCTCATTCTCTCTAATTAATGTTTTCTCGTCGTTTTCCCTTGTTTCTTTTGAATTATTCTTCATTTTTTCCCTGTTTTTATATTTTATTGATATCACAATTTTTCTAAAAAATTACTTGTTTATTTTGTTTTAAGAAAAAAAAGTTTTAGACATATAATTCCTCTTAATTTCTCTATTTAGACTTTAAATTCATATGTTAATTCTCTTAAAACATAGGCGATATTTATCTGCTGGTCCATTTGTTTGTATTGGAGAGTCTCAGGTGACATCTCCGATGCCATTTGTATAATTAGATAAGCTCTAAAAAATTGAAAATGTTAAATAATGAATAAAATCCGTTAAAAACTAATAAAATATATGAAATATAGTATCTATATTTAAGTAGTTGTCTATAACCTTTTTTTTCTGGTTAAAAATCTGATAAAATGGTCAAGAAAGCCATGTCAGAAGAAAATATTGAATTGAGATATCTTAAAGAAGAAGATGAGGATATATCTGATAAAATAATGCTTATGGAAATACCTGAAGATATCTATGAGTTTTTGATGGCGAAAAAAACGGGATAGTAGGGAGAATTTTTGTCTAAAAAGAAATGATTTAATATTTATTTTTTTCTGAATAGTTTAACGCTTAAATCAGGTTATGATCGCAATAATACTGTTCTCTGTACATCCTCAAAGACATATCTTCTGCGTAATGTTACTCAGACTAATTCTTTGCTTCTTTTTCAGAAAGAAAATGATGGGTTTTCTCTATTAAAAGATGCAAAATCTTATCTGGAGATTGTATCGACACCTGTTCGCATTAATCTTAATCATTTAGCATATGTGTATGATGGATATAACTTAGATGTCCCAGATGTTTTTTTTTTTGGTTTATAAAGGTATATATTGATTTTGTATATAGAGTACGCAACTTTATACACATTTTCAAGTCAAAAGAAGAATCCCTGCTAGCGATGAAGAAATTGAGAATGCATTTGTTCATTCTATGTGTTTATTTATTAATGGTATGATATTCAGAATGTTAATTATGTAGTTATTGAGTTTGATATATCTGATTGTTTTTAAGGGTATTTGAGGCAACTAAGTTTTGATTATGCATTTCATATACTTCAATTGATTTTGGCATATGTGCAAGAAGAAGATATTCCTTTAGATGCTTTAAAATTTGATTCGCTTATGTTAAACATTGGTTCAGATGAACGAGAGGATGTTGTGGAGTTAGTTTTGCGTCGATTTTCTAAAAGCAAAACAGAACGTAATTCTCATATGGCCTATCAAAAATATTGATATTGTATAGCATATGCCATTGATGGTCGTTCTATTGCTCAATGGATTGGTATTCATTTGTTATCTAGACATAAAGTATATTTTCATTAATTGATGATCATTATGGGCTAAATATTGATAAGAGTGCTCCTATTTCTTCTGAAAAATTCATTGAAAAGTGGAAATCTACTATTCCAGAACCTTTTGCTGTTCATGTAGAGTTGTCATTATTAGAAGTATGTTTTAATTGATATTTGCATATCTTTCAGCAAATTATGTAACTAGGAGTGTTATGTTAATATTTTTAGGGTCAGTATCTTGTAATAGAACCATCTACGATTCAATATTTTCCTGAAGATACATTGCCTATGGATCCTGCTATGCGATTTCGAGAATTATTTCTGATTCGGCCTAAATGGAATTTATCTGACATTCTACCTTACATACGTGGGCTTGCAACAGATGAAACAAAAGTAGATGCACTACTTCGAAAATTTACAAGAAAGCAGACTTTAAGTCAACAGACAATTGTAACTACAAGAAACACATGGAGATAATAAAATGTGTATAGAATTTTGAAAAAATATATAATAATTCTATTTCAAAACCCATGCATAATACAATTAATATTTAAAAAAAATGTCTAAAAATTTTGTTTAAAATCTTGATTTGATAAATTACTAATTAATCCGTGTACTCCATCATATGTTCCAAGAAAAAGTGCACCTCCCATACTTATCCATGTAATTCTAAATATAATCCCTTTAAATAATGCACGTATGCCTTCTTCTTTAACTATACGAGTAGCACAATTAATCCAATTAGGTTTCTATATATATAAGTAAAAATAAAAATATTTGTTATAGATCAATACTGTTTGGCTGAGAATAGTTCTTGTCTTAACTACATCTAATGGTGTAGTTAGCGCAGCTGCTATGCTGCTAGCAATTGAACCGCTTATGGCTGATTGAAGAGTACTAGAAAGTGTTGTCTCTCCTAAAAATGGAATAGATATATTTGATAATATTTTTATATTAGAATTTTCTGACATTTTTTGCTTAAGAATCTCCCATAAAGGAAATTGAAGAACTGAAAAAGGTATATCTCTTATAATTGTACTTACAAATCCACAATATAGCCCTCCATATCTTTGATTCTTCTTTCCAGGAAAAATATCTACAAAAGCTTCCCATGATGAGCTATATTGACCTGCTTGTGTACGTTGCTTAATTACTTCGCTAGGCATACGTACAATACAAGCTGCTAATTCACTTAAACATGCAGCAAATGAACAACTTAAAATCATAGACCTTCTATCCATTAAGTCACTCATTTTTGATTCATTTTTATTTAGTAATACATCTTTTTCAATATTCCATGTTTTATTTATTATCTTTTTATATTCATCTTCAATCAAAATACTTCTTGTTGTTTCATAAATTGTAAAAAAAACAAATGCTATTTCAAAAAATTAGTTTTCAGTTTATTTATTTGATACTTATAGTATATAGATTTGTATTTTAAATCTATTTTAATACATTTTTTTTACCTACATGATGGTATACTCCCCATGATCATTCCTCCAAGACCACTATAAATATTTCTTTTCATTCCCTGTTTAAAAACCTTATATTCATTTTTATTCATATTCTTTTTTTCTTCCTGGGTCCATGTTTTCATTGTATCCAAAGGAAATAGTATAATATCAACCATAAATCCAGCAATTATACTTGCCTTAAGATTTTTTAATAAGAGTTTTTATTTTTAAAGGGAAATATATAAAAAAAATAGACTTACAAGTGCTGTTTCTAAGAATGGTTTCATATTTTTTTAACTTTTCTTAAGATCTAATTTAATAAAATTTATCAATTGATAAGATTAGATTAAAAAATTAGTAAAAAAATTAGTGAAAAATAGTAAAAAGTTAAGAATGTTAAAAATATTATTAAAATGTCGTTAAGATGTTATTAAACGTTAAGAATATCGTTAAGATATCTCTTTGTTCTGGATTTTATGAAATTATATATTGATCTACTTTTAAAGCCCTTTCAACACTTAATTAACTATAGATGGGGTTAGAAAAAATATATATATATAAATAAAAAAGGGTTATAATTGATATGTTTTTTTTTATTTATTAGGATTTGCAGTGTCAGGAGGATGTGATAGTATGGCACTCTGCTTATTATTTCAAAATATGGCAAATAGAATATATACTTTTACAGTTGATCATCAATTACGGCCTAAAAGCAGGGAAGAAGCTGAAGAAGTTCATAAGAAAATGACCCAAATGGGTAAAGATATGATAGATATTTTAATATCTTTTTAATTTTTTTTTTTGTAGGATTTCAACATAAAATATTGACAATTGCTTGGCCAAAAGATAAATATTTTAAAGGTTCATTAGAAGCGCTTTTACGGGATCAAAGATATACCCTTTTAACACAAGAATGCTTAAATAATGATATAGGTGTGCTTTTTTTAGGTCATCATTTAAATGATCAGATAGAAACAGTGTTGATGAGACTCATAAGAAAAAGTGGATCAAGTGGATTAGCCGGTATGCAAAAGATTTCATCGAATCCTATGATAGGAAGAGTAAAAGATTCTGAAAAAATACTAATTTGTCGGCCTTTTCTTGATATTCCTAAAATTGTTTTAAAAAGTATATGAAAATATCATATGAGTTGTTATAATTGTTTAAGGTGCATGTGAAAAATATGGTTTGACATGGTTTGAAGATCCAACAAATGCTTTGATGAATATATCAAAAAGAAATGCTATTCGAGCATTGTTTCAAAAACCTGAACAATTACCTAAAGCTTTGAGACCATATAATATATTACACTTGGCAAACATTATGGCAGTGAAAAGGATGGAGATTTCAGAAAAAGTGAAACAATTATTAACTAAGACTCATATTACTTTTTCTGAGATGACTGGGTCACTAGATGTTATTTGTGATATGGATATTTATGATGAAAACATTGCAACTTTATCAAAATGGTTGGGACACCTTGTTTTTATTGTTTCGCCTTTATCTAGACAAAGGATATCTGTTGTTCGACGAATAGTTATTGATTTATTTGAGGAAAAGCTTGTAAAAACAAAACAATATACGGTTGGTGGTGTTTTAATACATACTACACGACATTTTCAGGCACTTTTTATGCAATTGAGTCGCCAACCTTACGAAAAAAGTATGAAGGAACGTTTTGCTGTATTTCTTCAATCATCTAGTTTCTCAAATCCCCAAAATACATGGATATTATGGGATGGACGTTGGTGGATTCGAATTCTCTCAAAAAATAATGAAATTATGCAATTCAAAGTAAGACCCTTAATGGAATCAGATATGAAATTGTTGTATTCAATGATTTATGCAGCCGATTCATGTAATAGGAAGATGATGTTAGATTCTTTGAAAACGATAAAAGGATACGCCAGGTTTACAGTTCCTCTTGTTGAAACTAAGATCAGAATTATTGGATTGCCAACATTGGGAATAATATTTGATTATACTTTTATTATTGAAACAAAATTTAAAATAGATATATCAACATATCTTAATTGCATAATATAAGATGAAATTTATTATTAAAATGTTTTGTTTAATGTATGATAACTATTATTTGAAATATGTTTCGTATATCTCTTTATTTAAAGGACGATAATGCAAAATTATGCTTCCTTTTGATTTCCAAATACGAGTTTTTATAGTAATCAACGTGGTTTTGATTGATAAAATCTTAATATAAATTAGTCTTTAAGAAGGAAAAATATGAGCCTACTTCTTTATTGCATATTAATTGTAAATAATTTTCCGGGTTAGTATCCAAAAGTTCCATTTTATTAAGATGTTTTAAGATATAAATTAAGATTTTTCGAACTCGTAGCATTCCGGACGCTGTACATTCTTTATTTTCATCATATATTTTTGGAAGATGACAATTTTGATACGGTTGAAGGATAAAATTAATTTTCTGTATTTCTTCGTTTGGAATTTTGTTCTAAATTGTATTAATTTAAAGTAACAAAATAAAATATACTCACGAAAAGAAGCATATTTCCTAACCATGCCGGTAAAACATTTTCTAAAATATCGACATGTTGAATAATACAACCGATTTTTCCTTTATATACATTTATAGTATTATCTGTAATAGACTTTTCTTTTGATATAATCAAAATAGTATTATGAGGAAGTTGAAGAATAGGTGCTTCATCAGAGCATATTGGATAAATTTTCGTAGCAATTAATATGTCTGGATGAGATAATCTAGAAAGTCGATAATCATTACGAAGACTATTGATAATATCTGATACGAAATGATGAGTATGAAGAACGTTTGTTTTCTGTATTTCAGGGTTAAGTAATGATTGAAAGTTTTTTAAGTCGGTAGATAATGTGTCTTTTTTTTCAATGTTTTGAACTTTATTATTTAATGTTGAAAGAAATGATAAAAAATCGTACTTACGATCTCCTTGTGCTTTTGAATCCTTTGGTATTGTTTTTAGTACCTTTTTTGTTCGAAAAAATTTTAAACGATCTATAAAAGTAAAACTATTTGTGCTGTGATCATTTGGGTCAATTGAAGCAAAAAGAGATTCTTCTAATTTAGTCATCTTGGTTTGTGAATCTTGCTTATTAAAAAGGTTATTTTCTTTATTTAAAATATCGAGAGAAGATGATTTTCTATAAAATCTGTTAAGTTTATAAAAAATAGGATAAACAAACTTTTCAATATTTCCATTATCATGTATCGAAGATGCTTCTTTAGAGGAACGAGTCAGAATGGAATCAATGATACTAATATTTTCGTCCGATGATATTTTTTTGGATGTTTCTAGGAGATCAGGTATGGATTGAGAACCGTTTTGAAATAAGTCAGGAAAGTTATATAAGGGTAGTAATGTTTTATCTGCTTTTAAGTCATCTAAAGAAATATCCAAAATAGAATGCCGATATTGATTATCATTCTTTATTTGAACCTCTATGAAATTATTAAATAAACAACGAAGCACCCATTTTCCTAAATTGACTAGAAGAATGAGCCTATATTACTTTTATTTTCGGGATATACTTTTATGATCTTCATTATATTCACAATCTTTGCAAATATCTATTTGATCAGCATATACTTCTGCATCAAAACATGAATTCTCATTTAGAGAAACAGTAAGTGCGCCAATTCGTGTATCAACATGACACCAATTGGCAACATAATCGAGGGTATTCAATTTTTTTTCTAATTCATTTATATCGCATTTCCCATAGTTTTTAACATGCGTACACTACAGATAATATATGAGCCATATCTTTTTAGCGAAAAAAAGGTTACCGTAATAATGTTCCATAAGGATACTTCATCTTGTGTATCAACGGTTAAGACGTGTCTACGATCATTTAACAAAATATGTTTAACTAATCCAATTTGGCTTTGAATAGTATATTGTGGTAACTTTCTTAAAGGAATAATGTTTTTTTTACACTCTAAAGGATTTTCATTATATACACAACAACTGCTGAAAAAGTGACATTCATTGGATATCGAATTTTCTGTATAATTTGATTCGAACATATTTGTATCATAAGGTGAAATCAAGGATTCGGCAACTAAAGAGGGCTCAACAAACGCTTTTTCCGAAAACGTAGGAATGTTTTGTAGTTTGCTTGTATTAAAAGATTTTTGTGCTGTAAAATCTAGAGGTGCATCGAGCTACAAATAATAAAAATTCTTACATTAAGTCTTTCTAAAAAAGATACCCAGCAATGAATATTAGGAGATGATGTAGATGTCCATATTAAAGAATCAACTGTTACAATTCTGTTTATACCGCTTTGTTCGCGACAAATAATATACGAGACATTTTCTTCCTCTGATAATAACATAGTTCGAGTCCTCATTAAATATCCTGACCGATCTCCCGAATAAAATGTATTCAATCTTGGATCCTGTGAAAATAATGACCAAACACTACTTCCATGTATCGTAAATGTTAGTAAACATCGTCTTTCCCCTAAAGACCATGCTTTGATTGTTGTATCTGATGATCCTGATAAAATCTGCAGCCATTCATCAATGATATTTCTACAATGCATTTTCAATCACCGTTTGTCCATCGTCTGAAATAAGTATAGTTCGAATCGCATCTTTATGACCTGTAAAACTTGCTATAGATTGTCCCGATCGTTTGTCCCAGACATGAACCACTCCACTTGGACATCCACTAGTAATTAATTCCTGCTTAGCACCTAAAGCATATACTCCTCCTTTAGGCCCATCTATACTTGTGTCAATATCTAACACTTTATTTTGACTATGTAAATCCCATATAATAATTTTCCGATCTAATCCCCCTGATGCAATCCACGTAGAGCAATTCTTCGGAGTAGCTAAACACTTAACATAGTCTTCATGTTTACCAATTGTAAGTGCTTCTAACTCGAAATTATCCGTTTTCCACATTTTAATTGTATGATCTGACGAACAAGAAACAACTAAGCAATTAGTCTGGAATTTAAAATTCTGATCTTTACTAAATCTTGATAAATCTACTAATGCTAGATCATTAATCCAATGCATATGTGCTTGAACCTCTGAATGATATGAAGGACCTTTATCCTAGACATATAAGACATGACTTTTATTGATATTTCATATATAATTTATCCCACTTTAAAAACGCACACATCAATACCCGTATTATTTGTCCTTGATTCATCTAAAATATGAGTTGTATGCTCTTTTTTTCTTATTATATGCGTATTAAAATTGTTCATTATATCTTCTGACTCCAAAATATCACTTGATTCTTCACCATATGCTTCATTCTTATATTTATATTCTCTAAAATCCCTCTTATTTCTAAAATGAAGATTAAGATTCCACGAAAAAATTATCCCATCTCGACCCGCAGTATAAAGACGTCCACCATCTTTCAGAGGATCAATTGTCACCGCATTCAATCCAAGGCGATGACCTTTTTTCGACTCATCAAGGGGAAGAACATATTGAATATTGTATTTGCTCATAAATTTATGAGATTTTTCGCTTTAAATATTTTACGTGGAAGACCTTTGATTCTGGTTGCTGTAGCAATAGGAAAATATAAATCATATATATTTGTTGATAAAAATTTTATAAAAAAAATAAATAAATAATAATGATAATACTGTAAAATATTTATTTTGTATGTGGATTTTCCTTTTTATTGTTTTTTTCTGTATTTTTCTTTTATTTATTTTTTACTGCAAAATCGGAGCTTCATCGTCCGAGTCTCTAATCCATGGGTCTTGAACGAAGAAAAATGCCATATTTTTCTTGATGGAATTTTGTTTGAATCGAAGGGAGCTAGTAGGAAGTAGAAAGATATAAAGAAATATTGATATAAAGGTTTTATTGTGTGATATTTTGTGCGTAAATGTTTTTGCAATTTTCTTAATAATTAAATTTATGTTTGATGTAGATCAGGTGATTAGATTAACTAGAGTAATAGTAGAATCTATCAAGCTGAAAGGTCTTTTGTTAGAGATTTAAGAAGAAGACGTAGGTCTGATTCAGTAGAGGAATTTTGGTGGTGTAAAAAAAACGTGCATACGTGTTATTAGACGTTTTTGAAATAATAGAGGGGAGGTTGGTATGGAAAAAGAGAAAGGATCGTATGAGTCATTGTATGTCTTGTGTGTTTTTATGTTTATTTACTATGATTAATGGGGGGTTTTTGGTTATTTTAGGCGAGAAAATGTATCTTCTGAATTAGGAGGTGGAAGTTCGAAAAAAGGGAATATTAAAAAGAAAAGAGGATCTTTTGGTTGTTTTTCTTGCATAATTTATTGAATTATATTTATTAGTGTTTTTAGATGAGCTTTCTGCCTATATCGATGATTCATATACAGAAAGGTCGATACACGAAAATTCTTCAAAACATACTACTTCTGGAAATACGCCAGTATCTTATTTAGGAGTTTTGGATTCTAAATCTTCAAGTGGAGATATTTCTTTGTTTTCTGAAACAAATGATCATAATGAGCAACATAAATCATCTACTGTAGAAAATATATATAATGAGGAATATGATGAGATAGATGAGAATTTTGAGGATAGATATTATAATGAAAATGAACGTCATTATTCCCATGATTATGATGAGGAAACATCGGATCTTTTTGATCATGGAAATTTTCAGGATTCACTGCATAGTGCTTTGACAGGTGTATTTTCTGGAATTGCGTCTCGGTTCAAGATTATTCTTAGTAGTTTAAGGCAAAAAGAGGATCCATCTGCTCAACTTATTGCTCTTCAGGGATTATCAGAATTATTGATTGTATCTACAGAAGATACTCTTAGCGGTTATTTTTCCCCAGATTTATTTGTAAAAGAGCTCGTTTCTATTATGAAGACAGGTGGCAGTGGGTTTTGCTCCGAAAACCCAGAGATGATGCTTCTTGCATGTCGATGTCTTGCAAATCTGATGGAAGCGCTGCCTTCTTCTATTTCTAATGTTGTTTATGGAGGAGCAATTCCCGTATTATGCCAAAAGTTACTGGAAATACAGTATATCGATCTTGCTGAGCAGGCGCTTAGCGTATATTTTAATTTTTTTTGTTTTAATTTTATTCTTATATTTTTAGACTCTTGAAAAAATTTCGACTGAATATCCAACAGCTATTGTAAGAGATGGTGGTTTAACAGCATGTCTTACTTATTTTGATTTTTTTTCTACAAATGTACAAAGAACTGCTATTGTTACCGCTGCAAACTGCTGTAGAAATGTCCCTTTTGAATGTTTTGCTACAGCACGTGATGTTATGTCTATGTTGCAAAATATTATTGGGAATAATGATAGAAAAGTTATGGAGCAAGCATGTCTTTGTGTTACACGTATAGTAGAAAGTTTTCGGCATCATCCTGATAAGCTTGAACAACTATTATCAAATGATATTTTACAAATAATTATGTCAGTTCTATCGAATGCATCTACTAATGCTGTTTCCTTGTATACTCATACTCAGTTTTTGCGAGTTTTAGGAATTGCTGCAAAAGCTTCTCCTAATTTATCTGTTGCTATACTTAAACTCAAAGTCGTTGAAACCATCTATTATATCCTTATTGGAAGATTTCCTGTTGATGATGTTAATTGTACAAAAGGGGATATTACGGATACTTTGTATACTCTTATTCATCGACCAAGAGAACATATTTATGAAATATTGAATCTAATGTCTGAGCTCTTACCTAATTTTCCGAGAGATGGTATTATTGATTATCCTTAATACCGTTTTATATTGAAGCGTAATAGACGAGGTGTTTAATCCATGTATTTCGGAAAATTCTCGATTGCAGATATCATCAAAGTCTACAAAATATAAAATGTTAGACGAACAACGTTTTCGACTTTTAGAAGATTGTCAAGAAGAGATGAAGCATTTTTCTAAAATTATAATGCCTATTCTCGTTGATATTTATCATAGCGCGATCAATGTTAATGTTCGTAGAAGAGTTATGATTATACTCTTGAAAATTGTCGTTAATTTAAAGGAAAATGTTCTTTATGAGTCTGTAAAGGTAATATTATGCCTCGTTTTTTATTGGTTAACGCGAAATTAGCATTCCCAATTTTCTTTTTTTTTAGCAACAGTGCTTTCTCAACATGAATACCCTTCCCTTGTTTTAGGAGCATTACAATTATCTGAACTTCTATTGAGACGTCTTTCTAGTGTATATCTTCAAATATTTGCACGAGAAGGCATAATACAATCAGTTCATGAAATTTCTAATTTTTCTCTTGAAGAGATTAATTTGGTTATATTTGTTATATTTTTTTTTTTTCTGATGATTTAGTAGAAGAATTTTAACTCCAATAAAGCATTTTCGTTTTGTACTTCATCTGTTTCTAATAAAATGCCTGCTTCGGATTTTCTTTTAATTTTAGTAAAAAGAGCAAAATCATTTATTTCGATTTATGAGAAATGTGAAAATAAGTCACTTGTATGTGAGGGGGCTTCGAATATTATGTTTAAGTTGACGTTTCTTGCTAAAAGGATCAAAAATCATATAAAAATTCGTAGTACTTATAGAAAGTTATCCAGATATTTCGTTTCTAATGATTCTACCATTACAAGTTATGAGATCCTAAGCTCTGGGCTTCTTGTGTCTCTTCTTGATTCATTAACTGACCCCAATGGTAGGTTTAATTATAATATTTTATAGTTAAAATACTTATCTTTTATAGTTGAGGTTAGACAGTCCTCTCGGAAAGCATTTCTTCGATCTTTTTTGATTAATGCTTTTGATACGGCAGTGGTTTTAGGGGGTAATTCTTTTAATTCCCCATTTTCCATTTTAATACAAAAACTTCATGAATCTCTTAGTCGTAATGAAGATCTTGAAGTAATAACTGTTCATGGAGGCTCTCATGAAGGTAATTATAGTATTATTTATCGTTAGATAGTTAAGAGTTGTAGACTTCTATAGAAATCCTTCTGCTATGCTTGCTAAGCAATTAAAATTGAAGCTTATTGCTGAAGAAGGTTCTAATGTTCCACGAGCATATAAAACTTTTATTGTATCAATATATTCTGTTGCAACATTTAGAACTCTTGATCAATATTTGCGTCCACGGCTAACGTCATCTCAACGTATTAGTATTTCAAGATCTAATAATTCTAAAACTTCAAGTACATCTGCTGCATCTGCTATTATATCCAGTAATGTATCGAATCAGTCGTCCTTAAATAAAGACAAAAGAATGCATAGAATTAAGGATCAGTCATTTGTAATAGAAAAACGAAAACGCAGTACAAGAGCAAATGTTCCAGAACAAATAAAATCCGATTTACAAATACATAAGATTAAGAATTCCAAGACTGGTATATATGATGATGAAATGCTTGAATATACCAATGATTTGTCTGGATCTGATTCTATTGATATGTCTCATCAGTTATTTGAGGTATTTTATAATTAATCTTTTTTTTTTTAACAATTATAGATTATAGATGTAACTGAAAGTAATGAAAAATCAGTTGGTGTGGATAATGATATACAGATTGATACGGAGTCTTCTAAAATTAGTAAAACAGATACGAAGATGAAAGGTAAGGAACACATAGAGACTTCTTTGGAAAAGAATGAATCAAAACCTTCTACCTCTACTGATAAAAAGTATATGAGCTATTCTTCGGCTTTGCAAACGAAAGAAGATTGGTGCATTAGATTTGAAATGAATGACGAAGCAATTGATCCTGATTCTACGATTTATTCTGCTATCCATCGCTATAATATACAGAATGGGCGTGAATCTTCTGATATATGGTCTTTTATATATCCAGTTAAGTTTAGAAAAGTACCGAAGCCAGGAGATTATGAAAATTCTCGAGGTAAATTTTTATCTTGGTTATAATAGTATTGAATTGCTTTAGAAGAGACTATAAAAACTACTGATATAAGATTCGAGACGCATGATTTTTCTTCATATAATGCTAATACTGTTCTAATACTTAAGCTTTTGCGTGTTTTATATCTTTTAAACATTAATATTCGAAATATTTTAGATTTCAATACTTTTTCTAATGTTGTAAATATGACGCTTCCTTTGAGTAGTTTTGTTAATCCAAAACTTACTGCAAAAATAAATCGTCAGTTGGAAGAGCCTTTAGTCGTTACTAGGTGTTTATTTTGCCCTTATGATTACATTGATTTTAATTATTATAGTTTGTGTTTTCCTTTATGGGTTCAGGAATTTCCTCGTTTATTTTTATTTTTATTTCCATTTGAAACCAGATATCTTTTCTTACAATCAACGTCCTTTGGGTATTTGAGGTCGATTACTAGATGGCAAAATATTAATGGAAGAGATGAATCTTATCATAATTTAAGAGATGATTCTAGATTACTTTTAGGGAGATTGCAACGTCAAAAGATTCGAATATCTCGTGATCATATTCTAGAATCTACTATAAAGATAATGGATCTTTATGGTTCTTCTCCATTTTTGCTAGAAATTGAGTATTTTGATGAAGTTGGCACTGGCTTAGGCCCTACTTTGGAATTTTATTCTACAGCATCCCATGAATTTATGAAAAAAAATCATGGTCTTTGGAGGAATGTTGATGATTTATCAGAAGATGAATTCGTATTTTCTCCTAATGGGCTTTTTCCTGCACCATTAGGCACTAGTTCTACTGATTTAGATGACAAATGGTTATTTTTTGTTTTTTGGTTTTCATTGTAATTGACTTTTGTAGGAAAAGGTGTAGTCTCTTTAAAGTTCTGGGGAAGTTAATTGCAAGATCTATGCTGGATTCTAGAATCGTGGATATTTTAATTAATCCTATGTTTTTTCGAATTGCATCTGGAACGAATGAGGTTAAGCTATCTATAGAATCTATCTCAGAAATAGATAAGGATTTAGCAAATTCATTATATTTTTTAATGCAGTTTGATATTGCGAAGAAAAAAATATTAAATAAAAATATTTGTGAAAAGGAACAGGAACTGCGTTTGAATGATATTAGAATACAGGATGTATCTGTCGAGGATTTATCGTTGAATTTTACGCTTCCCGGATTTCCAAATATTTATTTAGTAAGCAATGGTCATGAGAAATCAGTAACTATTCATAATATTGGTGAATATATTGACCTTATAATTGATTTTACAATTGGGAAGGGAGTAAAGGAACAGATAAATGCCTTTCGTGATGGGTTTTCTTCTGTTCTTCCTTATTCTTCTTTGGCTTTATTTACTCCAGAGGAGCTTTCAATTCTTTTTGGACAGGGCAAGGAAGATTGGTCAATTGAAAGTAATTGTTTATATGATTTGTTAAAATTTATTAATTTTTTAAGCACTTCTTGATTCAATAAAGGCTGATCACGGATATAATATGGATAGTAGATCAATTCGAAATTTCCTTGATATATTAACTAATATGAATGATATGGAGCGCCGTCAATTTTTGCAATTTATAACAGGAAGTCCAAAATTACCTATTGGAGGTTTATAATAAAATTATTTACGAAAAAATAGTTTTAATAGGATTTAGGCTTTAAAAATTTAACTCCTCCTCTTACTGTTGTTTGTAAGTCGCATGAACCGCCTCTTACGCCTAATGATTATTTGCCAAGTGTTATGGTTTGTGTGAATTATCTTAAATTGCCAGATTATACAACGAAGAAAATCATGAAAACAAAACTGTTTCTAGCGATGAAAGAAGGACAAGGTTCCTTTCATTTGTCATAATATTGGATTATATAAAATTATTAATATTTGTTTTTATTGTATTATTGATTTTTATTTAAATAACATTTATAATATCTTATACCTAAATATGATTTTTGTCAGTAAAAATATTGTTTTGGTTGAAAAATATTTAACTTTGTTCTTAAAGTCATTTATTCATAAATGAAATATTCGAATTTTAGCTGAATTATTTTGCTTTCAAGTGTAACTAGTATTTATTAAGAATATGAATGTCAGTGTTTTAAGTCATTTGATTCTTATTCAGAAGTTATTGATGATAGATTTTTTAAGAGATAATCATAATTGTAGAATATATTTGTTATGATGACTGAAGTTTTATCTTTTTTTGTTGTATAAATTTTACTTAAAATTAAAGCGCATATTTAAAGTTCCGATAACTTAGTTTTGTAGTTTTATTTCTGATATATTTTGATCATTTTTATTTATGATTTGTTAATTTTATCATAAGATTTATTTTGTAAATAAAATATATAGATTTTATTTTAAATAATTTTTTTCCTATAATTAAGACTTTCTCATGTAAACCCTTATGCTTCTCTATGATAATTACTCAAATTAATGTTTTTATCAAAATATAATTTATGATTAGAAATTCTTCAACTATTCGTGCCTTATATATCGTCTCCAAACTATAAATGATACTGATATAAAGCTCGTAACTGCAAAAAATACCTAAAATATCTAAATTTCTATCATTTATTCTATAAAAAATATAAATTTACTTGTACTATAAAAAAATGCACCTTTTCAAGATTTTTGGCCGGAAAACAAGACACCCATGAAGGAAGAGGCGGTAACTTTGATTGATCTTCTTCTGTTTCATCATATTTACAATGTATATTTAATCGATATCGAGGATTTTTATCACATGGTGGTATCTTATACAAATTAATCCATTTTTCTCCAAAAAGAAACCAACCGTGATATTTTCTGGGCATAAGCTACATTCCCCTATTCTAAAACATCTAAATGGCGTCTTTTCTTCCAAAAAAAAGGGAGTTCCAATATCAAAAATATCTTCTTTTGTAGGAACAAAAGGTACCTTTATCTTTGGCTTTCTATGGTGAAAAAAAACAAGAAAAACGAAAAAAACAAAAACAATGACAGACACTTTAATAAAAATACTTCTTTTTGACATAATTCTTGTCTTATTTATCCCTTTTTACTGATTTTATTTTTATACACAAAAAGTTGAGGTTACTTGACCATCGTAAATATAATGTTAACGTCGAAAAAAATGAAGATGAAAATAACTAACCATTCTTTAGGAAATAATGCTTTATATTACCCTCCATATGTATATTTATATATTGTTTTATATAATACTTTTTTTTCCAGGAAAAAATGGTGCATTGGAAGGGAATAAACCTTTTTTTCAAGAACATTTATTTATAAAGCCAGTTTCTTCTAGTAATTTGCTTGCATCGTTTAGATTTAACACGTCATCAGATTTTGAATGCCTTCCTAAAGTTCCATATGTCTTTTCGGGGGATTTAGAGGGGTTTTTTCCAGGTTCATCTCGACTTCCACGTTCTTTAAGATATATTATGGAAGAAACACATACATATGAAGTTCATCTTCGGATGACACGTGGGAAATGGTCTCACAAAGGATGGGGAATGCTTCCTGATAGAGGGGAATTCGCAGGAGGGACGGGTATTGAGCTTTGGGCGTATATTGAAGGAGATACAGAGGAAATGTAAGGGAAGGTTTAAATTTATGTAAGTATTAATGATGATTAATTAGTGTTTGGAAGCGATGGAATAAACTAACGAATGCATTTTCTGGGATTTTTTCTTCTTCTATTGGTTCTATGGATAGTACACGAATAATTATACCCATTTTGACGTTTGCAAAAGACAAAAGACATGCAGAAAGATATGAATTAGGTGGAAAAGGTTATTTGTTACATGGATCGTTACCTCAGGAAACCATATGTACAGAGAATTTAACACCTTTTTTAAAATTATTACCTTGTAAAGGTCGTGCTGGTATTTCTACATTGTTAGATAGCCATCGACTTTTTGATGCAGAATGGTATTCAATTTTTTTGGATGTTGTACATTTTTGCGATAAAGATAAAAAGGGATTGTCAAATCTTGTTCAGGGTGTTGATATGGTTTTGAATATTGAACGTGCAAGTCGTAGAGATGGTAATATTTTGATTGATATGTTTTATATTTATTAATAGTAAAGAATCCCCTATTCCGAGACCAAAACCTCTTAATGAAATTGTATGTGATAAGACAAGGAATCATATAAAAAATGATTCATGTTTTCCTTTGGATAATCCTTCGAATATGGAATGGTCTTTGTCAAAATTGTTTGGGCGGCCAATACAAGGGTCATGTTCCTTAGACTTTGCACCGACGGAAGTTGTTACTGTTGCTCATCCTTATGAAAGGGTAATTTCCCCTGCGCCTAATACTATTTTGGTTGAAGAAAATGTTATTTTTTCAAAATATATGATATCTGGTATGTTTCTTCTTGATATTTTTTTCCTTTTAATTATATAAAGAGCCTTTCCTTGATATAACAATGGCTTCAAAGGCATATAATGCTCAATTTAACGTAACGAGTGCTCCTCTTTTTGTAGAGCGTTTTTTAACACGAAAAAACCGGATTAGTGTGGTTATTTCGAATCCTCATTCAATAGAATTTCAGATCATATATTTAGAAGTCTTTCCTTGGTTTATGAAACCATTTATTCATACTTTAAATGCACGTATTTTATCGTCTAACACAAGATATTCTCCAAATTTTGAGGATATATATTTTCGACCATCTATTGATAGGAAATGTGGATCGTATTTTGAATTGCGTATGCATATTCCTTGCAATTCGACTATCGAAATAGTATGGGAGTTTGAAAAAATGCTTTTGAGATATGCAGAATATCCACCAGATCCAAATAGAGGAGTCAGTATTGCGTAAGTATATTATTTTACAATTTAAATTGTATTTATTGAATCATTAAATAGACCATCTATTCTTACAGTTTTTAATGCAGGAGATGAGATTAATAAAACTGATCCAATTGCTGTAATTCGAACAACTAGTCTTTTATTAACGCTTCCTACCCCAGACTTTAGTATGCCCTATAATGTAATTGTCCTAACTAGTACTATAATTGCGATGTTGTTTGGTAGTATGTTCAATTTGTTAATTCGAAGATTTGTTTCCCTTGAAGAAGCTAAAGGATTAAAAATAATGAGATTGAATATCCTTATATTTAATCTTAAAACTATGTTTAAAAAAATATTTGTATATAAAGTATAGAATTATTATGGTTAATTTTACGATAATTGTTATGAATTAAATAGATTTTATGTAATATTATATTTATTGTTTAAATCATGAACTTAGTATTTATAAGTTACATGTAAAAATATACCTATAAAAATATATTATGATCACCATTTTTTGTCCCATCTTGAAGCCATAGGTCGAGGATTTGATGAATGAGATGTATTTATCTGGCTATGTTGATTTTGATGCTGAATAACTAACTGTTGTAGAATTTTCGAATTAGATATAAGCTCCGGGTTGGATAGAATACCCGGATTTGCACTTAGTATAGACTGAAGAATAGCCATATCTGCATTAGAAAGAGATAAATTATTTGGAAGAGTGAGCCCCCCTAGAATTGGAACAGTAGGCAATGGTGTTATCGGCGCTGGAATGCCAGTTCCTTGATGTATAAGTGGGGTATTATTTAATTTTTTCCATTCATTAGTGTTTTGAGGATGATAAGGTATTTTATTGACTGGAGGTACAGTATTGGATATTTTATTAACAACGAAAACACCAAAAATACATTTTTCTGTTCTTTTTTCATTTGAAATGTGTATTTCGTCCATAAGTTGAATAAATTCTGGTAATTGATCTGTTGGAGAAAGAGGTATAAGGTAAGCATCTTTGACTGCTGATGTTGTAGGTTTTATGACGCCATAACGTTTTCGAGAATAAAAATAATTGTACAGTTTTTCAAACGATGACAATAATTCTTTACTTTGTGGCTTAAATGATATTACAATTAATTCTTTTGTTGAAGAAAATTTTTGTTGACAAAGATATTCTGTTGATTTATCCATAGATATTCTTCCATCAATAACAATTTTATCCTGAAGAATCTCATTCCAAGGCCGTGTTGGAGAAATAGTTGCACCTACTACTTGTGTAGCTGTAGCATTAAATTCAGCAATAGATGCCATGGAAAGTTTTCCTAACCAGATAGGTTGAGAAATATTTAGTTCAAATGCACTATAAGACGGAGAATAAGGTGGAGTATTTGCATTGTCATTATCATCGTCAATCATTCTATCAATATCTGAATCAAAATCTATCCTTGAAGTTTCTTGAGATTGAACGACTGGATAATTTTCAGATATATGAGTTGTTCTTTGAGATTCAATATTACTCCAAACATCCTGTATATTAAATGATTCTTTAGATGTTGCTTCTTTTTTATCATTTTTAATTTTATTTTTTTCTATATCAGATTCATGAGTTTTAGAAATAGTTTTTGATTTTTCATGGATAGAATTATGTTTTTGAGATAATGCAGATGACTCATCTAGATCATTTGTCGGTTCGTTCTGCGGTTTTAAGGAAAAAGGGATAGATGTTTCAATCTTTTGTTGCATGGAAAATCCGCTAATTTCTTGATTCTCTATAATTTCTTCTCCTTTGTGGGTTTTTCGGATTCTTGGTGCCTCCGACTGTTTTAAAACAGAGTTTTTAGTACTTTGTGCTCTTATGGATTCTGCCAACAACTGTATCTCTGAATTTGCCATTTCTTCGCTAGTCATATGAACTAAGTCTTTTGGCATAATCTGTCCTAAAACTACTCGTGCACGAAGCTGTGGATTCTTATCATCCTTAAGATTAAAATGAAGTGTACGAAATCTTTCTTTATATTTTGGTGTCAAAATATATTTTCCTTTTTCTTCAATAGAAAAGTCTTTAAACATGCTATACTCGATCATAAGTGCAAAACGTTCCCCCACTTCTTCTGGTGTTTCATTTGTTCCTAAAACATAGCTTCCATCCTTTACAAAATCTTTAATAGCTTCCACAAAAATATTCAAAAACGATTGAGAGACATGTTTTCGTGTAACATCTTTTAATTCTTCTAGCTTCTGAACAGGTGCTTCTATAGGTACGTGACTAAAAGTTTGTTTTAACACCGGTGGATTCATTTGTTTTGAATGTTTTAAAGTTGTGTTTGTTTTTCGGCCATGTAATGCCTTAATAAAAGATTGGTCATGTGAAAGACGTGAAACTTTTGCTGGAGGTTCCTTCTAAGTTCACATCAGTTATTTAATGTCATATAATACATATAAATGTCTTCTAGAAAATTTATTCATACCTGATCTTCCTGTGAATTATAATCAGAATCCGATGTCGAAGGTGATGGTGTTTTTTGTTTCGAATCACTATTTTCTTCCTCAAACGATTCATCCAAAGTTTTCTGATGCTCTTCTGATACCTCCTCAATGATTGTTGTTGTTTCATTCGATTTTTCATTTGATTGTTTTTTCAAATGTCCTTTTGATAATACTGAAACCGTTAAACAAAAATACTTTTTCGAAATCTAACTTCTACCTTTTTTTGAAGTCTCTTTTGAATTTTCTTGACCTTTTTTAGTTTGTGATGTCTTATTAGACCGATTATTAGCCTTTCTTTCCATTGCTTTAATTTTAGATACTGTTCCTTGTACATTATCCTTTTGAAGTTGAGGATATAAATCAGGCTGACATTTCTCACACTAAATATGACTTGTAAGTACCCTTTTTGCCTCTTTTTATTCAAAAACATACAAAATATGTCTCTGGAAGACTTTCTTCGTTTAAAAAACCCATACATAAAATATGTTGCCATGTCGTGCATTGTTCACACTGAACCATAATACACCCATCATCATTTACCGCTTTGCAGATACAACGAACTCGCTCATGCATAGGAATTTCCGGATCTTCAAAAAATTTTGGCCGATGAAGGCCCTTGTTTGAACGTTCAGATCTACGCAAATTTTGCACTATTAAAGTGTTAGATCCAGAACAATATTTTCATTTGATGTACTGATATATATAAGAGCTAATAAACTGCGTTTTTAAACTACAAAAAAGTTGATAATATAGACCCAAGTTTTATACTTAATCGTTTTTGATACTATATTTTTATAATTGTATTTCTGAAATAATAACTTTAAAATGCTTACCTGTCTTAATGGAAGAATTAGATCCTGTTTTGGGGGCTATATGCGTCTTTTTTCTGGACTATATGCGTTTTTGCTTCGGATTCAGTATGTCGAAAACGTAGATGCGAATATATCTCACCTTAATAAACGTAACTAATATTTAATAGTTCATTTCAGTTTATCTACAAATTTATCAACCTATACATGTCTTACATAGACCTTATATGTATTTTGTATGCATTTTGTCTTAAATACCTTATATATTTTTTAAATATTTACAAAAAAAGTTTAGAAAAAATGTATTAAAAGAAGCTTAATTGATATTAATATATTATAAACTATATCTTAGTTGTAGTCAAGAATAAACTCTTGGCGTATATATAACTGCTTATTATTGATTATCATCTATTGTCATTCATATCTATAATCTCTTGAAAAATTATTTTAATATATAATTTAAAATATTTATTATTTTTTTAAAGATTTTATCCCTATTTTTCATATTATAATACTTAAAAATAAAATATTTTTATTGAGCATTGTATAATTTTATTATTTAAAGCGTTTTAATATAAAAATAGCTTTATATGTTTGATTTTATTAATTAGTTATGCTTTTGCTTTTATATCGAAAGTTAATATTATTGATTTAAAGCGTTTATTTTTTATTAATTTTTATTACGTGTGGACGTGTCTTAATATTTCAGAGAATTCGATTTCTTGAATTTGTATTTGCGGTTTAGTATTTATCCTTTTAAATGAAAGAATTGGATTGTTTCGATAAAAAAGAATGTCGATTTACACGTCTTTATATGTCAGCAGCACCCGAATTTTTAATTGATGGTAAATGTCTTTGATTCTTTAATTTTCGTCAATTTGGTTTAGCTGCTGTTCCAACATTGGCATTACAAGTCGAAGAACTTACGCCAATTCTTATTTTTCCACGTAAAACATGCTTAGATACATTATCTAAACATTCTTCATGTTCTACTTCAGAATCGAATCTTTGTTATCAAAATAATTCGTTACGAATACAAAATACAATGTTCGCGGAATCTGGATCATCGCCATTTTTTAATCGTTTTTTTAATATACAACATAATTTTTCTGAACAAGGTTATATCTCATTTCCTCCATTGGATTTTTATTCTCAGGATAAACGTTCATCATCCATATATAATTGATTTTTTCGATAAAATGAGTTTTATTCAGTATTCAACGGTGCTTTGAGAAATGGTAATATTAATATTTTTTAAAAAATTTTATTTTCTTGTACTCTTGTAGATTCTTTTATGTCCCTTGGTTCATCCATATTTCCCAAATAGTTCTATATGATTCTTTTATCTTTTCTTCCATTTCTATTATTGCTTTTTCAAATAATTGATTCATATCTTCCAATATTGTTTTTTTTACAAATAAAATTGCAATATCAAACCGAGAACAACAAGACAATTGTTGAAGAATACCAAGGCTTTGTTTCCACCATTTAATTTTGTCTTTTTCTTGTTGATATGCATATTTAATTGCATGTAAAAAGGTTTCTAAAAAAATACCTTCTAATCCTGCTGTACCAAAAAGATGTGGTAGCATTACATAGTTAATAGAAAAAAAATACATAAGTTTCTCCTGTTTTGATATTTCTGTTTCTTCCATTGTTCGAAGTTTTTGTTCAAGTATTTGTAATGTTGGTATCACTTCTTTTGTTGATGTTTTATATTTCAACCCATTTAATGATGGTTTATATTCCTTTGTATTTGAATTATGTTGATACTCATTTTCTGCCCATGAAGGCAACGTTTCAACTTCTTTAATAGCAATTGGTATTTTTTTTACCACTTTTTCAACTTTTTCATCTGTACAATTTATTTTAGTTTTGTTTAATAAAAATAATGCTTCTTGAACTGTCTTATTTTTCGGATCTTGGATTAATGCCAGGTTCCAGTCTAATATATCAGTCTATCTCTACCTATTCAGAGTCTTTTAACCTTCTTTTGCAGCTTTAATATTTCCTTGTTGTTCATAAGCTTTTCCACGCCGGAAAAGTGCTTTTAAATTATAAGGATTCCTTTTTAATGCTTCCGAACAATCATTTATTGCTTCAGACCATCTAACATATATCAATCTTTTAAAAACACTGAGATCCTAATCCTACCGTTTAAGTTGAAGATATGTTTGTGCACGGTTTGTCCAAAGTCGCTCATCATCCGGAGCTTCCAAAAGTGCTAAAATCTTGTTAAAAACAATATAATTTTTTACCCTGTTCCTATTAAGAGATACCTTGCGTATATAAGGCTTCCGCTGCTTCAAAATCTCCTTTTAAATATGCTGCATCTGCTTGAATTTTTCCTGTCAGTTGAGCCATGAAAAACTCGTACGATCTCTCTATACAAGATATACTAAAAAAATATATGTAATATTACAAGTATCCTGATACGTTATTATATTTTTGTTTAATATAATTAGATCTAACAAAAATATATTTATATTTATAAAATGAAAAATAGTAAATTTAATAAAAGTAGTGGTAAAAAACTTAAAAGAATAAGTATTTTAAAGATACTTAAAGGTTTTTAATAAGTCTTATATATGTTTTTAACTTAATATTTTAATATTTTTTTTAGATATAATTTATACTTAAGATTTACCGCTTAGAAAATCTTCAAGAAATTCTATAACTTTTAATATAATAAAAAGAAACTATTTAACATACTTCGTCTTGTTTTTGAATATTCTAATATATTTGTTTGAAGATTAGAATCTTTTAATGGACTCTTAAGTTGTGCTTGTAGTAAATGAGTTTTTTCTAAATGAAATGTCTCTTCTGCATGCTTTTTTAAAAATGTCATTATATGTGTTTGTTGTTTCCAGAAATTAAGTGTTTCCTGTATATTTGTGAATTAGTATAATAATATGTATTACATACTTGATATTCCGCATGTCCCTGAAAAATTAAAATATCAAGCTTCTTAAGATCTGTAATATGCTTATTCTTTCTATACGCGTTGCGCAATGCCGATTTAACGGTTGACATTGCAACATCGAGTTGATACATTTGAACTACAATTGGTATTGCTCGTTGCCATGCTCTATATTGTTTTAAAACCCTTTTTTTTGCCTCTTCAAGGGTTTTAGATGCTGATGTACGAATAGCTAGTGCTGCTGGTTGTGTTGATGACATTTTTTTATTTTTTTGTGTTTTATTCCAATGATATTTTTTTATATTATTTTTATTCTCTTTATTTTTTTAAATATTTAGGTCTCTTATACTTCTTTTTGTTATCTCTATTAAAAATAGCCTTTATATATCTTTTAATCTCTATTTTTTAAGATTTATTTCTTTTTTTATTTATTTAAACATAAAAATTTAATAAACCCTTATTTTAAATCCTAATTTTCGAATAAATTCTTTTTCTCTGTTTGTTTTTCTTTTGTTTTGGTGTATTGGTTCTCTAATTTCTTATGTTTTTTTTTGTTTTTTTCCTTTTAACTTATTTCATAAAAATGTTAACGTTTAGTCCTTCTGTCAAAAATACTGTAAAATGACTTTAATTCATCTTTCTTTTGAACGTTATTTTATCCAAAATATTGTTTCTAAAGAAGCACCTATTCTGGTTCTTCATGGGCTATTTGGCTCAAAAAGACAATGGAATACGTAATGAATGTGCATTTGAATCATTTTTATTGATTGTTTTTAGTTTTTGCAAGTCTTTAAATATGCGAACTCATCGCAATCTTTTTGCTCTTGTAAGTTGAGTATATGAAATAGGCTTTTAAAGATATTTTTTTATTATCTTTTAAAAAATGCTATATATTAAAGGGCTGATTAATGGTTCTATGAATAGGACCTTCGTAATCATGGAGAAAGTCCTCATTGTTTACCTCATAATTATGAAGCTATGGCAAATGATGTTGTTGAATTAATTGGTCGTCAATGTCTTGATCCTGTAATTCTTCTTGGTCACTCTATGTAAAAATAATGGATTGTTTATTATCTATCTAAAAGTTATATTAAGGGGTGCTAAAACATGTATGGCAGTTGCGTTGATGTATCCAACACTTGTAGAATCGATGATTCTTCTAGACAATGCACCAGTTCATACATCAGTTGATCCTGTACTTGTAAAATATATAGAACAGATGCAAGTGGTTCAAAGGGCATGTGTTAAAAAGAAAAAAGAAGCAGACAGTTTATTGCAAGCATCAGTTGAAGTTTTGAGATTGTAATAGATAGAAATAAGATGCTAAGATTGTGTAGGATATTAATGTTAGACATTTTTTACTTTCAAATCTTGTTAGAGATGGAAATCAATTACGATTTAGAATTCCATTAAATATACTTGGACAATCGCTTCATCATGTTGCTGGATTTCCATTTGAAGGCACATATTCTGGTAGAACATTATTTATACGTGGTAGTAGAAGTCGATATGTATTGGATTCATATTTACCAACTATTCGTAAGTTTTTTCCCAATTCTCATGTTGTAACACTTGACGCTGGTCATTGGGGTTTGAAAATATAAATAAAAATGCTTTGTTAATTTGAAATAGTACATGTTGACCAACGAGAAGAAACATTACGGACAATTGAAGCATTTCTCCAACACATACCATTAGAAAATGATAAATTTGATAATAAATAAATAATTTTTCATAAAATTTCAATAAGTACTTCTCGGCACTAAAAAAATATGCTGATACAAGTTTTAAAAATAGTATTTATATAACTAACTATTTTATTACTAAATATATTTCCATTTTTTTACTATCAAACTGAATCTAAAATTTCTGGTTCTTTAAAATCCTTTGATACTTTTAAACCCGTGTCTTCAACTGATTCTCCATGTAGCTCCAAAAGACGTGATATTTCAACACGAGGAGCTTTAAGAATTTTAACCTTTCGAATAAATACCTACAAAAAAATTAGATAGCAATTAATAAATAAATATATACACATTTTGAAGCGGAAAAATCCCTTGAGTAGATTTAGTAATTTCTCGGCCAATAACTTCCGGAATAAATTTTTGGACAAGTTCTTTCAATGAACACGATGATGCTTCTCTTTGAATAACTTCAAACATTTTTTTTCGAATTTGTCGGATCTGAGAACTCTGTGCGTATGTTGTTTTTTTAATCTGATTAGCTCGGCGCTTTGTAAATCCAATCACAAATAAGCGTAACACATATCCATCCGTTGTTTTAACATCTTGGTGTGCTTCAATCAACGTTTGCCATCTTCTAACAAGTGATCGAAGCTTATCCGACGTCATTAACATTCCATAAAAGTTCGTCAAACAATTTTTTCCTTGAACCTCAGCAATTTGCAATTTAATTTTTCTAAAGGCATGTTCTTCATCTTTTTGTAAATCTGCTAATGAAACTTCAATTACTCGTCCTTTTAATGAATCATTTGCATTTTTAAGACCCGTTGTTCGATTAACTAATGTTTTCCCAATATCTCTGACTTCAAAAATAGACGGTGCCTTAAGATCATACCAATCCTAATCTTTATTTAACTTATTTGTAGTAAAATATATTTTGTACTTTTCGTGTAAAAGGATCAATTATTTTCTTTTTAATTCCCTTTTTTCCTTTTGAAAGTCTTTTATTTTTTCCAACAGCTTAATTTTCTTATTAATTTTTTAAAAAAAAAATTAATAGAACTTACCCATTTTTTATGAAAATCTTGAAAAAATATTAATATTGATCTCGAAGACCGTCGCAAGTTTGATATTAAAATTAGGTTTCTGAATGGACCGGTTAGGGCAGGTTTAGATCGGCAGTTGAATTATTAGATGAAGTATTTTCTTGTATGTAATTCTTTGTTTTGAGTAAAAGATAAGCAACAATGAATAACGTGCTTATGCTTATTCTTCCAATTGTTTTTTATTGGGTTTTTTCATTTTTCTTTTTTATTCTTTCTTTTTTGAAAAATCCAAAGATTGAAAAGTATAAAATTCATCAGGTATCAAATGGAAACAGGGTATCTTGTTTTAAGGTTATTCGAGATGTTTTATTTCAGCAGTTTCTTCAAATAATTATTGGGTACATTTTTCTTTCGAAGACATTGGAACCATCATCTTGTATTTATTTTGATAATTATATTAAAGGGTCTAGAAGGGTTTTTTTATTTTTTATTCAATTTTTTTTGGCATTGGTTATTTTGGATACATGGCAATATTTTTTTCATCGGTTGATGCACTATAATTCTACTTTATATCGTTATATTCATTCTAAACATCATGAATTATATGTACCTTATGCTTTTGGTGCACTTTATAATCATCCTGTTGAAGGGCTTTTAATGGATACAATTGGAGCAGGATTAGCTTTTCAATTGAGTGGTCTCGGAGCAATAGGTGGTTGTATATTTTTTTGTTTTTCTACAGTCAAGACAGGTATATTAAATAATATGTATTTTTATACATATGTGTGATATTTTTATAAAATATTTCTTATTAATTTAGTGGATGATCATTGTGGGTATGTTTTTCCGTATGATCCTCTACAGCGTTTCTTTTATAATAATTCTAAGTATCATGATCTTCATCATCAGCCGTATGGTATGAAATTTAATTTTTCACAGCCATTTTTCACTTTTTGGGATCATTATTTTAATACATATAAAAATGTTGAAACGTCTAAATGTATTTCGTCTTTAACACCTGAGAAAAAACATACCTAAAGTGTTTTCTCTATATAATGTTGAATTTTATCTTTTTTATTAATATATAGTTAATTTCTCTAGAAGTGTTTTTTAAAGTGTAAATTATAAAAAATAAATGATGAAAGTTATTTATTGACTAAGCTGAATTGTTTTTATTTCAAAAAAAAAATAAAACCTATATCTAATTACTTTAAATCAATATTTGCTATAACAAATAAAAAATCAGGTAAATTATATGATTTTTACAATACCAAAAGTAATAAAAAGCATTCAAATATTATGTTATAGATTTTATTCTAGCAAATGTATTTGCATTTATTAAATCTAGAAAATAAACCTATAACTTGATGTTTAAAAAAAGTTCAAAAATGACTTATGTCTATTATAAACTATAAGTTGTAAAAAAGAAAATATGTAACTTCATTGTTTTGGTATCTCATTTTAAACTAGATGCTATAAACCAAATGCAAATTATTAATTGAAAAAATGAGTAAATCTTCGGCTTTGTTCATGTACAATCTAAAAGATAGTAAATTATTTATAAAAATTTAATCCGAATGTATTACCATTTCATCAAGCTTGTATGTATTGAGTTCTTCTTTAATACGTTGTGCCAAAATAGGTGTTAGTCGATTACACGTTGCAATTTCTCCCCTTCTATCATATTCGAATGAAGGCCATGTATCATAAATTGTTATTTTAGGAGAAAAACTAAGAGATTTCGTATTTTTAGTGATAGATGTTTCTGCTGATGATAACGTATTGGGAACATCATCAAACGTAACCAATTCAAGAGGAATGGGAGGTGCAAATTGAATTGGAATATCAGTTAGTGAATGTGACGGTTTAAGATTAGATATCGTTGATGACCAATCTGCATCTAACTCATTTAGTAAACTATAACGAAACCAGGGTAATACATTTAAGGATTCCTTTTTTCATAGGAGGGCAAGGTTTGAAACATGTAGATTGATTGTTCTTGCTTTCTTTAGCTGGATCATTGATTGTCGTTATGCTCATAGAAGTATTTTCACATGTTGATTGAGAAGTTGATGTATCCTTCTCTATATATATATCTTTCTTTTGTTCTTGTATATGATTGTTAAGTTTTAATAAATTATCTTCGTCCTTTTCTATGCTTTTAGAGTTTTCTAAACCATTATGAAAGGAATCCATTGAATTTTTTGTTCCTAAGTTAGTCTTACTTATTTCTTCAATCATACTTTTCTTATATTCTTTGGACATTGCAATTTTAGAGTCTTCAAAATGTAAACTACCTCTAAAAATATTTGAGAGAGTTTTTTTTGATTTTTTAAGCATTCCCTTTCCCTCTTTACTTATTTTCCTTAATATGAAACTTGCAGATGATGCTGTTGATGTGATTGAAATGTTATCTGGTGATGTTAATTTCTTCGTAAAGGAATATATTTCAGAGTTAGTGGCAATGTTGCCTATTTGAGCAGCATCATTCGATATATTTTGTGAATATGCATGATTTTTTGTATGATGTACATTATTTGTGTTAATTGTCTCTAATGATGATAACGATGTAAAAGATAATACTTTCAAAATTTTTGACTTAAAGGACTTTGTTTTTTCAAAAGGTACAAACAATTTAGGGTTTGAGGAATGATCATTCTGGATTATGTTTTGTTCTGTATTAGAAATAAATGTGCCTTCCTCCAGTTCTGGTATTGCTTCGATTTCTATATTTTTTATTTTAGAAATCTCATTATTAACATTGGGCTCTATTTCCTCAATAAATAGGCGAGATTCGGCGTTTTTGTTATCATTAGCTAATGAAATAGAAACATCTGTCTCCACATTTGTAGATGGTTTTGATGTTGTTTTATAATGAAGAATTCGTGTATTCTCTGTTTGAAAAGGTGTATTAGAAACATGAGAATTAATATTATAAACTGACGATGTAGTCGGATTAGGAAATAGATATCCATTACTCCTATTATTGGTTGAAATTCTCGAATGTTTATCTAAAACATGCTTTTCTGACGGTCGTCGGTGAACTTGATGTAAAGAACGAGGAGATAAAAGAGGATATTCTCTTGAATGAATAGAGCGTTTAAGTTCTTGACGAAGATATCCCGGAGAAATCACTGACGCATAAGGACGATGATGTTGTATATATATATTATTCATATTTATTGCTGACGCTGAACGAGGATCAATTCTAGGTAATGAACGAACCATATAACGATCTGTATAAAAAATAATAATAAGCATCCACATATATAACAAAATCTTTTATTTAATTAATACCTTTTGATCTGCTATGAATTCCTGCACTTCTATTACGAGAAAATGAATATTGCTCATTATTATAATCTGTTTTGTTATAATATGAATATCCATGTAGAAATGAAACACGACTAGATGATATCCTAGATGATTGCTGCGGTTCTTCCGTTGTCCAGCTTTGTACAACACTTGCTGCTGCCATTGATTTGACGTTTATTATCAAAAAAAATATACAAAAAAATATTGTAAATTTCAAAAATATCTTTTAAACAATCCACAAAATGCCTATAAAAGACATAAGATCTGATCACTCATATATAAAAGCCAATTCATATGGCTTTATAGCCTTTATTTTAAGCAATTCACTTCTTTATTGAATAAATAGAAATGAGGATGATGATTAATATCGGTTGTTATGAAATCTCAAAATATAATATATACGATTTTATTAAGAAAAATAGTATTTGTTTTAAATATGATAATTCAATACGTTTTTGTTTATTTATTGCTATTTTGTTGTTTATTCTGTATAAAATATGTGTTTTTATAATCGTCAAATTTTTAAGGTCCTATTTTGATATTGTTTTTTTAAATATATATTAAAACGATTTAAAACCTCACTTGCAAAGAGTCTTAATGATTTAAATGGTTTAAACCATTTTAAACTTAATTCTTTATTGTATTTAGAATGGTCGCACATCTTAACACCTAACAGTTAAATAAGATTTTACTAAATTTACAACAGAAATTAATATTAATCTTTCTATGGATTTTTAAAAAGATGTATATAAATATATTTGATTTACTAATCATTAATAATTATTAATAATCATATTTTAATTTATTATAAAAATATAATCAAATATAAACTAATATATGAAGATTGTATATTAAAGATATTAATAATTTTATGAAATAAGATCTAAAAAAAATGATTTGGTTAATATTTATGTTTAATTATTATGTATTTTTATTATAAAATAATAAATAAGATATTTTTAGATAATTAAGGTTGATATAATTTATCGTAAATTAAAATTTTCAACGTCTATAAAATTTTAATATAATTAAGTAGTAGTTATTATAATGAAAAAAGCTTTGTTTGATGGCACGCAAAAGGAGAAATAAGGAATCTTTGGATAATACTAGGGATAAAACAGCTTTGCAGAATAAATCATTATCACTTTTTAATAGAGGATCAAAATTAATATCATTTTTATTTCCACATAGAGGATTTGTGCAATTTTTTTCTAATAATGGAGGCTATTCTAATGAGAATAATGATGTTGGGATGGAGTTGAGGCATACGTTTTCATTTGATGTTCCATTATCAATTTCAGGGTTTTCAAATGTTGGTTTTTATAGGAATATAAAAAAATTAAAAAATGATAAAAAACGGTCAGATTTTCAGCTAAAATTTTTAACTCATATGTATAAGAATGAGCCGCGTAATGATGAAGTATATCAATATGCTCCACTTTTAGATTCATCACATTTATTTGTTTCTCAATATCCAAAAGGAAAACCTTTTCCTCCGATAATTGAAGATGAACCGTCATATTATTACCTTATTACGACATATTTTTCATATCTTATTCTTATTATTTTGGGTCATATACGTGATTTTTTTGGTAAAAGATTCAAAAAACAAAAATATTCACATTTGCGTGCACATGATGTAAGTATGATTTTATTTAGTTTTATTATAGATTTGATTTTTTTTTTGTAATAGGGATACGCACCTCTTAATTCTGACTTTGATAATTTTTATGTTAGGCGACTTAAAATGCGTATAAATGATTGTTTTAGTAGACCTACTACAGGTGTACCGGGTCGGATGATTACATTAATTGAACGTGTTAGCTATGATTATAATAAAACGTTTAATTTTACTGGAAATTTGATTGAGTGCTTAAATTTTTCTTCATATAATTATTTGGGCTTCGCACAAAGTAATGGCCCTTGTGCTGATTTTGTTGAAGAAGTTATTAAGAAATGGAAGTTCAGTAGTTGTGGGGCTAGATCTGATGCTGGTATTTTTGACTTCTAAATTATAGTATATATAATAATGAATTTTTAGGTACTCTTGATTTGCATGTACAATGTGAAGCATTGGTTGCTAAATTTGTTGGGAAGCCTGCAGCATCGATATATAGTATGGGATTTGCTACGAATGCAACTTTGTTTTCTGCTCTTGTATCAAAGGGATGTCTTATAATATCTGATGAACTTAATCATTCATCTATTCGCTTTGGTGCTCGTCTTTCTGGTGCAAGTATTAGAATGTTTAAACATAATAATATGGAGGATTTAGAAAAGTTATTAAGAGAATGTATTTCTCAAGGTCAGCATCGTACACATAGACCTTGGAAAAAAATTCTTGTCATTGTAGAAGGATTATATTCTATGGAGGGGACTCTTTGTAATTTGCCGGGTCTTATTTCGTTAAAGAAGAAATATAAAGTAATGTTTTTTAGATACTTTCTTATTCTAACATATTTAGTTTTATTTGTATATAGATGAAGCGCACAGCATTGGAGCTATTGGGCCTCGTGGACGAGGTGTTTGTGATTATTTTTCTATTGATCCATCAGAAGTTGATATTTTGATGGGTACGTTTACTAAGTCTTTTGGTGCTTCTGGAGGGTATATTGCAGCTGATAAGCACATAATTGATAAATTACGATTTCTTAATGCTGGATCTCTTTTTTCAGAAGCTATGAGTCCTATAGTTGTTGGTCAAATTATGTCTAGTATTAATATTATTCTTGATGAAACTCAAAATGAAGGGAAAAACCGTTTACAGCGGCTTGCATTTAATAGTCGATATCTTCGACTTGGGCTTAAACGTTTAGGTTTTATTGTTTATGGACATGATGATTCTCCTATTGTATTGTATGTTAGCATTTATAATTGTTGATTATTAAGGACCTTATTGGTTTTAGAATACTCTTGTATAATCCTGGAAAAATGCCGGCCTTCTCTCGTTTAATGTTGGAGCGAAGAATTGCTGTTGTTGTTGTAGGTTATCCAGCAACTTCTCTTGTAGAATCTCGGGCTCGATTTTGTGTTTCCGCTGCCCATAATAAAGATGATTTGGATAGGCTCTTGACTGCATGTGATGAAGTTGGTATGAAAATCTATGTTAAATATAATTGCTTATATCATTAGGCGATATTCTTCAACTTAAAAATAGCAGTGGAGCTGCTGGAGAAAATGTGGGTGTAAGACATTTAGAATATCTTCTTAGTGGTGCTTATAAAGTATTTCATCCTCCTCCACGCTGGGCTCTTAAAGATGTTATTGAACGAGGCGTAGATGATGTTAAGGATTAAAGTTTCTACTTTTGATTCTTCTATAATATTTACATTAATATTGAGTTATATATTATATTGAGGGTATTTTTGTTTACTTCATACTATATAACATGATTTCTTAAGTATTTTTACTTTTATTACTATAATTTGTTTATTATATTGCTTTTAAAGAGTATGAATTTTGATTAAGTGGATTAAATTATGATTAATTTATTCTATATTTCGAGAACTTAGTGCTTATTTTAAGGGTTTAACTATATATATTATTTTCTGTAAAATGGTTTTTAAAGTAAGAGGATATATCTTTAATTGCGTTTATTTTATGTTTTTATTTTAGAAAATATATTATATTATTAGGAAAATAAATATTTTAATATTTAGGTTATTTTCATTTACATAAATACATTTGTATAGTGTAAGTATTGGTTTTTTAATTTATATAAAAGCCGAATTTGGAAGTGTATTGGTATAAATATTATTTATGTATTATCCTGTAATATAGGCAATGTATTATCTTTGAAAAATATTTAGATATTTTTAATAATTAAAATGTTTTTCATTTACTATGTTTGAAAAAATAATTAAATAACCTTAATTATATAATAAATGCTATTTCTTTAGTAATTTCTGTATTAGATATTTTTATTTTTTTATAGAAATTAATTTTAAAATTTTGTGTTTAGTAATAATATATAAACATAATCTATTAAAATGTATAATATCTAGTAAATATAATGATATAAATATTTCTGTAGTTGGAGAAACTGTTTTAAATTTTCATAATGATGTCATATATAATAAAAGATGCTTGCAATTTAGAAGAGTATACTGTAAGTTTGTTATAATTAAAGACTGAGAATCCATAAGCTAATTTTCATTAATTTATTAAAATAGTATATAAGTTATACCTGTTCTATGTTTTTGTTTAAAAGAAATACGCCAAATTTAAAATGAGAATAATCTTGCCCTTTTAGCCATAAAGGAAAACTTTATTATCAAAAATATGAAAAAGGAAAATGACTTATATAATTACCTCCTAGAGTTTTGAAAAGTATCAATAGGATCTTCAATAATAGAACGACTACACATAGGTCGAATAGGATATCTTAAAGGGATCCTCAAATAAAAAGATAATAAATATATTAAATGTGCTGTATATCCTAGGCCGGCTGCAATTTGATTATTATCATGCTTATAATAATCCGTATTTGGAAGAAAGATATTACAAATGGTAAAATCAAGAGGTTTATCAATAATTGGTTCTATAGGGAAAACGTTTTGCAATTCAGTTGCAATATGACATTTATATATAGATATTTTTTTAAAAACTTGAGATAAGGTCTCTTTTCTGTGTTGAAGAATTTTTCTGGCATCCTTAATGCAATTTATGACCTTCTGTTGATTTTGCAAACTTATTTTTATAGATTCTCGCCTTATATTTAAACTTTTTTGAAGAGAATATTTATATTCTTTTGCTAAATTAAACAAATTTAAAATATTAAATAGCAAAAAAGTAAAATACCAGCTTTAAATTTTTTATTTTCGAGAGCAATAGTATTCTCTAATTCTGATAAATTTTTAGATGATTTATTCTTTTGTTTTTGAATTTCAAATAGTTTGTAGTATTTGTCAAAATGTTTTTCAAGAGATTTCATTAATATTCTTATAGATCTATTTGCATCCCATATACATTTTTCTAGAGTATTTAGTTTCATAATGTCATGATATGAATAGCATTCTTTAGCCTTTTATTGTTAAAAATATTAGTAGTATTAATAGAAAAATACCTCTGATAGATTAGTAGGCATGTACATGAGTGGACATGTTAAATTATGATATGAATAATATCCATCGTTAAACCTTAAAATAATACAATTTTTTGGAAAGGATGATTTCAAAGAATAAAGCTATTTAGTTAGAAAAATATTAGATAAAATATTATATTCATACATTTTCTCCAAGATAGTTTAAAGATGGGAGATGTGTTGGTTGCTTTATTAATAATCGGAAAGGCCCTCCATTTGATATCCAAACGCAAATTATAAGAGAAGATAGACAAATAAATGATGTTTTTATTGTAGAAAAATCAAATGATAAAAAATTCGGGTTCTATAGATATCTTAGTATGTAAACAAATATATATTGCAATAATAACCATCGTTTTTGTAACAATTTCACTAATATATAAAGGATGCTCTAAATTATTAGTATATTGTTAACATTATTATATAAAATACCAATACTTTTAACATGTAATGTAAAAAATGTATCTACAAGATGATTTTTTAATGCTTTTTCCAAATGTACTAAACGTAATAGTGGCTCTTCATAACTTATTAAGCCACTTCTAACACTATGTTGTCTTATTCTACATGGCGCTAGAGGCTCTAATTCCTTTTCTGAAATATTCGCTTTTAAAATAGAATAATTTATTTCATTTTTCTTGTCACTTTGTTCTTTAAAATCTTCTCTTAATTCATCAAACACTTTATTATTATATATATCATGTTCCTGTATTCCACTAGATATCCCCTGTTTATTCAATTCCTCAATACTTATATTTCTTATAGAAATTCCTTTTAAATGGCATATTTTCTTCTATTATTTTATATTTAGAAATATTATTATCTTGTTGAATTTTATCTTAAAACCTCTATTAAAAAAACATTTTTTAATGAATATCTACTCTTGTTTCCATCCATTTTTTATTAAAACACTTTTATTTTATGCTTTTTTTTTGTTTCAAAAAATATATATGTTTTTAATCCTTTTTTTTTTTAAATAAAAAAGACCTTTATCTTCTAGCCTAATATTCTTTTTGATAATTCATAGATTTTAACTTATTTCTTGCTTTTCATGCTTGAAAATAATAATAATAATTTCTTATTTTCTTGTGACGTTGATTCCTGCAAATTTTAAGAAAATTTGGTTAACGTCCAGCTTAAATAAAAACATTGAATATGCTTCTTTATAGAGATATTATTAGTGGTGACGAACTTATATCAGATGCGTACAATTTAAAGGAGGTTGATGATGTAGTATATGAGGTTGATTGCGCTATGGTTCAAATTAAACAAGGAGAAGTTGATATTGGTGCCAAGTAATATATTTATATTTATTTTATTTTTCTGATTTATAGTCCATCTGCTGAAGGAGATGAGGAAGTAGCAGAAGATGGTGTTGAAATTGTGAATAATGTTGTTTATTCTTTTCGTTTAGTTTCTACAACATATACAAAAAAAGATTATCAAGTTTATATTAAGTAAAAATAAAATAATTTTTAAATAGAAAATTAATATTATTTAAGATCATATTTGAAAAAGCTCAAGTAAAGGGAAAAATGAAGTGTAATATGATTGATGTGTTTTTTTAGACAGTATTTGCAAGAGAATCGACCAGATCGTGTTGAAGTATTTGAGAAGGGAGTGACGACATTTATTAAAAAAGTTTTGGCTAATTTTTCCGATTATGATTTTTTTATAGGAGAAAGTATGGATGTAGATGGTTAGATTTTCCTTTAGATATGTATTTATTTATTAATTGGAAATATAGGAATGGTAGTGTTGTTGAATTATCGTGAAGATGGAATAACACCATATATGACATTTTTTAAAGATGGTCTTAAAGAAGAAAAGCTTTAAGCATATTAAATAGAAAAGAAGCAATATGTATGTAAAATATTAGAAAATATGTAAAGTATATTTTTTTATTTAAAAATGAGATGTGTTATTAATATTGTTATGGGTTGATATGTTTTTCAGACCACCACCATGGATGAAATGCTTTAACACCAATAATATGATTATTATTATCTTGATCTGTGTGATGAATAATATATTTATGTTGTTCAGATTGATTGAACACACTATCAAGACGCATAAGTCCTAATCCAATATTACCAATTCCTGAACAAAATTTACCCACATTTTTTTCTGTAGAATCCTCTCTTACAATATTAGTGGCTTGTACAGGGAAATAAAACTTTAGAGATGGAATATATTTAAGTATAGATGGTGGTGAATCGTTTGGATTATAAAATGAAATAGGAACAATTCGTTTTCTTACAACACCTGCATGATAAATTCTTGTTGTAAGTTCTTGACCAATATAACATCCTTTGTAAAAATTAACTATAAATTTATTAATTTTTTCAAATATATTCATATTTATGTATACTTCCTCCCATGTAATCCAAACAACTTTCTATAGGAAATGCTTTATTTTCAAAAATATCATCTGGCCCTTCTGGAACACCTAAAAGGTATCTCTTTATTCTATAATTTTCTAAGGGCACTTCATCTAATTCAAATGTCGGTTTAATATTGTATGGTAGAATATCTCTTCTCCCCATTCCTGGTGCTCGATAATCATAACAACCAATTGATTCTTTTATTTTACAATCATTCTTCTCGTCTATACCCCATGATGACCAAATACTCCATTCATCATTATCTACTAATTCCAAGGACACTCTTGAACGAAGTTTGTAATGTTTTAAGTGATTAAGTAGATTTTCAACACTACGTACATCACATTCAATAAAAAAGGCTTGATAATTCTTATTTTCTGATATACTTCTACTTTTCCTCCATACAGAATTATGTGCTATTGAATATATAAAAGCATCACATAAAATTCGTCCCTGATGATTAGTTGATTCTTAAATACTCTATAAAAACTATACTTGTGGCAAGAAAAAACCAGAAAAAACGCCACTGCCAGGTCCTTCTGATGGAATATTATTAGATATCATATTTTGAAGGAATTTTCCTGCATCCAATCCGTATATTTCAATTAATCGTCGCTTAGGATTAAGACGAGTCATGCCTTTATCAAAAGGAATTTTTAAAGTATTTGAAAAAGACCTATAATAAAGGTAGAGGAGGCGCTGAAATTTGAGTTTCAGGTCTTTAGTTATCTTCATTTATTTTTATCTAAACGTTAATATTTTTAATATCGGGATTGCCGACGTCTAGGTTGGCCGAGTAATAAGAATGAGATATTAATAAGGTTAAACAGGTAGTATAAAAGCTTTAAAAGCATCTCTGACATGTTTTAGATATATATAGTTTTATATGTATGAGTTTTTCGGATTAAAATTGATTAAATAGAGCAAAAGATAAGCTTATTAATTTAGGATTTTTGACAATATAAAAATGGAAAAAGTAGATAGACTTCAGTTGGAAGCACTTGTAAATAAATAATGGTACTAAGTGTATTTTATGGTTTATTATGTATTTAGGAGTCTATTCGTCTGTTTATTAAATCAAAAACATGTTATGATGTGTTGCCAGTGAGTTTTCGGATGATTGTTCTAGATACAGAGCTTTTAGTTAAGAAAAGTCTGACGATTTTGTTTCAGAATAGTAATTCTGTTTATGCTTTTATTTGAAGAATATTAAGGTTTTAGATATTGTTTCTGCGCCTTTATGGAATATGAAAACATGTACTTTTGCGGGTTTATTGACGGTTTCTGATTTTATTAATGTAATTCAATATTTTCATCAAAACGCATCATATTCTCAGACGTTAGAAGATATTGAAAAATTGAAGTTAGATGGTTTAAGAGGTATTTGTATTTGCTGAAAATGTATTTTTAAGTTGAATTGAATCAGATATTGAAAAAAGTATCAATGCTCCACCCTTGGAAACAATTTCAATCAATCCCATGCGAAGTCTTTATGAAGCATGTGAAAGAATTAGGTTGACAAAAGCAAAACGGATTCCTTTGATTGATCATGATGATGAAACATATCATGAAGTAGTTGTCAGTGTTTTAACACAATACCGTATATTGAAGTTTGTTGCCTTAAATGTATACTTTAGGAGATATGTTTCTTGTTCTGAAATAAAAGTAGTGTTATAAAGAGACGAAAATGCTTCGAAAGCCATTGTGTGATTTATCAATTGGAACTTATGAAGACCTTGCAACTGCTAGTATGGATACACCTGTCATTGATGTAATTTATCTTTTAGCTAAGAGAGGAATATCAAGCGTTCCTATTTTAGATTCAGATGGTACGTTTCTTTGAAATTGAAAATTTAATAATATTTAAGGTATTATATTGAATATATATGAGGCAATAGATGCTTTGGTAGTTTTAAGAGTTAAGGAATTGTAACATAATTAATAGTTATAGCATTTGATTCAATCTGGCTCATATTATGATTTGGAGCTCACCGTTGGTGAAGCTTTATTACGACGCTCTGAAGTAATGAAATTGATAAGTTTCTTTTATTTTATTTTAACAATTTATAGGATTTTGGCGGAGTTCATACGTGTACAGATCAAGATAGCTTGGATGGTATTTTTGATGTTATCAGAAGGTCTAGGATTCATCGATTAATTGTTGTGGACAAAAATGGATGTTTAAAGGGTTTGGTAACCTTATCTGATATTTTACAATATATTATGGTTGAAGAAATACCGAGTCAATGATTTTATAGAAATTTTATATTAATGAATTTATTGTTGATTTTTGTATTTATTTAGAATATTCATTTAATGTTTTTTATAAAAGTATATTGTATTGCAATTTAAAATTGCAAATTTTTCGAAGTATAAAAAATATGAAATAATGGCGTTTTATTAAGTAACATGATATAATTGTTTAACTTGATGTTAGTGGTTTTTAAAAAAAATACATAATTTTTTGTTATAACTATTGATAAATCATACGAAAGTATAGTTACCATTCTGCAACTAGCTTTACTTGTCTATTGTTTTTATAATCTTCTAAATCCTTTTCTGCAGTTTCTGCTCGTTTTTGCCATGCTTCTGATTTCCTTTGCCAATCGAGACATCTACTAAATAACCTTTCTGCCTCTTGAGTTTTGATTTCTAAATGAATTTGTATTTCTTCTTTTTCCTTCTGAGTTATAACAAGTTGATTTTTAAGATTAGTTATTTTTTCTTTGTATTCTAACTCATCTGTAAAGTTCTTGTTAGATTTTGGTAATGTTCCGTTAGAATTTGTTTCTATTAAATTTAAATATTTTTAAAATTTTTTATATAAATATTACCATCTGTATTTGTGCGTGCTGTTGTAAAAGTATTATTGTCTAAAGAGGAAAATTTATTTAACATATGCTCATCCATGTTTGGATCAATGTTTTCTTTATTATCATCATAGAATTTTTTATAAAAATCCTTGTTTTCAGAATGCTCTATTTTGTTTTGGGAGGTATTCTTATTAAATTCAGAAATATGTAGAGATGGCTGAAGCTTTTTTAATTGTGCTATTATTTGTTCCCAATAATCAATTATAGTTTCGATAAGTTTAGCACTTTTCCTTGCTTTTTCTTTTTCTTTTTTTATTACTTTCAATGGACCTAATTGTTCTTTATTAGACAATTTTTCTGAATTTATGATGTCTGAAATATCAGATGAATTTATTTGTCTTCCTAATAAAGTTGGTGCAAATACTAAACCAAGTGCTTCTGGCTTCATGTAATTTAGATCTTTTGGATAATTCAAGATACGTTCTTTTTGCTCTGTACATGTTGCTACTGCCCTTAAAAGTGCAAATACTGAACAAGCTAAATAAAATCTATTTTGATCTTCAATTGTAGATAAGGCTAATGCAAGCATTCGTGCGCGTATTTCAGGTGGCATTAAGACACGGGCTGAGGCTCTGTCTTCTAAAAGAGGAAAAAGAGCTTGAAGTTGTAATTTATTTCCAATAATTCCCCCTGGTAATTCAACTAGTAATTTTTTTATCAAACTAGCATAATCATGAATATTAGGATTTATTTTAAAATTCTCTATATCTGTTTCAAATGATATTTTGGATTTATTTTTTAAAAAGTGTTCAATAAAAGATCTTATAACTGATCGTGATCCATTTACTCTAAAAAGACCAGGTGTTTCAAGACCTATAAGTAGATCAATTATATGAGGAAATATTAAATCAAATACCCTTTTCCAGGATTTTTGTTACACATATCTTAAATATTAATGGAACTTTGTGCTCACTGAACATTAAATTTTCCGGAAAGTTTGTTATATGACTCGTACCCATCTCTTGAACAAGAGATGATAAAGGAACTCCAAATATACCATAAGATTCGTGAGAATTAATGTTACAATATTTCTCAAAGCATTCGTTACAAGGATTTTCGGTGCTGTTTAATGTGTTTACTTCTACAGGATTTTGTACTGATTTTTTAAATATATTCCGTTTAGAATTTGATTTTGATATAGTATTGTAATACTTCTCCGAACGTTTGCTTTTCATTATTTTCCCTATCCACTTCGAGGAATGAAATAATGAATGATTCGCTTGGTATTTACATAATTTTTTAATGAGTTTTTTTTGTGTTTCTGGTTTGTTTTGTTGGCAAATTTGTTCATTAGATTCATTATTTTCTTCTTCACTATTTCTTGGATAACATGGCAGCTTGTATTGTGTTGCTAATGAATTGTATTCTGAAATGAAATCCATACTTCCAGAGTCGGATTGTTTTGAAATACTTGATATAGAACAAAGAGACTTCTCTGATAATATAGGATAGTGTCTTACTTCACAAGATTCGTTGCTAAATATATAAATATCTGTATCTTTTTTGATATCAGACATGTTTTTTGATTTGGATTAGATTAAATATAGCGATTGTTTTTTTTTGAAGGGCGGTAAGAATCAGTTTCCAAAAAGCTATTTTCATATAAATTTTGAGATAATCTAATAAATATTAGTCGGAAAATATATAGTCTAGAGAATCCTAACTGTATTTCTTGAATTTTTATAATTTATTTTTACAAATATACAACTCATTCACTTTTCGATCTAATCATAACAAAAAATTGACTTGTTAAATAGATAAATGAATGATAACGTCTGATATAAATAAAAATTAAAATACAGAAATAATAAAACTTTTAAGGATTTATTTTTTAGAAATTATGGTTGTTTTTAATTCAGTTATATAACCAGAAAAAATGTAATGTTCATTCCAAAATTTTTGTGATAATAGCAGTTCCTACCGTTTTTCCCCCTTCTATATGAAGTTATAAAAGCCAAAGAATGAAAAGAAAAGGTCACCTCGAATAGTAAACCTCATGCCATCTTCTAGAGCAATATCATGGATTAATTCGCAAACCTAGAAATATCAGAAATAATCAAGAGGTATAAAATATGTTTTACCAGCTCTACATTATCGCCAGGCATGACTACTTTAGAGTCTGCATCTTTAGTTTCTTTAGGATGTGAGAGTATAATTGTAACATCTATAAAATTAATAATTGAATAATTTGTTTTTTTTATAAAAAGATAATGTTACCGGAAGTACGACAGAACATTTGGGGACGATAATAATTTACAAAGCCTGTTTTTCTTCCTCCTTCTTTTTCTGTAAGAATGTAGAAGGATGCAAGAAACTACAAAATAAATTAAAAAAGTTTTTTTTTAAATACTTTCTTGCCTTTTTATAGGATTTAACGGTTCCAGTACGGGCAACTACCATTCCCCTACGAACCTGTTCCCTTTTAATGCCACGGAGAAGTAAACCGCAATTATCGCCAGCTATAGATTGGTCTAATTCTTTGTTGAAAGCTTCGATTCCTGTAACTATTGTTTTTATTGGTGTCCCGAACCCAATCAGCTCCACCTCTTCTCCTTTTTTTAATGTTCCACGCTCTACGCGTCCAGTTACAACCGTTCCTCTTCCAGAAATTGAAAAAATATCTTCTATTGGCATAAGATATGGTTTTTGAATATCTCTCTGAGGCACAGGTATATGATTATCGATTGCATCTATAAGTTTCCATATGGAATCTTCTCCAATCTCTTTTTTTTTTCCTTCTAAAGCACATAAAGCAGATCCCACAATAATTGGGGTTTTTTCTCCATCAAATCCATATGTCGAAAGAAGTTCTCGGATTTCCATTTCCACTAGCTCAAGCATTTCTTTATCATGAACTGCATCTACTTTGTTGATAAAAACAATAATATGTTTAACCCCAACTTGGTGAGCAAGAAGAAGATGTTCTTTAGTTTGTGGCATAGAACCATCTGTAGCAGATACAACAATAATCGCTCCATCCATCTGAGCAGCACCTATGGCTTTTAAATACTTTTTACTCTTTAGACGTTATTCGAACCAGTAATCATGTTTTTAATATAGTCTGCATGACCTGGACAGTCAACATGGGAAAAATGGCGCTTTTTTGTTTCGTATTCAATGTGTGATGTTGATATTGTTATTCCTTTAGGATATATAAGTACTTTTAATATTTCTTTTCAAAGAATAGATTTACCCCGAGCCTTTTCTTCTGGTGCTTTGTCGATTTCTGAATAGTCTTTAAAAGATGTTTGATTTATTGTCGAAAGGCACTTAGTAATAGCTGCTCTATAAAATCTTCTATATATTCTTATATGTTTTTTTAAATCTTACGTAAGTGTTGTTTTTCCATGATCAACATGGCCTATAAAGATATTTATTTCAAATTCTCTTTAAATATATAATAGTTTTTACCAATAGTTCCGATATTTATATGCGGCTTAGACCTGTCAAACGTTGCCATATTCCGTACAATTGTTTGTCTATAGATTATTTTTTGATGTTCGATCTGTGACCATATATCTATAGATATTACAAGTTAATTATATTTATTAAATATCAGATATATAAAATGATACTCCATCTTGTATTAGAGGAAAAAAATGGACGTAATGGTTTTGAAAGATTACAGATCTTTATAGCTTTTGTTATCATATTTAAGGTAATCGTGGATTTTTGACGTTAAGGTCTTAGAAATTAGAGTTTACCGATATAAAAAAAGCTTACTACAAAAAACTATAAATTCTATTAATTATTAAAAGTTTTGTATATTTTTTTAAGTTATATTTATTGGACTAAAAAATGGCGTAAGTTTAAGAAAAATACAATAATAATATGTATTTTTGATGAGCTAATTTGTTATAGTGATTTAGTATCTAAACCTCGATCGGAATTGACAGAGGCAGAATTACAACAGTTAGAAGCTTATGAGTTTGATACAGGTCCTCTTTCTGTTTTACAGCAAGGTGATTTGTTCTATTTATTGAATTAGTTTATTTTTAATGAAGTTTTAGCTGTACGGAATCATAATCAAGTGTTAATTAGTTGTCGAAATAATCACAAGCTTTTAGCTCGTGTAAAAGCATTTGATCGTCATTCTAATATGGTTTTGGAAAATGTGAAAGAGGTTGAATTTTAGTAGTTTTTTTATTTTATTAATATCTATAGATGTGGACTGAGGTAGACGAATGTTAATATTTTTTTTCTAATAATTTGTTTAGACCCCAAGAAATGCTAAAGGAAAGAAGGGGAAGCCTGTTAACAAAGATCGGTTTATTAGTAAAATGTTCCTTCGCGGAGATAGTGTTATTCTTATATTGAGAAATACAGTGTAATTGATATTTTATATTATTATGTATCTTTTTTTATGTAACAAATTTATATCATTTATATGTATTATTTATTGTTTTTTTTGCTATATTTTTTTTTCTCTGAGTAATATGTTAAATAATTTATTTTTACTAATTGTTTATGAGCCAATCTTTTATAAAGTTTGATCATATTATGTGAGTTTGGATTTTATATTTGTGTTTAATGTATGAATAATTTCTTCAGTGATATTAGCATTCCATTTCCGACAGAACAGCTTGCATCTCAGGTGGCAGCTGTTTTGTCTGTTGATTTGGAATTGAAGAAGCATTTGGTATATAGAGAAATAAGAGTAGATGGGCTTTATTTTTCTGTAGTGTTTCAGAGCAATGATTTAAAAGTCTTACGTGTCTCTGTAGATTCATTTTTAGATAATATTATTTTAATAATTCGTACAGTAAATGAATGTGGGGATTTGTAGTTTGGTAAGAATATGTTGTATTTATTATAGGAGTTTTTGATGTGCAATCAGTTTGTTTGAGATTGTTTAGAAACGGAAAATAGATGGGAATTTGTAAAAATTTATAAGTTATAATGCTACAATATTTTTTCATGTTTTGATTACATAAGTTTTTTCTTTTGGATATCTTAAGTTGTTGGAGTAGCGGTTTTTTTATTTCGGATTTATAGTTGATAATCATCTATCTACATGATTTGCATTAAGTTTTGAGGTGTCTATATTGGGTTTTTAGAAAGTTTCCTATAATATAGATATAAAATGTGTTATTAGGATGGATTTTTATTGGAGTTTTTATGCTTATTCTTTATTATATTATGTAGATTAGTTAGGAAATTTGCATGTTATTCTATCATAGAAAAGTTGTATATTAGTGAATGTTGAATAATTTTTTGAGTGTTAAAATATTAATATCTATGGTATGAATAAATGTAGCTATATTATTTAAATATATATGTTATGATTGGCTTTGTGGTTGTCAAAATGTAATTTAGAAAATATGAGTTATAAAATATCAAGTTTAGGTTACCGATATTTGTAGATTTTATTGTGATTATTGATTGATCTGTAGAATGTGATTTTAAAATATATTAAGCTAGCGTTCAACATCTTGTAAATGTTTTATAGTTGTTAATAATCAGAATTGTATATATATTGAAACTATGGAAGTATTATAAACTACAGAATGAATTGATATATATTTAATCATTAATACTACTGTTTAAAATTTTTTAATCTTATAGAAATAAGTTTATTTAGCAATTTTAAAGTAGATTAGTTGAAGATTATTTTTTGTTAAGATTTATATATTATTTGTTACAAGGATTATTAAATTTCATAAAAAAAGTTATCTTGGATATTATAAGGATATATGTTATAATAATTAGTTTGAATTCATTTGAATGTATATGATGGCTTTCGTTTGTGTATTAATGAGATGGTCTTTTTATTATAAAATGTATAATTTAAATTATTTCGTTTTTGAAGTTTTCGAGATTAAAGTTACTGGATAAGTATTAATCTAATATAGTTTTGTTTTGATAAAATGCTAAATATTTGTAAAACATTTATCTGAAAAAATGTATTATTTTCAATAGATATGGTTGTTCTATTAAATGTTTATTAAATAAAAGCAACATAGGTCTTTAGTATTAAATGGATAAAATAAATATTTCTAACTTATAATGTTTTAATTTAAAATATTTAAGTTATAGATATATTTTGAATTAATATAAATAGAAATAAGTATTAGATTATGTATATACATTTAAAGGGTTTTGATATTAGTGTTAAAATATGCCAAGTTAAACACAATAGGGTCAAAGTAAAAGTATTCGGTAAATAACATATAAAACAGCAAGATAGCACAATTCTATGTAATGACGGAAGTGGCATGAAAACGGATTTGAAATAATAATATTAGTCTTAAAAATGTATATAGATGAAATAATTTTAATATAAAGGGCTATAATATGATAAATGTGTTGATATTTAGATTTTCGAATGTTGGGTTTTTGAAAATGAAAAAAAAACTATTATAGATCTGTTTCAGTTTTAAATATGATGCAGTACATGAATGCTAGATTTAGATATCGATTTATTTTATTAATTTTATAGAATTATGAACGCTTATTCCAAAGGCTTGATAATGCATAGAGATTTGATAATGCAGTTTAATAGTCATTATTAAAACTATAGAAAAAATATAAAAGCTATAGCAATATTTCTAATGGCTATAATTGGTAATAATAATTGCATTTTTAAGTTTGATACAAATATAGTTTCAAATAATCTGATATATATGTAAAGCTTATTAAGTAAAATCGAAATGTTAATATGAAAATGTATTGATATAACAAAATCAATTAGATAAGTTTTGCTGTTTCCAAAAAAAGGATCGAGTAAATATACAAAAAGTGGAAAAAATACTGCTTGTTTTAATTTTTTTGATTATGATCTGACTCCTAAGAGATAATCGAAGATGTACAAATTAGGAATTTTGGTAAAACCCTTTTTTCTGTTGTTATTATATCCTTTAAAGGAGTTGAATGAGAATTAAATACGGAGCTTTTCGATTCGGTATTGTGTATCCGTGCTCTTAGTTTCCGATGAGATTTTCAAGGGTTTTTTTGAAAAGCTAAAAGGCTACTGCTTTTAGCCCTATATAATATATTTACGTTTTAAAAAATAATAAGCCAATCCCTATAAGAAATATTTATGGCCGAGTGCGTCTATATATTATTTTATGAGAACAATTAATGTAATTTTGTAGCGCTATATCTTGCCGTGTGGCCCTTGCATTGATTTTAGAAAATTTCTTTATGATCTCATTCAAAAATATCTATTGTTAAGTGTATTTTTATACATCCGAAAACAAATGACGGATGTAAAGAAAACGGTAATAAAAAATTGTATTATCTATTAAGGGAAAATATATGTTTATTATGTAAATTACAGCACTTAGTATATGTACATGTGCTTTATTGATAATACTTGCAATTGTCTCAATATTTGCATTTGTAGTATTTTTTTTTTCATAAAAACTCGATAACCGTAAATGTTATAATAAAACGCCACTAATGCTAAATTATCGAATATATAGCACTAACACGAAAAAATGTTTATTAGATTCTTACGTGAATTCTATTGTTTAAATTTTGATATAATTTTATATTATTTTACATGTTTTTGGTGAAAAAAACTTTAAATTTTGGTATTTTATCATTACTATTTAGTTAAATTAAGATAATTGCTTATATATATATATATATATATAAATAGTAACATAAATAATATATTTAATATACAATACGTATATTCATGTAGATCATAGCGTGAAATATACTTTTTTATGTGTATTGCTTTTATCATGTATATCAGAGAGTGTAATATTAGGTTCCTGGGCACTAAATATTTTTCCGACTGAGCATTTGTTGTCTTAGAACTAAGTGGCTTTTGAAACGTTGATCTTTATTATCAAGTTACTGCTAAGGTGTTAACTTAGCTTCTTAACTTTTTTTGGTAAGCGCAATTATAGATTAAGCGAGTAATACGTATGTGTTAAGTGTAATATGTGAACTGAGTAGTTTGAGACTTAGTGCGAAAAGCAGAATTTCTTTATTGACCATTGAATCGAGGGAACCCGGATATTGTGAAGTTCCGGATTATGTCCAGAGACTCTTTCACACGAGCATCTAAAGACAATGTTTTTTATTAAATTGATTATAGTATTAGAGAAGTTTTGAATGTTAAGTATTAAGTTATTGATTTTAAAACTCTAGGTGCCAGGATTTCAGGTAAGTTTTTAGTTACGATGTTATTAAGGTAAATGATATAAATATATAACAGGTTCTGTCAGTGTTATATTATTTTCTATAACGCAGAGCTTTTTTGCGGCATTGTTATTAATTGATTCTTGAGCCTTTTGTTGTTTAAGGCTGAGATTTATTTATAATTATATTAAGACGTTCAAAATGATGCATTGTGTGCATCCGGTGGTGATTCCGAGACCAGAAGAAGAATGGCGACGATTAATTGTTTCTTCTGGGATTCGCAAGCCACGACAGATTTCATTGTATCGGCATCATCCGTATCTTCTTGCTAAGCTTGTTTCAAAATCGAAGCAGGATATTTTAGAGGATCGAGATGGTCCATTTGCTCAATATGTTGTTTCTCCATTTCTTTCGTCAATACTTGAGTCTCATGCACCTGAATTCATTGCTCAGGTATTTTTGGCTATTATTTTCGAAGTGATTTATTTTATTAGATTGTTTGTCTGATCTGGTTTGAGACTGATTTAACATTGTTTTCTATCATTTCTAATGTTCAATCATTGAATCTGTTAAGTCCGAATTCTTTTCCTAAAGAAGAATTCCTTTCATGGAATCGAGGTGTCCTTTCTTCTATAAATATTTCAAAAAATGTTATTTTTCTTGCACTCCTTTTTATTTATCGTTTAAAGGAGAGAAATCCGATGATTCGAGGAAAGTCTGGGAGTGAGTATAGGCTTTTAACAATTGCATTAATACTCGGGAATAAGTGTATGATAGCTTCTTTATTTTGTGTATGATTTATGATTTAGTTCTTGATGATAATACTTATACAAATAAAACATGGGCGGAAATTACTGGGATATCTGTGAAAGAGATTCATGTTATGGAAGCTGAATTTCTTGTAAATATTCATTATTCGCTTCTTGTTTCGAAGACTCAATGGGAGGATTGGCAGATTATTTTGGAAAGACTTTGGACATATTCTGCGGGTTTGATGAAGATTCGGTTTTTGCGGAGTTTACCTTGCTTATCAGTGCCTTCTGATATCGCATTATCTTGTACCAATAGTTTACATCTTTCTCAGTTTATGCCTATAGTATCGACACAGTCTGTTCCCTTAGTTCCTTCTTGGGGTTATTTAAAGGAGTATTCTGTAGAATTAAAACATAAGGATTGTATTTTAGGTACATCTGCTGTATCCCTGGTTAAACGGACTTTATTGAGTCGTATTAATATGCCTTGTTGCAAATCTTAGTTATTTCTTATTATCAGGCTATTAATCAATATGATAGTTTTTTTACTCGAAGTTTTGTTTGTGGTTTAGGCTTTTGATTTTTAGGTTTTTTTCATTGGATTTTCACATTAATATGGCTCGTATTTTTTTTTCTGATCTTATTGTTTTGGCATTCATATTTTTGCCTTAATCTTTAGCATTCAGATATTCGTTTTGTTTGGGTTATTATTGTATATTATGGCTTTTGAGTATTATGTTTTTTTTTATTATTTCTTTAGCATGCGGGAATGTATTGTGTTGGTATACTTCATTTTTAACTGTCGATTTAATATGGATCATGAAATGGATCGTAGTATTACTTTTATCTGAAGTTACAATTTTTAGGGGTCTTATTGATAAACGTATGTACTTTTTCTGTTTGCATATGTCAGATATAATATATATGATTCAACGGATGCTTGAAAAAACAATGTATAATATTATTAGACAGAGTGTTCTGATTTTATTAGTATTTTTTCATTTATTATTGGTAATTTGATCTCATTTGAGTTTATTGAGGGTTTTTTTTACATGGGATAAGTGTATTATGATTGATTGTTTTGGTTTTATTTCTTATGTGAACACCTTTTTATATGTTTTTTTTTTTTCTAATTTATCGATATATATTTTTATGTATATATTTGGTAATGTAGAGAAATGAAAGTTATTATGTATTTCTTATATATTTTCTTGAGGCCTAAGGGGGGTTATTTGAATTTATTATGCCTGTAAAAAAGGGTTTCCGTTTACATCGTCCTGTTTCTAGATATTTTGCTGGGAAAGGTCCTGAACCAGTTGAATCAGATGACAGTGATTATGTATCTGATGAGGATAAAAATAACCCACCATCTCATCATGATAAACAACCTATTAAAATACAGGCTCCTGTTATTGATTTTCAAAAAATTGATGATCATGAAAAATTGAATACAGAAGAATGGCAATTAGATTCCAGTGAAATCAGGCAGAACGATACGGCGGATTCTGAAGTATCTGATGAGGTATTTATAAAATCTATCTTTTGCGTCTTATAATAAATCTTTTATAGGAAACGAGTGGATATGAAACAGATGAAACAGATGAAACAGAAGAAACAGAGGAAGAACAATTAAAAATTCGATTAAAACCTATTTTTGTTCCAAAGTATGTTATTGTTTGTTATATATTATTTAATGTTAATATTCAGGTCTGAAAGAGGGAAATGTTCTAATTTGGATCAATTAGAATTTCAGAAACAGAGAATTATTGAACAAGAAAAACGTAAAGAAGAAACACGAATTCTTGTAGAAGATGAAATTAGAAAAGATGAATTCAAATATTCATCTGATGATAGTGATGGTATAGAAGTAGATGATACGGATGATTTGAATCCGGAAGAAGAGAAAGCGGCTTGGAAATTACGTGAATTGTCTCGTATAAAACGAGAGAAAATGTTTTTTGTAGAAAAAGAAAGAGAGCGTGATGAAATAGAGAGGCGACGTAATATGGATGAAGATGAGAGATTGAAAGAAGACATGTTGCGTGTAAAAGAACAAAAGGAAAAACAGCCGAAATCTAAAATGAGATTTTTGCAAAAATGGTATCATCGTGGTGCATTTTATCAGGTATTTGTTTCTTTAAATTTTTGGATTATTTATATTTTGAATAAGGATGAAGAAATTTTGAAAAGAGATTATTCTGTTCCTGTTGTGGATGAAATATCTGATAAAACATTGTTACCAAATACAATGCAAGTTCGGTATGTTTTTCTGCTTTATCATTTTTATAGACTTATATATTAAGCGGTGACAAATTCGGGAAACGAGGACAAACAAGATATACTCATTTAGTAGATCAGGTAATATATATATGTTATACATATTATATCTGACTTATTATAGGATACTAGTACAAAAGATTCTCCTTGGTTTGATAAAAATATAAATAAGAGAATTTTACCTGGTACAGATGAATATGATAGAAAAAAAAGGAGAATATAATATATTTTATTTTTTTGTTTTGCTTCCTATTTTCTGCAATAATGTTTATATAAATGCATATTTGATTTAATATTTTTGAAATTCTGATTTTAGGTCTTTAATTAAAATATTATTAAGTTTATTGTAAAATAATCAAGAAATGTTCTAGGTTAATGATATAGCTTAAATTATATGTAAGCTATGTTAGAGTACTTTAATTTTAGAAATGCTGATTAATATTGTATATTTGAATTAGAAAATTAACGCTCATGAATGATAATGTTTATAGGATAATTTATGTTGCATAACTTTATTTATTGGTGTTAAAATATAATATATATATCTGGGTTTGTACATTCTTTATACATTATTTTGGAAAACTGGTTTTAAAGAAAAAAAATGTGTTAAAGTTAAAATTTATAATATCTGAGTCGTAATGAAAATATATGTAATGAGGCACCTGTTTTTTAAAATCTTCGTGTATTAAAAAATTGTAATTAATTTGTCTTGTTTGATATTTTATTGGATGATGATGAATTATAATTCGACGTCTTGTGAGATTAATGTTTTTATAAAAATTTAGTCTATAATAGTTTTTATAATCTTCAAAAAAATATGTATCATATTTCACAAAAGTAAATTTTTAGTTTTTAAATGAAAATTTCAGTATGTCAAATTTTAGAAGATTGTTATATTAGAAATAAATCTAAACTTGAATCTTTTTTTGTTTTAATTAAGTAGTTTGATTTTTTTTAATTTCTGGATATGATGAATTGTATGATTATCATGTTATTATTGTTCATTGTTGTAACTGTTTTGTATTTTTTTTAGAAATAAAATAAATTTATGTTTTTAAGAATTTTTTAGAATTTATAATTTATGATTTTTTGTTTCTAATATGATCGAAGAGATAGAAAATATGATTTTATTGTTGATTTTATATGAAAAATTCTTAATAAATATATGAGAAATTTTTTTTTTTCTAAAATTTAGTAACAAAAATATAATAAAAATTGCAGGATATATTTCTTTTATTATACTTCTTGTTTTTGACTTAACAATATTAACATTTGAGTAACATGATATTTATTCTAGGAATGTTTTTATTTGCATATAATTTTAATTAATATTTTGTGTGACTAAAATCTTTTAGTATTATATAGTAATATGTCTATTTAAGTTTACAATACATGAATTTATGATATAATGTACTAGATGACTAATTTTGAAAATGTTTATTAAAGTTTAGTTTATTTTTTTTATTTTTTGTAGTTCTTTTTATTTTAAAGTTTTTTGGAAAGTATATTCAAGCTTTTTGATATTTATAAATAATTCATGTAGAGTATATTTTTATATGATTAGTCTATATATAATATTTAAAATATTTTAAATTTGAACTTTTTTAAGTTTAAAAGCGTTTAAAGAATAATATTAGAAATTGTCTGTTATATGTTTGTTCTTTAGGTTTTATTGAAAGTCAAAGTTTTAAAGTATTTTATTTTTCTCCATTACAATTGATTTTTTAAAATGCTATAATTTTTGTAAACTTAGGTAATTTCTAGTAAATTACTGTACAATTTATGATTGGATATGTATAGGATTTGTTTTAAGGATTTTTCTAGATGAACATTTTCTATAAATAATTACTTTCGTTTTTCATAGTATTCTAGTAAAAAATGATTCTCATAAAAATGTAAAAAAAGTATTATATAAATATAAAAACTCATGTTAAAGAATAAATTAGTTGAGTAAATACAATATAAATGATGTAAATCTATAGAAAGACTTTTTGTTGATTGCAATATTTAATACGTTCTCAAAAAAGACATTCTTTTATTTCTGAATCGTTTTTGGAAAGACGAATAACTATAGTTGTAATATTATCTGTACTAGATTGAGAAATAGCATAGTCAATTAATTTTCTGCTAGCTATATGTGGATCATAAATATTACGGCAAATATCAACAGCTTGCTGATCAGTGCATACATCCCAAAGCTATAAAATTAAAAATAAACTTTTAAAAAAAAAAAATTACTTACACCATCACATGCAAGAATAATAAATTCATCTTCATTAGGAATAAGAATAGTTTCTGTTGTAAAAGGATGGCTAATAACAAAATTTTTCATATAAGTATCACCGAGAGCACGAGTAACAGCCAAAATGCCATTAACCCTATTGTTAATAATAAGCCCTCCTGAACTAATAATTCTTTGGCTTTCATGCCAATCACTACTCCTATGGTCGTAAGAGAGACGATGAGCTTTACCACCTCTACAAAGAACTGCACGAGCATCTCCAACATTTGCAGTATAAAGAAGTTTTGTGCGTCGAATTTCATGAAAGCCTGAAATTGTTGCAAATGGCCTTTCTTCCCATCTTATAAGGGCAGCAATAGCTGTGCATCCACTGTTTTTCGATGGAAGATTAGCCAATGCATTATCAACAGATGTGAATGTAGCATCAAAAATATCAGGAATTGTTGATGATGGCATATTGTGAAGCAAATTACATAAAATAACATGAAATTGTTCTTTACAGAAGTTTGCTGCCTGATATCCTGCATGGCCATCGAAAATAGCAAAATATCCTTGATCAGTTACACCTCCAAAATCATAAATGTATGTATGTGTATCTTCCATAGTTTTTCTGCATTTTTTGTTCTTATCTTTAGCTGAGCCAATAACAAAACTATTTCCTTGCATTGGAAAGTTTTTTGTTTTCTGAAAAGCCTCTGTCATTGTTGTATCAATTTCTTTTTCAGCTTCATCAATGTTTAAGTTTAACGTATTGTATAAAGTAGCTTGTTTTTCATAAAAATCTGAAAAAGAACTTGAATGATATTTTCCTAAGGGCGCTATATTAGAAGGCACCATCTTAATTGTTTGTTTTTATCAACAATATTTATAATTTGAATCATTGAAAATTTCGGTTTTTATATAAATTCGAGTCTTGAAAAAGTCCGACAACTTTTAAAGTAACCTAAAAATTATTTTTAAAGTTTTCGAATATGATAGACATTTGGCTATATATTTTTGGTTTTAAAGGATGGGAGTTATAATAGTTGTAAATATTTGTACTTGAGAGTACTAGATTCCTTAATATTAGATTTTGATCTAAATAAAGATATTAGATTCTTCATTTTTGATTTGATAGGATGTTTATTTGTATATATTTAAGCTTATGAGAAGCAATTTTTCTACAATAAACTATAATCCGTATATTTTAATAGGTAAATGTCTTTATATAGAGTCTTATTTTTGTACGTTTTAAATTTAATAATTCAAAAAACAGCTTTGATTTACTAAAGTGAATGTGTTTTATATATTCTTTGGATATATTACATAAAATATCAATATCATGTATTTATTATAAATATACGTTGATTTATATGAAGATTGAAAAACTTAAATTACCTTTATTGATTTCATCAATATAAAAAATATTAAATATTTTGGATCATGTTGGTAAAGATGTAGTTTTACACTTTTTTGGTGAATATTAATAGCGGTATAAGAATGATTTCTTATAATGTCAAACTTTCCTTGCTTATATATCTAATCATAGCAGTTGAATTTTTAGGCAGAAATTTAGTTTAAAAATTTTATAATTTTTCTGTAATTATATGTTTGAAAAAAAAATGGTTTAATAATAGTATATATATATTTCAAAAATTGATGAGTTCTTTAATGTCATATAGGTCTTGCACATTTTCGTTCCTCAATAATACCTGTAGCATATGAACGCATTTGGTGCCAATTGATAGGATACATAGCATCACCCGTAATATCTGTAGCAAACACGACTCCTAAATCATTTTTTGCTGTAGAAAGATAATATGAATATTGATCACCTAATGATATCTTGAAATATTTATTAATAAATAGTTTTGTTTTATTTTACTTACTACTTGTGCTCTCACAATATCTCCTAGACGAAATGAAGTATAGACTTTAACCGTATTCTTGTTAATAGTTTCTATATCCTGAATCCTAAAGGAAATAGAGTAAGTTTCCCTAATATATTTAAGTGAAATTTTACCTAATGATGCCTTGAAACTCTCTTTGACAAACTACCTCATTAACTACAAAAATACTGACTATAGCTTCTTTAGGTTTAATCTTTATAACCCGGCCTAATACAAATGCATTCACCTCAGGCAAAATGGGTGAACCTTTTCCGCTGAATCTGCATAACAATCTTTCTACAGAAATTTGGCATTGTCCATTTAAATTTAAAGATTGAACTACTTTTCCTGGGATTGATGCTCGAATAACAGAGTTATAAATGATAGTACCAGGGCCTGCTATAGTAGCATTTGTCGATGAAATAGGCTGGCCCGGAAGCACCAATTTGCCTGCTTCAATAAATTTATTCATATATTCGTAAAAATGAATACTATTGTATTATAAAAAAAATATAAATATGTATAAAAAGGTGTTAATAATTCAAAAAAAAAAAAAAAATGAAAGGAATTTGGCAAAATGATTTCACAAAAAATGTTTCTTTATTGTTGAATAAATTTTAGCTTTTTAAAAAAAAAATATTTATAAAATGCTTGCAATTTTTCATGAATCACCTTTAGTTTCTGTCATTCGAAAATATTTCAATCCAAGCCAATTAATGCCTACCCATATCCATGCTACAACTCCACCAGTTAAAACAATAAGTAAAAAATAATAATCAATAATTGGAAAATCATATGATTTTTCTTGATTTTTAATATTCTAATATTTTATGTTTTTAGTTTTATTAATGAAATAACATGAATAAATTACCTCAATTCGAAATACCCATTGCCAAATTCCAAAAACCCCAGACATTCCAGTTACAAAAAGAAACCATGTAAAAATAATGAGAAACCAGCCCCACCAGATTGTATTAGTCATTTTTGAATAAACGTTTTGTCCTTTTTTATGATTCAACTTCTTTAAAAATGAAGCAGACCATTCATCATCACTTTCCTCAGAATTTGTTACGGATGGTGATGATAGATATTGTAATGTGTCAGAGTATGTCTTCTTTTTTACTTTCTTCATTTTTTTTTCATTAAAAATAATTTTATAATTATATGGATATATATTTTATTTTATTTAGGATTAAGAAATTTAAAAAATTATTAAAAATTACTAGTTTTGTAAATTAAAGTATTTTATCATTAATTTTTTTTATTTGGTAAATATTTATCCAAAAAAATTAAAATTAAAATATGTAATTTCTATAAATTAGTACATATATTATAGATATATATATAATTAAAAAATACATATGTTTAAATATTTAAATGTTTAAAATTTTTATACGTATTTGTTTTAATATTTATAATAATTTTTAATATTATACTAAATTTAGTTTTTTGGCGAAATTTTATACTTATTAAAATTTTATAAACTTTAGAAATATAAAAGGATTTTTTCTATTTGAATATATCTTATAAAAACCATAAAGATGTTAAAAAAACGTAAAAATATTTGAAATAGATTTTTATAAAGATAATAATATTATTATTTTAAATAAAGGTTTTGTTAAGTTTTATGCTTGATGATTGGCTATCAATTAATAATAAACATAAATATTTTTATTCAGATAGTGATTAAAAAAATGCATATTTTATGTATGAATAAAGAGATACATCTCTGAATTATTATTTTAATATAAAGATATCCAAAAAGATGTATTGTTGATTTGTGAAATATTAAGATGGAATTATTTCAAATTGCTCCTTAAATTTGGAATTTATCAATCTATTTATTGGCCATATTTCAGGAAAAGATTTTCTTCGAGTTTCTTTAGCTATTTTAATATCATCTTCTGTATTTTCAAAATTTATGTTTTTTTTATTCAACTGTGAAGAAATGTTATTTTCAGAGTTATTAAATATTTGACGGGTAATATTTGGTGGTGCACTTTTTAATGTGGAAGATGGTGATATATCTGATTCAATAACCTAGAAGCCTATTAATTAAAGATCTAAATAGTTATAAAAATACATCTTTCCAGGAATCTTTGTGACAAACACAAACTAATGGAAATGCCTTTATAGTTAGCTCATCTATTTGAATTTCTGTTTCTAATTTAGACACATTTTTATTAGTACTTTGTAGGTATTTTATATTGTTTTTAAAGGTATTTTTTTTTGTATTAAAATTGTCTAGTTTTCCTATTTTTATTCCTGAACACCAACCATCATCCCAGACAGATACTACATGAATAATATCTCCTCTTTCTAAAATCATTTCATCTGGCATTTTCGGTTCATATATATAAAGAGCAACAACTTCTGTATTGCGTGTTATTTGATGATCGGAATAATAATCTTTCATAGACATTACAATTGGTAAGATTGCTACACGATCTTGCCCAATAGAAGATGTAGGACGTGATTTAGGATTTTTCAATGCAATAGTGTTTATACTCTCAGAGTTATTTTCAGTTATTTGTGATGCATGATGATTTAAAGATTTATATGAATCAAATTTTAAAGAGGATGGTGTTGTATTTTGATAAAGCTTATGATTTTTATTTAAATCGGCAATATTATAAAAATTCTTATAACTCTTGACTTGTTTATTTTCATTATTTGCTGAAAGAAGCTCTTTTTCAGGTGTACTCGTGATAATAGTCCTATTAAAATAATCAGAATTCTTTTGTATAGGTAAAGTATTATAATTCAATGTATTAGAGTTATTTTCTGTTCTAAAAAGTGATAAATAATTTCTTTTATATGGATCCTCTTCAATAAAAGGTTGCTTCGCACTGTTTAGCTTAGACATAGTATTTCTGATTTTCCTTCTTTTGTTGAAAGATAAAATAATAAGCAAAATTAATAATGAAAGAATTATTATTATGATTATTATTGATAAAATAATTATGAATGACATAGTTTTCTGCGATAATTTTGCAGTATTGCTTTTTTCTTGTTCATTTATAGGAATTGTAGGTAAAGAGCTTGAGCTAATAGTATTTGATGTTATAGGTGTTGTAAAAGTAGGAATTAAATCGGTTAACGAAGGTATTGAAATAGAGTAGTTAAGAGAAGCGCAACTCGATAAATTAGATAATGCACAGCATGTGTCTATAGAATTTGAGAAGGATGAATTGCAATATTGACAAAGTCCTAATATGTTAGTTCCAAATCCACAACTTTGAGGTTCGTTAGATTTTCCTTTAATACATTCTAAAGAAAAAGATGCACTTGGACTTGTGCATACTGCAAAATCAAATCGTATTAATGATAGATCATTTTCAAGAGTTCTATTTGTACAATAATGTTGCAAAATAAAAGCTTCGCTACTAGTCCATTCTGCACACGTATCTGCACAAACTGGACGACTATTATACTTAGTAATTTGATTAAAAGAGTAAATTTTTTTACCTATTTGCAGCAGTTAGATTACATGCTACAATTGACTCTTGAATTACAGATGCACATAATATTGTTTTTGTGAATCTTGCATAAAATTTATTAGTATCTGAAATATCTTCCATTGAACAACCATAAAAGTTTCCATATTTATTTCTAATAAATTAATAAAAAATATCTTTAAGTTAAAATAATATTACTTTGTATAATAATTAATTATATAAGATTCTAATTGTTCATCAAACTCATTAACATTGTTAACAAGAGAAAGAAATGGACTATATCTTTGTTAGTCAAAAATATTTAAATGAAATAAAGAATACAATGTATTATTTGCAATAGTAGATATTGATGATGTATTAAAGGAAGGACAGCTTTTAGATCCTGAAAGAGATATACATTTTCCGAAAACTTTCGATATTAAGGCAGCAATTCCTCCTATAAATATTCTTTTTAATGTAGGAAGATGTTTACTTCGCTTATGAACTTGAAACATTGCATATTTTTTAAATTTAAAGTTTAATAAAATAAATATAGTTAAAGTTTCAATTTACTCCTCTTTATGTATAAATCCTTTATTGTCTTAAGCGATAATGTTTAATAAATAATTCTTAAGTGTTTTTTTGTAATTAGTATTAAAACTGTTGAGATGTATACTTAAGAAATAATAATTCAATTCTTATTACCTTTTTTCAATTACAATTAAAAAGGTTATCAAATGTATATTCCTCTTTTAAGAAGTATTTTTGCTATTAAGTATGATTTTTTTTATTTTTTCTCTAGATGATTAAATGTAAACAACGTTTTAAAATAAATCTAGCGATATTAATAAAATTGATTTATGGATACTTTATATTTGTTCTAATTTGAATTTGAATATCTAATAAAAAGAATAAATTTTGTAGTAATAATTCCTTTAAAATTATGTTTTATTTTATTATTATTATTTTATAAATTTCATTATATTTTGAAAAAGTTTTTTGTAATTTTATAATTATCTACTAATAATTATACGATCTATAAATATAAAAAAATATGATTTCTTGGTTACTTTAGAAATTCGTATGGCTTTGCATATAAGTAAATTTTTATTAAATATTTATGTAAGTAGATTATTAAATAACTAAATAAGATTTTCTATATTTTAGATGATTCAGTTTTACAATAGTTACTTATGATAATAATTTCAATTTTTTTTAGATATTATAGGCAATGGTGAATACAATGATGATTTTGTAATGCATGTTTTCATTATAGGATATAAATAGTTTGTATCATTTATTGTTGATACACCTAATGAATTTTGAGTTCTACCTTCTGCTTGAAATCCTTCATTATAATTTTCTTTCCCATTATTAAATACAGAAGAAAGACATTTTATTGAATAAGCTTTAGTATAATTTTCTGATCTAAAATTTTGAATAATTTGATTTATATTAAGACTATCTTTTATTTGTTCATACATTAGCATAAATACGTTTCCGGAGTGAAGAACCTCTTCAATACTGCATGCTCTAGAATAATTATAATATATATATATAATTAATGAGACTAACCTAACATTTCTATCACTAATTTTAAACCATCCTCTTAATGTCTTTCTAAATGTTACATAATGTCCAAATGTATGAGAACCGTAATGTACTATTATTGATTTTAATTCATACTTCGATTGATTTTTTTGATTAATAGGTATAGACGTTGTTTGTATAGGATCTATCCATAAGGTTGAATATGATGTGGTGTATCTATTTAAATCTAATATAAGAGGAAACGTAATAGATGCAGTATTTTTATAGATAGTGCCATTAATAGGTGATATAGTTGAACGATTAATGTGGAGAGTTAGAATTTTAGGAAGACGAGCAAACATAATTTGTTTTGATTTAATACTATTAACAAGACGAGGAAGTTTGAAATCTTTTAAATATTCTGCATCCAGGACTTCTGTTTCTAAAGCAGAAATAATGGCATTTAATTTTTTTTTGATACTTTGAGACATTTCAGAATTAGGTAAAGATTTTAGAAGAATTTCGAGATCTTTTTTAGACGCAATTAGTGAGCACTTTTGACAAAGAATATCTTCAATCATTTCTTTGTTAACGTATGCCGATAAACAGTCTTCTAATGAACATAATTCCTGCTTTTGATGTTATTGTATATTATTTCTTATAAAAATCTTACCGACGACAACAATGGAAGAGATACACTTGTAAATGATGAGTGAATTATTCCCTCCTAATGAATAATTAACTTGAATTTTTTATTAAATAATTTGTTATACTGAAAATCCACAATTTATACATTCTAATCTATTAGCCATAAGTCCATCAAATGGACTTTTTATTTCATTTTCTATGTTTGAATTTTCTGATCTTGTTTTGATGGAGCCTGAAAATCCTTTTTCTGTGCATTTTTTTGACATTTTTAAAATTTCTGTATTTAGTTGTGTTGTTAAAATTTGGAAGAATTCTTGAGCATCTTGTTGTTCATAGTCAAAAATTTTTTTATTTAGTGACAAAGTTTTTATGAGTTTGGAAGTGCTATGTGTTCGGGATAATGAAGATGAATGATTGAGCTTAAATATAATAGAAAATGTAGCTGATGCAATAGGATTATCATGTTCTTTAGATAGTTTTTCCAGAATATATTCTAATTCATTTAAAGATGCAAATGATTGAAGAATACAGTTTATATAACAACTATTTCCTGAATTATAAAGACCTCCAATGGTTTGTTCGTATTTAATGTTTGTTTCATTTTTAATCAGGTTCTGTAATTTTATTTTATCAAAAATATTTTTTCCAAATATTTTTTCAATAATACTTTTCTTTTTTTCTTCTAAAATATCAAAGAACATAGTATAAAAATCCAATAATGATGGAAAATTAAAGAACATCCCAATATAAATATAAGATGTTATAAGTACTATAATGAACCAAAAAAAAGAAAACCAAGGTATTAGTGATATGAAGTCTTTAATACATTTAAATGATATGTTTTTTAGCATTTAGTTTAATGCAATATTAGTGATCCGTCTCCTTATGTTCTAGACGATTTAAATAAAAGGCTAATGTTTTTTAGATGTTAAAAAAATAAAATATATATTATGATATTTGATTTTTATTTTAACTTTTTAAAACAAGTTTTTTGACAATCGTTAATGGATTAAAAACAGATAATTGTAAGAAAATATGACGATAAATATGCATTTCAGAGGTATTATAGGGATAAATAACATTCAATAATTAAGAGTGTCTAAGATAAATAGATAATTCTTTAAAACAAGAGATATCTAAAGAAATGTTCAATTTAGCATTTCGAAAGTTGAGTATTAAGAAAAAAATAAAACCTAGGAATATGTCTACTAGAAAACAGAAAAGAAGGAGTCTTGCAATAAAGAAAGCAGTGGTATTTAAGGAACAATTGCAGTATAAGGTTAACAAAGCTAAATTGAAATATATTTCTAAAAAAGAAAGAAAGGTATATTTTTTGATAATAAAAATTATATGTAAACTTTATTTTAGAATATATGGGATAAAGTCAATGAAAATACAATAAAGTAATATTTGGATGTATTTTGAATATATTTATTTTGAATGTTTTTGTTTTTAAAAAATATATTGCTTTATTTGTTAGGATGTATTTATATTAAATATGTCATTTATTCACACTGAAATTTGTTAGTGAAAATATTATTTATTATAATTCTTTTTTCTAGAATCATTTCTAATTATTTATTTTGTAGTAATTTTAATAGAAGATGGATAATTAAATGATAATTGCATTTTATTGAATAACTATTTTTTATTTGTTAATATGATTATAGTTATAGTTTTGATGTACCTTTGATTTTTAAAATATTATTTTTATTGTTTCGAATTATTTATAATAAAGTATAATGGAGTTAATTATGTATATTAGAGCAGTAAACTGTACTATTTAAAATTAATGTTGGAGTTTATTATTATTATTATTATTGATAATGTTTTATGTTATAATTTTTATAAAATGCTCAAATATTTATTTTTTAAAACAAAAATGTGTATTATTAATATATTTGTATAATTTTTTTGTGGTTTAAATTATATGTAATAATTCGTTGTTTTTATCATAATTATGGTTAAATATTGTTAAAGTAATAAAATATTTTATTTCCAAAAAATATATGATTATTATGCTAAAATTGATATTTATTATATGTGATTACTTGGGTTTATCATATTGAATTTTTAAAAGTATTTTTTAAAATTATAATAATTTTATTTTTTTCTATATTTATAATTTATTATATAAATTGTTTTTTGTTTAAAAATCTATAAATTAATAGATAAGCATTGAAATGTTATTTCCAGATATACTTTTTTATATTAATTAACATCATGATCAATAATTGTCCATGTATTTTTAATAAATTGCCAAGATAATGATTTTTTTTAAAAAAAATAAAATCATATTTAATAAATATTCTTATTATATTGAGTAATAATTAAAATGATATTATTTTTACATGAATACTGTGTTATAATTTATGCAATGCTCAAAATAATAATAAATTTAACATGGTTTCTGATTAATAAAAAATTCAAATGTGTCTCCTAAAACCTACTATTTTTAAGTTTCATATTGATAAAAATATATATTTAATTTAAAAAGTTTAATTAAAGTAATATATTATAAATATTAATTAGTATATAGTATTTTAAAATTATCAATAGTAAATAATATTTGTTTTATTTATTATTAATTGTCTTATTTTTCTCATTTATAAAAAGTTTGCATTTTGAAAGTCTTTGAATTGGATATGATATATTTTTTTGATTATTTAATATAAATTTGAAATTTAACTTTTTTTAATTTTGTTATATTTATCACTAAAAAAAATGTTATACGAGCAGATTGATAAAGTTAGAATAAAATAGACTTTGTTATAAAGTTCATATGATTTTTATTTTTTTAGAAGCTTTACGATTTTGTGTTTAAATTTGTTAAATTTTAAATTTTTACGTATTAAATATTTAAGTTATGACACGAAAATTTTTTGTTGGAGGGAATTTCAAAGCTAATGGAACAATTGAAAGCATTAAAAAAATAGTAGACTTTTTAAATGAATCCGAATTAGATCCTAATGTTGGTTTGTAATGTTCTTAAAATTTATAATTTTTGATTTTTATATTAAGATGTTGTAATTTGTCCTTCTGAACTTTATCTTCTTTATGTCAGAGAGCATTTAAGAGATGATATATGTGTATCTGCTCAAAATGTTTATAATAGTCCTCCTGGACCTTATACAGGAGAAATCACGTAGAAATTATTTGGGTTATTGAAAATTAATTTAATATTTTTAGAGTTGAGCAGTTAAAGGATGCTAAGATATTATGGACGATTGTTGGTCATAGTGAGCGTAGGATCTATTTTAATGAAAGCAATCAGGTAGGATGTTTTTGTGTTTTTTATAATTTTATTTACATGTTAGTTTATTGCTTTAAAAACAAAACGTGCTCTTGAAAATGGGATGTCTGTTATTCTTTGTATTGGAGAAAACTTGGAAGAGCGTGAATCAGGTCGTACTATTGATGTAGTAACTTCACAATTGCAATCTGTTTTCCAATATGTAAAGTGTTGGTCGAACTTGGTTATAGCGTATGAATTTTAGTTTTATATTTAATGTTTGATATTTATGATATAGTTATGAGCCTGTTTGGGCTATTGGTACAGGTAGAATTATAAGATTTTAAGGTTTTTTTAATGAATTTTAGGAAAAGCTGCGAGTCCTGAAGAGGTACTAAGTAAATAAGACAATTGTATTTAATATGTTTTAAGGCACAGAATGTTCATAGTGAAATACGACAATGGTTAAAGAAAGAACTAGGTGAGAAAAGTGATAATATCCGTATTATATATGGTGGTTCAGTAACATCTAAAAATGCAAAAGAATTATCTTTGATGGATGACATTGATGGATTCCTTGTAGGTGGTGTAAGTAATATATGTTTCTTTTTTTTTATAATTAATATTATAGGCTTCTTTAAAATATGGTAATATTATGTTAAATGTTACACTTAAATTAATAGCTTTAAGAATTTAAAGATATTATCAATATAAAAATCTGCACGTGAGTTTTAAAAAATAAAAATAATGTTATCTATGGAATTATGGATGGTATATTTATATATGATATTATTTTGAATTATAATTTTTGTATATTTAGTTTTTATAGTTTTAATTTGTTAATTTACGTGATATTTTTTAAGCGATTTTTAACGTTTTTTAAATATATTTTAAAAATTGTTTTTTATTATATTTGGAATTTTGAATTTAATATTTTAATAATATTAACATAAACTTTTATTTAGATTGTTTGAACATTTTTTTATAATATTGGTTTAATTTTAATGCTAATTGTTTATTTTTTGATATATAATTTTATCTTTATACTATTTGAACATGGAAAGTATTTTGGCCAAAGGTTTTTAAAATAATTATAGGAATTAAAATCCTCATAAGTTTAATAATATAAGATTAAAGGTTTAAAATATTTTTTAAAATATTTTTAACAATTTTAGAAATTAGATTTTATAGTTTATTTTTAAAAAGTTAAATTATGCTTATATCTGTATATATATGAGGTTTAGACGTTTTAAAATTAATTGATTTTCACTAATTTTATTATATTTATTGTATATATTTAATACATATCTTCGTTTGAAAGATAAACGATTAAAAAATAAATACATTACTATAATATAAACGTTAAAGGACCTGAAAAAAAATAATTAATAAACTTAATAGTTGTTGCATTATATTCGATGATTTCACCCGTATCTGGATCGGCTTTTGGATCTTCTCAGTATTTGCATTATTCTATTCCAAAGACTCAACAACAAATGATTTCTGATGCATTTAATACTACAAATTTTCCACTTTCTAGAACAAGTCCAGGGTTTGGGACTTCTGCTGCATTTGGAAATGCATTTTTAGGTTCTCGTGGAGATGATGGACATCAAAATTTACCTGATAATATAAAAATGTATAATTGGATTATAGAACTTATAAGTGGGAATGTTGGAAGAGAGCATGCGCTCCTTGAATTAAGTAAGAAGCGTGAACAGTTTGATGATCTTGCTTTTATTTTATGGCATTCTTTTGGTTGGTTATTGTATTTATCATTTACTTTCTTATTTAGAAGTTAAAATAGGCGTAATGACAAGTTTGCTTCAAGAAATTGTTTCAGTTTATCCTCTTTTACTTTCTCCACAGCTTACATCACATGCTTCAAATCGTGTGTGCAATGCTCTTGCTTTATTACAGTGTATTGCATCTCATAATGAAACACGAACTCTCTTTCTTAATGCTCATATTCCTCTTTTTTTATATCCTTTTATGAGTACTACATCCAAATCTCGGCCATTTGAATATTTGAGATTGACATCATTGGGTGTTATTGGAGCTTTAGTAAAAAATGATTCTACTGAAGTAATAAACTTTTTGCTTTCTACTGAGATCATTCCTCTTTGTCTTCGTATTATGGAGACGGGTTCTGAATTAAGCAAAACTGTTGCTATTTTTATTGTACAAAAAATATTAACTGATGATATGGGTCTTGCATACATTTGTCAAACGTATGAAAGATTTTATTCAGTGGGTACTGTTTTAAGTAATATGGTGAGTCAACTTGTTGAAAATCAAGTTCATCGTCTTTTAAAGCATGTTGTTCGATGTTATTTGCGATTAAGTGATAATCCAAGGTATGCGTAAGATATTTACGTTTGAAATCTTATGAAAATAGAGCTCGAGAAGCTTTGCGTCAGTGTTTGCCCGAGCCTTTAAGAGATGCAACATTTTCTAATATACTCAAGGATGATTTATCTACGAAACGTGCATTGGCACAACTTTTAGTTAATTTATCTGATAGTGTTATTGGGTAATTATATTGATAATTTATGATAGATTTGATATGTTAGAAATTTATAGATTAAATATTGTATTATTTTTTATGTTTGTATTGAAATTATTTCGTGGTTGTACTTTATATAATTATATGCAATTTTGTATATTAATTAGTGATATGTTCTTTTACTGTTATACACAATTATGATATAATAAGATTATAGATATATTAATGTATAAAATAATGAATACACTAATATAGATGTCAATATATTTGGTGTATATGTAATAGAAATGATAGTAATGAGTTTCAAATATTAATTTTCTAATGTTTTAGATGAAATTAAATAAACCATAATTAATAATTTTTAACCATATGTTTGCATTTGTGAGATTACCATTCCTGATTAATTTTTTTGGTGAAATTTTGTTGTATAGAACGATAAGTTGTATATAGAGATTTAGATGTAAATTCTGAACCCCAATTTTTTATATACTGTGATATATGAAACGAGTTAACGGGTTTTTTGATGCTAGAATCATATAATTCGTTAACATAGTCAACCCATTCTTTGTGTGTAAAGGTTTTAGATAATCCTATTATTTCTGGTTTCAGTTGACCTCCTCCATTGATGCAACCAGATGGACATGCCATAATTTCTACAAAATCGTATCCTGCTTCTTGTGATATTCTATTTTTAGTTTTTAATTTTCGGATAAGATTTTGTATATTTCTATATATATATACTTAAAAATAATATATATTTTGTATTTGTTTTATTTACCTAAAACCATAACATGTTGCCATTCGAAGAACTATGCCATTTGGTCCTTTAATAATATATTCTTTCATATCGTTATTGCGTATTATATTCATTGTTATATTATGTTCAATATTAGTATTCGTATTATCAGTATTAAATAGTTCTTGTGATGAAAATGAAAGAATATGAGCTAAATAACCCCCTGATGAAGAACCTGGGTGTTCTATTATATCTGAATTTATATAATCTGAGAACAACAAGTCATGTGATGCTTCTGGTATTTGTCTTAAATCTAGCGAACGTTCTTTCAGCATTTCTATTACTTCTGTAGTTGTAATAACACAATCTACATCTCTAATACCATTTTCTGAAAATTCGTCCCTACTTGCTTCTAATTTTTTGTCAAAACATGGCATTATTGAGACATAATAAATATATTGACGATGTTTTCCTGAACTTTTTTCTACTTTCGACTTAACGATGGAGCCCATAATTTGTTGTGGTGATTTTACATGTGATATATAAGGTAAAATTTCTCTATGTGTTTTTTCTGCATAACATATCCATCCTGGACATGCTGATGTCAATAAAGGTAGTTGATTTTTACATCCTTTTTCTCTTGCTTTATATCGGCGAATAAATTCATTGGATAGTTCATTTAATGCTAATTCTCTTCCAAAGTTTGTATCTATAAAGTGAGAAAATGGTAATATCTTCGTAAAAAAATATGTTAAACGAGCATGAGTTGATTTTATAGAAAGGTTAAATGCTGCTGCAATTGATGCTCGTGATTGCGATGAAATAGATGCTATTAGAATTTTTTGTTCATTTTCAACAAGACCCTATTATAAAAAATATTAGATTTTATGTTAAGGTTTCAAGTAATAAATAACAATGTTTTCTTTAATGACTTCATTAATTTTTTGAGATGATTGTGTTTTAATAAAAACACTTTCAGCTGATGTAATACATCCACTAAACTCATTACTTTGGTAAATGATGAAAAAAATTATAAAACCTGCATGATAAACAATCACTTAATGTAATAGATACTGGTTCTAGTTTTTTTTTTATACCATCATTATCAAGTTCATAATATCCTTCTTTATCTATTTTTATATGATTCTAAAGAATATAAGATATTAATATAACTATAATCCATACGTTTTTAGAAGTGTTTCCTATAATATCTATGGGTTTAATACATGTTTGACTTGGTGATATAAAATCATTCAAATCTATTTATATTAACAATATAGCGCTTATGATTATGTAAAAAAAAAAATAATACACTCAGCAGATAAAATTTTACTCATCCTGTTTTAATAAGTTATGATTAACAATTAAATGTATTTTTATTTAGATTTTTTTCGTTTCTAAAATTTAATTATGTAAAACTTTAAATCTATATAAATTTATTTTAATAAAATTTATTCGAAAAGATTAAAAAATAATATATAAATGAATTAATTTATAAAAAAAAATATAATCATTTATTATTCTAAAATATATATAATAATTTGTAGTAATATATATATTTTTTATTTTCAGAATTTCTATAATGTAAACTATATTACAATTTAGTATATTAAGAATATTATTTTATCTAAAACTTATGAAAATATAACTACTATTATAATAAATTTAATTGATATTAAATTCTTTTATAATATTTTTTTTTACAAAAATACATTTCTATTAATAATGAAATATATATTTATTATTTTTACAATATTTTACATAATCGCATAAAATGTTTTAAACAGTATAAATTTATCATTAGCTATATATTATATAAATTTATCATTAGCTATATATTATATAAATGTATTATATAAATATATATTATATAAAATAGGTTACAAACATATTTATTATAAATAAGTATTATTTTATAAATAAAAAAATAAACCAGTTACAAGATATTCTATCATATTAATCATAATATTAATTATATAAATGTAATAAATCCGTATTTTACAAAAACCTTTTTTTATTATCGATATCAAAATTATATATATAGATATTAATAATACTATTTATAAATAAACAATTTTAAAAATGATAGAAAAAAAAACACCATTAGTAATTGAACGATTATTATCATTCAAAGAACCATCACCTCTTATAACAATATTTGATACAATTTTACAATCGTCATGGCCACTTATTTCTCAATTTTTAAAAAGAGCAAAATCTCAGTAAGTAATAAAAAATGAAAATTTAAATTAAAGAAGCCAAGAAACATAATATCTATACATACAAAAACTGAAACTAGCATCATGCATCATGCTGCTAGTGATTATAGCATACCATTATTTTACAAAGATAATAAAAATCTAATGAAAAAAGAATTATCAACATTAATATATAACATCAAAGAAATAACATCAAAATACGGTATATCATTCAATTAACTAATATAATTTAATCATATTAGAAATATCTCAAAGGTTTATTATACTTGTAGATTCTATTGATGCATTTAATCTAACGAACAAAATAAATTTATCAGACATAATATCATCAATTTTATCATTGAACGGTATTAATTTTTATACTATCGTAGAGTATCTAATGTCATTAGTTTCCAAAACGTTAATTTTGATATATCATTCTTCAATTCCTCTTCTAAAATCATATCCTGTATATTATCCATTGCCATCTGAATTTCTATCTTATATATCAACTACCATTATTTCAGTTCATTCATTGTCACATAAAATAGCTACTAAAAATGCAAAAGATAAGGCATTAATTACACCACTTGAAAACGATTCCTGTATTGAAGGAATTATTGTTCCTTTGGATTCAAATGATACATCAGGAATTTTCATTGATACAGAACATCGTCGTAAAAATGGAAAATATATACATGAAGAATCAGTTTTAATGATAAAAACAAATGTCATTAAATCCATAGTAGATATTGATCATTTTAAAAAAAAAACATATATTATTGAAAAACAAATAGAAGATTTAAACATTAATTTTAATTTAACACTTACAGATAAACAAAAAAAACAAAAAGAAAGCGTAATTCTCCCACATTTCAAATCACAAAGTATATTAGAAAGTATATATATAACATTATTTCTTACTAATAATAGCTATATATCAACCAGAAAGTTCAATATTCTATTCACCTGGTTCGGAAGATGATTTAGATGAAGAAGATCCAGACAATGACCTATTACTATGACAATTTTCTACATTAAAAATAAAAATACTACATGCATTATTTTTTTTATTTTATATATTGATCATCAAAAAAATCTCCACCAAATAACTAATACAATAATAAAAACAATTGTACATATAGCACCATAATGGCGTAAAAATGCATGAAAGTTTATATTTTTAGCAGCCTTTTTATATTTGATGGATTCAGAACGAAGATCAGAAGATAAATTTGACATTCTATCCAAACTATGGCCTAGAAATATATATTTATTAATCAAGCATATAATCAATAAACATACCCCTGTATATTAAATCTTCAATATTTTTTGTCATAGCACGTGTGACATCCTGAAGTTCATTATTTAGTTTATCAAGATTAGAAGAAGCACGCGGAGCAAGATAAAGACGAGTTGTTCTTTGTATAAATGTATCTATCACAAAATAAGAGGACAAATATTATCATCAATGATGCTAAAAACCAAACTGCACAAAAGCATAAGGTCTTAAGGATAACTTTGTAACATCATTGCCATAAACATTCCAAAACTCCTTTGATATTTCATCTAAATAAGAAAAAGCAAGCTTTCGTGGATATGATTTGTCACATATACAAAGGTAACAAACATTATTATCAATAAAATAGCTATAATTAATAAACGAGAAAAATAATTACTAAAATCAGTTATCTTACTGTAAAAAATACTGTCCAGACTCAATTGATGCCCTTATTTCGGAATTTATAGTTAGTTTCCGAAATATAACTTTACATTGTTGCTTTTGCTCTAATAGTTCTATTTCAGAATGTTTATCATCAACAGATGCACATAATGGTAATCCGTCTGTAACTCTTACAATTATTGTAGATTTTACCATGAAAACCTATTCCTTTAAAATAAATATTTCTCAAAATTCAATTGTTATATTCTATTATTTTAAATCAATAACTTTTTTTCATTAATTTTTTTCAAATAGAATCATAAAATTCAGGGCAAACGTTAAAAAATAACTAAAAAAAACGGGTATATTATTACAGAAAAAGAATAGAGGACAAAATTCTCTAGGAAAATATAGCATTTCATAAAAAAAAAAAAATAAAACAACATAAAATATTTAAAATAGACGCTTTCAAAAAGCATTTTTTTTTTTTATTCATATACTTTATGTTAACGTTACCACCCACCGAAAACAAAAATATGATAAAAATAGACAATAGTTCATTAGAAAAACTTAAAGAGCAAGATCATATAAATATAGACAACGAAGCTATAAACAATACTATAGTATTAGAAAATGATAAAGAAATAGACAAGAAAGCCAATAGTTTAATCGATCAAAAAAGAAAGCTGAATATAGATGAATTAGAAAATGATTCGCCAGTAGAAACAACACAACTATCTGCAAATACCCTAAAACGTAGGAGAATAGATTTATGGGATATAAAGCAATTACTGGAATATCCTAAAAACAAAACAATATCAACAAATTTAGATATTTTTGACTCATATGATTCACCAGACTGTAAGTAAAAAATTCATAATATTATTTATATTTAGAACTTAAAATTTGCTAGATAAACAAAAACAAACAGAATATCTTTCAATATTACCAACTATTGACAAAATAATGAAAACAGAAGAAGAAATAGAACATGCTATAACAAACGGTTTTTTTGAAAACAACCTTTTTCTTCAAGATTTTATAAGAGAATTCCAGGTTTTTCTTTATTTTCAATTTTTATTTTCAATTTAAATTATCTAATCTATCTTAGGACAATTTTAACGGAAGATATGATGAGCGTGGAACAAAAAATACATTTGAATCACGGAGATATCGTTCAGATAGTCGAATAGATAGTTATAGGGTAATGCATATATTATTATATGACAGCAATAATTAACTTATAATTTTTAGGAAGGCCAATATGAACATCATTATAACCAAAAACAACAAAAAGTGTCAGCAGAATTAAGAGCAGGAGAGGCAACAACATTAAAATTACCGCAAATGGCGGAAATGGGTCTATTTGTATTAGGAGATATCTGGAAATATAGCAGAACTCTTGGTTTTAAACAAAGAGGAAAGGGAAGAGAAAAAATTGAAATCAGAAAAGATTTACAGGTATTTTTTTATATTTTAAACAAAGTATTTTTGCATAATATTATATAGTTAACAGGAATTGATGAATCAACACATTCTTTAACATTCTTATGCCCAAGCTCTACTAATATATATTTTATAAAAGGAGATCCAGGAATTTCTATTAGTAATATTACTACACCAACAATGCTAGAAACACAAATTCTTGATATAGATGGACGTACTGCACATTCAGAAAGACCCAATGGGAATGCATGGAAAAGTATTCGAGTACAGCGTTGCGGTCGAGATATGGGCACATTGTTTGAAGTCAGAATGAAAGCATTCGATTTATATGGTGTATAGTTTTTTATTATTACACCTAGTATTATTATCAAATCATTCCAAACTATAAAACGAAAGATTCATTTTATCTTAATAACATATTATCTAAAACATTATCATACATGTGTAATATATTTCACTAGTTATATCAAGATCTTTATGCAGAATTTCATATGAACTTTTTAAAAGTTTATATTTTTTCCTTAAAAACATTTTATATTAACATTTAAAAATTTCTTTTAAAAACTATAACCCTAAATTCATATAAAAAATAACATCTTAATGGAAAAGAACAGTCAAGCAATTCAAAAATTTATATCAGCATCTAAATCTTGCTCTATTCTAGTAAATCATAAAACTAATTAAATTAAAATTCTAAATATTTTTAGGGTACTATATATGGAAAATGCATAATAAAAAATACAAATAATATACAAAAAGATACATGTATTTCTGAATTTCAAAAATTTAAAAACTGTTTAGAAAAGATAGTTTGTTCCAAATAAATGTACGTAACATTAATTAAAATATTATAGATTAAACGGAAATGGTAATTTAAAAATCAAAGTTCATTTCATTATAAACTTCATTTTAACAAAAAAAGTTATCATTAAGATTTATTATATTATATTTTCTATTATAATAATTTCGATCAAAAATTGAACTCTGTATTTCAAAAAAGTACACTATTAAGAAATTTAGCATACAAATTTATCTATATTTCCATTATATCTATCCTACCATATTACATACAAGCACATGAAATATTTTTAATATTTTTATAGAATAGTAAAAATTATAGAAACATTAAATTTCAAATATATAAAAACATGATTACAAGACTAATATGATATATTTTAAAAAGTAAAAATCAAATCTTGAATTAAAAATAATATACATATAAAAAACTAATATATTTTAAGTAATTAATTACATATATTAATATAAATATTATACAAATAATGTATAAATACTATAAATAGTATTTATACAATTGTATATAAAAAATATGCACTATTTTTTATTTATTATAAAGTTTATATTAAATTTAAAGATAAATATTATAAGAGGTTATATAAAATCAATAACATTACAAAAGTCATTTATTATATGTTCATTTAAATTATTAAATAAAACTATAATTTTTATTTTTCCAAAAAAAGAATACATAAACTTATCAATATTTTTCAATTTTAATGTTAGCTAGAATTCTAAAATAAAAATTCATACCAAATTTTTGTATTTACAACATATAGAAAAGTATTTTAAATAAATAAATCTATAATAATTTTTTAAATTCAAAAATTCAAAAAAAAAAAAAACAAAATTACGTTATGAAAGAAAATATACAAAATAATAAAGAACCAGTAAAAAAAAGGGATTTATGCAATTTCCCATATCCAGAGAAGAGAAATGTATTACCTTAGTTTATTAATTATTATATAATAATAGAAAAATAGGTAGATATTAATAAACAATGGCATACCAGGTATTCAAAAGTTCAAAATATATTAACTCAAAATTTTAGCGATGAGTATGCGTGTTTATTAAATAAAATGGAATTTTATGAAAAGTCTAAAATCTTACCACAATTTATGCCACAGAAATTAATCGAAAATGAACATTTTGACAATTTTTCAAACTTATCCAGTATTAATCATCTCCAAAGCATGAATAATAACTACAATTTTTGCAGAAAAGGTATTTTTTTAATAATTATTGTCAAGAAATTCAAAATCAATTATTAGAAATACAAACTTCAAAAAGATTTATATCCGACAAAATAGAAAACAAAAATGGTCCAAAAATTCAAGAAACTATCCCTAAAAGTTCTTTCAAAAGGCAGGAAGATTCAAGAACTATTATATCTCCTCAAAAAGCTTATGAATTCAACAGTCAATCACAAATTAATTTGGAACCAATCCCTGTAAATCCAGATGAAGATTTTTCTAAAAATGGTATAACAGAGGTTTTTAAGAAAAGCAATGAAAAAATATCTACTTGTATGTTCGAAAAAGATTCTATATCTCTTAAAAATTTTTTTCTAAAACAACAGGTAAGATATCTCTCAAAAAAATCTAATAACCATCTTATTCTAAAAATGATTAAGGAAAAGGAAATGACAGAAGATAACAAGGATAACATTTCACCAGATTTACATACGGAATTTGACTACGCTTCTACTCTTTTTAAAACTGATGATAATGATGAATATTCTTTTTTCAAAAATACTTTTGATACACTAACGGTACAAGATGAAAACATAAAAGATTACGAAAATAATAATAAAAATAATAACATTTCTTCTCAAGTTGATTATAATGATATCTGGAAAACAATTGGTGAAGATACTGATTTCTTACCAGATGAAGTCATATGTACTAACAATGATATTACATTTGATGCAAACGATATAACATTAGATACAAAAACAATGCCGTCAAATGAAAATATGTTTTTTTTGCCAGAAAATAGTACAGAGAGTTACGTCAATCAAGTTTCAAATATGCCTTATCCTTATTTAAATAGTCATGAATTAGACAGATCTTCATCATCTAAAAAACCTAATCTTATGTCAGATACTTACCACTCTAATATGCATATCAATAATATTCAATCATATTCATCAGATACAGATTTCCAAGCAGATATTCTAAGTACAAATAAAACAAAAAATATATTTAATCAATCATCATCTGAAATATCCTCTGAAAATAATATTTCTTTAACCCATACTAGAAGCCAACAATGCATTTATCAGCAATCATATCAGCCAAATAATAATTATTTTTCAACTATAAATTCAGAAAACAATGAAATAGCTACAAAATCATATATTTCTATTAAAGGTGGTTATTTATCTCCATACGACCTTCCCGTACAATTTATACCTAAATTTAGGCGTCTAGCAGATCCAGTTTCTAATAAATATGCTGATATACAAAAACATAATAATTCTTCTGATTACATACAAACAAATATAAATGTAAGTATTTGGAACATATATCTCTCTCGAAATAAGACTTACAATTAATAGACATTTGAAGCAAAATCATCTAAATCTCTACAAAACATGCCAATAGATGAGAATGTTACTAATAATTCTAAAATATTATGTAATGAAACGTTATTAAAAGATATGAATAATGAAAAAGATTTATTAAATTATACATCAACTAATACGTCTATTCCAAATGCTAATACATATTTTATGCAGCAAACATCTAAAACTTATAAAGAAAAAGCAGAAGATAAAAATAAAATGTTTCAAGATCTGCCAATAGAATTCTCTAAAAAATCAAAAATTTCAAATAAAACTATTAATAAAACATATACAAATACTCAAAATACGGAATTTGAAATACAACGTTCAAACATGCAATATACATCGACTGATCAAAAGAACGTGAACGAGATCTATTATAATTCTCATGAAACTAATCAGGATGTTTTCAGCATTATAAACAATAAATCATCTTTATCAGATACACCATTTAATATCAATAGTCTGGAACTAAATACAAAAAAGATAGATATGAATAATTTTTCATTAAGCAATATCAAAAACAGACAAAATATACATAATGAATCTCATATTCAAGAAAATGCACTTGAACAAAATGAATTTTCATATTCAGAAGCAGAAGTAACTAAAAAAATTAATTTATACTCTCAACATTCTTTGGAATCACATTATAACCCAAAAAAATATTTAACTGTTAAAGAAAATACACAAGAACCAAGAAATGAAAAATCTATCAATATTTCTCAAAAATTTCCATCTACTTCTAATTATGAGCCATATACATCTACTATGCAGAAAAATATACAACCTCCTTCGAATTTTCCATTAGATATAGATAATTCATATCTACAATCAGAAAAACAGGATAAATCAGTAGCATCAAACATATATACATCTTTTATATTACCATCTCAATCAATGTCTTCTAATATCCAAAACAACAATTCTATGCTGGATATAAGTGAAAATAATTCCAGAAGATATAATTCTGATGAAAAAACTAGACCTATTTATCATAAAGATAGTTTCGAAAATCCTAGTTATCCTATATTAGTATGGGGATTTGGAGGGAAAATCATAACAATATTTCCAAATAGAACATATATTTCTAACAATTCAAAGTATTTATATTCTAATTTGTCACATACTTCCGGAACATTAAAAATTTCAAATATTAGATCTTATTTTCAAAATTCCGAATTATTAGATATGACAATACCTGGACCATTATTTTCAATATCTAAAAATACTAATAAAGCCCGTAAGAAAGAAGCTATTAAGTGGATGAAGGAAAAAATTCAATCACTAGAGCTTATTAAAGATGATGAAAAACAGGAATTTTTTAATGAAAAAATACTCTTATGGAAAATAATATATATCTTATTAGATAATTGTTTTTCTTCAGATCAATAGTAAGTTTTGTTAATATTTTTCTACTTTTTTTTTATCTAAAATATTTAGTGAAAGTATTCATTCGATTTTAAATCTATTACAACCAAACTTGCAGTTTCCCAATAAAGAACCTGAATTTACGATTACTGCAGATTTTATGAATTCTAGTTCTAACTTGGATACAAATACTCAAGAGATATCATCATATACTGTTACTCGAGAATCCCTAGAACAAATTAAACACTATCTTTTAAATGGTGCCAGAAATGACGCTATCCAATTCTGCTTAGATAAAAAACTTTGGCCGCATGCTCTTCTAATATCTAATTCTATAGGTAAAGGAGTATGGAAATATGTAGCAAAAGAATTCATACGTTCCGAAATTAATGTCAGCAATAAAAGTTTGCAAGGCCTTAAATTTTTCTATGAAGCATTATGCGAAGATGATCTAGATACAGGTTAATTTTAGGATTTTATTAAATCTAAAACTAATTAGAACTTTTTAGGAATTCCTGATTCTTTTTTCAATGGTACTGTTAATATAGAACCTAATAAAACAAAAGAATTTCATAAAGATTATTTGGATAACTGGAAAGAAACATTAGTTATGATTCTTTCTAATCCAAGTAATAAAGATTCCAATATTATACATAATCTAGGAAAACTTCTTATCAAAAATAATTATATAATTCCAGGACATATATGGTATTGCAACATATATATTTTTAGTATTCATTTTTTTGATATAAAAATAGTTTTTTACTGGCAAAAAAAGATTCAGTATTTTCTATGCTTGATATACATAACTCAGACCTTATTTTACTTGGAGGAGATCATATAAATAATCCATCTTCATTTTATCATGATTTAGACAACATAATTTTAAATGAAATTCTAGAACTTTATACAGCTCTTAAATCTCAATCACCTTTTTATGGATATGCTCATTTACAAGCTTATAAATTTTATTATGCAACAATATTAGCAGATTTTGGGTATATATCTGAGGCACAAAGGTTAATCTCATAATTTTTAATATTTTTCATTAATTCATGCAGATATTGCGAATCAATTAATGATATTATTAAAAAATTTTCTAAAGGCTCTCCCTTCTTTCATTTATTATTTATTCAACAATATCAGGAATTTTCATCTCGACTTTTAACTTATGAATCTCTTAATTCAATGCCATCATGGTTTGGAAAAAAAATGTCAAAACCTAAATTAGACAGTTTTTGGGGATCAATTGAAAACAAGTTAAGTAAATTTGTTGCAGGAGAGACTAGTTCTATCGAATCTCAAGAAATTTTAAATAATGATTCAAAACCTTTTGAACGTTTCGCCGAAAAAATATCACATTCCAAAATCCATTCACAAACAAATCTTGAAGCATTAAACACATGTACAGTTGGTCCTTACCTTATACAAAATGAATTTATTTCTCAACCAAATCATCAGAAAAAGCCAATAAAAACATGTCAAAACAACTATGAATTATCACATAATTCATCTATAACTAACTTTGAAGATCCTAACGTTTTTTTAAAAGATAAAAAATATGACCATTTATCTTGTTATCAGCCAATGCCAGAATCCTATGAGACTTCTAATCAAGAATGTTATCTCGAAAATGTTCAGTATTATAAGGAACCTATTATATCAGAAAATAGTTCAGAAAATATTTTAAATAAGGAAGTTTTCAAAGAAAATGATCAGATAGAATTGTCAGAAAATGATAATCCTAATTATTTGGAATCTGGAAATATACAGACTAATGATTTTTATAATACTAAATCCGAACTAAAAGATCTATCCATTACTCAACTTAACTCAGAAGACTCTTGTAACGTTGAATCTAAATCTCAGTCTCCAGGAAATAGTAAAGGTACATAGTTATACTTTTAAAAATATACTTAAAATTCTAGATGAAAATGCAAATTCTAGCTGGTTTAGTAAATGGTGGGGAAAAAAAGAACAATCTAAAGAAAAGAAAATATATAAAGCAAAATTAGGAGAAGAAAATTCATTTGTTTATGATACCGAGCTTAAAAAGTGGATTAATAAAAAGGTAATAATGCATTTTATTTAAATCTCTTAATACAAACAAATATATAGGATAATACTTCAATTTCTGAACATGTTATATCACTACCACCACCACCAAAAAAAACGGAATTATCTCATTCTACAAATTCGATAGCTAAAGAATTGCATTATAATGAATCAAATGAAATGTCTTCTAGTACTATTATACCTAATATCGATTCTATGAACCCTCAATTATCTACTAAATTTAAACATAAACCAGTAGTATCAAATGACGATGCTCTTGATGATTTACTTAAAATGGCATCAGAACATTCTTTAACTAATGGAAATACACAAACAAAAACATTCCCTAGAAAAATAAAAGCAAAAAATACTAAAAATAAATATGTTGATATAATAAACTTAAATCCTTAAATGTTATGCTACTTATTGAGTATTTATTTCAGATATTCATTATCCTGGTATTATTAAACATCAAAAGTTTTAATATATAAATATGCAAAGTTAAATATTTCATTATTTTTTTATTGACGAATTATAAAATTATATATGTAATTTTATATACATTAGCAAGAATAATAACTATAAAATTAAATTTTATAGTATTTCCGTCATTTCAGTTCTCAAAAGAAATACCATATTTACTGCCATTTTGTAATTTCATAATTTGTATTAAAATTTACGTTAAATCTTAATTCTTTATTATATATTAGAAATAAATATAAAAAAGAGTGTTTTAAAACATTATATATACTATTTTTAGTAACTATTATACCGTGTATATGACTATTTTTAATTATTTTTTTTTCTTTTATAAAAACTCCAAAATTCCAAAACCTGATTTTTATTTAAACTTTTAAAAATTCAACCAAAATTATAAAAAAAAATCAAATGAAATTATTAAAAAAAGACAAAAAATAAAATACTTCAGTATATATGCAAGCACATATACCAAATAGTAAATTCTCTATCCCATTACAATCAATGAAAATTGACACAGCTCAACAAAGTCTTACTTCAATAGATAGTGAATCTTGTAGCATATATTCCCAGCATGAGATAACAGAAAATAATAATGATCAAACACCACTTATAAAAAATGAAGTATAATTTTTAAGCTTATTTTTAATTTTAATTCATATTTTTAGAATATTCAACTTTTTGATATTTTGCCTCATACACCATTTTCTATGGATCTTGCAGAGCTTAAACAACAAAATTCTACTAATCATTCTTATAGATCAATACCTATTGTTTCTGGTATAAATTAAATTATTATATTTTAAAAAGAACTAAGTTATAATTTAGGTTTAAATTCATCCACCAATTCACGTAATTATCCGTCTAATGTTATTTCTAATGCAAAATACAATATTTTTACATTTATACCTATATTTTTCTACGAACAGGTATTCTATATACTTCGTGATTAATCTGCTAATTTTAAAGTTTAAACATTTTTTAAATTTATATTTCCTTCTTGTAGCACTTTCTCAATTTATTATACCGTTACGTATAGGATATTTATCTACATATATTGCTCCATTAATTTTCGTTATTTCTGTAACAATGGGAAAAGAACTATTAGATGATTTAGCTAGAAGAAAAAGAGATAATGAAGCAAATTCAGAACCATATATAATTTTGGACAATAATTTACCTAAAAAAAGTCGTGATTTAAAAGTAGGTGACATAATTTTCATACAAAAAGATAAACGTATTCCTTCTGACATTTTATTACTTCACACAAATAATCCAAATGGAGAATGTTTTATCAAAACAGATCAATTAGATGGTGAAACAGACTGGAAATTAAGGTTTTGTCAAAAAGAGTCTTATATCTAATATCTTTAATAATTATTAGAACATCATGTGCAGCAACACAACCCTTTTTTTCAAATGAATCTTTATTTTCTTTAAATGCTATTGTTTATGCACCTCCTCCTATAAAATCTATTCATATGTTTTTTGGAACATTATCAATAAAATCTTCATCCAAAGATATATACAACTATCCATTAACTGTAGATAACATGTTATGGGCAAATACAGTTTTAGCATCTGGCGATCCTATAATTGGTTTAGTAATATATACTGGTATAGAAACAAGACAGGCAATGAATACATCAAAAGCAGGAACTAAAACAGGCTTATTGGAATTAGAAATCAATAATCTCACAAAAGTAATAATATTTTTTTTTTTATTCTGATTAATTTGGAATGAAGATTCTTTGTGTTCTAACATTTATACTAAGTTTTATCTTAGTTTTATTCAATGGTTTTGAAGAAAAATGGTATATATCATTATTTAAATTTCTTATCCTTTTTTCCAGTATTATACCAATTAGGCAATTAAATATAATATATTTTTGAAAATAATTAAATTTTATTAGTCTAAGAGTTAACTTAGATTTGGGAAAATCAGTTTATGCTTATCAAATAGAACATGACCCGGAATTGGAAGGAACTATTGTAAGAACCAGTACAATTCCTGAAGATTTAGGCCGAATAGAATATCTTTTAACAGATAAAACAGGAACTCTTACTCAAAATGGTATTTTTGCTCTATGTTTTTTAAAAATTTAAATATCTTAGACATGAAAATGAAAAAACTTCATATCGGAACATTAGGATATACAAATGAGGCAATGTCAGAAGTAGCTGCCTACATTCGAGAATATAAAAATAATTCAAATACACAGTATGTAGGCCAGAGAGCTAAAAAAGAAATAGGAAACAAGATTAGGGATATAGTTTTTGCGTTATCTGTATGTCATAATGTAATAAATAAATATAAAAAAAATATTTGATGACTCTATTTTAGGTTACTCCAACTATAGACTCAAATAGGAACATAGTTTCATATCAATCATCATCACCGGATGAAATGGCAATTATACAATGGACTAGTAGCATGGGATTAACTCTTCATCAACGAGATAGACATACTATTCAATTGTGCTATCAACATACGGGTGAACTTGTAGAGATGAAAATTCTACATAATTTTCCATTCACTTCAAAATCCAAAAGGATGGGAATTATAGTGCAAATAATGGAAAAATCTAACAAGGACGGAGATATCTGGTTTTTTCAAAAGGGAGCTGATGTGGTTATGCAAAAAATCGTTATGGCTAGTGACTGGTTAGATGAAGAATGCAATAACATGGCTAGAGAAGGTTTAAGAACACTTGTTATTGGAAGAAAAAAATTAAGCAAAGAATCATATGATGTCTTTGTCAAAAAGTAATTACTTAAATAATTTTTATAAATTTATAAACTTGAGATTTTTAGTTATAATCAGGCAGCATTAAACTTGTTTGATAGAGACAAAGCTATTGCAGAAGTAATTGCAAAATTTTTAGAGTGTAACCTCGAACTTTTAGGTTTAACGGGCGTGGAAGATAAATTGCAAAAAGATGTTAAACCATCTTTAGAACTCTTAAGAAACGCAGGAATAAAAATCTGGATGCTTACAGGAGATAAAGCAGAAACTGCAAAATGTGTTGCAGTTAATTCTAAATTTATATCGCGAGGACAATATATTCATATAATAACAAAAGGTAATTCTAATATTAATACATATTTAGTACTTATAAATGTTAGCAAAATCTAAAGAATATATTATAGAACAACTGGAGTTTCTAAAAAACAAACAAGATTCATGCCTTCTTATAGACGGAGAGTCTCTTCAGGTAATATTTTTGATTTTTTTATTCATTTAATATATTTTAGCTATATATGGATTTTTGCAAAATAGAATTTATATCTACAGCAACCAAATTACCATCAGTGATAGCTTGCCGTTGCACACCTACACAAAAAGCAGAAATTGTTAAGCTTATCCAAAATTATACGTTTCGTAAAGTATGTTGTATAGGTGATGGAGGAAATGATGTTAGTATGATTCAAGCTGCAGATGTAGGAATAGGGATTGTAGGAAAAGAAGGCCATCAAGCTAGTTTAGCAGCGGATTTTTCTGTTACACAATTCTATCATTTAACTAAATTACTAGGTATAATACAATATTTTTACTAAACTTTTCTATAATTCTTTTTTTAGTTTGGCATGGACGTAATAGCTATAAACGTTCAGTGAAATTGACTCGTTTTGTAATTCATCGCGGACTTCTAATTAGCGTATGCCAGGTATACTATTCAATTGTATCTGGATTTACTCCTATTGTTCTTTTTAAGGTACTAACACAATATTACATATATATACCTTCATAAATTAATTTATTTATAGGGCTGGCTAATGGTTGGATACGCAACTATTTATACGATGGCACCAGTATTTAGTCTTGTTTTTGACCGTGATGTTAATGAATATTTAACATTTTTATATCCAGAATTATATAAAGAACTTACTAAAGGAAAAACACTTAATTATAAAACATTTTTTATATGGGTTTTTATTTCTGTATATCAAGGTTAAAATGAACTTTTTTTTTACTTGTAAAGTTAATTTTAATAGGAATTTCTATTATGTTATTATCATATATTTTTATCGGATTGAATAAAATGAAAACACTAACAACAGTAACATTTACCGCTTTAATTTTAAATGAACTGATCATGGTAATTATAGAAATGTGTACATGGTTTTTTAAAATTTTTATGATAAATTTTAACTAATAATATTTAGGCATAAAATTATGATTTTAGCAGAAATAGCTACTTTAATTATTTATATTGTATCTATTCCATTTCTTAATGATTATTTTGGTAAAAATATTACAGTTCATCTATTTAATCTTATTTTATAAACAGATTTAAATTATATAAAAACTATTGATTTTTTCTGGAAAACAATAGTAATTACATCAGTCTCACTAATACCACCTTGGATAGCAAAGACTCTAAAAAGGAAAATTAAGCCTCCAAACTATGCTAAATTACAAGTATAAAATATTGTGTATATATCTAGAATTAAGGAAATATATTTCTAATTTATCACCAAAATATGATTATCTTAAATATTTTATTAAAACTTTTTTTTGTTTTTCTCTTTAATTTTTACCTAGACGTTTTCTTTTAGATAATTTAAATGCACCATATATTATTTTTTCGTTTGTTTTTCTAACTAAATATTTAAATCGATTTAAATTATTTAAAGAATTACCCAAGGAACTTATTTCTCAAATTTTATCGGAAGAAATTGCAGACTGAAAAAAAACATAATTATTTCGAAATTCATCATGTCTTTATACAATCAGAAATAAAATCTATTATACTTAATTATATCTACTTATATATAAAATAAAATTCTTCAATTTTTAATTGCAAATTCAAATATTTGTATCTTTAATTTTACAGTTTTAGAGAATGCTCTTAAAATAGGAAAAAGACTAAATAAAAAACCATCTGTTTCGACAAAACTACCATAATATTTCATGTAAGAAATAAGTCTTCTAATTTCTATATTCTAAATAATATTTTATACTAAAAAAATTAAAATAAACTTTTGGAAAAATTAATCATTAAGATCTTAAAATAAGCATTAATTAATAGTATACATAATATAAAATGAAAATACTAAGACTTTAAACTTAATTGAACTATATCAATTAATAATTTCACAAAAATATAAAAATTCTCAACGTTTTATTTATTTTTTTAACATTATTTAAATTTTATATTTTACAAAAACTTAAAAATATACTCAAAATTAATAAAAATATTTTTTCAATAAAATATTAAAGTTTCTCTAACATAAAACTAATTTAAACTAATTTTCAATTTTAAATCATAAACTTTATATTATAAAAAATTAATACAAACTAATAATATTAAAAACTCTTTATTGTAAAACAAAAATAATTAAAACATTTAAGGTTATAATTTACAGTTATTTTAAATATCTATTTTCTTAATATAAATTATTACTAAATTATATTTTTATTTCTAAAATATCTAAAAATTTAATAACTTTATTCTTGATTTTTAAATAACTTTAAACAATTCGCAAATCAAAAAATTTATTTAAATAATACACAATTTTTAATAAAAATATTTATATATATTAACTTAGAAGAGTATTATTCAATAAATATATATGCTATTGTATTTAATTAAATATAAACTTCAAAAATATTTTTAAATTAATAGACAAAAACATGATTACATAATACTATTATAATTATACGAATTTTAAATATTCTTAAAATTTAATTTTTAGAATAACATTTAACAAAAAAAGATCAAGTAACTATAAATAATATTTTTAAATAAATAATACATAATATTTTAAAATGTATAAAAAATTCATACAAAAAATTCATTATTTTTTTATTATAAAAACTTAATATCGTTTAAATTCTGTTATATTAAACTATATTAGCATTTTAATACAAATAACATATTAAAACATTTAATTTAAAAAATATTAATGTTATTTAATTAATAACTCTGAATCACATATATATATATTTATAACAAAAACAATAATTCTCGTTGAATCATATATTTTCATTTTTTAATTATTTAATTAAATACTTTAAATATCATAAAACCAAAAATAAACCATTTTTATAAACAAAATAACTAAAACTATGCTTCAAATTATTTAATAAACAACGTCATTAAAAAAATAGACAATCAACTTTGTTAAACGCCTATATAATTACCCATCATATATGAATATTACAGCTACAGTATTGAAAAATATGGATTTCCGCTAATTCATAGCATAAAATATATAGAAAATATTAAAAACTATATTTCATAAAAACATACTATTTATCCTTTTTATACTTTAAAAACTTAACGTTAAATCGCTACTTAAAAACATACTTTTGACAATGCTTCATTTCTAGTTTCATAAGTTCTTCTAAATTCCTTCCATTTCATTTTCTAGTTTATGATTTAGATATTGATTTGTATCATTCATTTTATCTTGTGATTGATCTTTATTTATTGAATAATCTAATCCATTTACCGAAGAATTATCTTTTAGCACCGGAGGAACTCTCGATATTTTTCCACATCTTAAACCTTCAAGCATACTTTGCGCTTTTGCAGCAACATCCTTATTTGACATTGTTCCAGATGGTACTGAAACTGGCGACATCGTAGAAGTAGATGATTGTACCAAAGACATTTTTGAAATAGATGAATTATATTCGGCTTCTACATCCCTCATTTTAATAGCTAGCTCATTTACCGGAGACGATGAAAAAGAAGACGTAGAATCATTTTTTGTAATATTATGATTGTCTGAATAATGAGAGCTAGTAATTTGGAAATTTTTAGCAACTAGTCTTCTTCTTACTTTCCTACTTTCTGCAGGTGCTACTCTAAGTTTTTCAAGTAAATTATCCATAATAGCAGTATCAGATTTAGCATTTTCATCCATCGCAGTATCCAAAATATTACTTTTTGATGCAGCATTCAATGCCCTTCTCCTAAGAAGTTGACGATGGGATTCTTCTTCAAACTCTAAATTTTCTTTTTGCGCTTTCTAAAAATCTATTAATTATATACTATAAAATCAATTATCAGTACCCTATAATCATTAGAAAACATTTCAAATTTACGAAAAAACGTTGATTTAGCTTGAGAATCCGAAGGTTCTTCACCAAAATATCTTAAAACATTTTCAAAGGTTGTTTCCATACTATTAAAATGATCTTGTATATATCCAACTTTCTTTTTTGCCTCTGGGAGAAACGGAAGGATAATATTCAATATTTTATCTTCAGGATGAAATACAGAAGCATCACTAAGACTTCCAGTATTACAAGCTCTTTCAATGCTAAAAACATTATCAACCAACATTTTGCATTCCGAATTAATATGATCAAGATTAATCTTTGCAGCCAAGCCAACATCTTTAAAATCATCCAGAAATTCTTCTAACTGAGGAAAATTAGTACGAACTACCTTTTCTACTAAATGCAAAAACGTTAAAGAATTTCTATCATCTTTTGTCATAGGAAGCCGTTGGAGCGTTGTCATTTTAAATCCATAAGCCTGTTTTCCAGAATCATTCATATAATTCCCAACATGCAAAATTACATCTAATAATTCTCTAAAATTTTGAGAACCCTTTATAGCTAATGCAGCCGTCTCTATACACTTGATATCTCTAACAAGATCAGTATAAGAACGTTCTAAATTAATCTTCATTTTTAATGCCATCATCCTTCTCTGCCAATAATGTCCCAAATCAATAAACAAATATAAATATATTTGATCCCATCGACTAAGCTCTTCTATATTTTTTTCAGGATTTATCCTTGTTCCACCAGAAGACCAATCCGTTCTATAAGGCTCTAAACCTGCTTTTAATTGTTCAATACCTAATAATTTATCATCACTAAGAAAATCAATAAGATCCATAGTATCCATATCACAATGAAGAATCTTAATTACAATTTCAGACACTGACAAATTCGAAAATTTATGAAAATTTATACCAAAACGTTGCTGAAGATCAGAAGATAAAAACTCTTTTTTCCTTGATGTTCTAGTGTTTATAATCTTTGTTTCTTTCATAGCAAATGCCCTTTCAATCTCGTCTAATATACCTTTTTTGGAAAGAACTCCAGCTAAAGCATTAGGATCTAATTTCATTTGAGCCCAAAGAGTATACTCTACACCAGTATCAAGTTTATCCCAATGCATTTGTTTCAATTTCTTCTTCGACCTCATCATCATAACTTGTGTTTTAATTTCTGGATTAATGAACGGAAGTCCAGTTCTACCAACTTCTCCACTATGCAAAGGTATTTCCTGAACAACTTCAGACTTTTCCAAGGAAATTTGAGGTTGTGAAGAAACACCATTAAGAACAGAAGTAGCAGAATCATTACATGTCTTCATCTGTGGATTATTTGTCAAAAACACAGGAGGAGGAGGAGGAGGAGGAGGAAGCGGAGAGATATCCAATGCATTTTGAGAATTTATGAATCCAGAAGCAGCCATATTTGGACAAAGAGAAGGAAGAGGAGGCGGCAGTGGAGGAGGAGGAGGAGGAGGAGGAGGTGGTGGTGGTGGTGGTGGTGGTGGAAGAGAAGGTAATGATAAAGAAATATCAGTAGAAGTCTCTGAAGGAATATTTTGAGTGACCTTTTCATCAGAAAGAGGTGTCCCTGAACTTAAAGTTTGAGAACAACTTGATACATTATCATTATTCCATGCAAGATTATCCAGATCAGTACTTTCAGTCTGAGTCTCAGAAAATATAACATGTCCAATAATATCATCTGTATCTTCATTACTATTTAAATGTCTTAATTTAGAAGAAAGTTCATCCATAAAAACATAATCAGTGCTTTCTTCGACATGCTCTTTTTTATATTGCACTATTTGCTGCACACCACCTAATCTTTTCGTATCATGAACATAATTTGTAGAAATAACTCGTACGCTTGATCTTGAATGATGTTTAATAGTACGAGGAGAAAGCTTACTAGGTTTAGCTCTAGTTGAACCAAAAAATGACGGCTTTTCATGTGTATCTTGAGATTGTAATATTTGATCTTCATCATTTTTTTGAGAACCGATATCTTTCGGACTTAATTGAAGACTTTCCATACGACTTCGAAGTTCCTAAATATTATAAATATATTTTTTTTCTAAAATAAAATAAAAAATACTTTTAAACGTTTACTCGAAGTAATATTTTGCCAAGCTTTTCCTTCCAATTTATATTCAGTCTTTTTCCGCTCCAATTGTTTCTCCAGTTTATCCATTAACGCTTTTCTATCCACAATACCTTTACTATTTTCCCATATTTCAGGATTTGTGTCACGTATTATCATATAAAGTTCTCTTGTTTCAATCTCACTTTTCTGAAGTTGCAACATATGAACTCTTTGTAATTCTTCTACTTCATTTCTTAAAATAGCGTTTTGCCTTCTCTGTGTTTCAAGTGCCTCTGCTTGTTCCATTAACTCTTTCTTTAATTTCCCAACTAAGCCATTAGCACCTGCTGCAATTTCGGCAGCCATAGTATCCCTCTCTATAGCAGTTCTTTCTGCGATCATACGTGCCTCTCTAGCTTCTTCTACTGCTTTTCGAGCCTCCTCATCAGTATGAAGTTTACTAACGACACCTTGTATAGAAAAATTCAAGGCATGTGTAGGATCCATTCCAGCCATACGATGATCCATAACAACATATGTAAGAATAGCATCAATCAGTTGAAATAATTTAGAGCGGTTCTCTCCATCATCTCGTATCAATAAAAGATGTTGTAATGTAGAAAGAAAAAAGTCCTGGGCTCTAGTGCCTTCAATACGTTTCCATATCAAACCCATCAATTCCAATGGATTGTCTAGATTTTTAATTTCATCTTGAGCATCTTTTTCAAACAAATCTTCATAATCAAGAGCTTCGTCGTTTTCAAATTTTTCAAGTTGACGATCTATTATATCATAATTAAATTGCTGCATTTTTAAAGCCATTCTTTGATATCCACATGCTTTAAACTGACTACGAATATGTAATCTTTCTCTAACATCGTCTGCACCGTTGCATAAAGAGTTAATCAAAAAAAGATTTGCAAGAGCATATTCCATGAGAATATTTTCAACACCCATTCCACCACGACGTATTTCATCGCTAGCACCAACGAGACTTCCCATTTTCCCTCTTCCATCTACAGTAAGCTCAAGAACTCTCATCCATGCATCGAAACGACCAAGTTCACCCAAATATGATCGTAAGTGATCCAAAGAAGCAAGCACAACAGAATGACCATTTGGCTTATCCCAATGACATATAAAAGTTAAGACCTCGGCAGCAAGTTTTCTAGAAGGAAGATGAGGCGAAAGCAACGAACTTGCTACAGAGTTTACACAAGACTGATGCTCAATAGCATCGTCCGCTCCATACTAAAATAATAATTAAAAGAAAATACCTGTAAAAATGAAAACTAACAGTATTGTTTAAAAGTGATTTAAGACATTTTAAAATTTCTAATTCTTTAAGTATATCATCATCTCGCCTAAAAATGTTAACTAAATAAAACAATAAAAACATAATACTTATTAACGCGCTGAGTTATATGACTCAAAACATTAGTTAAAGCAATCTGTCCTTGACATTTAATAAAAGATCTCACCCAGCTAATATTATTAATAACATATAACTAGCTAAAACTAAATTATACCTAATAGGCTGAGTTCGCAAAGAAACACTTAAAGTTGACAATTGCTTAATTTTAATCGTATTATTAACAATCTTACGAACAAACCACTGGGGAGAACCCTTATCAGCCTCATAACCATGAGAACTAATCCATTTTTTCTATAAAACAAATCAATAAAATATTAAAACTAAGAAAAAAAACCCTATTCTGGTATTCTTGAAGAGCATCTTGATAAATCATTTGCCATTTCTTAGAAGCTGACCAATTCATCATTTTTCCACGAGAATCGAAGGGAATATTCTTCATGTTCTATATATATGTATACATATGATTAATATATAATCAAGAGAACGTACAAGAAGCTCAACAAACATATGCTCAATAATAGAGTGATCCTTTGGCCTTTCAAAAGAAAATTCACCATTTGATCCTATTGCATTATAGGAAAAAAGTCCCAAACGCTGGAAATCTTCAGAATACGAACTACGAGAACTTGAAACACTATGTTGATCATCACTAATATTACGCCTACTCGGCCCACTAGATGACCCAACAGAAGCATTAGATTCCCTACATGAAGCATTCTTATGCGATGTAATAGCTTTCGACCCACAAGACATAGATACATTAGAATAGCTACCACTTGGTGCCGAACCTATTTCACCATATTAATAACGTTATTATAACGATAGAAATAAAAGCACCGGAATTTAAAGAAACAATACTGCTACCATCAGTAGCTTCTAATATAGTCTTTGAAGATGTATTCCCAAGAATTATAGGACGAGTTCCAGAAACCATAATTTCACCATAAGGAACAGAAGAAAGACTATCATCAGTTTTTTTATCCTTATTCAAAATCTCCCTAATACGTTTCCCAAAAAACTGTTGTTGAGATGACTCTGTAGGTGTCTTTATCTTTCTCGAAGTCTTTTCCTGCATATCTTATTCATTCAATTCTCCACATACTTTCATTATTTCATATCAAGAGAATATCCATTGCTCTTTCTATTAATCCTTCTTTTTATAATATTCAATGTTTAACACTAATCTACTCAGCTTGTCAACAATAATTTTAAATCAACATTTTATATGCACAGATTTTCGAAACATTAGAAAAATAAGCAGTAAAACCACAGAATTTTAAAATAGAACTAAACAAAACCAAAAATAATCATCCATATATTTTATTTACTTGTTTATATGTAATTTATAAAAAAAATTGACTAAAAGCAATATTCTAAAATAAAAATATTAACTAAAAATTTATAATAGTAAATCTTTTTTTTTAAAAAATGATTCAATGTAAATAACATTTTTTTCACTATACATTTATTATCTCATTTTAAATAAAAAAACACAATTTTATTGTATATTGATATCTATTTTTAAATTAAATTCAAAACATAATTCTACGTTTTTTCAATTAAACATTTATATCTAATTAAAAGAATATAATATCAACCTAGGATAATGATAATAAAATTTCCTTCAAGAACATAATTTATAACCATTTTCTACAAAAAAATCGAATTTCATAATGATTTATAACAATCTAAAAATTAAATATTTTATTAAATATTTATAATACTAATATTAGTCCAAAGACAAATAATACCAGGATATAAAAACTATAAATAATATATGTAAGCTCTAAGTTTTAAAATATTTTTTACTTCGAAAACAATTCTATTATTTTTTTTAAAAATTTATAAATACATTGTTACTTATATCAAGTATCAACCCTCTAATTTAATAAAAAAGTTCTTAAAAATGGAAATATCTTATACAGACATTTATGCATTTAATTTTAGTCAAAATAATATATCATATATTTAATTACATTTTTCAAACGCTCTAAATATATTTCGTCATTCAAAATTTAAAAAGCTTGATAAAAAACAAAACCTTTTATTATGTTATGTTATATATATAATGACAAATTCAAAATTATATAAAAGTATATCACAGACAATCAATATTCTATAAAGATTAATATATTAATAGAAACTACAGAAGAAAATGAGACACCCTTTTTTTATTCATTTCTTTTTACAATTTTTCTGACAATTATTGCTGCTATTATACTTATACTTAGTTATAAAAAAGCTATTAAACTAGTTCCAAACAGGAAAAGATATATACATATATTTAATCCCATTTCTGACTTTAATAGAATGAAAATACCATTGCAACTATTCCCTGATAATAAAATAAGAATAAGATTAAGTGATGAAGAAGCCATTAATTATGCGTTTGATGATAGCGATAATGAAAACTCAATTCTCATTTATAAAAAAGAAAAAATGCAACCATTATAAAATTCTCAAAAGCATTGATGTTCATAAAACAATTTTAACAAATTCAATAATCTTAAATAAAAGAAAAAAATGCAAAAAAATCCTGTACAAATAATACCAATATATGTTTACTAATAATTATAAAAAATATAATGTATTTTATTTTCCAATACAAAATTTTGAAAAAATAGCACCAAGAACTTCTTCTATATCAATTCTTCCACAAATTTTACCTAACTCGTCACTTGCATATCTTAAATTATCCGCACCAATAACAATATCCTTAATATTACCATCTTCAAATATTAATATTATTTATCATTAATTTAAGAACATACTTAAAAAAATCTGCAAATGGCCTAAACATTTTTCAAGATGCTCTCTATGCCTAGCATTCGCTCCAACCACTTCTTGACTATTTTCAAATAAAATCAATTTTCTTAATTGATTATTAATAGAAAAGATTAGATCACGAATTCCCGCATTAGTATTACAGGAAACAGGAAAAATAAAACTAGAAGATATTCCTGTTAAAAATTCAATTTTTTTTAAATCCATATACTTTTCTGAGTCCAGTAAATCAATTTTATTTAGAACTAAAATAATTTGTTGATTAGATGTATTTTGATGAATTAGTAAGTATCGAAGCGAAGATACATTAGCTTCAATATCAGTAATATCTAAAACACAGATACGCATAAAAGACTTTTCAATATTTTCATAAGCCCTTTTTATCCCTTCCTTCTCAACAAAACCAAGACTATTTTCTTCCCTTAAACCAGCAGTGTCACTAAATATTACAGGAAATCCTCCTATATCAACAACAACATCAATAATATCACGAGTCGTTCCAGGTTCTGAAGATACAATACTTACAGATCTCTTGGCAATTATATTTAAGAGAGATGATTTCCCAACATTTGGTAATCCAAAAATAGATACTTTTATACCATGCCTTAATAATTCACAGCGAACAGATTCTTTCAAATGATCCTGAACTCTAATTACAAATTTTTCAACTTTTTTATATACTAAACAGTTAGATAAATAGCCTATTATATCTTGCTGCAAACTTTGAAAATATATATTATCATTAATATCATCATCTTCACCAAAATCTATGATGGCTTCTAAATGTGATCTATAATCAATCAATTCATCTCTCCATCCATCGTAAAGAGATTTCAAAAATCCCTTCAACATTTAATCTGATAAATTAATCATCAAAAATCATACTTCAACTTGTCGAACAGCCAACTTTCTTTGTTCCTCTGTTTCCGCATTAATTATATCATATAATCCTTCTGCCTGTGTAAGATCCAACTTCCCATTCTCATAAGACCTTCTAGAAAAATCACCAGCCTCAGCATATTGAACATTACAATCACTAGAAGAAATAGCATCTAAAACAGCACGAATAACAGCTGGTCCTCCATGAACATGCAATTCAGCCATATCCTCCCCTGTAAAAGAGAAAGGTCCTTTAAATAAAAGAACACATGCTTTGTCCAGAAGCTCATTTGTCTTCGGATGTCTAATTTCTCGAAGACTCATATATCTCAATTTTGGAAGTTTTCTAGAGGGGCAAAGTGCCTGAACCACCTATGAAAAACATTTTAAATATCATAAAATAAACTCTAAAGATAAATTACACGGAATGATTCAGGTCCAGATATTCTTATCAAAGCAACAGCTGATTTACCTAATGGTGTTGATAAGGCATAAATTGTCTTAAATACATATGAAGAATGGTAAAGTGGAATATCCTTTAAAAGAGGTAAAAAAAACATACAATCTCTAAAAGAGCTGTAGAAACTGTCTTAAAACACAATAGTTACACCCTTTATACTACAAAAATTATTCTGCAGTTGAAATAAATCGATAATCATTAAATAATATAATACGTTACAAAATCATCTGAAAAAAAATGGACGATGTTATTTGGCAGGTGATTAACCAGAATTTTTGCTCTTATAAAGTCAAGTTGTTACATTTTTTTCTTATAAAAATAAGTAACTAATCCACAAGCAGAACAAACACACAAAATTTTTGTAAAAATGAAGTAAATTTATCTTTTCAAGTTTTTAACTAACATTCAAAAGTATAATATTACTGGAATATGTAATCGTCAATCATGTCCTCTTGCAAATTCCCAATATGCTACTATTAAGGAAAAAAAAGGGATTCTTTATTTATACATGAAAACAATAGAGAGATCACATATGCCATCAAAAATGTGGGAAAAAGTAAAATTATCGAAAAACTATATAAAAGCCTTAAAACAGGTATAGAAGCTAAATGTTTATGTTGAATATTATCTTATTTAATGCTCTAGATTGATGAAAAACTTTTGTACTGGCCAAATTTTCTTATATACAAAAATAAAGCACGTTTAACAAGACTTACACAATATCTTATAAAATCCAAAAGACTTTTACTTAAAAAGCACCCAGAGCTTATTGCAATAAAGCCAAAAGAAGTTAGACGAGAAACAACTAGAGAAAGAAAAGCATTGCAAATAGCAAAACTAGAAAAATTCATAGAGAAAAAATTAATAGAACGACTCAAGAGTGGAATATACGGGAAAAATCCACTAAATGTTAGCGAAGATATATGGAAAAAGGTTTTAAGTTCACAAAAGAACCAGCAAGAAAACGAAAGCGAATTAGAATACGAAGATATAGAAGAGCAAACGGAATTTTTTAGTGATAATGAAGAAAGCGATTTAGAAGAATCATATAGAAAATATAAATTTGAGGATAATTACGACCTTACTGACGACTCTGATATGTCAGATAGTGATATAAGTGAAAAAAATCATACTAGCATAAAAGACAGTAACATTGAAAAAAAAGAAATAGAAAAAATCTTTCAAAAGAGAAAACATAAAGGCGAACAATCAAGAAAAAACAAGAAAGGTAATTTAAATTTAGCAAACTAATAAATAATTAAACCAATATTAGCTAAAACATATATCGAAATAGAATATGAACAAGAAAACCAATTAACAGATGAAAAAGTATAAATAATAAATCATGCTTGCAATTATAAAGTTAGGAAAAAATATGGAAAATATATCATAAAATTATATATTTTCAATCATTTCCTTATATTTATTAAAAATGCATTTAAATCCATATATATATACAGCCAATCAAAATACAACAAATACCAACAAAGTACTACTTAAAATTATTATTTTATATTAAAACAAATATTATATCAAAACCTATTTTCATTCTTATTCAAAATTTTTGTCATATATATATATATATTAATATGAAAAATAATCATTTAAATAATAAAGCCTAAACAATGAACCCCTATTAAAATATTGCAATTACTATTATTAATTATGATTCATATTTCGTCTCGATAGCTTTTCACGCAAGCGTTCACTAGCAGATGGAATTTGATATCGGCTTTCATCTGTATTAAAAGAAGCATATTTTATTGGCAATTCATAATTCTTCGGAGTTGAATCATAAATATCTCGAAATGAAACAGACATAATCCGTGTATTTTGTAAAGTTTCATTATTTGAAATATTATCAGAAACGCTTTCAGAATTTTTTATTCTTGGTGTTTCAGATTCTTCAGAAACCTTTAACCATTCAGGAAGACACCCATTTTTCCTAGTATAATATTCTCTTAATACTCTTGATACTTTTGATTGATTTTCATTCTCTATATTATGATCTTCATCTTCCTTTACAATAGCTACATATCTATCTGCCATAGCCTTAGAAATAGCACCAGTTGCACTTATTATACGGTCCCACATTCGTGATCCATGATTTTCTTCTACTCATATTAATCAAAAACATTATAAAACGTTGAAAAAAATATACCTTTATGAGACACTTGAAAATTCTCAAGCCAAGTCATATTACTTATTTTTAGTTAATAATAATCACTTCTACTCTAAATCCTATTATTAATACAAGTCATAAAACAAAAAGGCCTCAAGTTAGGAAAATATAATCTCTAAAAGATTTAAAAATAACTCATATTTCCGTACATATTTGACGTCTAACAAAATATAATCATAGATATATGAAAAATAAAAAAAGAATACACATGATAAAAAGACAAAAAATATTATATTAAAAAGAGTTTTCAATAGAATAGCTTATTAAAATCATTTATCTATAATATTAATTAAAGTACCAAAAAAAGTATATACAACTAAACATATTTAATCTATTTATCATGATTTAGGAGTTTTTTTAATAAAACGTATTTTATATTGAAAATATCATTTTTTTTATATATATTTAGGAAACCATTAACATTAAAAATTATAAAAATAAATCATCCAACAAAATAAATCAAGTTATTAATTATTTATAATATAGAGCAAAAAAAAGAAAGAGTTTATTTTTTTCATCAAAAAAAGAAAAAAAAACATATTTAAGTTAATAAAAAATTATTTAATATTATGTCATCACAAGTGTAAGTTTTAAAAATCCATATATATACAAATATAAATGGATAATCAAATAGTTTTTTAAATAAAACACTATCCGGATCGTTCTCAAATGCATGGAATATTGTTGGGGAGAATTATTCCCATTTTTCTTTACTAGAACGCTTATGGACAACATGGTATACATATATGCAAAATAATACCCTTGCTACAGGTAAATAGTAGTTATTTTGATAAAACAGCAAAATATCAATTATTATTAGGTATTATGTCTTTTGCAATTCATGAAATTGTATATTTTGGACGTTGTCTCCCATGGATCATTATTGATTTTATTCCTTATTTCCGGAGATGGAAACTACAAGATGTAAATATGGTACTTAATTAAAACATAAGATCTTATACTTTCCAGCAGAAAATACCGACAATTAAAGAACAGTGGAGCTGTACACGATTAGTTCTTCTTTCTCACTTCACGGTTGAACTTCCACAAATTTGGCTTTTTCATCCACTTACTCAATATTTCGGCATGTCTATTTCTGCACCATTTCCTAATTTTTCGAAGATATTTTTTCATGTCCTTCTTTTTTTTATCATGGAAGATACTTTTCATTATTGGGCTCATAGAGCATTACATTGGGGCCCCTTATATAAACATATACATAAACTCCATCACAAATATTCAGCACCGTTTGGTCTCGCTGCTGAATATGCTCATCCTGCAGAGGTATTGATTCTTGGACTTGGAACTATTGGAAGTCCTATTCTTTGGTGTTTTCTTACAGGAGACCTTCATCTTTTTACGGTATATGTTTGGATTACATTACGACTCTTCCAAGCCATAGATGCACATTCAGGCTACGACTTTCCATGGAGTTTAAATAAATTCATTCCATTTTGGAGTGGCGCAGAACATCATGATGCGCATCATGAGGTATTACAAATTTAATCTATATTTCATATATTAAAAATATATTTGCATAGATCTTTGTGAACTGCTATTCTACAAGTTTTCGGTGGTGGGATCATTTTATGGGGACAGATAAACGTTATAAAGCACTTCGAAAACGTCAAGCATTGAAAAAGAAAAATTTGTGAACAAGAAACATAAAGAATAATATTTTGGTAGCATTTTGTTTAAAGGGGTGTTCTTTTCTATATGATTCCTTTATTAATCATAATTTAATTATTTAAACATTTTGTTTTTTAAATATAAATATATTTTTTTTTATTTATATAAATATTAAAAAAATGCGTTTTCATTTCTTTAATCATGATTTATATTTAATATAGTTTTTTATATTAACATTTTTTAAATTTTCAAACAAAAAATATTAAAAAAAACTATAAATTACCAATAATACCATCTATAAGAGATTTCTACAAAGAAATGTGCCTTGATATACCTACAAATATGAAAAATAATATTTCACAGCTTTTCAATTCCTATGAACAAACAAAATTAATTTTTAGCAAATCTAAAGTAAAAAATAATAGCAATTTAAATAAAAAACTAACACTCAATAAGGTTCATATTTATAAAGAGCCATTTTCTAGAAAAAACGACTTTGGATATGTTATTCTTGTTGAAAAAATATCAAAACACCAATTGACTAAACCAATTAACATAGAAAATATTTTTCTTTTTTGGATTCCAGAGTCTTTTATAATATCCAGCGATGACTATGAAACATATAGAAGTGTAGAAGAAAATAATTATAATAATAACGATGAAAACGAATACATCATATCTCTCCCATTAAATTCTCATGAAGATATACATTTTATTTCTCTATTAAAAATACACAGCTTATTAATTAAACCTCCTATAAATGAATCTATTGGATCTATTACAATTAATACACACGAAAAAAGTAATTATCTTACACTTTTTTTTAATGGTTAGAATTCAAATATGTCATATTTATACTAAAATATTTTTTTACTGCAGATAATGAATATATTAATAAAAACTTATACAATAAAATTAGCCTAGAAGAAAACATAAAGCCTTTTGACGAAGAAAAAAAAATATTATGGGGTGGTGAATATCTTCTTATACGACTGAAGTCTATAATAAATATAAAACAGTAATTTTTATACATATTTTCTATACAATTAATATGCTTTAGCTTATCTACAGAAGAAAATGTATATATAGTAAACCATGATTCTATCGACACTGTAAATATACAATCTATAGACAACAATAACCAAGAAAAAATACAAGATATAAAAGAAGATACAAAAATAGAAACACTTAAAAAAGCATACAAAAAAGCTAGATGGAATATTTTAGAACGTTTTAGCCTTATCACTCGCTTTTCTCATGAAAAAACTAAAGACATTCTTAATACATCATTTGCAAAAAACATGCTTTTGTCTAACTTTCCTCCACAACTGCAGAAATTCTTAAATTCCGAACAAACTATAAACATAATGGAAGAATATGATGCAGCTCGTCTTTATCTTGCTCGATGGGCTGCTAGAATTGCTGAAGATAGTGAAAAGGACAGACATAATAAAATTATATGGAGCTGTAAAGATACTAATACTTGGAATAAAAAAACATTACCTAATAATTTTGAAATGTTAGAGGTGGAAACTCCATTAAATCATATCCATAATATTAATTTTGAATAGTTAAATACCTTCGAAAACAATATGAAAATAACAAACGATCCAATCTTAGAGAAACAATGGAAATCATGGTTTAACAATACGGGAAAACTATGGAAGACAGAAAAAAGCATAAAAAAAAACATTTTTTATAAAGTAAAACACTACTATTGATACTAAATATTCTAATTTTATAGGGTATACATTCCAATATAAGAAAGGAAGTTTGGTGTTTTTTACTTAAAATTTATCCATGGGACTCTTCAGAAGAAGAAAGAAAAATAATATTTTTAGAAAAAAGTAATAGATATATGCAATTAAAACAAGGATGGCAAAATAACAAAGAAAAACAAGCAGATGAAGTATTCAAAGATCAAAAACATCGAATAGGTAAATAGTTTCAAAAGCATTATATGAATTATAAACAATTATAGAAAAAGATGTTCATAGGACAGATAGAAAAACCAAATCTTCTGCGGGTAATACTATATTTTATAATACTCTTGATTTATCTCCTTTAGAAACAAATTATCATTTAGAAACAATGACAAACATTCTGTTGACATATAATGAATATAATAGAGATCTTGGTTATGTTCAGGGTAATTTATAAATATTTAGTTACTAATTTAACAAAATAGGAATGTGCGATTTATTATCTCCTCTATATATTGTAATCGAAAATGAAGTATTAAGTTTTTGGGCCTTTGTAGATTTCATGAAAAGAATGGTATATATTGTTTTATCACTTTTCTATTTTAAATGTGTTATAAGCAATATAATTTTTCTGAAAATCAGTCTGGAATGAGAAAACAGTTAATGATTCTTGATCAATTAATACAACTCATAGATCCAAAATTTTATACACATCTTGGTATATTAAAAAATAAATATATTCCTTATTAAAAATATTCAGAAAATACTTCTAGTACAAATTTCTTCTTCTTTTTCCGTATGCTATTAGTTTGGTTTAAACGTGAATTCGAATGGGACGATGTTTTGAGACTCTGGGAAGTGCGTATCTATTGTTTTCCATATTCGTTTTGTAATAGATATAGATCCTTTGGACAGACCATATAACATCCCAATTTCATATTTTTGTCGCATTAGCCATTCTTGATAAACATAAAGAAATCATCATAGGTACACCTGTTTTTAATCAGATGTAAAAGGTTAATATATTATAGATCATCTTAAAGAATTCGATGAAGTTTTGAAATATAGTACTCAATTTTATTCATCTATTTTATAACTAACAACAATAGTAAACGATCTTTCTATGACAATAGATCTTGAATCTACGCTCCAAAGAGCAATAACATTATTTTATAAATTTAAACAAATAGTCGAAACAATTGATGCTAATTTTTCAAAAGATGTTTTATCTACTGATCATTCAGAAAAACAAGAACATAATAATGCTAAGAACAATTCCAATTATTTACAAAACCAAAACGAGAAATCACCACTTATAAGCAATTATTTAAGAGAACTTTTAAATACTGATTCTAACATTTAGTGCTAATTTTCGATTTTTAGATTTATAATTAAAAATGATCAATTTATTATTTTTAATTTTATATATTCATAATTTCCAAACATTAAGACATTTTGCCTTTTTTAATAGTCCTCCAAGATTCCCTTGTTCACCATACAACGTGTCTTTAGGACCAGCAATATAACTTACAAATCCATCAGTTCCACATACCAAGACAATTGTATCCGAATCAGTACAACCTGAAGAAGGAAATGCTTGAATTATATCATATAGGTTTATTGACCTGATTAAATATTTATCCAAAACTTTGCTATCTGGAGAAGAATCTACAAAATAGGTAATTTTAAGATTTTCCGAATATTTTTCTTGTAAATTGTCCAATTCTTTCCTTAACAATATCTCATCTGGATTTCTATTCGCATACATCAAATGGAATTTAGGCATATACTGAACACCATCTTGAAAAATATAAGATAAAAGCTGATATGCTGGCGTAATTCCAGTACCACCTGCAATCTTTTCATATTATAAAAAAATATAAAAAACTCAAAATCCCTACAAACAAAACATTTTTCCACTGATTATCATTCCATTTCCACTCTAGAAATGGACCACGAAGTTCTATTCGATCACCCACACGTTTTCTATGAATCCATCGACTTACTTCACCATCTTCATAAAATTTAACAAGTAGAACAACCTTTCTAGAACTAATATAAATAGGTGTATAATATCGTTGTATTTGAATATCAGAATTCTTAAGCAAAACATTTTGTATTGGACGATTCTGATATTGCTTAGACGGCCGATCAAATTCAAGCTCATATATGTTTGTAGAAGGAGATATTTGACGAATATCTCTAATTGTGCAAAAAGAATAAAAATCCCCATTCAAATAATCTCTTTTTTCACTATTTACGTAGGAATAAAGCACACCAACACTAAAAATACCAAAACAGGCTGACATAAACTTAATTCTTTTTGAAACAGAAAAAAACATTTTAAAAAGACCATTTCTAAATCAAGAAGCAACTTAAAAAATTCTTAGAAATCTTTTTTTTTTTCAAATAATTCAAAGTGTCTTTACATTTGAATAAACTAGAAATATCTAAGGCCATATCGAATGTTATATAATAAAACATAAAAAATTAATTCAACAGGAAAAACCACTCAAAAATAAAAATATTTTTACAATTGCATATTTCAAAGGAAGTAAAAGTATTTTATTGAGTTATATCTATTTTCTAATATAAAAATATCAATTATTAAACAAAAGCCAAAACTTGTTTTTACAAATCGGAATATACATAAAAATAGAATAATGTATAAAACAAATAAATTACATGTATTTTTTCAAAAGTATTAACTTTATATGCTTAAACATAAATATCATATCAATAAATTTGAAATGCGTCAAGAATATAAAACATATATATATGATTTTAAAGTGTGATATTCAAAACATAATCTCAATTCAATATTTCTATTGTTAAATATATAAAGTATAACAATATAATTAATAAGATTAACAAATTTCAGAAAAAATAGAAAAAAACAATATTTTCATTATATAAATGTAAATTACAAATAAAAATACCTTTTATTATAATATTATTAATATTTTATAAATATTTACCATTAAATATTAATGAATCTTAAGAATTTAATTAAAAAAAAGGCAGCCATTTTATTATATTTCCAACAAAAACATCAGTACAATATTATCAAAATATCATAAATATTATACTTAAATATAGATTAAAAAGATTTAATCAAAGTTTCTAGAAATTACAAAAAAATTAATAAAATTAAAAACAAATGCAAAATTAGATTATCCCAATATCAAGAAATTAGATAAATATATTAATTATGCTAAATGTTTATACAAACTTTTAATGCCACGAGCAGAAAGTAATACAACAAAATCAACCAATTTTATAATAATAAGTAATCTTAATAAAAAATATTTTCTTAAATTTATTCAATATAAGTGCTAATATAATATGTCTTTATTTATTAATTAAAATCAATTATAATTTAAAAACTCACCAAAACAGCAGAATTTTCATCTTCTGGTTCCATAATATACACATAAAGAACCTCTCATTGTCAATATATATTATTCTAAATATATATTTATTTACCAAAGCATGCCCTTCGCAAAAACATGCAATAACCCTTTTAGCAACAATATGGACTTGCAAAAGATTAAGCCAATCCTTAACATCAACCTTCATCGTCACGAAAGATTTTTTATCTCTAATTTGACTCGGATGTTTAGAAATATCTTTCACTGTATTTGGATCCAATTCAGGATTAATTAAATCTTTAAATTTTGTTTCAATTTTACATGAATCAGATACAACACCAATTTGAAATTCACCTGACATATTTGCCTTAAGAATAATTTTATTACTAATTGCTCTAAATCTTTCCGATATATAACGTAGTTGAGAAAGAGGTGGTAATATTATATGACAATCCGGTTCTGGAACAACAGGTTCGGATAACTGCACTAAAGGTGATAAAACTCTAACATGAATATTATGTGTTACTGCACTCATACTACCCGATTTTCCCTAAAAATAATTATTAAAAACATCATTTTTCATCTCTTTATACTAAAAGAGAAATAGAACAAGAAAGCATTGGAAAATGATCTTGTTTTGTCAATCTTAAAATAATTTCTGATGCATTGACAGAAGATTTAAGAGCCTTATGTAAATTATCAACAGGAATCTCAAGATTAATTATATTATCCGTATTCGATTGTATATGATAATCTCGGAATATAGACGTTACCTATCTTGATTTTAACAACATTATTATCAAACCCATAACAATTGCCTCCAAAATACTGAAACTATTAGAAACATACTATTATTTATAATCTCATACGCCCATACTTGTGTACCTGTATGATCAGGCACTACAATAAAATGAACTGTTTCCGGTGTAAGCTTTAGCCAACAAATTCTTCCTATTCTTTCAAGAGATTGAACAAGGCCTAATTTAAATAAGTATAACATAACTTAAGGAGAAAAACTCACGTATAAAAGTTGAAATATTTGAAATACCTGTCTTAAAACGCATCACATGAAATTTGTTAGAAGCACAGATTATCGAGATCAAGATTCTATATAGATAATTATTGTATATTTTACGAAACAAAAAAACAAAATACAATATTATTAGCCCTGAATTCTAAATATTAATTATAGAAGGCTTATAATGCCTTTCTAAAATCAATATATGAATAATATATACAAAGCTTTATAAAATAATATATATTTTTTACATTAAATGAGTCCCATCATCAACATCATTTGAAACGATATGTACTTGTTTTTTTATTGTCCATTCTTCTTCTTCTGCATGTCGTTTAGCATACAAAGCACGACTCTTTTTTACTTCGTCAGAACAATAAAACAATCGACGATCAATTTCTTTAACTTCTTCCATATCTAATACAGTCTTTCCTTTTATAATAATTTCTTCTGAAATCATTTCAATAGTCTTTAATAAGTCTTGCATTCCTTTTCTTTGTAAATAGGTTTGAACTATTTCACTACCTACTGCCATTAAACATCCCAACGCAATACGGCTTGGACTATAAAGAAATTGAAGATCTGTCCATAATGTCTTAGAAATAAGATTTTTTGCATCATCATGAAGTTTCCCAAACACTGTTACAACATGTTCTGGTAACACTACTTGCATATCCAAGACAAATCCATGTAATGGTCGATAGGCGTGCCAAACATAAAAATCCCAGGATAAAGCACGACATACTAAAAACTCATTTTCCAAAATAACCATTGATGTTACCTTCGGAATAGAATGTACAAATTGATCCAAAGAAATATAATGATCACATGCTTTGGTCGCCAAAAAAAGACAAGTTAACCTAATATTTTACATCAGCCTTTTTTAAACATGCTAAAACTCATACATAATCAACTTTGGGTGGTGATCCATGACAGAATAACGAAGATAAAACCTCTTCAAATACGTTACTGCCGTTGCCTAAAAATATATATTTATAATTTTATACTAAAAATAAAAAGATAAATTTACCTTAACATAGGATGAAAATTCAAAATATGCACTTAACCCTTCCATTTGTGTTGCATAATAACTAACAAGAGCCCATTCTTCATCCGGACTTAAAAATGAAACAGTATTTACTGTATCCTGCTCCAACTGCTGTCGAATCCTCTCACATGCTTCTGCTGTAATAGAAGCTCTTAATTCCTGAAGTTTATCAGCTGTAAAAGTCCAGTCAGTAGCTTGAGTTGAATGTTCGTACTCTGACATGCACGAGCGATGTGCACCGATCTAAAGATCGATATCAAAATATAAGACTTGTATACTTTTTAAATAATATATATCGAATAACGCATCGTCTATACACCCATTTATACAGATATTATTATGTTTAAATTAAACTTCAACTTTTTTAAAAAACAAAATTTAATTTTCTTATATCAATACTAGTCGCCTCTCCATCCAAAAGAATTTCTGATAAAACCTAAAAAATAAAGTTATTTATCTTAAAATATAATGGGGGAAAAAATAACTTTTCCTGTGCCAGGCCCATTACAAATTCCCCAACATCCATGACCTGAACCAACATAAAGACCGTCTTTGACTTTACCAATTAAAGGTCCATTAGTATGTGCAGTACAAACAGGCAAATAACATGCTTGCTTTGTCTTAACATGACCGTTTTTAATAAATCTACTCAATTCATCTCCCCATTTCTTCAATTGCTCACAAGAACTATCTTTAACTTGCACATCCTCAGTTGTAGAGGGTAAAGGCTCATTATCAGTCTCTCCACAAATATAAAGCTAAGTTGTTTGAATAATCATATAAAAAAAAAAAGAAAACCTACTTCATCTTTTCTAGCATAAATTTCAGGACTCACGAACTGTCCATTCTCCAATTTCATATGTGTAAATAATGCATGCGCAGATAAAGGTTTATCAATTGTAACAACAATACTATGAGAACGAAAACCAGAAATAGGGATCCCAGGATATATCCGACCTGTCCATGGCCCCGCAGTAATAAGTACATAATCAGCGGAAATTGTTTGTACAAAAGATTCGCCTTTAGGGATATAACGAACAGTTTTTATATCATCTAAAGGAAGAACAGTACCCAAAATTAATCTTACACCTTTTTCTTGAGCTAAAGAAAAAATGGTATTTGTAAAATTATACGGATGAACTTGTGCTGTAGTAAATGTTGTTCCTAAAATAGAAACTCGCTCAATTTTTTCAGCATCAATCCAATCCAAAGTCCCAGGAAGCGCTGCTGATCTCCTGGGACGAAAAGAAGACGTAATTTGTAGAGTATCCAGCTTTCTAATAACATTAATACAACTTTATCTTTACAAAATAAAAACCTATATCCCCATTTCTTTTCCCCATCATGCTCTTTAGCAAGAGTTTCATGTAATTCATAGGAAAGTTTAGCCAGAGGCGCAGTTTCCTGTCCATGCTATAAATATTTTTAGCAGAAAAACATTTATAAATAATTCATTTATACCCAATCCAAAGCTAATAATCCACCTGCCTTTCCAGATGCTCCAGAAGCAATACCTAACAAAATTAAGTTACTCTTTTAAAAAATTCAAAATATACCCGTTCCTTCAATAAGTGTAATCGACATCCTAGAAGAATCGTACTTAGAATGAGATGTAAGATAATAAGCCGTAGTTGATCCAATAATTCCTCCTATATTCCTCAAAAAATAGAAAGATTTTACTCATCTTTACCTCCTATAATAACAATAGACTGTTTCGTCATAATTTTATATTAAACACAATTTCAATAAAAAAATTTTATTCAATATTTCTCTAAACTTCTACTATCCATCAGTATCAATAACATTCCCAATAAAATTTTGCTTGATGAGATCCAGATACATATTTCTTGCAATATATGTATTCAAAAATATAAATTCATAAAAACCAAATACCATTATCAAAAAAAATAAAACTTTCAACAAATAAACAATATATATCTTACTTCCATACACATATTTCTCCATAAAAACATAATCAATATCCCAAGTACTCTTTTTTCGCAATTACCTTAAATATTCACAAATCCTCAAACTACTTAGCACTTTTCAGGCAGGAAAACATTTAGGACATAAATGACTCAATCAAACAATTTATCAGAAAAAATAACCAAGACCTATCAAAGAAAATAACACATTCTTATTCAAAAAAATATTTATTTACTATAAAAACCCTATAAAAAACTAATAAGAATTACTACCAATATAAAAGCTACTCGTTTCACTTAAATAGTTGCTTTTCCTATATAACTTGTCTAAATTCAAGCCTTTCAAGTATTTTAAAGGTTAAAAAAGGCAGATACCGAAATCAAAAGTATCACCAACTTTTAAAAAAAACCAAATACCAAATTTAAATGCCTTCACAAGATCCTAATATTACTATTGAATCACTTATTTTCCGATTAAAACGAAATAGAATCTTAACAGGGTTCCAGGTAGCTGTAGAAACAGCGTTACTATTACGACAAGTAGTTTCAACAGCCAGATGGACCAACGTTAATCAGCTTATTAGTCAAATTCAAAAATTAGGATCTAAATTGGTTGAAGCACAGCCAAAGGGCATTATGAAACAGAAAGTTTTATATATTTCTAAATGTTTTAGAATTTGTTAGTGGGAATATTGTCCGCAGAGTGTTATTCCTTATACGAGAAGAATTTAATAATGCATCAGATGAATCAGAGTTAAACACATCAGCGGACGATCATTTAGCGAAATCGAGCATTGAAGGTAGAAAATGGAAGATTATTTTGATTTTTTTTAGAAAGTTTCTATAGGAAATCTAGAAAGAATTACATCGAGTCCTATTTATTCATCTATGCTAAATCTTCTGGGGAAACCCAGTGATTATGAACCTAATGTATCACAGAAATTTACAAATCGAATAAATATAGACTTAAGACCTATTTTTATTCAAGGAATCCAAGATATTATTGATGAACTTGAAAAAACACATAGCGATATTGCAACACAAGCAATGGATCATATTCATTCCAAGTAAATTATTGTAATAAAATTAAAAAATCATTGAATAAATATTAGCGAAATAATTATGACCTATGGTGCATCAAAAACCATTGAAACTTTTTTACGCGCAGCAGCAAAAAAAAGAAAATTCACTGTTATTTTGGCTGAATCGTATCCTAATGATCACGCATCTTCTCATATGTCAATTGTTGCTTTAACAAATGCAGGGATTGATACAATTCTTATACCCGATGCAGCAGTTTTTGCATTGATGAGTCGAGTTAATAAAGTTATACTTGGTAGTCATACAGGTCAGTTCAGCGTTCATCAATTTTTATCTACTATCTTTCATATTTTGCTATTTTCTTGTTACTAATAAATGTAGTTTTTGCAAATGGAGGAGTATTAGTCTCTGCAGGCGCAAAAAATCTGGCAGCAGCAGCTAAACATCATTCCACACCTGTTATTATATGTGCTGGTATATACAAATTTAGTCCAGTATATCCGCATAATCCTGATTCACTAATTGCTTTATCCTCACCAAATCATGTTATACCATTCGATGAAGGCGATTTTTTTGAAATATTTAAGAATTATTTAATATTTAATAGATTTAATGGATTCAGTAGACATGATTAATGTTTGTCATGACTATATTCCACCATCCATGATTGATTTATATATTACAAACTTGTTATAATTATTTTATTTATAAAAACCTACTAATAAAAGATAGAGGCGGTCATCCACCATCATATCTGGCAAGACTAATTAGAGAACATTATGATCCTGAAGATATGATATTCTAGTCCCAATAAATAAATCTAAGTAACAAGATCTCTTCAATAAATAATCGATTATAGTAGTTAATAAATAATTCTATCATACAATTACTAATATTTTAGTATATATAACTACAAATAATACAATATTATACTTTTAGATTAGTAAATACTCAATAATTTTAAAACGATTTTTGAAAAAAATTCTTACAAAATAATTAACAAGATATTATTAAGCCATTATAAAGTTAATCTAAAAAATAATGCAACAGAAAATAAAGATATAAATTATAAACTTCCAAGAATCCATTACTAATTCATTATCTAACTATTCTTACTCAAACATCATTAATATTATCTCATAATATGAAAAATGCCAATTTTTAACGTAACATCACATGAGAACCACGTAACTGCAAAAATTGTTGTTCAACACCTAAAATCTAATTAAAATATATTTCTACCTCATCTGCTTACCTTGCGTCATATTCTTAATTATAGAAAAAACCTCTTTATTATGAAATCTCAATCCAGTCTTAGGATCTGTATATAAACCCTGCAAACCCGTAATATCACACCATTTAGAGCACGGAAAAAGACTTGGTGATGCTTCAATATTACTATATGTTGGTACATCTGGAGATAAAGGAGACGTTGATGTATGAAGCTGTGCTTCATACATCAAGACCTGACGAAGAGTTTTATTTCTTCGTGGATTCCTCTTGAAATGTGGATTTTTAAAAGGCTTTTCCAACACCCCAATATCAACTGTATCCAACAATGAATGAGATGAAGAAACCATAATTCGTATCAAAAATAAGGCAGAATAAGGTTAAGACCAAATAACAATAGAATTTTAATAAAAATACTTATATTAAAAGAAAAGGTATCGAATAAGCAAATAAGACGAAAACAATACGCATATATAACACATACAATAAGTATATAATAAAAAATATATAAAATCCAACAGGATATATATTAATAAAAAAGCAAATATAAATATATTTTATAAGAATATTTTTTCTATATATTTTTTTTAAAATTTTATAATATTAAGTATTTTACATAAAATCGAGATTAATTAAAATAGACTTTGGTTAAATTAAAAATAAATACATATATTGGTATTTATATTATATGTATAAACTATTAAGATTCATAAAGCAAGTAAAAATAACATTTATAGAAAGAATTATATAAAGAGAAACATTTAACTTATAATAAATATAAAGCTCATAAAAAGTTGAATTCTAATATCTTAAATAATATCTTGAAGATTTTGTAAATAAAAACAATGTGATATTGAAATTTTTTAGTCGTATAAAGAAATCATGATTTAAGAAAAGTAATATGGGTTTTATAACAAAAATGAAAAAAATATCCCATATAGATTTATATATAACAAATCTATTAGTTAATAACCTAAAAGATAAAAAAATATCGAATGTAAATATTTCTTATTAACATAAACTATGCTATTCAAAGATAAATACATTTTGTCGAACAGTTAGATTTATGCCTATTAACCTAAAAAGAAGATCCTTAATAGACTTAAAAAACTTAGAAAATTTCCAACCAAAGACTTTGTTCATGTATAACTTAACAATCATCTCGATAAACCCAATGTTTTTAATACTTGCCCTTTCTAAACAATAAAAAAACATAAAATTCAAATCTATCAAATAATTAAGAAATCATTCATCTTCTCAAACATCCTCAACACTATCTCTCTCTCATATCATCCTCAATCCATTTCCATAGTATCCTCTACAAGAGTAGCTGAAGCAGTATCTGTAGCAGCTCTTTGAGACCGCCTATAAGCAGAGAGAGATGTTTCTCCTAATTTAGAAAGCCATTCAACAACATCATCATTTTCTATTAACTTAAATGGAAGGTCCTTTCCAACTACACCAATAGATGTATTTAATGAAGTCAATTCTTTATCTTGAGCCAAAGAATCTCGCAATGCACGAAGACCATGAAGAATCAATTCATCTAATGTTGCTAACAAATCATCAACAATATTCAAAAAAATACAAAAACATACCATCCGGAAATGATTCATAAGCAGACTCTAAATACGTCCTTGCTGACTGAGAACGTGCACCAATACTCGTACCAACATATTCCAAAACAGATCCAGATGGCAAAAACTCATATAAATGAGGCCCCGTATCCTATAAAAATAAGAATTGATCCAATAACATCAAAAATATGATTAACATCATAACCAATTACTAAAAAACCTACACCAAAAGGACGTCTTCCATATTGCTGAGTATTGATTTGTGCCTTACTTGCAATAGACGACATAACTCGAGCCACTGATATCTTCCTATTATATATTATCCGTGAAGCAATAGCTTGTTGCCTCATAAAATTACTTACTTCATCAATTACAATTCACAAAAAAAACCTTATCCTACCTAAGCATACGCCCATCTGAAGTAAGCCCTGCAAGTGCCAATGCCAAATGATCATCAATTTTAATTATTTTCTTCTGATAACTCCCCAAATCCTCAGGATTTCTCTAACCCATAACATTAACAATCTTTATTATTTTTCTACAAAAAAAATCCAAAAGTAAAACATTAATCTGTACCTTAAGCGCACATAAAACTGCATGTGTTTTGCTTACAATACCAACTGCAACTGAGCCCTGTTTCACTGCTTCCATAGCATATTCTACCTGATAAAGTCGACCTTGAGGTGACCATGTCGTTGCATCATTATCTATCAAAAATAGGTTATTTTTTTTCAAAAAAAAACAATTCTATAGCAACAAACCATACTGATTACGAAACATAGTGCCACGAATCCAAACTCTTCAATTAACAGCCACTAAAATACTCTAAAAATATGTCTTTTACCGACTTAAAATTTTATACGTTAACCCTCCGACTCTAATTTCACGTTACCTAGGAAACTATTCTCAAAAAAACTCTACAGTCGGACCTACTGCAGACGACTAAGGTTAAGTAAACATATTAAAAAGTAAATTTGAGCCAATATATTCATCAAATATAGAAAAATATGAACCATATTCATATGTAAGTAAATATTTTATTAATATTTATATAATGGATCTTTAGAATTGTGAGAATTTTTTATAAATTTTTAAAAATTAAAATATGATCAGATTTTATTAAGTTTTCTATTGTCTATTGGTTTCTTATCATCAATTCTTTCATGCGCTTTGTTTTCAAATTGGCTTCCTTTATCTGTTGGTAAATAAATCAACTTTCATCGAGTATACTCGATGAAAGAAGATATAAAAAAGGTACTAAAAAAATCAGTTGTTATATATATACTCGCACCTTTACCCAATGCAATATGTAGTAGAATGTCAGATACGCATGATTTTATTAATGATTCATTTGGGTAAAAAATAAGGAAATTATACGTATTTAATAACAAAAGGATAGAAATGGAGTTGAAAATGTTGGACGATTTATCACGGGAATTTTAATTGTTTCGGGGATTAGTATGTTTTTTATTTATTCTATAAGTCAAACTGAATTGTAAAAGCATTGCCTATCACACTTGAACATGCAGGGCTTATTGTTAGACACGCAACTATCATGAGTATATCGGGTGGTCTTTTAATATATATAACAATCCTAATTTACTCAAATATATTTATGAAGGACAATGCCGAATTTTAATTGGTTAGTCAAGTAAATGTCAAGTATACATAATCTCAATTTTGGATTATACCTACAATTCTATATCATCTACACATTTTACGATAAGATGATTCCTAGAAACATGCATACGCCCCTTGTCAGGACCATAAAGCTCTTGTATAGATGCCATAATTTCATATTCACCTCGATTCATAAAAACAGCTGTATATTTTTCTTCATGGGATTGTTGAGATTCAATCAATGGAAGTACAGTCTGCATTATACCATTAAAAGTAACACATCGAGACAAATCTACAAGTGTCTGATTTTGATAGCGTAAGGAGGGTTGAATTCGAACAAGGGTTTTTATAGGATATTCTTTAAAAATGATTAAAATAAATAACAAAAATAATCTAACATGTACCTTTTCTATTAATAATCTTCAATGTAAAAGTGACAAATTCATATAATTTTACAAGCCATGTAAGTCTTTGAATTTTCTTAACAACTCCAGATATTTCAAGAACAACACTAATATCTTCCACTTTCAAAGAATAAACCATTTTCGGTGTCATACGTAAGCCACGCAATTCAACAACACCTTTCCTATCAGCTCCCGGTTGCACCCACGTTCCATCAATGATCCTAAATAGTGCTTCACGCAACCAAAATGATTCTCTTTGTTGATAATCATCTACTTCAGAATCCTTTTTTGTGTTAGAAACAACAAATTGACGGGTAGAAACAATAGGAATAGGTTTCTGAGAATCTTCTCTAGAAATATATATTCTTTTCAATGGAAAAATAAGCCTTAAATACATATTAAAATTGCACATAAATATAATAAATTTACCTATTAGTTTCTCCTGGATAAATAAGTTTTTCTATTTTAAAAAGTTCATCACCTATTTAAGGATAAGCAAAAGTCAATATAGAAAAAAATATTACCCTCATTTTGAACATTAAGATAAACGCATAATGGTTTAGGCCAAATATTTCGAAAATCCAAAAGCCCTAAACAATATTCTACTCCTTCGTGTTCATGTGTTCCTGCGTATTGAAATAAACTACCCATTTCTTCAGAAATATCAGGAATATTTTCCCTCTCTTTAATATCATTAACTATGTTAATGACATCACAATTTACAAGCTCTAAAGAAGCATTTACTGTAACAATAACAGGAACAACAACACGTCGAGTATAAAACCGTCCATGAGAAGAATCGTTTTCAACATTTCCATAATCTATTTGAATCTTACCATCAGTAAGACCCCTTTTTCCAAAAATCTCAATTTCCAAAACTTCTTCGCAATCTGGTTTCAAAGAAAAATGAGACACTTTTTTGTTCCATACAAAAGCTTGTCTCTTATAAAGAAACAATTCCAATTCATATATTTCTTCTCTTGAAATATTTTTAGAAGCCAAAGCATCTTTCAAAGGATTAATTGTTGAATCTGTAAAAGAAAGAAGAAGAAAATTAATAGTAATATGAGAAACATTTTTTATAGTTATTGTAAAAGTAGACCTACAATTTCAACTAATGTTATTAAAAACAATTAAACTTACCGCTCTCCTTCTAATAACATGATAGATCCATTTACAAGAGACGTTCTAGTTACTATTAAAATTGGCTGAGCAGGCAAAACCTCAAAACTCTCCTCTATTGTCATAGGTATAGATGATAATGTATTTTTGAGAGGGATTTCTCCATTTTTTAATGACATAATAGATGATTTTATAACGGAATAAACATTAAGACCCATAGATTTAATTTTTCCTTCATAAAAAACATTTAAAAATAACTTCTCATGTTCTACAGAAGAAAGTCCTCGATTTACCAGAAATATATCATCTTTACAACCTGAAAGATGAATTCTACATCCCTTAACAACAAACTCGCCAGGCTCTTTAGGACAACCAAATAATCGAACAATATGTATTCTTTGAGGACCAATAACTACTGATGTTGATTGCGATTCAAATTCAACACCCTCAGTACTTAGCAATAATAAATTAATACTAATAGAAACAATTCCGAAAACACTTACAACAATGAAATACCAACACATTCCAATTCAAATGAAAGTGGATTATGCAAAACTATCTTAAATTCAGCAACATCTCCTTCAACTAATAGATGCTAAACATCAGATTAGCAATATAGTCAAATTATTTATTATATTTACCTTAACAGGAATATTACTCTTTTTGATAAAAGGATTATATATAAATGGATCTCTTGGATAATTATTATCCTTATCAACACTATCTAATTCTGAACCGGAATAAAGAATTGGAGTAAATTTAGAAGAACCACTAAAAATAAATGAATGAAAATTTAATATAAAATATTATCATACGGTATAAATTCAATAGATTGTACAATATCACGATCCCAATAATCTGCTTCAAGCTCATCTAATCCAAGGCTCCTAACAGCTAAAATAATACGAGGAATGTTCGATGCAAAACGAATTTGATTATCTCGAGAAAGATAAATGGATGCAATACTAAGTATTTTAGTCGTAAAATTTAACACTCCAGAAAAATCAGGTAATGCTTCACAAAACGAAATACATTCTTTCAATATAGTAATTTTTAAAGAAGGCCAACCATATTTCTCTAGTAACTCCACTTCAGACCTACTTTTACATCTTTCATCCATTCTTAAAATGCCATAACAATCACAAAGATCATCAAGAAGATTATGTATTAAAAAACTAGAATTTTGCATGTTTGAATGTTTCGGAGATATAGAATAGTTCGTTAAAGCAATTTGAGCAATTAAACGTACACTATCATCTGTAATCCAGTCGACTTTAGAATTAATCAATACAGGCGTAAGAGTAGAAATAATTTCTCGTAAAAACATAGCTCTTGCTCTTCGAAATCCCACCATACCTAAAATACTTGCAAGACCCCCATAAATTCTACATTTATCAACAACGTCCAATTCATTTACATATGGGCTATGTGCACGCATTGACCATGAGGCAATATCTGCTTTTGGAGGATAACCAGAAACACGTGTTTTCGGAATAAGATAAAATTCATCATAAATAATACTTCTTAACGCAATGTGATTCCAACCACCCGCCAAATGCACAAGAGATAATAGTTTTCCAAAACGAAGCACACTTTCTGAAAAACATAATGTCGGAACCCTTTCATTCGAACAATTATACGATTTCTGATACAAATCAATAATATTCATATGCAAATCCAAAAGAAAATCTAAAACATGAGGCTTTGAAACATTTAAATCTATTTCTTTAAATGTCATCATCTTCGTCGATCCTATTTTATCCAATTGAGGCGGTGAAGAGGGCAAAGCAGTAATCGGTATCTTTTCAAATTTAAACCTTTCTTTTAACCTATTTAATAACCATACCTGATATTCAATTTGAAGAAATGATAAAACTACTAAACAAACTCCAATCCCTTCTAACGCAGAACCATGCCATATATAATCTTTAGACGCTTTAGCTAACATTGCTGATTCCGTATACCTTACATTCATTAAAATAAAAATATAATAATTAAAAAATACTTTTTTAATGCATCCAATGTACATCCTGATAATAAATATAAATCCCCTAAAATCTTGATCTTTCGTCCTTTCAATAAAGTACCTCCTATCTTTTCCATTTTTTCTTCATATTCATTCATTTCTTCAGCTTTTTCTCCAAATTTTGAAACATAAGGAGACTCAATCCACATCTTTTCCTGTATTTTTCTTGCCTATCCCTAACGTTAAATTTTCCTTAATCTTTTTATCATTTATTTTCCTACAAAAATCTCAAATTCCTTAAGTAAACTGTACGTTATATTATAAACCAGATCCCTCCATGATTTTTCTTCCATTTCCCCCTTATCTGACAATCCTATAACCTCTATTCCATCCATCTTTTCCTCCAATGGCAAATTTTTCACTAAAAAACGTATCACGCTTACTGATTTGTATTTCTTTCCGATCCATTTTATTTCCCTTTCAATTCCCTCCTTCCATCCTTCTTTTTTTGCGTCAAAAACACTCAATATTACCCATATTTTTCGACTAATTTCAAACGTTTCTAACCATTCATAACATACTTCATTTTTCACCATAAACTCGTACATAATTTGACCTTCTAAAAACTCTATCTTCTCTAAAATACCTATAAATACCCTCCATTTTACTCTTTTTTCCTCTTATTTTTCTTATTTTTTACCTTCTCTCTTCTCTAATTCTTTTATACATATCGGATTTACTCCTTCTAAACCTTCTAATATAATAGGTTCACCTCTGACCAAAACTCGTATTCTCGATGCTCTAACATATGAAAAAACACGCATCGGTTCTTTGCGTTTTTATCAGTTAAATTCAAGAGAATCTTTTTTATCAATTAAAAACCCTTCGTGATCAAACCCTTTTTTAAAAATATTAAGGCGTCTTTAAATGAATCCTGAATGTTGTCTTTTTGTTGACAAAATTTCAGCAATTGATTGGGAAGGAAAAATTCTTCTTATCGATGCTTACGATTCTTATTTCTATAATGTTTGTTCATTAATTGAAACGGTTCTTCCATCAGCAGAGCTTTTTATTATTCGTCATGATCAATTTGATAGTGTAACACTTTATGAATATATTGATGGGTTTGATTGTTGTATTCTTGGACCGGGACCAGGGAATCCGGGAAATAAAAAAGATATCGGACTTTTCTCAGTAGTTTGGTCATTAAAAGAAGAACATGTTTTACCAGTTTTTGGGATTTGTTTGGGTATGCAAACACTATGTCTTGAATGGGGGGGAAGTCTTTCAAGACTTAAATATGTAGCACATGGTATTATTTCAGAAATTCAACATACGCAACAAGATTTATTTGAGGGTTTTCCAGAAATATTTAAAGTAGTACGATATCATTCATTTTGCGTAAATATTAACAAGTCAACTGTATTGGAGGCATTAGCATGGACTGAAGATCAAAATGGAAAAATATTGATGGGAGTAAAACATAAAAATAAGCCTTTTTATGGAGTTCAATATCATCCAGAATCATTTTTGTCAGAACATGGAGAAAAAATAATATATAATTTTTGGAAAATTGTATGTGAATTTAATAAGAAGGAAAGACGACCACGAATCGTATTAAATAAGAGATGGAATAATTTGCATCAAACCATAGAACCTTTAGGAACTATAATTGAATGGGACAAAACAAAAAATCAGGAATTTGATCAAAAATTCAATCAAAAGTTTAATAAAAAATCAGATAAAAAATTTAATAAAAAACTTGATAGACATAATGAATCAATTCCTATATTTGAGGACGCAAATAAGCATGAAACAGTTTTTTTCGAAGTATTAAATATTAAAATCTCAGCAGTCCAATTAGTTGAAGAACTATATCTTGAAAAAAAAGAATTATGTGCTATTCTTGAATCAACAAGCGAACCGGGACGATACTCTATCATTGGTGTTCCTTCAGAAGGCCATTATACATTAACTCATACATTTCCCGACATGCATCTTATTAAAACCTATTCAGATCGACAAGAAAAAATTCCATTAGATAGACCACATATTTGGACATGGTTAATTAATAATATACATAAACTACATGTAAATAATAGTTCAGAGGTACCTTTTCAAGGGGGATTTATTGGATATTTCAATTATGAATACACAATTTATACATCTAATATATATGAAAAAAGCAAATTCAAACACCCAGACGTTAATCTACTATTTTTTGAAAGAAGCATTGTTATAGATGTAATAAAAAACCAAGTAGTTATACAAAGCTTAATTGAAAACGATCCTTGGGTTACAAAAACAGCAGCTATTATTCGATCATTCAACAACAAATATTCAAATAATTCAGCGTTTTCACAAAACTCATTTAATCAAAACAACCATTTCCAAAACATCTTACAAACACGGATTGTCTTACCCGACAAAAATCAATATCTTAAAAAAATTAAAATTGCCAAAAACTACATAAAACAAGGAGAATCCTATGAACTTTGCTTAACATCAACAACACGTATTTTTTCGTCTAAAAAATATACTCCAATAGATGATTGGAACTTATATAAACACTTAAGAACATTAAATCCAGCACCCTTTTCCGGATATCTTCGATTAAACGGGGTTACATTACTATTATCTAGTCCAGAACGATTCTTGAGCTGGTCTTCAAGTGGATTATGCGAATTACGACCTATTAAAGGAACTTTACGCAAAGATCCTTCAATTGACTTAAAAAAAGCAACCGATTTACTAAAAAATCCTAAAGATTATGCAGAAAATCTAATGATTTTAGACCTCATACGTAACGACTTGTGTCAAATAGCAAAAAATGTTCATATACCCGCACTTATGCAAGTAGAAGAATATCAAACAGTTTATCAACTTGTGTCAGTAATTCGAGGAACCGTACAACCTCCTTATACAGGCATTGACGTATTAGCACATACATTACCTCCGGGAAGTATGACGGGCGCACCTAAGAAGAGAAGCATAGAATTATTACGTGAATTGGAAAAAAAAGAAAGAGATATATATTCTGGCGTATTTGGATATTTTAGTGTATGTGGCGGAGGCGATTGGAGTGTGATTATACGAAGTACATTTCGTTATCATGACGAAGATCATTGGAATATTGGCGCAGGAGGGGCAATTACAAGTCTCTCAAATCCACAAAATGAATGGGATGAAATGATATTAAAATTACAGAGTGTTCTTTCACTATTCAAATAAACCAAAAATTAAAATAATTTAACTAGTTTTGTCATATAATGTGAAATGAACGATTCTCTAACATAATTCATTAGTATTAATTTTTGTTACTTATAAACATACGTATAAAAACTGTGAACATGCCCATGCTCAGAAACAATATTATGTGATAACTACATATTGTTATAAAATATGAAAAAAAAGAAAAACAAAACTACCTCATGTGCAATAGTAACAAACCAAAAAGCCTAAAATATTAGAAATAATATAAACAAGCAGATACTTACAAGAACATCTTTCAAATTACCAGAAACAAGCTTTTTGGAATGTAATAATATATAATGTCTAATATTATTAAACCCCTAATGATATAAATATAACAATATTTACCTTAAATTACAAAAAATAGATCCATTTTTGTTAAAAGCAATTGTCGGTCCATCATCGTCATAAAAAATATTAAGAACAGAAGCATTAAAACCAAAAACAGCCGATATTTTCTTCAATATCAGAGAACTGAATAAATCTATATTATCTTTATTATTCATTATAAATAATTCACCAGAATGAATATCCTTTGAAACATAAACATTTATGTTATCAGTAGTTCGATTCACAAATTTCAAATTATGAGAATGAGAAATATTACAATAACCTTCTTTAGCCTCTTTAACATCAACAATTTCTATAGACGAACACACCGATAACTCATTGCTATTTTTACATGCTTTAATTGCTTGATAAAGATTTGAAACAACACTCTGCTCATAATCCACAGGACGTTTTATATGCATATTATTCCTTAATTTAACTTTTTTCATAAAAAAATTCTTTAACATAGAAATATTTTCATAAAAAAAATCCTTATGTTCCTTTTCATGATTATTCTGAGAGCCATAAGGTTTTTGAAACTTGGAAAACATTTTAAAATCCTTAGAATTATTTTTCTCCAAAAATTCTGATTTTTTCTTTATTGAAGAGGACATCTCATTTTTATCAAGATTTAATAAATCATAATTACTATTATTATCTTTAAAATCTTCGAAAGGATAAGACCCAGGATATTTTATAGATGAGATATTTTGTAATTCAGAATCAACAGAATATTTCTCCATTTCCTTCTCAATTTCATGTTTTGAATTTATTTTTTGAAATTCTTCTTCTTCCTTTTTCTTTAAATCTTGAGAATACAAAATCCTTTGTATATTATATCCTCTTTGCTGTAACACGTCCAAATCAGTAGTTATAAGTGATGAAAGAAGCAAAGGATCATGAATTGCAGGCTTTTGAAACAACATTTTACATAACACATGAGCAACATCATACGAATCCCAATTTTTCGTAAGATAAACAGAACATTCAAGTTCAGGATCCAATGCACAAGTTACCGAGTGCTCATAAGAGTGATTTATATTTTTAAACTTCAATGTTCTTTGTAATTTTATGCCTTCAAGATAAGCTACACTCAAATTTGAAACCAGCCAATCTCTATCATGAAGAAGGACAGTTGATGTTTCATGCAAAAATAAACCACAGCGATCGATAAATAATTTTCTAAGAGCATATGATTCAGAATTCTCCTTTTTTGGACCTTTAAATTTATATTCTTCTCGAACAACAGAAGAAAGACGTTTAGATCCTAAAGACTATAAAAAGTAAGTTTTCGAAAAAATCTAATAAATCCTACTTGATAAAAGTCTTCCAAAATATCCTCTTGAGGTGCAGCCAATATAAATTCAGAAAACAAATTATAAGAAACAACCTAAATTATAAGCTTTAAACCATAAAAATAATTAATCATACGTCATCAACAATGAAAATAGAAGAGGCATCAGAAAGCAAATATTCTACAGTTTCCTGATTCTCAGAAAACAACTTATTTCCAATCATTTTACTTTTTCGTTTTCTAGATGCAAGAAGAAAAGGTTTATTCTCCATATCACGAAATATACCTTTAGTCTTTTTATGAAAATAGCTACTAATAACAAGTTTTCTCAATATGTCTTGATATTTTTCAGGTGTCTTAACCAAATCGAAAATATGCTTAGGATCCTTAAGAAGCAACTCAGCCAGCTGAGGAAATGACGGTTGAGACAAGGTACCACATGCCTTTAGAAAAACATTTGCTTTGTGACCAAAATCAACAAAATCAAATATTTGATTGTAAAAAACAGAATCATCTTCCTGAATAAAACATAAATCAGGACTCAAATGGCTTATTTCATTCTTATGGAATTTCTGAGTAGGAATAAATTTTGCTTTATTCAACTTCTCTAAAACAGGTTTCTTTAATTCTCCAACTCTAGAAGCGAGATATTCAAATTGAGCTCGAGCAAGTCCAATTGTATTAGGCGGAGTTTTTATCAAAATAGAAACGACGTCATCAATATTAGGATCATTTTGCACACCAAATTTCTTAGCCTCCGAAATCAAATCATATCTTAGAATTCTAAATCCAAAAACACAACAAAATTTATTGGTAAAACATGTTGTAGGACTTTCTAAATTAGTCTGCTTATTATTATCCTGAACAGGCAAGAATTTTAATTTAGATTTAGAGAAAGAATAAGTTGACTCATAGTTGTAAGTATAGTAGTTAGCAATAAAAAAACTTAAAGCCTTTTCTCGAAGTTCAGATGGACCTGAAGCAGCAAGATTAACTAATACATCTGGAGAAGGAAATCGCTTGAGTCCAAGTGAAAAGAGCAAAAGTGCTTCATTAGATGACGGATTCCATTTCTAAAATACATAAGCGAGTTATCTTTAAATAATAAAAATACATTTTGAGACCATTGAATAACGGGTAAAGATAATGCCCTCAAAGAATCAATTGGCTCATAAAGCTCACAGACAGGATATGTTTGTATAGAATTGCCCTCCATTTTACATATAGAAGTTTTTTTAAGTTTCTCAAAATCAGATGAAGGAATACTACTACAACTAATTAAATATTATACCAAAAGAAAGAATCAAATACTCTTTAGAACTTGCTAAATAACAAATAAGGTCTATATGTGACCACTCTCCACCTCCTATTAGCCTATCAAAAATAACTTGATATTTGACAGTCTATAACATTCAGTATATTTCTATATGTTATCATTAATTACTTTGCGTACACCTAAATCGGACAAAAATGCTTCTTTCACACCCTATTCGACATTAATAGATAAAAACTTTAACAAAAGAAAATTACAATCATAGGCTCGATCACAGGAAGGTCTGAAAATAATGTTACCTATTCCCTTTAACATAAACATATATATATATAATATAATATCACCGTATGAAAATATGTTTCAGAAGGAATCCGCATGCCATGATCTTTAGTTGGAATACACGTTTTAGAATTCAAAAGAATAACTATATCATTACGATCGGCATAATCCATTTTTTCCCAATTTTTTGAGACTATCTCTAAAACTCGCAAAGCAAATTGAGAAGAATGATTAATGTCATTTTTTGTAGATAAAACTGAAGGCGAACATATATATTCTAACCATTCCAACATACTTAATTCCTTCCAATCACTTTTATGAATAAATATCAAAAATAAAGAAATTGCAAAAAACTTACAGAATTTCAAGTTCACTGGAAGAAAAATTCCTTGTTAAAACATATGGAGCACATGTAGGAGGTAATGGCATATCTGGTGGTATCAATTTAGTATTTAAAAAACATCTTAAATAAGAAAGATTAATCGTTCCCAGGTGTTGATCAGAAATAACTACAGCTCCTATGAGTTTAAGACGCATTATATAATCAATATTAGATTTTCTATTCAGCCACTTTATAAAAGAAAGTGTATTCTGAACTGTAAGTGCTGTTTTAGATAACTCGTTATAAATATCATCAAGGCTTATCTGTTTAATCATATCCATATATTTTAACTTATCGAAAAATTTAGCAGACTCTAATAGTACATCATGAGAAATAAAAGGCATTTCAGGTAAGAAATCAATATTGGAATCTGGCAAATATATCTTATCAGATGAAATAACTTTATCAGCTATCAAAGGAACAGAACAGAACTTAGAACATGAAAAAAAAGCCTCTTCAATAATATTACTAATCGGTAATGGTGTCGAAGCTTCAATGGTGAACATATTCATAACATATATAAAAGAAGTCTTTATATCGTCTTGAAAATGATCGACAATCCGTTGAATTTCATAATGATAAATAATTCTAACAAAATCAAGAAAAAAAAGAAAAAACAATTATATAAACCTAGCCAATATCCCAAAACAATAGAGTATTTCATTATTCCAATATTTAACAAACTTATCAACCAAATCAATGTTCTCTCTTTCAACCTAAATAAATAAGTCTTTTATAAAAAAAAAAGGGAAAAACAGTAGGAATCAAAGCAGAAGCTCCTAGATGAACACCAAATCCTGTTGTTTCTAACATTTTTATCAGATATATCTTAATAAAAATAACTACATACGATGTGTAGAAAACCCAATATAAACATTACCCTGTTTATGACATGTCAAAAGGTCCGAAAAAAAAATCTTTGAACGAGACGTAACATTGTTTCCTAGATGATCAGAATAAAGCAACTGAACCCTAGTGCTTTTTGGAGGCTTTTTTTTTGTAACTCTCTCAAGTTCCTTTTTATATGAAGGGCTAATCGACACTTGAATCATTGCACTCGCAATCCTAAAAAAGAATTACCAAAATCTTAGATTACCTAGATAACAAGACAACCTCAAAGTGATATCAGATGTTATTTCAAGATTCGGATCCATATCTTCATAAGTATCATGATTGAAAGGATTAATTTTATCAATCCATTTAGGTCTTAATATCGATTTACCAGAACGTTTAGGATGCCAGCAGACAAAATTTAAATAAGAAGCACGGATTTTCAACGATTCCATTACTACTGTATCAATACGCATGATTTTTTGAGGCGAAATTAGTATCAATTCTTTTGGAATTGGTACCAATTGAGACAATTCCTTCGATTTTGAAAGTGAAACCAGTCTGAAACCATCAAAGTAAAGTGAAATATTCAATAAATTCCGTGTAAATGAAAAACACGTCGTTAAAAATCTACATAAATCAGCTATATAGGGCATTTCCATCGGTTCTCTCATTTGTAATAAAAAAGTAGTCATAGGAACCTCTGCATTTATAACAGCACGTTTTACATATAATTGATCATTCTTCCAATAAAATACCATCGTTTGATTCCCTGACATAACAAATGGATCTAATCTTATCAATCAAATTATCATACAAGTTATCCAAAAACCCTCGCATATAGAAAAAACGGAATAAAATCCAACACCAAACGCTCCTATTTTTTCTTCATCAGGATTTCCTTCCGCAATCCGAGATATTCTTTGCCAATCCTCTTCTCTAAACAAAACACCATCATTTTTAAAAACCAATTGACAACATAATCTTTTAGTCATTTGTGACATATCTTCATAATTAACGGGATCATTCAATGTTTGATAATGTATTTCTACATGACGTGAACATGCATCATCTGAATTCTGAAGTAACTCTCGAAAAAGTGTATCTAATATGTTATTTTCCCATAAAAATAACCATAAACATACATTCTGAAGCATAACGTGCCAAAATCTTATCTGAAACGTACAAAATTAGAACAATCAACTATCATAATACCTCTTTACCTATCAATGAGCGCTATATGCATGTTAAAATAGTTTTTTCTTTTAAAAAAAAGACAAACCTGATTAACCGTAACAGAAGATTCCCGACCCATTTCTCCAAGCGTTAACCGCTTGTATGCGCTGATATCCATTACTTTAAAAATCTGTATAAAACAATTTTTTTCAAAGTCTTTTAACCCAAAAATTTACAAAAAAAATAACGCTTAAAACCCCTTAAAATGATAAAAGATTGTCCAAATAAGACCTTTTAACGCTTCCGAAGGCTTTGAAAGAGTCCTTATACAACTTTATGTCTTCTATTAACCGCCTTTTATACTTTTTATATTAACCTTACTCGAGCACTCCGATAAGATACTTTATATACAATTCAGCAAAAATAATAAATTAAAGAATATGATAATAGAAATAAAAACAAAAGAAAAAATAGAATATTTTGTATCATTATAAATAGATTTTATATTTAGTCTATATATATTATATATAACTAATAAAGTCCTAAGTGACAGTAAATGAAAAAAATCAATATTTATACAGGGTTCTTTCAAGTAGAAAAGACTTTAGACAAAACCGATCTAAAAATCTCATTAATATATAAACAAAGCATTTCCTTATCCCACTTTGTTTGCTACATCCAAAGCATCCATATCGGCAGTCAGCTTGACATAAGCTTTTTTAATACCATTAGGAGAAATTAATGTATTAACCTACTCTGAGTAAGACATGATAAAGCAATTCTTTAAAAAATATACTTTAAGAATATCAACATCATAAAGTTTTTTAAAAGCTTTTTTTATTTGATGCTTATTAGCTTTAATATTTACACGAAAAACCAAGGTATTATTCTCCTCAATTTTCTTCATTGAGCTTTCCGTATTCATAGGACATATAAGAATTTTATACTCATCCAAACGAGGTACATGAGGAATACTTTTTCGAAGATATAATGGTTTACGTGACAAACGCAAGGTTTTTGGTCGACGAAAAGTTGCACTTGTACGAACCCGCCTCTTTAGTTTACTGTGATTCCCCAAAGCTACTGCTTTTGCTGCTTTTTCTGCCTTTGCAGTAGGGTTGGAACTTTTTATAGTCTCTTTCGAAGTAGTATCACTTGTCTTAGATATTTTCCCTATTACGATCAGTTTTTCATACAAAAAAAAGCTGTATTCAATTATAATAATCCATAATATCAATAAATAGCTATTTTAACAACAAAAAACCCCATTATTTTCCTTTTAACTTTTTTTTCAATTTTTTCATCATTTTTATTATTATTTAACCGTTTCACTTTTTTTCCATAAACTCCTCTTAAAACAAAAAAATATAGACGTATAGCACCAAAATATTATTATCCATACCTTTTTTTACCATATTCTATTTTTCAAAAATTCACTTTTTTCATCGAATATATTTGATCACCGCAGTCACCTTTTTTGACGTGAACTTTATCATCGATATGCCTTAACATTATAATCAAAGAAATTGATTTATGAGTAAATTAGTAAAAGAAGAACCAGAATCTACCTCCAAATACGTTCCAAAAATTTCTAAGATTTCATTTTTACTTAAAAGACGTTTGCCTGTTAAATTAAAGACTAAAAACTGGCATGGTCATTTTTGTCTTGAACCCATTTCATTTGAAAATATACATAAAAATCAGCAAAATACTATAGATATATTAGATAAAAATACAACCCCACTAATTCATTCGTCTTTACTTTCAGCAATTTTAGTAGCTAATGTTCAGATATGTAATATTCCTTTTTGGAAATGTTATGGACCTCAATTGCAGGTTTGTGCAGCAGATAAGTACATAAAGGCATATTTTGCACGTTGGGAATCTAAACGTGCACCAAGTGGTGATTCTTTATCAGGCTGGGTTCTTCAATGGTCAGATGGTACACGTGCTCTTCTCTATGGCCATTCGTTACCAGGGCAACCATTTCGTATTTTATGTAGTTTCTTTAATCCAAGCAAATTCATTGCACGTGTAGCAGAAAAAAACAAGCAAGTAGGACATTTTTTTGCAAATATAAATATAGATTTCTAATTAATTATCTCAGTCATTACAACGGTTAATTATGGCAGCTTTACGTTTACGAGGAATTGAACGGACACATGAAGAATTTAAACAACTTTATCAACATATATGGATGGCAACAATTTTTGCATGTGTAATATTTAAAAATTATTTAGTTTTATTATTTATATTTTTTTTAGAGACAAAATATTAATCAACAATGGATTCCTATAGATAAACAACAATGGATCATTGAGCGATTCGTTGGAACTTTTCTTCTTGAAGAAATTCCTTCGTAATTTTTGTATTATTTGAGATTATCATTTTTTTATTTTGTGAGACAAATTTTCAAAATACTTGAAAAATACATTTCGATAGCGTCCAAATTATTCTACTGTCTTTTGGGTTTTTTTAGCATTTTTCAGATATTTTTATTTTAATTTAGATGATTGATCTTTCAGTAATTGCTTGGCGAATGCCAGAATGGATTACTGTATGTTTTTTTTTAATCACTTATTTCTACATCTTTTGATTTTTTTTCTTAGGCTTATGGAAGACTGTGTACAGACAATGGTATATTTGAGATCTGAAGAACATATCTTCTGAATACTCTTTGGTTTTAAACATACGCTTTTAACATAAAAAAATAGTTCTAGATTATTTTTCACAATCCCCATTTTATGATCGACATTCAAATAATGAAGTTCTTAAAATGCAAACACAATTCAACACATTAGGAGATTTTCATGGCCATTTAAAGAAAATGCGGGGAATTGAATTTGTAATTTCAGCAGAAAAAGATCCAGATATATGGGTCATCTATAAACAACACCGATCAAGCGAAAATGATGGTAAAATTAAAAATAGGTTCCGTTATAATCACTTATTATATATGATATAGCATCCGTACTTGCTGCATATTTCGTAGCAAACGAAAGTATTTATATGGCACCAAGTATTCACTCAGTGATTTCTTCTCGTATGGTTTGACAGCTATTTTATTCAAAAATATATAAACTTAAGCGAATACAGTTAAATATTATCTTATCACTTCGGCAAGCATTAGCTTCTGTTCATAATTTGCATCATTTTTCTTCCATAACTGAATATTCATATTCAGCACCAGAAGTTCCTTCAAAGGAAATGCCAATACATAATATTAAAGCAAATCAACATATGCGCAAAGCACTAAACGATGCAATACGGGAAAAATTGTATGATATGACTCAGAGCAAAGACGAAACAAAGCAAGAACTTCAAGAAAATAGTTCGGACGATCATTTCAAAGCCAAACTTGATCCTACATCAACAATCGTTAAAAAAAAAAAGAAAACAAAAAAAAGTGAGAGTCCTGCATCTCCAAAATTATAATAGACAAAATTTTACAAAGACGTTTTTCTTCAAAAAACTTTAAACTACATAATTTATAAAATATATAAAATGATATATATAATTAACAAGATGCATTTTATTCAAATCAAATGTAAGAAAAATACCCTAGAAAGCCCAAATATAAACAACTCTATATATAAGCATACATAATCTCATTTACGATCATCTACTTTTATATATTCATTTGGATATTCCAAAAATATTTATATTACCCTTCATCGACATTTAAACCACACTATGCCACATAACACAACTTGTATTCATGAAGTGCAAGAAGAACATGCATCTTGGCTTTTTCCTCATATTAACCTTGGTACAATATCTTTATTTATTTATTAAACTTACTATGACAGATGGAATTTGTACATTTAATGAAGTAAAACAAGGCATGGGTCGAAGCATTGTCAAGCCATGGAGCAACCGGTTTGATACAACTAAGGTTTATAAGAATCAATGGAATAATAAATATGTATTTAAATTATATACAGATTCTTGAAAGTGATACAGATGATCAATTAATTCTATATATTCCGTAAGAATTGTATAAAGGTCTTTTTTTTTAATATAAATAGCTTTACTGGGATAGTAAAACTTAAAAGTTTTGTATTAAGATGTTTTCCAGATTTAACAGCTCCAAAAAGATGTGAAATGTAGGCCTTTGCTATATTTTTCTAAAGTTAATACAAATAAAGATTCATGAATCGTGAAGATGTGGATTTCGATACAATTGAATCACTAAAACCTATACAATCTATAGATCTTGTTGCACCAGAAAATGCAGGCGAAGTTAAACATAATACATATGAAAAATTTGATATAAACTAGTAATAGATTATAGAATATCCAGTAAAAACTCAATTTTATGGAAGTTGTAGAAACATTACATTATTTTTTCCAAGCAATTGGTCTATAGAAATGAATCAAACACGTATTTGTCTTTTGGGCTTTAAAGGCATCTGGTCAGAAGTATGATTTAAATCAATATTAGATAATTTAATTAAAAAACACAGCTTCGAAAACAACCTGTTATTACAATTTACGAGGTATATATTCTATTAAAAGCTAGCATATAAATCCTTATATATTTAGGCAGCACCAAATCCAATGGATCATATTCATGAGCAAACAATTGATGCAAGTCCTCATAACAATTTGTTTTTACAATAAAATTAATAAAATAAACATAAACAAATATTTATTCCAGAAAACTATAATAAAATATACACCATATGCAACATATATACAAATAAACCAAATTATCTATATATTTCTTATATTTCATTAATTCATCTTTTTAAGCTTCTCAAACACATCATATCTAAAAACCAACTACTCTTCACATCTATAGATCAAGTTAACTCAACATTTTTATCTTTTCTAGATCCATATGATCATATTGACATCTTTCGATCTAAAATTTTCAAGACAAGGTTTTTCAAAAAAAAATATAAAACTCCTTCAGCTATCAATTTAATTTGTTTTCATATCAATCAATCATACAATCTATATTTTCTATTTTCTAAGGATAACTAAATAATTTGATATAAACAAAATATAATATTATAACTGAAGCAACACATCATTAATCTATACAAATAGGAACTACATCTTATACAAAATCATCAATATTTTTTCGTATAAATATATTTTTTTATTAATACACTAAATACGTTTTTCACTTAACCTCTGATTTTTTATTCTCAAAAAAAATGGAATTTAAAAGATCTTTAATATTATTTGCATTTCTTCTAATAAGAATAACCAATGCATTTCATTTTTATCTTAAAGGTAGGCCCTTTTTTGTTTTAAAATAGGCTTAATTAAAAAAAGGTTTGCAAAAAACATGTTTTCTTCAAGAATTACCAAAAGGAATGTTTATTGTTGGTAAAATAAACAAGTGTTTTATTAAGATTTCATTGAATAGTTGATGAGGAAAATATACAGTAGATAATTTAAAGTATTATAATAACTCCAAAGAAGTAGGAGTTCGTATAACTATTTATGTATATAAAAAACCAGAACGAGTAATTGAGTGAAAAAAATTAATAAAATGAACAGGAATCAAACGAAAAAATATCAGATCAGCTTGGATTTGGGTCAAGTCAATTTATATTTACATCGGATCAAACTTCAAAATATCAAATATGTTTTGAAATCCACACGGAACTACATCAATTACAACACATTCGTCTTACATTAGATTTTATAGTTGGAGAAACTAATATAAGTCAAGAAAATACAACGAAAATAGTCGAAAAAATGGCTAAAACGACAAAACGGTTAAATCAACAAATTTTTGAAATTAAATTAGCACAGAAAATGATGCGTGTATGAAAACCTAGATTACATAATCTTATTAACATTTAAATAGGAAAAAGAGGAAGAATTTAGGGCGCAAAGTGAAATAACAAACGGGCGTGTATTAAAATGGGCATTAGTTCAATTATCTATTTTATTTGCAACATCCATTTGGCAAACCATTCACCTTCAAGGGTAAGTTTTATTTTTTTAATAGAAAAAAATAAAATCTTTAGATTTTTTATTAAACAAAAACTTGTTTGAATCTGAGAAGATTTATTACAATCCTTAGAGAAAAATTCTTTTCATTTTTTAAAAAAATGAATATTCAAAAAAAAAATAAATTTGCATTTCAAAAAAAGAATATAAAGATAAAAACATAAAATAGAAGTTAAGAAAGAAGGATATTTCTAATTTATTTCTATTAAACATTATAGAAAGATTTTAATTTCAATAACATAATTTTAATTTTTACAACGAAGATGATAACTTGCAAGAACAAAGTTAAGCCCAACTGTTTGTGCCAAGCCCGAAACAAATTTAACCAACACATATTCTTTAGGTCGTTTTTCAACGAAATAACCAGAAACTATATTTGGTAAAGTAGTTGCAGCAAAAACAAGAGTGCTTAAGTAAAATGCACTTTTATATTTAAAGCTTCCCGTTAATTTCAGCAAAGCTGCCATTGCATATACCTACAAATATAAGCTTTTGGATTAAAAAAAAATCCATTACCTGAATACCAGAACTTATAAAAGATACACCATACATAAGACCTGCCGATACTGTCTTTTTAGAAGCCCAAAACTCTGTATTTTTATCCAAAATCATTGCACGTTGCCATGTTCGACCTAAAAAAGGCCCATAAACTAAATACGAAGTCAAATGTTCGAAAACTGATCCAACAATCACAGCTGTTGGACAAATCTTTGGAATATTTCCATCATTTGCTAAAGCAGATAAACTTCCTTTAAACATTAATATAATTAAGAAAAAACTATTTAATGTGATAATCGATATATTTCTCAATCGAATCAATAAATATCATGTTTTTATACTTTTTTATGCAAGAAAAAGCGCATTAAAAAAGTGTTCGCAGCGCATGAATAATAAATTAAGAAGTCATAAAAATAGATCCAGATAATAATTAGGAAACAAGAAAAGAAAATATCTGAAATAGAATAATAATGTTGTATATTTAAAAAAAGCGAGAAATAAGTGATAGGTATAGATATTTAATATATGATGTATGACGTATGTGTATTGTATGTAGTAGAAGCAGAGCCTAAAAAATCAAAAGATTAACATAAGATTTAATGATTTTTTAATGAATACTTATAATATTTCAAAGATAGAATATAAAGTTGTCATAAAAAAATATAATAAAGTCTAATAAAGGTCAAGAAAATTCTCGGAAAATAAAAATTTAAGAATTTAAAATAATATTTTTTTCTAAACTGTTTAACAGAGGAAAAATATCCTTAACTGAAGCTAATTTAAAAAGATAGTGTTCAGAAATCTGTGAAGTTAACATATGAAAAATAACATGTTTTGGACCCATAGCAACCCATTGAATTGGGGCAACATGTTTTAAGACATATTGTGTACTTTGAAACCATTGAACTGTTTCTTTAGTCTGCCTAGCTAAAAGTTTTTTCAATAAAAAAAGATCAGTCGGATATGGTTGTGCCGTAACATTTGAAATAACAGTAATAGAAGGTGGAAACAAAGAAAGAGTATCAAGTTTATCCATTAAGTTATTCGAAACAGGATTCATAAATGATGAATGAACAGGGACCGAAACACGTAAAGGAATTGTACGTAATATACATCGATTACGTAAAGAAAATCGGGTTAAAAATGTGTTAAGTGTTTGTTTAGTGCCAGATAAAACAATTTGTGTATTCTAATAATATCAAGTGCGAAAAAAATTATTTGAATAATATACGGTATTATCATTAGCTAAACCAATTATTTGACCAGCCGGCAATTCTTCTTGAAATATTTTAAGTTGTTGAATCAATGTATCAAGTATAAAACGCTTCTGCATCACAGCAATAACTTGAGTTTCATGACATGCTATAGATTTCATCCATTCACCACGTTCTCTTACCAAACGAATAGCAGTCGGTAATGAAAAAACTCCAGCAAAAAGTAATGATGTATATTCACCCAATGAATGTCCCATCGTATATGTAAAATAATCTTTTAACTCAATACCAAAATGCTTCTAATTCCTAATCAAATCCATAATTTAATTTTATAAAAAAATATACACGTAATATCTCAATAATACAATAACTAGTAGCAAGAATAGCAGGTTGAGCATTTTCACTTTGATCAAGAACCTTCTTCAATCCCCATTAATATGCAATATATAATACAGAGTCAAAAAACAACAGACCGATGGTCCATAATTCATAACTTTTTGTAAAGAAAATCCAAGAACTTCATCTACCTCATTAAAAAAATGCCGAGCCTCACAAAACGCTTCAATCCATGGCCGTGCCATACCAATATATTGCGTACCTTGCCCTTAAATTTTTTCAATATAAAGAGAAAAAAAGAAATAAATAATACATATAAAAAACATACCTGGAAATAAAAGAATACGTGACATAACCTGAATAAACAAAATTATAGAAATATTTAAATAATCGAAAGAAATATAAACGAGATCTACGAAAAAAACGATCTTCAAATAAAAAGTATATGTTGAAATTAAAATTAAGAAAAATTAATAAACTTTCCATCCAAAAATTTTTTATTCCTTATGCACAACTTGCACGCTGGAATAACCCTATTGGCGCGTGGCTATTATATTTACCCTCAACTTGGTCTATTACCATGGCCGCATACTCACAAACTATATCAGCTCATGAAACTTTATCAATGCTTGGATTATTTGGTGCAGGATCCATATTAATGCGTGGAGCAGGTTGTACTATAAATGATCTATGGGATCGAAAAATTGATGCACGTGTTGAACGAACAGCAATGAGACCTTTAGCATCAGGAGCACTTAGTGCTCGTCAAGCTATAGCATTTCTTGGATTACAATTAGCTGGTGGAGCAGGTATTCTTATACAACTTCCAGTTGAATGGTAAGAAAAATAAAAAAAGATAAGTTTAGAATCAAAATAAAAGCCAATTGACCCAATATAACTGAATATATGCGTATTATATGCGCAAAAAATTTTCATAAAAAAACAAAAATAATATTAAGGACGATATTCAGGAGATACCCAATATATATAAAAATAAAAATTTATTTCCTTGATTTAATGCTTTTTTATATGATTTTTAATGCCATTTTCTAATTACTATTAGTCAATTATTAGGGGCCAGTTCTCTTATTTTTGTCACAGTTTATCCTCTTATGAAACGAATTACTTGGTATCCACAGGTTGTTTTAGGTAAGATCACGTTGTCATGGCAACCCTAAGAAATAGGCTTTACATTTAATTGGGGGATCTTATTAGGGTGGCCGGCTTTAGTTGGGTGGGATCACGTGACATGGGGATCATGTTTACCACTTTATATATCAGGAATTATTTGGACAGTTATGTATGATATAATTTATGCACATCAGGTAAATATAATAAAAGTTTTCATTAAAAAATAATTTATTTTATTTCTAACACAATAAGGATAAACGAGATGATGCACAAGCATCGGTTTATTCAATGGCTCTTAAACTTGGAAAACATACTAAACCTTGGTTATTTGCACTTTCTATGTTACAAACGACTACAATGGCATGGGCAGGTTATATGAATGGGCATTCACCTATATTTTATATCTTTGGATGCGGATCCGGAATAATTTATACTATTTGGATGTTGAGAACTATTAATTTGAATAAACCCTCTAATTGCTGGCTCTGGTTTATACGTAGCAAACATGCAGGAATATTAATGGGTACGGGTCCCTTAATAGACTGGATTATACGGATTACATCTGTTATGTAACGGGACACATACGTTATAACAGAAAAACGTCACTTGATTTTTTAAGACAAAATTTAAAAATAATGGTAAGTAAATGAAAATAATATAGACTTTAGAAAAGATTAAGAGATTTTATGGTTTTAAAACAAAAACAATATATACTTTTTTTTCAGTGAATATTTTCTTTTATATTAACTATAATTAGACATTTAAACGCAGGAATAACGGACGTAATAAGCACGGACGAGGTCATACAGATTCAATACGATGCTCTAATTGTGCACGGTGCGTCCCAAAAGATAAAGCAATCAAGAGATTTACAGTGCGTAAGTTTCCTTTATAATATAAAAATGATGTTTCATATTTATACAGGAAATATGGTTGAATCTGCAGCAATTCGAGACATATCAGATGCTAGTGTATACCAGGAATATGCATTGCCCAAATTATATATTAAACTTCATTATTGTGTTTCTTGTGCAATTCATAGCCATATTGTTCGTGTAAGATCTCGTGAAGGCCGTCGAATTCGGGTAGTACCACTTCGTGCGCATTACAATAAAGTAAATTATTTATAGTAAATATTCATTTATTTATTAATTTTTTTTCAGGACGGAAGAAAAATCAATCCTACAAGTGCAGCAAAAGCACTTATTTCTCAATTATAAAATATGTAATAGAATTTATGTATAAAAATAATAGTTTTATTATTTCAAATCTTTTCATGTATTTTTTTTTTCATATATTCATTAAAAAAATCCTATATTCTTATTACCTTTTTACCATAGTAATTTAGCATAGCAACGAAAGAAAAACCTTAGTAACCTCATCGAAAACGCTGTTCATACAACCAGCGCTTACAGAACGGAAAAAATTAAATTTCAAGTCTGACAGGTTATTAAATATACCTGACAACTTTCAGACTAAAAATGAAGCTCGTAAGGTTCTTTCTCTTGTATTTTTATGTATAAAATACTTATTAGCATTTTTTTTAGATTTCTTATGAAATTAATCAATGAAACTGTTTCTATTGAGCTTAAAAATGGTAAGTAATTATATCAATATATATCTATCAATTAGACGAATTATATGCATGGTATATTATCTATTTTTTATTCACTAAGACAAGTTTATCGAAATAATTGCATGCATATTATACGCATACAATTAATATTATCTATCAATAAATCAAATTTAACATATAAATATCTTATATGCTTATCTTTTATGCTCATTTTCAATAGGAACTATTGTTAATGGTACCATTGTTGCAGTTGATATGCAAATGAATACACATCTCAAGACGGTTAAAATGTCTGTTTTCCATAAGGATCCCGTTTGCTTAGATACACTTAGTATTCGTGGTAATAATATTCGTTATTTTATTCTTCCTGATAGTCTTCCTCTTGATACATTATTAATCGATGATGCACCAAAACCTAAACAAAAGAAAAAAGAAGCATCACGAAGCAGAGGTCGTGATAGAGGAAGAGGAAGGGCACGTCGTGGCCGAAGTGCACGTGGATTTTAATTTATATATTTACATTTTATTAGTAGATTTATGTATATTTTATGTATATTTTTTTGTATATTTTTTCCTCAATTTTAATCATTTATCTACTTTTTAATTTTTATTTAAATACGAAAATCTTATCAAAATTCTAAATAAATATTCAGAAATCAACAAATTCTTATTAAATCGATGATTATCTTATAAATTCTTTTTAATATCTACATTGTTACGATCATTTTATAATTTAATCCGGTTATTGTCTTTATTTAAATTTCGTATCTTTATCATAACTTAAATTTTATGAATTTATCTCTATGACAAATTCAAACTGTGTATGTTCTTGTAATAAGGGTTAATCTTTATTGATAACAAAATATTAGCCCATTTCATGTGAAAGTCTAAGAGAACTTTGTAATTCACGTCTTTCAAGTGTTCTTGCAGATACATCTTATAAAGAATGTCAAGCGCAATTATGGAATACAGAAATTATTGTAGAAAAAAATTTAAAATATAATTTTAAATATATTGATTTTGTAGCACAGTTTGCTAGAAGGATTAAAAGCACTTGCACCTCGATATAAATGGATTTTAACATCGTCAATTATTGAAACATCATCGAATATTTCACTTGGAATACATTCAGCACAAGGTGCTTATTGGAATTGCGAAAAAGATGGTTTAAAAACAAAAAAAAGAGTATTATCTAATAAAATCAGGAATGTTAACGCATGAATGGTCAAATCAATATTTAAGAGTTGTTCTTAGTCTGTCATGGATTCAACTATAAAAAAAACAAATGTTTCACATATAAAATATCATTTATACAAATTGCTTTTGAATGGATTTTTATAAAAGAATTTAACAAAACGAATCTCAAAAAATATTATTATTAAAAAAATACTAAAAACAATTTAGTTATTTCAATTCGTAAAGTCATCTTTTAAGTTAAATTTATTCATTAATATTTAATCATCAACCTTGATTTTTATCTCAATATATCACTTAACCTTTAATGTTTATTGTATCGAAAAAAACAGATTAAAAACAACACAAATAAGCATAACTAGAAGATATCTTTAATAAATCCCAAAGATATTTCGACTCATCGTTTTATTGGCGTTTCTGATATAACATCTACCTTTTGACGTTTTTTTAAAGGCGTCCTATTAACATCAACATTAATCGATGTATTCATTACCCAGCCTTCATTCCATTCTGCTAAATCACCCATTGAATTTGTTGTCTGACGAGCCATTCGATTCTTCTGGGGTGTTGCCAGTACTTGAATCTGACCAGTAACAGATTTTTCTTCAAAAATAAGCAGTTTTCCACATACAAAAAAGAATTTTTACGCTTCATTTGAATCCGTTGTGTTTCAACACGAGGTCGTACAAATTGTTGATTAGAAAGAGACGTTAAATCATCTAACTTCTCTTTTTTAGTAATTTTTGATAAAGGCATCTTTATTTCACGATGCTGAAGAGATTTCTTAGAATTCAAAATACCGTCTCTTGAAATGCCTTTAACACGTGAATCCATTGAAGGACGTGGTGTAACTGACACGGACTGCAATTTAGCTTTCTCATCACCGAGAGCTGTTGCAAGACTTGAAGTAATGTCGACAGGTGACTTTGTAGAAACATTAGACAGAGATTTTATAGCAGTAACAAGTGGCTTCGAAAAAGCAGATGGATTAGCTTTTTGAATTTTCTTTTTATCGCTCTTTGATCGTAGAGAATGATGGCAAAGGATTGGTCCGCCACATTTAACAAATAGTCCACTACAAATATCAGGAAGTTTAGATGCATAACTATTCTATTATTAGTTACGCACTAAAAACCTCATTTTGGCATACAAAGGCATAACAACTTCTGCACAAAATTGCAATAATTGATCGCTATTCGTTTTCTGATCAATATTCTTATCAAACGATAAATCTGTATCATTTAATGCTTGCCAAATACATAATCTATCAACTAAAATATCCAAATACTGTTCGACATTAATCGACATGTGACTTTTCTTTAACTCTTGATCCGATACATAATTTTTTGTTTCATAGCATAACAGAAGCACTTCTAATACTAAAATAATCTGTAACTCAAACCTTAACATATAAGCATAAAAATAGAAAAAAATAAACATACTCTCGAAATTTTAATGCATCAATTCTTTTATTCACATTTTTTTTATTTCGAAAAACGCAATCTTCATTACAATTACACCATTTTAAGATAAATTCCCGCTCATCTGCATCTACTGGCCAACATTTCACCTCTTCTGGCCATTCATTTATATTTACATCATTCGTCTCATCCAAAGTAACTTCAACCAATAAAGGCAACCATTTTTTAAATTTCATCTCTAATTCTTCCGGTGTTCGCAACATTTCTGTCTCAATAAATTTCATCATCTCAAAATACCCCTTATTTTCATGTAAATAAACTTCTTGACACTCTTTTCTTGCTTTTGCTAATGTAGTTTTTGCAAAATAAGCCAATGAGACCTTAAAATAAATAAGCTAAAAAATATAAAAAAAAACTCAATTTACTTTCGAAATATAAAGGATATAGAAATATTGTTGTCGAAGACTATTTAGTATTTCTTTACTTGAAATTTGCTTCATATCTGAATCCTTAATACTATTGATTACTAGAGGTTGCCATGGCAACACAACCTGCAATAAAGGTGTTTCAATATCAGCAGTTTTCTCAATATTCTCACTAATTTCACATCTCCCATGCAATTTCAGGACCTCTATACGAGTAACTCTTGAATCAAATTCACTAAACACATAGATTCTATGTTTCATACATTCAATAACACCATACACTGGTTCAACATCCTTTTTAGCCTCAACAACCAATACATTATCATTATTAAGTAATATTTCAAGCATTCTACACTGAAAGACAAGAGGTATATTCTCATGCGCTATCCAATGTCTTGGAATTGTATTACGAGAAGCCTGATAAAGTATTGAAGCGTGCAAAGCATCTACACCTTCTGGCTATTAGAAATCAGCAATTAATCAGTTTATCAAGAAATATACATGAATTACAAAATCAGAGACAATATATGAAGGTTTTTGAGGAAAAATCGTCTTTCTTTCATGTCTTTTCATGAAAAAAAGACGTCCTCTTTAAAAAGTCTAATAATCGAAGCACAAGGCAGCCGATACTTGAAAAAAGAATATATAAGAACTAGAAAAGATATGAAAGAACTAAAGAAAAGCTAAATATAAACGAAACAAAGATATTAAAAAGATTAAAATAAAAGAAAGAAGCATAATTTTCTTTAAAAATTATAAATTTAATTAAAATCTATTAATGACATCAAAACTTGAAAAAGAAAAGACAAATAATCAAGATTCTAATTCAAATAAATCAAAAAATCATGTTTCTACATGCTTAGTTACACAAGAAAAAGAAAAACAGAATAAAAAGGATAATTCAGATTTATATCAAGAATACACAGAAAATAAACTTTTAAATAAAGTTTGGTCAATTAATTCAGATGAAAAACAACACATTCTCATTGGAGTAACAGGATCAATAGCAGCTATTAAATTGCCTATTATTATTCAAGGTTTATTGGCATATAAAAATGTTGAAATTCAAATCGTTTATACATCATCAGCAAATCAATTTTTTGATTTAGAGGAAATTAAAAAATATGGTATTCCTATATGGACAGATGGCGACGAATGGAAGGTATTAATTTAATATATTTATATTTTATTAATTTAAAGTCATGGAAAAAATGTGGAGACCCAATTTTACATATAGAACTTCGCCGTTGGGCACATCTTCTTCTTTTAACACCTTTATCAGCAAATTCTCTTTCAAAAATAGCAAATGGCATTTGCGATAATCTTCTTCTTTGTATTCTTAGGGCCTGGTCTCCTAATCTTGCAATTTTTGCAGCACCTTCTATGAATACTTTAATGTGGCAACATCCTCTTACCAAGAGACATATTCAATTTATACACGAAACACTACCATATATAAAGTTTATAGAACCTATAGAAAAAACGCTTGCTTGTGGTGATACTGGCATAGGTGCAATGGCAGAGCCTACTGAAATTATTAATCGAGTTGTACAACATTTAGCATTACACACGTGAAAAGCACGTGATCACAATCTGTCCTAAACTCATAAATCACGTGACACTTCTCCTCCTAAAGTCCTTAACGATGATCTACATTTAAAACGGGTATATCTAAGGATAAAGGCCAATATAGATAACTTGTAGATATATTATTTTTTAGAATGCCATTGTCTTTACATGTTTTGATCCGAGAAGTAGCAGGAATCAAGGAAAAGAGGTTTAGATTAATTCAGCATATCACACAAATGTAAGGTTTTTTTAAAGAATACAAACGGATAAATAAAATAAAAGCAAATAAAGGCATAAATTATGTATAAACTTTATTGGATCTCATAAGCTGAGGACTATGCATCGAAATAGACATTTTTATATAGAATATGCATAGTATATGCGTAATATATGCGTAGTGTATGCGCACTATATACACTCTGATATTTCTATTTTATATATTAAAAACTTGTTTCTAAGTTTACTTCTAGTCATGATGGAGATATTCATTGGCTCAACACAATTTTTTTGGAAAAAAATCAAATTGATATATATTTCAATGTTAAACCTGCTTGCAAAAAGTATATTTATTATTTATTATTGGATTTCTAATAATGTAAGGACTCAATCTTATCATATGCTTGGATATCTGCTTTCTTCTTTAGTACCGCCTTCAACGTCCCAAACATTTGAAGATTATTTAAAAAACTATCTTACAATTCTCACAACGTGGGAAACTACAACACGAGATTTTGGAACTTGGACGCCTAGAATGAAGGCATTTTTTGGTTCAAGAGGATCTCGCAAAAGTAATTTTAATATAGAAAATTCCTATTTTGATGAGGAGGAAAGTGTTACTAAATCATTAACATATCCTCATTTACCTTTTATGCCATCCTATACACAGACAGTTCTTGTATTGTGCGATCTTTTACGTGAAACATATACAGTTATAACAAACATTATTTTAAATACAAGATATAATCGTTTTATTGAAATATTCTATAGAATTGACAATAAGATTAAAAAAATTCTTGAAACTATGGCAAAAGATATAGAAGCATATGCACGAGAAATGATCAAGAAAGAATTAAATAGTTTGTTGCAATTATCAGATACTGAAGAAGATTCGAATAAAGCATCCATTTAGGTAAACATAAATGAAAAAATTCATAATATTCCCATAAATTAGCGAAATGTTCGTACTGAATATGCTTTTTTCATTAATAAGAATTATTTGTTTTTCCATATTTTCTAATGGAATCTTATCAAATCAACTTACTTGAAGGATATCCATTTTTTTCATCTAACGTCCAATGATAAGAGTTACCAGGATGAGGAGCAATGCCTTTATCTGTTAACACAAATTTCCGGATTTCAGATGGCTCAGCATTGTATAAAATAGTTGATAGTGATTGTGTTATGGCAGGGGTAGTTGTCTGAGCTTCAGTTTCCGATGGTTCTGAAATTCTAAAAAAAACATCAATAATATTTTATTAATATAAAACATTACTTTGGATTCTCTACACTTCCAAGTACAAACAATTTTGCTAAAATAGGTTGTGTAATTATTCCAGGTCTAGGATAATTTCGACGCATATCTCTTTTCCAATATGAATTCTCCGAAATATCGGATGCTGGAAGGTTTAACGGTCTAGCATAAAGCCTTTCAGGACTTCCAGGTGCCGGCTTACGATATTGATTATTATATGTAATTCCAGATGAACGTTCCGGATCAATAACCAACAATCGACGCAGCCAATTCCAGAAATATTTTTTGTTTTCTACAGTAAGTTTAACAAATTTCTGGCGCATTTCCTTTTTTATATCCAAATATAATCTTCGCTACTTATAATATCTCAAGAAATTAGAAAACAGAAGCTATTTAATTAAAATAGACTATATTCACTTTTTAAACAATTTTTCTTAATCAGTTTAAATAACGAGAAAAAATAATAAAAAAAAACATACATACAGAATTTTAAAATTAAAGTATTCTAAATCAAAATAACATAGAATACCTTGAAAATAATCAAATAATAATTTTCTTATCTAAAAAAATTAAGTATCTGTGTATATAATGTTCTACACCTAATTGCTATGACAACCCATAACTTGTCGATTTTTAAAACTTAATTACAGCTTGATTTAATATTTTTGATAAAAACCTATTTTTTAATAAAATACAGAGTTTTATTAAAAAACAGATATATTTTTATTAAAAAAGTTACTTTATATTTAAAAAAGGTTTTTTTTATTAAAAAAAGAATTATCAAAAAAATAACTATTTTACTTGATAAAATATGACATCAATACTTAATAAAACACAAGTTTATAAGAAACCACATAAAAGAGGCAGAAAGTCACGTTTTTCGTATATTTTTCTCATTTTTTTTTGGATTTTATTGATAATTTTAGTAGAAAAACTCAATCAATTAAAACAACTCAAGTAGAAAAAGATATAAAAGAAATATGTATAAAAGAAGCTAAAAAAGATACAAATACAACAGTTGATGTATCTTGTACATCTTTGAATGTACTGAAGGAGCCAGAATCTCGAAGACTTTTAGAAATGCTTGACAGTCATTTTCAAGACTTACAACGTGATACTCAAGATAGGTGTAAAAAAGAATTACAAGAATATGCAAAAAAAATGATCAAATTGACATCAAACAGTTCAATTGAAACTATTCTGTAAAAATCTTATAACTAATATGTATTTAAATACTAATTTATTAAGTCAATGTATGCAACAAGAACTCGAATACGCACGTTCTGACTCTGCTTTTGTTCTCAACCAGGAAACTACTCTTCAAAAAGCTCTACAACGATTATCTGTATCTTTAACAATATTTTAAATTTTCCTTATTTCTTTATAGATATGCCTAGAAACATATACAAAAGAAGCAAAGCTAATTCAAACACAAATACAATCTCTTCTTTTGCCAGATGAAGCATTTGAACTTAATGATTTATGGGCAGATGCAGACACGCTTATAGAGGAGGCAGACGCACTTTCACAAGAATATTTACATAAAATGAAAGATTCGATGCAGGTAATTGATTTATTAACACTTAGCATCATTTATTTTATAAAATACTAATAAACAAAGAAATGCAATGAAATCGATCAAGAAAATAAACGCAAATTAATGAATCGACTACTCTAAATATACTTAAAATGTTTATGCCTACACTCATACCAACTCAATAATTCTATGCTTACATCTTTAATGACATATTGCATTTTTAGCTTGATCTTGCTTAAATTTATATTTGATCTCTTTCATATCGTTTAATATTCAGCATTTTTAAAATATATTTATTTGCAAAGATCCTTGATATATTACAAAACCATCATTTAATGCAACAATATTATCTTTTGTTTTAAAAATACTTTATCAATGTATTTTTCTACTATTTTCGGAATAAGCTTTCCGTATTTATTTAATTTCTCATTTTTTTCCACAAAAAACATTTTCTTCATAAATCATCTGTTTTAATCGCTTCCGGCGAACCTTCTTTATTAAACTTATCAAAATCCGTCCATTTCACACTCGTAGACTGTGGATTGGATGGACGACGTCCTTTTTTCAAATAATCCGATAACTCAATTTCTGAACCTTCTGTACCCCTAAAAAAATAAGCTAACCCATTTTTAAATATAACAGGACCCTCAAACATACCAATTAGCCTTTCCAGCACCATTCTTCTTTGTTCCATTTGGTGCTGTTCCCCCATATCCATGTCTAAAAATCTATGTTAGATAAACTCTCAAATATTCAAAAAAAAATAACTTAGAAAAAAATCGCCCACCATCAGAGGACTGCTTCTTTAATGACCGTGTCATGTGCTTTTTATTGGTTTTTCAATGAAAAAATGGGATAATCTTGGCCTTTTATAGTTTCGCATAAAACTTCTGGAATCAGCCAGAAATCAACATATATATATATCTAAAAAAGTAGGTACACACTAGTGTCCGATAAACCGGAAATATCAATTTTAATACTACATTTGTACTTTTATGTACAAAAGAAGGGTTAGGGCGAAAAGAAATATGTGAAAAAAAATACATGATTCCTAGTGAATTATAAGTGTTTATTACACCTATTGTTCTTATATTTAATAATAGCGGGTTTTTATTTTTTAAAAATAAAAAATTAAATATTACTATAATCCATAAAACTCTTAGTTAGAACTCAATTATTTCAAAATTCGAAGTTTTTTCTGTAAATAATGCACTAAACCAATGATTTTCTTATGAAATGAAGATTAATGAAGATACTAAAAGCCTTTTGTTAAGATATATGAAGATCGAATTGTTATGACATAAATTCATTTTAAAGAACAAAAAATATGATGTAAAGCCCTTTTTTTATGACGATTCGGTAGTCAAACAACCATAACGACGATTAAGATTATAATAACGATCTCGATCTTTATCAGAAACGCTAGGTCGTATTGTTAAAAAAGCCTTATCAAAATGATACTGTTCAATATATAAAGGAATATCTTGAAAATCATTCTGAAGCATTTTTTCAGTAAAAAGATCGATAAAAAAGGTATTTTGAAGAGCAAGAACAGCAGCTTCTCGAACAAGTGCAGCTAAATCAGCACCGCTAAATCAAATCAATATAACATAGTTTAATTAATAAATAAAAATTACCTAAAATTTTGGCATCTTTGATCTTTTGCAATCTGTAGAAGATTTACAGATGAGGAAATAGGTGTTTTTTTAGTCAACGTTTTTAAAATTTCATAACGTTCATCTTCAGATGGCAATTCTACAAATAATGGTTTATCAAGACGTCCAGGTCTCATCATGGCAGGATCAATAATATCCGGACGATTTGTAGCAGCTATTACATATATCCCCCTTCTATCGTTTAATCCATCTAACTCTGTTAATAATGTATTAACTACTCTTGCAGAAGATTCAGGCTAAAGAATATAAATAAGTTGAAATAGAAAGAAAATAATATATTTTTTACTAAAGAATCATCTCTTCGAGGGACAATTGCATCCAATTCATCAAAAAATATAATACATGGAGCAGAAGCTCTTGCTCTTGAAAATACTTGGCGAACAGCACGTTCTGATTCTCCGACATACTAATTAAATTACAAAAACGCATCTAAAATGTCAAATCTTAACCTTATTCAATAATTCCGGGCCTCTAACTGAAATAAAATTTGCCCGACTTTCATTAGCTACTGCTTTGGCTAATAAAGTTTTCCCACAGCCAGGAGGCCCCCAAAGCAACACTCCAGAAGGCGCTGTAATACCTACTCTTTCATACAATTCTGGATGTTTGATAGGCTGGACAATAGCCATCTGCATTTCCATACGAATAGACTCTAATGCGCCAACATCTGCCCACGTTACATCTGGAACAGTTGCAAATCCTTCACGCTTAGATGATGGCTGAATCTTAGGAAGTGCCTCTAAAAAATCATCAATAGTAATACACATTAATGATAAAACATCATTAGGTAATGTATTAGGGTATGTTTTTAAAAAACGTTGAATAATAGCAGTATTTTGAAAACTGTCAGATATGAAAGAATTCAAATCCGTCATGGAAACCCGACTATTATTTTTGTCTAAAGGACTAGAAGAATCCATATTTGATTGAGATAATGTTTTTTCATTCAATGATGCATTGTTTTGTAATAATTTAAAAATCCTTTTAATAGCAACAATACCAGATGCAGTAATAAGAGAACTCAAGTCTGCGCCTACGTATCCTGGTGTCATTTTTGCCAACTTTCTATAGTCAAAATCACCAGAAAGACGTACTTTTTTAAGAAGTGTTCGAAGAATTCTAATTATTATTAACATATGTATATAATAGAAAAAACTCATATAACTTTTCTCTCCCAATTTCATTTGGAACATTCAGACATATCTCATGATCAAATCTACCAGCTCTACGTAAGGCAGGATCTAATGAATCAGGCCTATTCGTCGCCCCGATTATTAAAACAGGTTTTCCACCTGTTTTATCCAAAGAAAGATCTATCTATGATCAAAAAAAATCAAAGATTCTATAAAAAATTACCATCCATACATGTAAGAAATTGAGCGACAATCCGCCTTTCCATTTCACGTTGTGCATTCTCTCTCTTAGGTGTTACTACATCAATTTCATCAATAAATATAAGACATGGAGCAATCGATTTTGCTTCATTAAACATATCTCGAATCTTTTTTTCTGATTCACCAGACATACCAGAAATAATAGACGGTGCAGAAATAGATATAAATGGTAAACCAATTTCCTAAAAAAAATATAAATAAATCATTCTTTAAAAAAAAAATCCCTTACAGATGCTATAGCATTTGCAAGCAAAGTCTTCCCACATCCTGAAGGGCCATGAAGTAAAACCCCTCTTCAAAAAAATTAATTCTTTCTAAAAAAAATATTCAATAAACCTTGGAAGTTGAATACCAATATAAGAATAAACCTCAGGATGCATCAAAGGCATCACAATATATTCAAGAATCTCATCAATACATTCATCTATACCCCCGAGATCATCAAACAAAATCCCTTTAGGTGGATTATAATTTTCATTAACTTCAATTGTTTAAAAAAAATAAAAAAAAAGGATAAGATAACCTCTTAATCTTTTACTAGGAATATCACTTTTCTCCATCTTATTCTTACGTTTAGACATGGAAATATCATAAGATCGATCTTTCATTATTTTTTCATTTTTTAATGAAGAATAACCCGATTTTAATAATTCTTTCTGACTTAAAACATCTTCTTCACTGTCCAATACAGATCTTTCCTCTTTTTTTATACTGATCTTGCTCTAAAAGATCTTTTAATCAGAAAATATTCGTTTTTCCAAAAAATCACAAAGACACACCAAATTTTCACAGGAAATCGCCGTTTTTTCGAAAAATTCTGTCTCCTTCATATCCCCAAGAGATTCACCTAGTAATTTATTAGATATTCCCGGTCCTTTTTCCCCCAAAACCCTTTTAATAGACATCTCCAATACTTGTTTTTTAGTACGCCTTAAAAGCGAATCTCTGCCCTGAAGATACTCATAAGCTTCCAAAAGACTTGAAGGAGCCTTCAAAAACTGATCAAAATACTCATCCAAATACTCTCGAATTTTATCATCCAAGCAACGACTCAGTCGAGCTTTGCCTTTCATCACTGAGCCGTTGTCAGGGCAAAAAATTAACGTCCAATATTTGAAGAAAAAAAAAAGTGCCTAAATCTAATGATTTTCGGAAGAAAAAGGATCTACATAGATTATTTTTGAATTCCCTGGAATTTATTTCCTATCTTACGTTTTTTTTCCAGTAAAAAAGTGTAATATATAAGGGTATATTTGATACTTTTAAATATATAGAAAATTATGGGTATTTCATGTAGCAAAAAAGTAACAAAAAGAGATTATATACTGTTTAAATTAAAAATACAGCGTGATAGATTACATATGTATCAAAAAAGATCGGAAAATTATATTAAAAATATAAAAGAAGCAGCAAAAAGATCACTTGCACAAGGCGATAAACAGAGAGCATTGAACTTTTTAAGAGAAAAGAAGAACTATGAAGCACTTTTTGATAAGGCCCTTGCTCATGTAGAGACATTAGAAAATCTGGTATTATTTTTTATATTTTTTATATTTTATTTATGTTAGATATCAACCATTGAATTTGCATTAATTGAGGAAGATATTATATATATACTTGAACAAAACTCATGTTTATTAAAAGAGATTAATAAGAAGATGTCATATGAATCAAGTTTGAAACTTATGGATGAAACAAAAGATGCTATTATTTATCAAAATGTATTATCTATTTAGTTATTTAAATAATATTTAAAAACATTTTTAGGATATAAGCAATATTTTTTCAGATTCGTTGGAAAATAAAGATGATCAATGTTTAGAAGAACTAAAAGAATTGCAGGTAATACGCTTTTTTTTTGAAACAAAACCTTTTCTCACGGAATATTATTAGCTTTATATACTTCCCAACATTCCTGATAAAAAGTTATATCATAATGAAGAAATGATAGAAGGTTTGAAATATTATAAATTGGTTCTTATTTGCTAATTTACCTTAAAAATAGTACACAGAGAAAATAACAAGCAAAAAGAGTCATCTCATATATTATTAGCATAAACTCTAAATATTTATGTTATTTAGGAAGATTTTTATTAATTTCAGATATTAATTTATTGAAAAAATATTTTTTATAATATTCATAGAAATTATAGAAATAAAAAGATATCAATTTAAAAAAACTAAAAGATACATTCTTGAATATTATATCATAAATATAAACCACCATAGATCCCTAAATAGATGCAGGCATACTAAATTACTGGAGAAAATTCAAATTTTTGTTTTAATAAGTAAAAACTAATACATATATTAATATCAAAAAAATAAATATTAAAGAAACTATTAATTACTAAAAAAACTAATACATAATCAAAATTCCTAAATATCTTCTTTTTGGTGTTAATATTTAATAATTTCTATAATTAAGATAAAAAACAACACTTAATAATTAGAAAAACAATACATATACATTAAAATTTACATAAAAACCTAACAAAAACAAGTTTATAAATAATCAGCATCACTAAATGAAGTATTAAAGGTATGTTTGTAACAGTTATACATCTAAGATAACACATATTTATAATTCTGAAATTCTCCGAAAATTAAAAGATTTATTTTACTCTTGTCCAAAACCAACTGTCTCTTCAACAGCAAGTGTAAGCTTTTGAACAAGCATTTCATATGTAGGATATTGAGGAAGATCAACACGATTAAAACTAATAAATGTAAATAACAAACAATAAATCTAACAGTTTCATATACCAAGTATGACTCTTAGGAAGCTGTGTAATCTCTCCTGCTTTTTCAATAGTAAATCGCCGAGGACCATCACTACCCTGAAGATCCTTAAAACCATTAACAGGAACACGAGACGTCCCCGTTATAAACTGTAACAGACGCGACTTCCGTTCTGAATCCCAGCTTCGTACACATTTCCAGAACCATTGTATAATCTATAATAAAAGAAATCAACAAAAAATTTGAACAATTTTAATTATTACCTCATCAGATTCAGTATAACCCCGATAGTCTGTATGTTTTTTCCAATCATCCATATCCATTTCAGTAATACCTCCAATAAGCAACTCAAGCTCTCGCTCGTCAAAAACACTAATAAGTTCTTGTGGAATAAGCTCATTAAATCCGTCTTGAAAAGCATTAAATTGTTCTTCTACACGCTTAAAAACACGCCAATATGCAACAAGCCTACTTCGTAAGCGTACATCTAGATTACAAGAAGAACATACTCAACATATTCTTTTTTATTATCATTAGTTACTTCGATATTTCTCCCATTAGGTTTTAAATCAATCGTCATTACCTCTCCAAAACGATCGTCTTCAGTAGAAAATGTCAACTCAAGAACATTAGCAATATCATTCTCCCTATTGCAATTAGCATCAAAATATTTTATTAAAATATCATACAAAATCCAGGTCAAACTCCGAAAAAATTCAGCATCTACACTTTCCATATCAGCGAGAGTAACTTTCTTCTTAAGAATCATTTTATAAAATGAAACAATAAAAAAAGCATCAAGAAATCTTCGATGAAAAATAGCAAGTCCAAGAACTCTTCCAATAAATTTAAAATAATTCAAATGTTCTGGATTTATGCCAGAATGAGGATTAATTTGAAGAGTATAGTTATCCACAGATGAATATTCAAACAAACAGTAAAAAGGATTAAACATTTCATGTGACAAAAGGAAAAAAAATTCTCTGTAAAAAATGAATATAGTTCAAAGAAAATAACTTCTATATACCTTGACAATCCACCATAATCCAAACCATCTTCACCATCAAATTTCACCATAAACCTTTTCTTAAGATCACTAGGTGTTTGTCTCATAATTTCAGCATATGAATCTTCAAAAATATGATTTCTTCGAATTTTTATTTGACATTGTCCAGATAAAGGGCGCAAAGCAGGTTGAGACCGAAAATAAATTAACTTTCGTCTAAAATCCCTCTTATATTGAGGAACGTTTTGATCCAAGGAAGAAGGGAGTCGGGGATCATCCCATGTTGTTATTTTTGTATTATGATCAACAAAATAAACTCTTGCAGAACTCGTAAGACGCATTTCCCATCCGCTAGGAAGAGGCCCCAATTGTGAAATGGGTTGTTGTTGAATTGTAGTATTTCCCATATTTGCTCCACTATACATTCGAATATATTGCTGACGTCTAGGATCAACCCATGTTGTTGTACGTGTATTATGATCAACAAAATAACATCTTCCTTCTGGAGTATAACGTTGTTCCCAACCACTAGGCAAATCACCCGTACCAGGATTTGTCGTAATACCAGAAACAAGTGGTACTCGATTTTGCTCATTTGTAGAAGATGATCCATGATGAGCCGATGATGAAGTAGCCATATGAGATGAAACACTTTCTCTAGCGCTAGGGCGAGCTCTATTAAAATAAGAATGTTTTCTAATTCTAAATTGGGTTAATTACTGAGACAATCCGTCAGAATCAATTCGACCAGTACTAAAAACATTAGAAAAATATCATATATAAGAGATAATCATACAAAGGCCGTGTCCAAGTTGTTGTTCGTGTATTATGATCAACATAATAAGTTCGACCAAGGTTATCAGTTCTTCTTTCCCATCCAGACGGTAATCGTCCATACTGATCCTCAAAAGAACTATAATTACCACTTCCTTGATAAGAAGCCATATGCCGAGAACTCTGACTTGCAGAATGCCCCGTCTCTGTATTTTCTGCGGCAGAATTAGAAACAATGCCAATTCTTGACGGAGAAGGATTCATAGACATAGAAACTGTAGCAGAACCTGAGGCCAGCCCATTAATTTGCGCAGCACCATTATGAGAAGACTGATTACGACCAGGGACTGAAACAAAAGTAGAAAGACTTATAATAAGTTTTCCATGAACCATCATATTATCATTAGATTTTTTGAGGTCCCTTATAAGCATTTCTAAAACGCGCAAATAAATCATATAATAAAAAAATACAAAAACACCCACCATCGCCACCCAGAGAAAGATCAATCACATCACTAATACGTAAATTAACAACTCCAAGAAAACCCTGATCTTTCTTTTTAAATTTCTTCTGATCAAAAATCTGAACAGCAAGAATACTAGACTCTTTCACTGATCTAATATATTTCATGAATAAGAAAATATCACTATAAACTTCATTTTATACATTTCAAAACTTTCATTCCAATAAGGATTAAGAGTTTTCTTTATAACTGAGGTCGTCTGCGTCTGCTCTCCATCCACTGTAATAACTGCAAATGGATCCGGCGTACCTTAATATAAATTAATCATCTTATTCATATCATAACAATAAAATACGTATTAAATCCCGCTTATAAAGCCCGTCCACTGCAATTACTATCAATTTATTAAAAAAACATTATATTCCCTCTTATTTCAAAAACCTGTAAGCTTAATCTTTTGAACCCTAACACAAATAAGTTCTTTGTCTTAAAAACCTATTTTGACGAGTATAATCCAAAAAAAATCACACAAAAAAACATTTTCCTGATTATACTCGTCTAGAACTATACTTACGGTGAATTAGAAGCCATATCTCATCTTTTTTTCCACTTGTATCCCTTCTAAGCTTATTCCAAAAACTTGTCTAAAACACTAGTTTTTTCAGATAAAAATCTCTAAAAAAAAACATTCATCAATATTAACATAATTATATTCGAAATAAATACCTACCTTAGTCTATTTCTCCCTAAATCTTCCAAAATTTCTCAGTTTCTAAATTTTTAATTTTTTGCTATGCTGGTCAGTAGTTATTGCCTTTTGTATCGAATTAAGCCAGGTATAGGATAGTAATAAGGGAGTAAGGTTAGATATAGAAATGTATAAATAGAGATAAAAAGATATAGAAAGAATTGATGTAGATAAGATCAAAGTATTTTTAATTAGAAAATATATGTATTAAAATATTTGTTGAAAAAATAATGAAATAATTTTTTTTAAATAAAAATTAGTATGGGCCAGTTCTATAAGAACCACGGTAGCCACCACGATAACCATAGCGTCCACGATAAGCATGGCCACGACCTCGTCCTCTTCCACGGGACATTCCAGGGAGATTTGTACGTTTTGGAACAACTTTTAGTAAACGACCTCTAAATAAACTTTCATTAAGAACTAAAGCATGGGCAACAAGCCTTGGCTCTGAAAATTCAATGTATGCAAATCCTTTGGGATGACCAGAATAACGATCACAAAGAATTGTGACACGATTAATAGTTCCACAAGTTTGAAAATGGGCTTGTATTTCTTCGGGAGTTGCACCATAATCAACATTTCCAACATAAACACTACGAGAGTCCACATCTTCTTTATTTTCTACTAACTGAGAGCTTTCTTTATCTAATTTAGCTTGCATTTTTCTCAATTTTTCAGCTTCTGCTTCCATCTCAGCAACACGTTGTTTCATTGCTTGAAGTTCCTAAAAAAAATTTTAACACCAAAAAATACTATAAAAATCTCCAAATGAAGACAAAGCTTCTAACCTGTTCTTCTGTCTCAGGATCCCCTTCTTCCCGTTGTTTTTCATCCCATTCATCTGTCATCTTCCAAATTCAAAAAAAAATACACCTTTTTTTTCCAAGAAAAAAGAAACTCTATAAAACAAAACAAAAGAAATCAAAATATCTACTAAAAAATCACTAATCTCTGCTAAAATCCCTTTAATTTTTGATTTTTTTCTTCAACCAAATTCTCAAAATTTCGAAAACGTAGAGGTTTCCATAGTAATCATAGATTCTCTAATTAGAGATATAACTTTATTCATAAAAATCAATAAAAGATAACCTATTAATTACCTATAAATCCACTTAAATATTCAATATCTCATCCGATTCTTTAGTATTTAAAGATAAAAATATAAAAAATCTTAAAATATATCATTTCTTTAAAGTTCCTTTTAAAACAAAAATAATCGCTAAGTTTAGCTTCTTTTAAGATCAAATATATAAAATATGCCTTTAATCATAAAACCTTTCTTTTTCTATGATTTTCTAATATAAAACATTTTTCTTTTTAAATAAATCAAGATATTAAAATTTTTACATATTTTTATCTTATCTAAAATAAAAAAATATAGTATAAAAATATAATTGTATCTAAATATGATTATATAGCCTCTTAAATTACTCGAAGCCCTTATTATTTCAATATATTTCATCAAAAATAATTAACAATCGAAATATATATAAAGTATTATTTCTACAAATATTAATAATTGATTTTTTCAGTCTTTTCTATAAAAATATAAAAAGTAATTAATATTTCTAAATAAGAACTTATTGTTCATTTAAAATCGAATCATTTATTTCAAAGTTCTCTTAATTTCCTTAAAACTTTTGTTTTTTGACATTCATTCAAAAATTAATGATTTGAAAAAACAATCCTATAAATAATTTTTAATTTCTTATAAAATAGATATTTATGTTAAAACCCAGCAAATTTATAATATTTTTCTATAACTAATAATCTCCAGAAATCCAGCTGCTCGAAATAACTACAAATTTATTAAAAAAAAACTGATTATAAGATTATTAGATGGGATCTGATCCTGAAAAACAAGATAAATCACTATCAAATACATATAAAGATGGTGAATCTCTTTTGAGTAGTTTTTTTCCGGGAAAAATTGAAGATTTTTTGTTAACACAAAATAAGACAACACAAAATAATATTTTAATACTTTTACCAAATAATTTCAGTATAAACAAGGACCTTAGTATAGACACAAAGAATTATAGAGCAGATATTTGTTATATAAATGATATTTATACAGGATCAAAAGTTCTTGAGAAGGAATTATATGAATGTTTTTTTCTTATATCAACCGAACAGAAAAGCCTTAATGAGTTCATTCTTATACTTAATCCTCTCCTAATGTCTATAAAATATGAGAAAGGAGGGCGTATTCGCATAGAAAATTCAGAAAGAAGAAACCAAGTTCGCCAAGAAGCTATTTTACAAGGTTGGAACGTTAATCTTGAAAATGAAGAAGTATGTTGGTTGTTTTTTATTGAAAAAAAACTAATAAACGAAGCTCATATTTTTAAGGCCAATTATCCCAGAAAATGCGGTTCCTTTACCAAAAAAAAAGACAAATCTTAAAAAAAACAACTACAATATAAAATTCGATAATATAGAATTAATTAACGAAGATGATCTTCTAGAACCATCCGATTTAATTCCTCCTACATATGAAAATAATTTTTGCAACAATCAATCAATAAAGAAAAAAAAAAGATGTAAAAATTGTACATGCGGCTTGAAACAAGACGAAACAGAAATAACGGAAAAAATAGACAAAATGACAATACATTTGCTAAAAGAACACGAACTTGGAGATATAGATTTCATAAAGGCAAGTAATATTATCAGTAATTGTGGAAATTGTTATCTTGGTGATGCTTTTCGATGTAGCAAATGCCCTTATTTTGGAATGCCTGCTTTTAAACCAGGAGAAAAAATCCAACTAAAACTAAACGATCTTGAATAATTTATTGTTATAAAAAATGTAAAATTTAAACTAGAAAATATTATTCAATATATAACTTTTTATATTAACAAATTACATCGACTTGTTAGCTCAAAATTGATTCTGTATAAAGAAATTTCAATGCATTCGAAGTAACTATTCCAGCCAATCAAATATATTTTTCATATTTTTTTAATCTAAATTTTATGCCATATATAAGTACTAAATAAAATCCATTACAATAATATAATTATCAACATTTTTTCTTTTATAATATACATATATATATATATAACACATTTCTCCTTCAGAAATACGGTATGCCATATTACGGAAATGTCATTCGATTTCATAGACCAGATGTCCATGATTCTACAATCTGTTGAATCATTTTATCGAACCGTCGACTTTGTATAGGTGTCTTATCGTCTAAAGAATAAAATGGATTACAAACCTGAACGATATATGCGGAATGAATTGCCTTGAAAAGCTTATATATATTAGCAGTAAATTAAAAAAATTAATAAAAAATAAACCAGTTTCATATCAGCATCTGTAATAATCATTTCTGACATATCCAACACGACTATGAATTTAATCTGTGTATTAGTCACAAACCCATAACCAGCCGCTGTTTCCTGTATATGTAAAAGCCCAAGATATGCATCTAATGACTCTGTTTTAGGATTAACAGATGTCTGAGAACGTTCATTCAATTTCGCATTTGAATTTGTTTCCAAGGGATTTTGTTGCAATTTTTTAGTATTTTCTTCAACTGAAACCCTACTTAAAGCAGCTATAATAATAAGAAATATTCTCATAATAACAAAATAATCAGTTTGCCTTCTAATTCATCACACGCACTATGAATCATAAAATGATACGTCAAATCCGTTTTTTTTTCTGAAAAAACCCTCAAATAAAGAGGATTATTCTAAAATTCATAAGAATCAATAAATAATCTAAAAAAAAACCTGTTTTCCAATTACTGCAACACTTGCAATTCGTGGATTCATTAAAACTGCAATTTTTACACAATTTTTCCAAAAAAAAGGAAATCTATCAAAAAAAGGCAAAAATTTTTAATAGAACAAAAAATTTTCCTCAATAACTCTTCAATATAACCCTTTTTATACCCTTTCACATAATATTTTTTTTATGTCGTCTTCCAAATCACATGACATTCTTCCTCAGTATAACCCCCTTGTATCCATGACAACTTCCCCTGGTATCCATAACAACCATATTTGTTGTCATGACAACATCTTCTAGATTTTTTATTATACTTAATTATGACTAAGTCCACCTTATCTCCACTTATTTGCCATAGTAGGTGAGCTTTTGAGGACTATACTTTCACATTTTTTACTAATATACAATAGTTACTCTCATAAGTTATCAAGAAAATGGCAATCCTCAAAAATCCTGACAAAAAACTGTTTAATTTACCCTCTTTTTGTTACAGACAATCCAGACGATGAAACAGAAATTGTCTCATTACCAGGACAGAAAAGGTATATATAAGGGGTTTTTATGATTATATGATGATAATTATTGATATCAGATGGGGTATTAATAAGCTTGAGAATTTTATAGCACCACTTGTAGCGAAAGGATTAGCAGCAGTGATTCTTTTTGGGGTTTTAAATAATTCAAAAGATATATATGGTACAAAGGCAGATGATCCGGAAGGACCTGTGATTTCAGCTATACGTCTTTTAAAAAGTCGATTTCCAGAGCTTTTTGTTATTTGTGATGTATGTTTATGTGAATATACATCACACGGTCATTGCGGATGGCTTTATGAGGATGGAACAATTAATAATGAAGCAAGTGTTCGACGTTTATCAAAAATAGCTGTTGAATATGGAAAAGCAGGGGCAGATGCAGTTGCGCCTAGCGATATGTTTATTTATAAATCATATATTGTATATAATTAACATGTGGAAGGATGGATGGAAGAGTATTAGCCATAAAAAAAGGTCTTGTAGAGGCGGGTATATCACATAAAATTATGGTTATGAGTTATTCAGCTAAATTTGCATCATGTTTATACGGCCCATTTCGGTACGATTTTTATAGATTATTGATATTTTCTAATAAAACTTGTTAAGGTCAGCAGCAAATTCAACACCTTCTTTTGGGGACAGAAAATCTTATCAGCTTCCTCCTCCATCAAAAAAACTTGCACAGCGTGCCATTGTTAATTTTTCTTTCAAATTATTTTTTCTCATTTATAAGTAGAAACGAGATATTTCTGAAGGAGCGGACTGCATCATCATTAAGCCAGCTACATTATATCTTGATATCATTGCAAATACTTCTAAAATTGCACCTGATTTATTAATTGCTACATATCATGTTTCTGGAGAATATGCAGCCATTCATGCCGCTGCTAAAGCAGGTGTCTATGATTTAGAGACAATTGTTATAGAAACTTTAATATCTTGTTTACGAGCAGGAGCAGGTTTATCTATTTGCTCAAAAAAACTCATTAACGTCAATAGAAATTATTATTACTTATTTTACACCTGATTGTTTAAATTGGCTAGAAATATGAACAGAAACATTCCTCCGGTTTTATATATTTCATCATATAAAAAAGTCTATTTAAACATTAAACATTAAACTACTACTTTCATGATTAATATAAACGTTCCCATCTATGGTCATTTAAAAATAAGACAATAAAAACAATGTTTAATATATTAAAGTTAAAATTTTTTTAAAATTATGCATGTTTATTTCACGTTATTTTAACTTGCCTAAAAATAGACTCCGGTTTTAGCCACACTACCCACAGCAGTTAGCAAATCTCCAACTTTTTTTTGATTTTTTAGCAGGCGTTGTTGCATAAGCCTGAGATAACCGTGATTGTTGCTGAGATTCTTGATGAATCCGAGGGCTGGTATTAGATATTTCTTTCATATGTTCTGAATTATTTTTAATATCATTTAGCCTTTCTTTACAAGGTTTTAATCCATTATGAACAGGTATAGGCGACGGAGGAATACAATGGGATGGGTTTAACCGATTAGACGAAACATGTTGTCCTGTCCTAGATGATGGTAAATGTCTCAAATCAGTAACCGAAGTAGATTTATGTGCAACATTGGAAACAACCAAATGTTGATTCGAAGATACATGTTTCTTATAAATAATTAGAAAAATATCAAAAAATACTATTTCAAAAATAATACAGAACTAGCTTCCCATCCTTTTCCATCATTAAGAAGCATCCAATCATATTCTCCATCCTCTGTTTCACCAATTTTTCTGATTACATTGGTAAAAAGACCACGAAGATAATCATAATCAGGCGTATCTTCAAATCCGAGATTACGAACATATAAAATGTATTGAGAAAATTCATCTATAAACAAAATAAAACCATTTGAAAAGAAATCCTAAAAACGTACCTGGAAATCCTTCACATAACTCCTCAATCAAAGTAGCTTGCTTTTTTTCTCCAATTTTCTCATATTTCTGTTTATTAGTCATTGCCTTTAGTCCTTGCCAAGGAAGTCCTCCTCGAAGAAAATACATAAATACATGGCCTAATGCTTCTAAATCATCCCTTCGAGATTGCTCTCTACCAAGATGAGTATTTATGCTCATATACCTTGCAGTGCCAGAAAGGCTCTTGCGTTCTCTATATGGAATATGCTGTTTTGTTCTGGGATCCCGATATTGTTTTGCCATACCAAAATCAACAATATGGATTAAATTAGAATTACTAGTACCCGGCCTTCCTATAAGAAAATTGTCTGGTTTAATATCACGATAAATAAAATTTTTTTCATGGATAGTTTGAACACGCGTCAACTAAGACATCTTAGTATATCAAAATGCATAAATGAAACAATACCATTTGTTTAGCAAGCATAACAACCGTTTTGGTCGTAAAACGTCTTCCGCACCAGTCGAAAAGATCTTCTAAACTTGGTCCTAATAAATCAATAACTAAAATATTATGCAATCCCTCTTGACCAAAATAATGTACATGAGGTATACCAACTAAAAACTTCTAAGCATTTTTATATCTATCTAATAAGAAAATAATACGGCTTCCCACTAATAATTTGTATGTTCTATATTCATCACGTAATTGAGGTGCATCACTCTTTCTAGGCTCCTATAAACATAAGAATAGCATTCTAGAGTACAAAATATTTTCTCATTACAAATTTAATTGCTACTTGTTGATTATTAAACATGTCTATCCCCTCAAAAATAACCCCAAACGACCCTTCACCAATCTTCTTTTTAACCCGATAACGGGATCCAACAACATTGGATAGCTGCGTACTATGCGTTGATGTTGTCATAAAGTTTTAGATATACCAATAAGGAACGTTACAATTTCAAAATAAACCCAGGATCAATAAAATAAATTAGAAATAAACCAGATAACCTCTGATACACTCTAATAACACCGTCAACATCTTATATAGCATAAAATAACACCGTTAGCACTTAAAAAAGCCGAAAAAAACAAATATTTAAATATTCACGTATAGAAACACAACGATTCAAAAAAGTCTATAAATATGGAGTTTCTATAGATCCAAATGTAATCAAAGATAAAATATAACTGCTAAATATAAGTTCTAATCCTTTTATAGCTTTATTCTATACCTTTATCAATATTTATTTCTCTTCCTCCTGAAACGCATAAAATCCTCAAAAATCAACCAATTTTTTGGCCTTTTTTTCGCTTCAAAAGAGAGATATCTTATTTCCTTATATATTTCTTTAAAAATATCTAATAATTTTCTCTTAAATACTATTTAAATCTCTATTTAATGGATAAACATTTTGTTTCTAGTAAAATTGACGTTGAATGATCGCTCATCCTTAAAATTGAGTATTGTCTCGAGGAATATAGTATTGAAAAAATACAGTGAATAAGTATAAAAAGCAAACTTAAGCCCTTTAAATAGAAATTTAAATAGAAGATATTGATTTTGTACAAAAAAATAGATAATTAAAGATTGTAATAAAATATAGAGATTTAATAAAAATAAAAAATTAATATATTATATCATGATTGTAAGATATTTAAGAAGTTTTTTGATTATCTGGAGGGATTTGAAGTTTTAAGGCTTCCATAATAGCAATAAACCAAGAATCGAGAGTAGCTTTGACTTCATATTTATCTAAAAGTTGATTTTCCTTAAGTAATTCGTTAGAAAAAGCATTAATTTCAGAGTCGTGAGTATTTTTAGAAAATCTGGAACGAAGATCATCTAATTTTGGGTCGAAATAAGCGTTTTTTGGAGAAATTGGATAAATATTAGAATTTTCAAAGAATTCTATCATATTATTGAAAAAAAAGATTAAAAGAAAAGAAACTTACGAGAAATAACACATAAATTTATTGTTTCATAGAGTGCAGTATATTTTGTGTCAGCTTCTACAGAAGTATCAGCTTTATTTCTTGTATCCAAAATTTTAGTCCAACTACAAAAGTGAATTTAAAACAACAAAAGAATAAAAAATACTCATTTGCAATAAATATACGTCTCCAAATTGTTTTCTCAACAGATTGATGTCGAATTAAAGGTAACTAAAGAATTTTTAATATTTAATATTAAAAAAAAAAGATTACTTGAGAGCTATTAAGAACTTTTAATGCTGAATAATACTCGTTAGCAGATATCCCATAGGAAGTGGTTTTTTTATCTTTTAATGTTAGTAAATCTATAAGATCCTCTGGATCCAATATTTTTTCAAGAATTAGATTTTTTAAAGCTCGTTTAAAGACTATTTTTGTAGCAGGACGTTTTTTCAAAGAATGCCCTATTTTCTCAACAACAAGATCGACAGCCGCATCAATATCAATAGCATTTTCTATAAATGATCTAATTTCATCTAAAAGAGAAGCTTGTATCTGTAGTGCTTCTAATTGATACTCAATGTTAATCAACGGTAAACAGTTTATTTTCTCCATATTATGTGATTCAAGGTATTCCAAAAAACATAATTTAGAAATACTTAATTCAACCCTTTTATTAAAGACAAAAATTTCATCGTTTTTTGCAATATTATACAAAGTGTTTCCAGCATCTTTAAATCTATCCGTACTAATTTCATGCATCCATGATATTCTTCCATAATTTCCAGAATCAAAAAATCGAGACAAATAATAATGATAATCCGAAAAATCTTCAAGTAAATTAAAAAGATGACCTATATAATTAGAAAGTGTAAAAACAACGACATAACTCTAACCTTTTTCTATAAAATAACGATATAAAACATCTGCAAATTCCTCTTTAAAGGTATATAAATACCAATTTATCCTTCTTGTAACCTGATCATTCCAATTATAATCCATATTTTTATCATCAGTCTCATAGCACAATTCCACTAGTGTCCGAAAATCCCTATATTTTTCTGCTATTTCAAACGACTTATCTAATTTATCAATTTCGGCTAAATCAATTAATATATTTCGTAAAAAACCATAAAAATACCTAAGAATTTAATCCAATTGCCTCTTGAAGAAAGATATTTCTCTTCTATATGCTTCTTTTCATCATCTAGAGAATTCATTTGAATAGACTTTGTCCAAAGTATTCTTTCCTCAAATGAACAACATATTAGCTCAGCCAAATCAATCAATTGAGTAACAAGGGTTTCTTTTAAACTTATTTTCATAGATTCAACAGAATTTAGGGTGTTCTGAACTTTATCTTCTAAAAGCAAATTATCTCTTTTAAATTCTAACATAATTGCATTTGTAAGATTATATTGATTTGAAAGCACTGATAAAATATCAGAACTTGAAGTCCATGGTAATAGTGAATTATCATTAGAATGCAAAGGCTCGTTCAATTTCAAAAATTCAGCTCTCTTTTTACGAAATTTCTGAGCAGAAACAAGTATTGCCTTAGATATTAATGAGTATCAATACACATAAATACCATGTTATACTTACAAGTATAATTTCATTTGCCTCTACTATAGTTTTTAGAACTCTTAATCCATCTTTTTCTACTAATGATATCACATCTAGACAACATTTGTAAGCTTTAGAAACAATACATGCAATATTTTGCAACTAATACTATATTAATTTTAAATCTTTATAAAGATATACATACTCCTTTTTGAAACCACCAACGAATTACATTTTTGCCTGTTTCTTTAGTTACCAAACTTTTTATTATATCATTTATAATATTATCTTCAACTTTCGTTAAACGAGTATTAATTTTAGACCAAAGATTTTGTGCACTTTCACACTTTTCGGCATCCCAACACAATTTCCAACGTGTTTCTGAATTAATTGAATCGAAATTAAACAAAAGATATTCACTAAGTCTTGAAAGATTTAATGATTTCAAAAATAGATCATTTTCAAGAGGAATAAAGGAAGATGAATGGTATTTAGACACTATAAAATATTAAATAATATTACAATAAAATCAATAAAACTTAACCTGATGTTAATATATCATGACTCAGATTTATAGCGACAGCCTGTATATTTTCAATGTCATATTCACTTGTCCAACAGAAATTAATAGGATTCTATTAATATTAATATATATCAATTTCATCTATATAAACTTACTCCCTCAAGAAATCCGTAAAAAACAGCTTGATCTAACTTTCTTCTATTTTTACGAGATATTAAATCTTTATGAAGCCGCGTTATTTTAAATGTTTCGCATCTAAGAATACCAGCATTTTTCGTTGCAACTAAAACGCTTGGATTACGAATTATCTTTTTTGATGAAGGATCAATTAATGAATCTTCATAACCTGCAGCCAAAATCTGAACACGATTTTCTCTATTAAAAGTAATAATATCTTCAAATAAAATTTCAGAGTCAAAAGTTGCCTCAGTGGGAGTTAAAATAAGATATAATGCATCCGAAAAAACTATAATAGTCATATCACCAGGCTTCGGTATCAATATTCTAGGATGAAACAATAAATCTGAATACAATCCATGATATTGCAACAAATGAACCGATGTGACCTTCAATGTTGTAGATTCGAGATCAGAAATAAATAAAACATAATTTGGACTATCAAGTGAAACAAAAAAAGATGCCAAAATAAGAACTAAAGAGGTAGAATTGGGTATTGGCATAATATCATATATTTGAAGCGACTTCTCGATCATTGAAAGTGAAATATTTAACGTTGATATCAAAATTTCTACCATTGAATTCCATAAATTCTTCTCTAAAATCAACTTTTCAAAGATAAATATACATCCATATAAATCAAATATAGACAACCTTGGCATATCCACTTCTAGTTACTTCCCATTTACTAACCGTACCTCGCTTGGTGCACACAATTACATCTCTAGTACCACGACCTTTAAGTTCACCTGCATTTATAGAACAAATGTCCCGTCTGGTCGTAGCAGACCATAACGCTCCAGTAAGACTGCTAAATAATCCACCTATTCCGGAAGAACTAGTCATATTCAATAATCCGATATGAAGACGTGCTGATGAATCCACAAGAGACAAATGCAAAAGCTTCCCTGAAGATGTTGCTAATACAAAATTTGCAGGCTTTGTTATAGTTAATCAAAAAATCTATACAAGGACAAATAAACCTCCGCATTACAAAGACAAACACACATTTCCCCAGAAACAAGAGGAATCCGACCTTCAATACTTTTTTTATGTATTAATCCTTCCGCAATAGCACCCCCAATAGATTCCCAATATGCTATTCGTCCAGAAATAGGCATAATAATAACAAGACCCGGTTCATCACTCCCTGCACATGGTGCAACTAAAGCCCCCAACGGAAGAACATCCTTGTTCAAAAATCTATCTTTTGCCATATCTTGAGGTAACGGAAATGTCAATGTAACAGGATGATGATCAGGTCCTGAATGAAGATATGAAAATACATAAGCTGCCGTATTTGTAACAACTAATCCATAGCCTGTCTGAGAATCAAACGATCCCATAGCAGAAACATCTAAACAACAATGTTAATAATCAATTCTCACTAATACTTGAGTTATATTAATCCACCACTTCAATGCCTTCACCCATCCTTCCTTCTTCCCTCCCATTCATCAAAATCTCACTAAATAACTACAAATATCCCTATATTGACCCATATCCCATAAAACATACCCTCTTTTATAAAATTATCAATACTTCCAATTAATCGTGACAAACAATAAAACTCATTCTTTGTCCATTCAATCACTCCATAATCCACCATAGGAACTGATGATAAAGAAATCTTCATTCTATCAATCATATTCTCTCTTATTAAGTCTGGACGAAGCCAATACAAAGGTGCTTCTGATGGACGTACTATTGTCTCCATTGAAAAAGGACAACGCGCATGTGATAATATCCTCCGGTGCCGACTCTTCTGCTCTGAAAACATAACTATATTCAAATATAAACTATATAAACCTTAGTAAAGCCCTTTAAACCTTTATATACTTGCTAATTGGTAGGATATCTATATATTTGAAATTTTGATGTCGTTGATGGTTGCCTTAACAACAGTCAGACCGCTGAGCAGGATAAGATTAAAACCTCCAATATTTATAGACATAAGACCTTTAAAGGAGAATGAATGGAGCTATTGAGATCAGCAGCAGCACTCATTTCTAAAGTTACTAGTGATTTTGGGTTTGGTTTTGGAGAAAAAGTAGAACTTCCATATGATAGTTTTTGGGAACTTTATGATGGTATACGAAAGGTAAAAATTTAAAAAAAAGAGTATTTTTAGAGTAATATAAGTAGGAAGATGGTCTGCGATGTAGCATATTTGTATTTAATAAGGGATCAGTTGAAGAAAAATGGGCTATGGCTCAAAACGCATTGTCGAAGATTCGGACATTGCATCATCCGTATATTATTCGATATTTGAATGGAAAAGAGATCGTAAAAGAGGAATTATTGATTTAGGAGGAGACTAAATCTGAAAGGAGGGACGATCTATTACTATTGTTACGGAAAGAGTTATTCCTTTGAATTTGAATAGAAATAAAATTGATAAAGAAACAAGTATTTTGGGACTTTATCAGATATCTGTATGAAAGGAATTAAAAGAGTTTTTATTTATGTGATTTAGACGGCTCTTCAATTTATTCATGAAAATGCGTTATCTGTTCATGGAAATGTTCGAATATCTTCAATATTTGTTAATGAAAGTGGAGAATGGAAAATTTTTGGACTGGAATTATTCAGTTTAATAAAAGAAAAAGAATGTATTTTATATGTAAGTAATTTTTTGGGAAAAAAATAAGTATATATATTTAGACACACGGTGGACGTATTCCTGATTCATTTAAATATATGCCGCCGGAAATCCAGTGCAAGTCTTGGGGATCATTAAATGAGTCAACTATTTTTTTGAAAAGTTATATTTTTTAATCTTATATAGAACACCTCTGGAAACAGCAATTGATGCGTATAGTTTGGGTTGTTTGATCTATGAAATATTCAATGGTACATTTAGAGCGTCTTCTGATTTAACTCAAAGGGGGAAAATACCTCAAGTAAACTTTTTTTTTAAAATATTATAACTTAGCAATGTTAGACGTTATTTAATACATATAAAAAACTTCTAAATCCAAAACCAACTCTTCGACTATCTGTTTCAAGCTTTATCAATTATGGACGTAGTGATGGGGGCTTTTTTCGAACAGAACTTATTGAATGTTCTGAATTTTTAGAACAATTTTCACTAAAAGATAAAGAACAAAGAAATGCATTTTTAAGGTTTATTTATTAAAAATTATTATCTCTTAATCTGAATTTCAAAGACAAATTAGCGATTTCATTGATAAATTTCCTAAACTGTTTCTTAAGTTTAAAGTTCTTCCAGGTCTAATCAGATTATTCGAATTTAATGAAGGTAATTATTTAATTTTGTAATGTCTATTAATTATATAATCTAGGAGGGAATAAAGCATTTTCATTAATTTTAAAGATTGGAAATCTTCTTGAAAATGATTATCAATCTTTAATATCTCCATTTATAGCTCATATGTTTTTGAATCAAAATAAATCAATAAGACTTTGTCTTCTTGAGAATTTATCAGATTATGCTAATCATATATCAAACAAAGTAATAAATGATGAAATATTTCCAAAAATGGTATTAAATGTATTATTATATGTAACTATTACCAATATTCTAAAGCTTTCTGGATTTAATGATACTTCTCCCTTGGTACGCGAAGAAACAGTAAAAGCAGTGCTTTTTATAGTGTCAAAATTATCAGAACACAATATTAATAATGAACTATTAAAATATCTGTTAAAAACACAACGTGATCAACAACCCGAAATTAGAACTAATACAACTATATGTCTTGGAAAAATAGCGAAACATATCAAACCAAATGTATAAATATATATATGTTTATAACAGTATTGATCTAAAAGCAGAACCGTCAAAGAATTTTGATATCAGCATTTACCGGATCTCTTCAAGATTCGTTTGTTCCAGCACGAATAGCTGCTTTAATGGCGCTCAGAGCGACTTATAATTTATTTGATGAATCCGTTTGTTGTATAAAGTTGATTCCAACTATATCACCAATGCTTATAGATAACGAAAAGTATATTTAATAAACCCTTATATCCTTTTTTTGATATATATAGATCTGTTCGAATACAAGCAAAAAAAACCATAGATTTATATTTCCAAAAAGTTACTAAATTAATATCTGCACTTGATAATACATCAGAAAGCGCTAATTCGGATATATCAAATATTGATAAATCGAAAATAATCGTTGATTCAAATTCTTCATTGTTTTCAAAAAATAAGATTGAAGGTTTTATATTGAAGTCATCTTTAATATCGTAATTAATAATTATTAGTTAAACAAAAAAGTTATAATAATTCAATTGAAAAAAAAAAAGTTTCCGAAATGAATGTCCATGCATTTAAGACAAAAAATACAATGAAACAAGTCAAAGAGAATGACTTAAATGAATGGAATAATACTAATAGTGATAACACAACTGATCTATTAACATTTGATGATGTAAACGAAGACAAAAATTATATAAATAATAATAGTAATGAGGAAAATATTCATCAACTAGATAGATTAAGTACCATAGACTTTAAAATAAACAATAATATAAGTTTTGAATGGAAACAAAACATCTGGGATAACGACTGGGATAGCGATGATGATGATAATTGGAAACTTAATGAATATTAAATAGTAATATTTTTGTTATTTCAGAAATAAAAAAAACACAATGATTCAAATAAATACATTAAATCAAAATATATAAACATAAGAAACTATATTCACTAGCTACATTTTTATCCAATTCCTATAACATCTGGCTTACTAGTTTCGAAAAAAGATCATGACGTAGGAATTCTTACTAAAGTTTCTGGAAGATCTAAACCTTCGTTTTTATTAGATACCGTTTTTTTCTGTAACCTCTCTATGTTTCTTATAAGATGTGTTTAGAAAAAGAGAATCAAACATACCCGATGAAATATTGATAGTTCGAAACACATTTTGCCAATTTTCAAGAACAGAAGCCACAACTACCATTATCAATAAAACCGAGAATATATAAATTAACAAACCTTCTGTACCGCCCACTAATATTTCCATTTTTTTCTCCAACTGCTCCATTTGGGTAACAAGTTTTCCTGAAAAATCCCTTAATTGTGACAAATTTTCATATTCTTGCTTTTTTTCCTGGATTTTCGCCGCCAAAGCTGAATTTGGCTGCAAATGAGCCGGAACAAAGGAAGATGAAGCTTGTCTACGATATGACAGAGAAGAATTCCCTGACATTTAAAGAACTAAATCGCCTTAATAGCTATAAAACAATATTGCTTGACAAACTATAATAAACCTGTTTTCTATCATAATTAACCCTTTTTTTTCTGGAAAAAAGACATAATAACATACATAAAAACAAAATTTAATAAATTTTATATAAAAAAGGCCATATAATACCTTATTTATGAGTCCTTTCTAGCTTTAAAACTTTAATTTTTATACACTTAAAATCCTCGAGGTCTGGTGACTATAGAAACTGTTGTCATAGAAACTAACCAATGACATAGTTACTATGGAAACACTTCCCTAGATAAACAATCTCCAACGTCAAAGAAACTACAGAAGAATACCAACAATTAATCTTGAAGGATTTGGAAGTAAATAATCAGGAGAATCCACATGAAGATGAGTTTTCAGTCGGAGGATCTCCAGGAAAGCCTTGAAGCATGTAAGATTTCGTTTTTGAACGGTTTAATTTGGATAAAAACTAACCAAAATATAGTTAAAAAGAAACATCTTAGACAAAACCGAGAAATTATCCGGTAAGATCATATTAAATGAAAACAAGGACTTTATCCAACGTAGGGAATATATAACAGTCTGAATATGCTTCAATCAGTCAAAGTTCGGCAATTGGAGATGGAAACAGGGCGTCTTTTACAGGAAAATTTTGAGCTTCGAGCATCATTAATATCTCTTCAAGAACAGAATGAAAAAGAAAAAAAAAAGGCACATCTTGAAAGACTCGAACTTTTGAAAAGAGCACTTGAAGATAAATTATTAGAAATAACAGATATAGTACAAAATATGTTACCGGAATCGTCTATAGAATCATTACCTATAGAGAGTATATTGAAATTATATATTTTCATTTTTTTTTATAAAATTAGATGATAAAAGGGAAAAAAAGTTAAAAAAAATAGATAATTCTATTATATCCATAAATTCTCTTCAAGAGCTCTATTTAAGTGAGAAATCGAAAAAGGTTAAATATGAGCTTTAAAGAGAAATGTAAACTGATTATTTCTAAAGGTTTTAGAGGAAAAAAAGGAAGAAAAAAGTATTAAAAAAAATCTTATACGATTTTCAAATGATAAACAAATCAATACAAATTATATAAACGATTCGACACAAATAAGTGATAAGAATAATGATATTTCTAAAGAATTGTCTACTGAAGCTGAAGATTGTTCGTTTATCTACATCGAAAAAAAAGCTTTCGACTTTGCAAATAAAAATATAGAATCAAAACAAAAGGAAAAAAGAGTATCAAAGTCTAAAGAAAAACCTCAAGTCTCAGAAAAAAATGGTATTTTTGGAAAATTTCTACTCTGATACCTAAATCTTTTAGATTCACCTGATGATTTTATATATACAAGAACAAAAACAAATACAGAAGATAAAAAACAGACACATTGGATTTTAAACACCCTTCAATGTGAAAAAACAGACGATATTAACGTAGAAAAGGAAAATATTATTAATTTTGAACTATCATGTTTAAAAGAAAAGAACAAAAACAACAATTCCACAGAAAAAAGTATAAGAAGTAATAAAACATGTATAAGAAAAGCATTAGAATCAAGTTTGTAGCACGAAAAAGTAGTATTCATCTACTAAAAATAAATAGAGCCGTCTATTGCTAATAAAAATGTTGAAACAGTGAATGATTGGAAGAATTCACAAGAAATCAAAACCAAAACTCCAGCATTTTTGCATGTTACAAAAATAATGGAATCCTCGTCCCCTGAAAAACGCGTAGGAAGAGCAAAAAAGCCTGTTAATTATGCATTACCTAGTTTAAAAACGAAAATGCGTAGAGATGATTCGATAGTAGAAGATAATTTAAATAAAAATTATTCTAAAAAGAATATTTCTGAAAATCAGATCCTGAATCTTATTGGAGGGTCTCAAGAAAAATCGACTAAACAGGAACAGAATATAAATGTTTCTTCACTTGTAACAAAATGCGAAAAAACCCCTTCTGTCGTAATACATAAAACAGCTTTATCAACAAAATGTAATCTCTCTGTATTATCTATGGACACCCAGAAAAATTCGAAATCTAATACTCAATCCGTTCTTAAATCACCTATTAAATTTAGTAACAAAAAAACATTAGACCATGATCTTAGTTCTATTGAAGAATTAAGTAATAGTATATCTTGTATGAATAAGAAAGAAACTACTAACGATGATTTAAAGTCTGAATCATTTGAGAAAGATAAAAGACGGAGAACTGTTCATGAATTATTAAAAACAAAAAGTTCAATATCTCATATATCTGAATATAAAACTATACAATATCAAAGCGGAACATTTACAAGACGAAAAAGCATGTTGGCATGAACAAATCTAACCAGAAGCGGTATTTCGCTGTAATTATAATATTTTAAGTGTTTGTATTTGAAAAAAATTAAAATAAATAAAATATAGAAAAGTTTTGATTTTTATATATGACAGTTGAATTCATATTAAAATAGTTGTAGGATTTTTATGAAATTTTCATTAATTTAGAATAATTTAACAGAACCTTTTAGATTTAATAATACAATTAGTTTTTTAATGATAGCTAAATTTCTTTATAATTATTTAGCCTCAACTTTCATTTATATGTAAACATTTGAACTGATATCCCTAATATTTCAATTTATACCTCGGTCGGACAAATTAGACAGGAATATACTTGCAAATTAACGTATTGATAAAAATTATTGAGAAATTAACATCTCGTCTACACTGTCCATAGAATGTCTCTGATATATATAACTCGCTATATCATCATGATAAATATATTTATATAATACCAAATTTTATGAATATATATTCAATTATATACCCTAGCCAGTATATCCATATGTTTGTCCTTGAATTGCTTTATTCATTCCTACTGGTGGGGTAGTCATCATAATTGTCTGCTGCAAATTATTTTGCCCATGAACACCTGGATGAAATTGCATTATCATTGGCGCATTCCGATGACCAGAATAATTAACTGCCGAGTGATTTGTTTGCAAATTATAATTTTGAGGATTCATCATTTGAGGCATATATATACCATACTGTGGATGATATGTCATATTTTGTGCAGCATGTGGAGTTGTATAAAGTAATTTTACAAGATACCCTGGCATAGAGTACATTGGTTGAATAAGTTGAGTAGGAAAAAAGTTTCGATATGTATTATAAAACCCATTATATGAAGCATCTTGTTGAGCTGTATAAAATGGAAAAGTGCCATATGGCATGGCAATGAAATTTAATGAGTTAGGATCAGTGCATGGAAATCTATATTCTTCATTAGAATCATATGGTAATTGTCCTGGTAGCGAAAAATTTGAAGATTGTTGTAATGCCTGCAGCATTTCTTTATATGATTTTCCTCCATAAGGCCACGTTGGGAGAAAGGAGTAAGGTTTTTCTGAGGAATATTCATTATCTGGATGCTCTAATCTATATCGTTTAAAAGGATCAAATTTTTTCAAAATAGGTTTTCGTTCTATAGAATTTGGCTTTTTGTTATTAAAAAAATCCAAAGTAGAAACTTTTGCTGATTGCAAAGGCTGAGATATAGGTACGTCTATATGTGGCCCCTCTGTTTTTTGAGTATACTGTGAATGGGGAACTATCATGGAATTCGGCTTAAAAACTGACGCCTTTACATTAAGCTTCATATTCAATTTTTTAGGAACCTTGTTATTTTGAGGATCGTTTAAAAGGGAAGAATTTTCTTGTAATAAACCAGATGTATTTTGAAGATTTTTAGTTGATCCAAAAGACTGAGATACAGAGGTTGATGTTATCGTTTGTGATTCGGCTGCAGATTTTGTCGTAGTTTCGTCTTGTTTTGCCTTATCTTTAGAAAGTATTGAAACAATATCAGAAGGAACAGGAGTATTCAATTTGAAGTTCTGACTAAATTTCAAAAGCTCTTGTAACTTTACATACTTCTCCTTTTTGAACAAAGCTTGTTTCTTAGCCTGAAGTCTCTTTCTTTCACCAGAAACAAACTGTTTAAAGGTGCCCATAAGTTCAGTTTCAATTTTTGGTGCTCTAGGAGCAGAAGAAATGGGATCTGGATTAGACAATTTGTTACTGTCTTTATCGACTAAAGGAGTCGAACTTTCAGAAAGACTCTTCTCCGGAACATCAATCTTAGGTTTATCCATCTGAGGGGATGAAACAAAATCCTGAAAAGAAACAAATGTTGCACAATCTGTTTCACTCTTTTTTATGCAATCCAAAAACTCGTCTTTTTTCTGCATATCAGGACGAAAAACCCCACTATACATAGCTTCTTCACTAATATCTGTCTGTATAAACCCACGTTCTTCAGCAATATGAACATTATTTGTTGAAGATTGCTGTATCTCTTGAGCAATACGTGCCGCATCTGCTTCTCTCTGCTTATACGAAGGATGGGATTTATCAACCTTTGTTGTATATAGATCCTCATCAAAGTCAGATTTAACACCAAAAAGTTTTTCATTCGCAGCAAACTGATCCCAAACTTCTCCATTTGACACCGTTTGAGTCAATTCCTCCAAAGGACCAAATTCGTTGGTATCATTCGTCAAAGGCTCCCATTTATGCAATTCTCTTTCTTTAAACTCCATTTTCCCACTAATTTCTGCATCCGTTTGAAATTCTACAGTAAAATAAGATAGAAAATAGCAAAAAAAAGAATACTCTGCTCCGCCTGAGAAACCTCATTGAAATTAACCTGCTCCGCACGAATCCCCAGCAAATCACGGGGAAGAATAATAAGTTCATCAATCACACGGCATTGCACCTCATTTGCTTGATTAGAACCATCAAACTGAACTCCATCAACAACCGTGGCCATCTTAAGGACAACCCCCATATCCGACTCCGTATTAACTGTACCAAGAATCCCCTTATAACAAACACCATTCCGAAGAGTTACTGAAACAATACGACCCTAAAAAAAATAAAAAAAATACTATAATAACTCCAAAAATACAGCAAGATTTATAATAAGAAAGAGCATACGATCATGCATATGCTTCATTGAACTATCTGATTCAATTTTTGCTGAAAATCGTGGGGATATATGCGTCCACTTTTTATGCACTACTAAAGGTTTTCCACTAAAAATAAGCAACTCCCTATAAAATTAAACTACCTACACATTATCTACCCGCTTCCACTGCTTGTTCGACATGGTTCATCCGATATATATGCGCAGTAATACCGTCTTATATGCACTTCTCCACTGAATTTCGTAAAAAACCTAGAAAATTCTTCTGTCCTTTAAAATCCTTATATATAACCCTCTTTATAGCACTCAACCTAATATTTGACCCGTAAATTGTATATATTTTGAGCCAATCCAGACAGTTTTTCTAAAGGAAAACCTGGAAAGAGATTTTCTGACGTTGAAACGGCAAGAATGATTTTATAAATGCGAATATAACAGCACCATAGCAACGGAGTCGATGGCAACGGTAACTACAGCAAGGGTGCCTGTAGAAATAGCTCCTATAGCAACAGTCACTATATCAACGTTATCTATAGCAACCGTCGCAGCGGCAACTCTATAGAAAGGTAGCCATGGAAACCTTCTAACCTCAAATAACCAATTAACGAGAAGGTCTTCTTTAGCAGCTTAATAAAGCCTTAATCAATGGATTCTCGAGTTGAATCGTCAATTACAAAGCTTCTTTTAGCTACAAAACAACTTCTGGAAGTGCTAAATAGCTGGTCTCATGGAAATGCAGAAGAACGTGACGTTTCAGATGTTTATGTTCGACTAGGAAATGAATTTAATTTAGCAATAACAGCGTTTACTAATGCTAAAATTGATACATCGTATGTTATCTTTTTTTTCAGGAAAAGCTTATATATATTTTAGTGATCTTGATACGATTCCTGAAGATCTGCGTGTAATTCTTGAGAGTACACTTGCAGAAGAAGCATCTCCAGATGCACTTGAACATTATTTACCAAGGATCCGTTCTATTATAATTAACCTTCTTCAAGGTCTTAAACATAAACAAGCGGAATACCGTGCACGTTCAGAACATGCATATGCAACACCACATAGAAGTCGATCGATGTCGACACATTTTCGTCATGCTTATTCTTCATCGCAATCTTCAGGGAATACGATTCATGAGAATTCGTCGGAAAAAGTGACACCATCGGGAAGAGAACATTTAGTTTCTATGGAACCAGTTTCTTCAACATCTCGTAGCAGTTCGTCTTTCTCAGCAACACATCCAATTACAGAAAAACATCCATTACATGACATAACATCATCATCCCCTTTTTCTGGAACCCATCAGGCTCTTCCTACATCGATGCCTTCATCTTCTGATTTATCATCCTCACCATATCCTTTGTCTAGTACAAATGATTCTACTACCCCAAATCTCCAATCGCCAAGGAATCATCTACTTTCTTCACTTCAACGAAGCAATACACTTGATAAGCGTCCAAGGAAACGATATTCTTTGTATTCATTGCCTCATTTTTCTATGGAATATACATCACCATTACAAAACGTTTCCCAAATATCATCAGAAGACAAAAAACCTAATGCTTTTAAGGATATTTTAGAGAAAAACATAGGAACTAAGAGTATTTCTCTAAATAATCAACCTTTTTCAACATCTGGTATTTTTATATTTTTTTAATAAAAACATTCATATTTATTAGCATACGATAATATATCCACCGACAAAAACACAAATACTTATGTCCAACAAGAAATTATATCCAATAAGTTGTCAGAAAATCATTTGAAATACACACCTAAATCTACCACTTTTACACTTTTTCTGCAATATGGATCTCAAGTAAAAAAAGTCACTCATAGCAAGGATATTTCATTAAATGGTATTCGGGCTCTTTTTATTGAAAAATTCGAATTTAATCCTTGCAATGATAATTTTCCTCCTCTTTATATTCAAGATGATCGGACCAGAATTTTCTATGAACTTGAAGATGCACAAGATATTACAGATCGTAGTTTAATATCTCTCAAAATACAAGGTAATCCATTGAATAATGAAATAAAATATATATCTAAATATCTATATGAAGATGTACCAAATAAAGCACTAGAAGATGGGATTTCTTCCTTAACAAAAGAGTTGCAATCATTAAAAACATCATTTGAAGGACAAAGGGAAATGATTTCTGAGATGGCATCACGTCCATCAACTTGTGTGTCGAAAGTTACATTAGAATCTATTTCTAGACATGAAAATATTTTTTTAAGAACTCAAAAAAATCATTCAGATATTGTTAAAAATATTCGTCAAGAATTAGATTCTCTTCGTACAATCTATACTGATTTCACATTATCTATGAAATCTTCCATGATGAATATTGATTCAAAGGCTAAAAAAGTTAAGAATGTTGTTTTTGGCAAGTTAGGAGGTTCTCGACATTTTATTGAACTAGGAAAAAAGAAACTTGAAGTCGAAACACAATCTCTTGTAACGAAAATCGAAAATCTTAGTGATATTGTTAGTAGTCTTCGTATTGATGTTATCAATAGAAAAGTTAGGCCATTACCGCAGCAACTTGATGACGTACGCAAAAAAGAAGCACAAATCCAAAAAGATATGATTTCTCTTATAAACCATTTACAAAGTCTTAGTCCCTGTTGGAGGCAATTATGGGAAATGGAGCTACAAAATGTTGTAGAAGAACAGGAGTTTTTGGCACATCAAGAAAATTTTATTGAAGATTTGAAAGCAGATATTGTTTCAACAATGGAAATATTTGGGAATATTGTTACATATTCAGAGTATCAGGAAAAAAATGCTCATTTAAATTACTCTTTGTTAAAACAAGGTTCTACTGATTCATTAAACACACTTAACCTTGAAGCTCGAAACGCAAAACCAGAGCTTGAAATCAGGGCAAATACTATTCCAAAAATAGAGAAACAAGAAAATAATTTTAGATTTTATATTGATAAATTTAAATATGAGCTTGATGAATTTTTAAGTAAAACTAAATTCAAAAACGTAGGTTGTATGGATGAAGTTGAACGTATTAGAAAGGAAAAGGATGAAGGACATTTAAAAGAAATTTATTTTTCTTCAAAACAATCAAAAAAAAATATGAATGGTATCCAGAACGAACTAAATGAAGAAAGTTCATCATAACAAAAACACTACAACCTGGTTTTTTAGAAAAAAATATATCCAAAAATACACTAATTTTTCACAGATAAAATATCTAAACAATCTTATTTTGGCATTAGATACATAAGATTATATAGAAACAAATTTCTAATATGTTTTAGATATGAAAACATATTTTTTGAATCTAATATAACACATGATAAAAATCAATATATATTTTTCAATTAAAAAGAATATATATTTAACGTTTTAGTTTTCTTAATATTTTTCAATATAAAATATTTTTTTTTGGCAAGTTTAAAAATACTATTATATATAGCATAGTTACGCCTATTTGTACTTTAATTATACGTATTTAAGAGTCTCATTATATATAAACTATCAATATCGCTCGATTTTCCATCTATAAGTTACTTAAATGTTTAGAAAAAAAATACAGAAACTAGGTCAAATAACACTTGATCCTCCACATGAATTACCTATTTATCAAAAAATAGCACATGTAGTGGAAATAAGAGATCATGATTTATATCTTTGTAAAACAGCTGATGGAGAAACTCTTTTAGCTGAACTACCTGCACGTTTTCGTTGCAAAATATGGGTTAGAAGAGGCGGTTTCGTTGTAATTGATACACATGAGTTTGATAAAAAAGGCGGTAAAATACAAGCAGAAATAACCATAATTATTCAAAATGAAAAAATATGGAAAAAGAAAAAATACTGGTTAAATAACTAATTCTAAAATAAAAAACAATATTGATCATCTTTCAGGCCAGAAATATTTAAAGAAAATACGGAAAATACATATGAAATAGATCAAGTGCCTGAAACAATATCAAATGATTACCTAATAAGAAATCCTAATCAACGAAGATTTTTTCAAGAAAATAGCGACAAAGAAGAATAGCAAATTAATAAATAATAACAACTATAATTGCATATCTTTATTATACAACTTGTGTATTTTTTTTGAGGGCTATATTAGGCGCGTATAAAAATTAAAGAAATCTTATTTTAAAACATTCATTTCTATCTCTAATACTTTTAATACATTTTATTTAGCAGGATTTCTATTTTTCGGCATATTTCATTACTTAAGGTTTCTTTCATCTTCAAAATTAACATTCATTTTGTTTTTTTTTTTTCAAATAAATTTATCTTTGAATATTTTATTAAGATCATTTACAATATTAATGAAATTAGATAAAATTATTAATATATTTGTCTATCATAATTTTTTTCTAAAAGACTAAATTTTATTAAGTTACCGATTAATCATTAGTAATACATAAAATTTTATATAATGAATTCAGCTCAAGTACGTAGATTATATCGTCAATTCCTACGAATTGGTTGCCAAGCAGTATGTAATTCTATCCCAGCAAAATATATTATCAGAGATAAAATTCGAGCAGCTTTTCGAATATTACCTCCACCTACAGAAAAAAGTAAATCTTAACAAAATGAAAAAATACATAAAACACCTATTAAATATCTTTAGTTGTCAATACACTTCAATTTCTGATAAGAGCAAGCAAAAGAAAAGGTTTAGAGCATGCCATATTAAAAAATTTATGTTATCTTGATCAATCGAAAAAGCTATATGTTAAAAGGTATTTTAATAAACCAGCCATGTATTTAAGAGAAACCTCATTTTATACATAGAAGAAGAAAACCCTTATCAATGATGAAAGAAGAAGAAATGTTTCTATATAAACGAGTATATGATGAATCTGACTTAACAATATATATGATAAATGAAACATGTGGACTTTGTTTAAGATAAATACAACGAATATCAAAAGAACACCTATATCTGAGGAAACATCATTGAAGGATTTATTTTTGACTTATAAAAATAATGAAAAATATTATTCAATATTTTAGGCTAAATAAAGTTTATTTTGATATATATATTGAAGAACAGAATCTGGTAATAAATATTTAATACTCAAGCCATTTCGAATACAAAATCTTAAAAAACTTAGATTATTGAATAATAATAAAAAGATTTACCGTATTTTTGTCGAACTTATATCATTATATATCCACTGCTTAACGACAATAATATTATTCTGGTACATAGAAAGAATATTGTGTTTAGAAATTTCCTTGCTTAATAAGCATTATTATATAAAAAAGACTATATTACACTTAATACATCAATTTCCCCTCTTTCAATAACAAAGCATCCATAATACTTAAAAATATGATGTAGCTATTTAGTTAAATTTGCGTCTAATAATTTAGCCTATTTCTTACGTCTCTTTCTTCCCAAACAGGTTGTGTCATCATACTTTGAAGCAAATCACTTCCTATTAATAACATAATTTTCACTTTTTTTTTTTCTCCCGTTTTTATAAAAACCCCACCTCTTATTTTATTGATCTCATAGTTAAAATGATCCAATACAATTGCTGTGCGTGTATGTCGTTTTTGTAACGCTTCCCATGCATCAATCATAAGCCAAGAACTTGTTTCTTCACAAGCAAGCTTACACATCTGGAGGCGATCTTTCGATTCAAGTAATCCTTCTTTTTTATAGTCATCTGCCACTCTAAAAAAATTAACTAATTGCCATCCAATTCATATCATATTACGGGGAATAATAACCACCCAAGACCTCCATTCCCCATTTCTTGCAAGCAACATCCGAAGCCATTTCAAACATGCGAAGATGAAGATATGTAATGGGAGAAAAAGACCCACATGCAATTAAAACAAGAGGTATTTTTGTATCATCTAATAAATCAAAAAAAAAACTTAAATAATGAAAAAAACCTTGCATTTCTAATCTCAATTTCCTATCACAAAACTCATATCCATCTATAGATGGGAAATATATACTATTTTTTTCATCAAAAATATCAATTGTATCTCTATAATCCAAGCATTGTTTTTCCATCAAATTAAGCCCGTTTTTTAAGCTTTTTTTTCACAGAAGAAAAGTAAAAAACAACAATACCTATTAATACAGTTACTTTTATTATAAAAAACTCTAAAATATCTTAAAATAAATACCTATTTTGCTTAAATCTTATCAAATCTATATCGTAATTACATCTCTATATCCTGTTGCCATAGGCAACAGGTAACTACAAAAAAAAAGATAGCAAAAACTAAGTCAATGAACCTCTTAAGAAAGCTATTTAAACAGACAAATTATCCTTTAAATAGACATATTACGATAAGGCCTTCAAATATTTCGTTTTTTTCTCGTGAAATTTGCCAAGAAACTCGCATTAATATTCAAAATCTTTTAAAAGGTTCGATTAAACAATAATATCAGGGTTTTAAATATATTATTAGCATCACCAGTTGTCCTTTTCATGAAAGGAACTCCTGAAAAGCCTTTATGCGGGTTTTCTAATGCAGCTATCCAAATATTAAATCTCTTTTCAATTAATCCGGCTAAATTTCTGACATTTAATGTATTGGAAGATGATCGAATAAGACAGGGTATTAAAGAATACAGTAATTGGCCGTAAGAATAAATCTTTAGATATTTTTTATTTCTTATAGAGCTAGAACAATACCGCAGCTTTATATTGATGTAATAATTTTTCTCAAAAATTTATATAAGTTTTAATGTATCCAGAATGAATTTATTGGAGGAAGTGATATTCTTCTTGAAATATACAAAAAGTATATTTTTTAATTGGATAAAATGTTTTTTTAATAGAGTATAGTGGAGAATTAAAAAAACTTCTTAATAAGGCAGGCGTTTTATTAGAGTTAGGTAAAATACAGATTATATAGTCATTTATGAAGCCTTATATATGATATATATAGATAATTCGTAGTTTTATTAATATAACGATAATTCTACATTTTTTTCTTTTTAAGATAAATCGCATTATTTTTTAGAAATTAAAATCAACTTAACTCTCCAGGGACTTTACGCCCTACACGAAAAATTGGCACTCCTCTTTTATATCTCATTAATCTTTTATCAATAATGGCTTCTCTAAAACCAAGCTGGCTATTACTTGTAACAACAGGAACCATTTCTCGAGGAATCAAATTTAATATATCAAATGAAGGATCATCTTTATTTTTATCTTCATTTACATCATAAAACGGCGTTTTAGGTGTCGAAATCTGACGATGAACATGTACGTATGTTAAATCACATATATTGTATCTTCTGCGATATTTCTTGCCTAGTCTTTGCCCATCTTTAATTTCTACAGGTAATCTTGGAGCAGGTCCAAATAAATGAGGAAATTCCCGTGACTGAGTCATATCATTTAAAGAATGTTCATCCGTATCTTGATAACGCCTCCTCTTACGTGAGAGCCTTTTGGATTTGTCATGCAAATCCAATACCTGGGAGGGATTAATAAAATTTGTAGTTTTTTTTTTCGAAATCAAAGAATCTGAACACTCCTTGATATTTTTTATATATTTTTTGGGAGAATTAGATGAACGTATGTATCCATGTTTTTTTAAGAATCGTTTCTTATTGCGAAATGGCTTCAAAACATAAGAAACCGCAATATTATTCGTTATTTCTTTAAACTTTGATGGTTTGCTACTAGCGGATGTCTTAATGACAGGCTTTCTTTTTGGACTTCCTCGCCTTTTAGATGCAGTTAAATATATTTTTTTTTGTTTTCCTACTTGTAATTCATAACCAGAGTCTTCAACATCTATACAACTATCTTGATCACCCTCTAGATCTATAGGATCAATATCTATATCATTAAGACATTGTTTGTGAAGCAATTCATCATTTAACTGTTTCTCATTAACTATATCTTTAATATCACATTTAACTATATCATCTTGATTAAGAATTGGATTATCATAATATAATATATTTTTTGGACAATCACTAAAAGTGTTTTTAGATATATTTTTTCTCAAATATGCATCAGAATTCATATCTTTAGAATGATATACAAAATCTTGAATATTTTTTCTAGAATTATTCATTGATGGATATAACTTGTTATTAAAAAAACAATCTTCCAATATATCCGATTTTACTTCTTTTCTTTCATTTGAATTGAATGTAGAATAATCTGTAGATTTTACTTGATTGTAAAATCTATAAGTTGGTGATTTTTGAAAGTTTTTTTCCATATTTTGATCTAAAAACTATAAGGCAACATATTCTTAAAATATATAGTTAAAAGAACCATTTTCTACATATTCATTAATTCCACATTTAGGACATTGTTTTAAAAAATTGTTTTTAATAAAGTTTCCAAATAAAGAACCATAACATGACTGATTACAATGAAATTTGCATATAGAGCAGCATAAAAGTATATTTGAGGAAATGCAAGGCTCGTTGTAGGATAATCCATATGAAGTTTTTACGGAATCAATTCCATTTTCAGGTACTATTTTAAGTTAGATTCCTTTAACATGGTATAAAACATATGTATAAATAAACCTTGATGTAATGAATATAAATCGTTTTTTGAGATATCAATGTCGTTTAACATACTATTTCTATAATCTTTTTGCCAAAAATATAAAGCATTATCTTCCTATAAAAATATTAATATGACACTTTAAAATTTATGAATTAAGTCAAGTCTTTATAAAACATGCTCAGGTCTTTTCAGTTGATCCAATCTATCCTTTTTATAAAATTAAGGGTTCTTGTTTCCCTGTATAAAATAATGTATGCCATAGCCTTATGGATTTTAAGATCTAACATCTATAAACCCCAGTTAATGGCATCCTCATAAAAAACTAATATAGCTCTATGAAAATATAAGGTAATATACGCCTTATATATGCTTTTTTTGCATTTTTAAGACATGCATTTATACATAACCTTTAAGAACCTGTCATACGGTTCTTTTTCTATGTTAAACAGAAAAAAATGAACAAAAAGTAATAGAAAACAAGAACCTCATTAATTTCATACGTCAGACCTTTTACCATGATCATCCCAGTCTGCACGCTAGCTATTATAATTTAATTCTCATTTACTTCCCTTAAGACCTTTTTTACACAACAAAACTCTCTCTGAGTTCCATAGATCAAGAGAAACTTCTTTTTCTATAAAATCTGATACCCATTTATGAGTCATAGTCTTTAAAAACCAAAGTTATCAAATAAAATAAACTATCATCTTATTTTTCAAAAATTCTTAACAATAATTTATATATAAAAGCAATTCTATCAAAGTATTCACAATTCTCTTTTATTTTATATATTTTTATCAATATAGAACCCTTTTTCTATACTTTTTAACACATATTCTTCATGTCATTTTCATTCATGATCTAAATCTCAAATTTACCTAAAAAAAAGCGCTTTTTTCTCGTTTTTTTTTTCCCTGAAAGCTCACTTCTTCTTTGTTTCTCCTTATATCCTAATATCTTTTATTTTCTCCTTCTTTCACTGCTTTAAACCCACTTTTTGATTATTCTAATTTTCCTTGATCGGTCTTTACTGCTTGAGCATGCACGCACACAGTATTATTCTTGTTACATCAGGATATGACAAAACAATTAGATTCTGGGAGGCATTGAGTGGTATTTGCTTAAAGACAATCCAACATGCAGATTCACAGGTCAATCGTCTATGTATTTCTCCTGATAAACGACTTCTTGCAGCAGCAGGTAAAAAAAGAAAGAAAAAGAGGGTATATTGAAGAAATATATGAAGGAAATCGTCATATACGTCTGTATGATATTCAGACAATAGCACCGAATCCTATTTTGACTTTGGATGGACATGCAACAAACGTTACAGGTGTAGCATTTCATGGAGAAGGTAAATGGGTGGTTACAAGTGGAGAAGATGGATCAGTAAAGCTTTGGGATCCACGAACAACATCAGTTCAAAGGCATTTTAAACATGGAGCAGCAGTAAATGATGTTGTGGTGCATCCGAATCAAGGGGATTTAATTAGCTGTGATCAAACAGGATGTGTTAAATTATGGGATTTAAAGGAAAATTTATGTACAGGAATGTGGGCAAATGAAGATGAAATAGCGATTCATACGATCTCAGTGGCAAGTGATGGGTCTATGTTGGTGGCGGGAAATAATGAGGTTAGTTATTGAAAATATAATCTAGAAGAAAATAAAGGTTAAAAATGCATGGAAAAGTATAAAACTTCAGGTTTTAGATTAAAAAAGTGTTTTTAGGGGATAAGAAGAATAGTTAATGATTTAAATAAATGAATGATATTGAGGATGAGCATTAATTATAAAAATAGGGAACATGTTTTGTATGGCATACAGAATCAAATGATCTTCAATTGCAAGAGCCGGATCATAAGTTTCAAGCACACAAACGTTATATTACACGCTGTCTTCTTTCACCGGATGCAAATCATTTAGCAACATGTTCAGCAGATGCAACGATTAAATTATGGAGTACAGAAAAGCTTGAATTCTCTATTGAACGACAACTTGTAGGACATCAACGCTGGGTCTGGGATTGCGCATTTTCAGCAGATTCAGCTTATCTTGTTAGTGGTAAGTTTTTTAAAAGCAAATAATATTGCTGTAAATTAGGCATTGTTTTTAACTAATCTGCAGCATCATCTGATCATGTAGCACGTCTCTGGGAATTAAGTTCGGGTGAAACAATTCGTCAATATAATGGTCATCATAAGGTAAATATTTTCTATTTTTTCTATTCTAAATATTTTTTATAGGCAGCTGTTTGTGTTGCACTTAATGATAGACATTTGTCTTAAAAAAGAAAAACATAGAAATATATGAGAAATATGAAAAGGGTTTAAAATTAGCGATTAAAACAAGCTATCTACATTATCATTTTAAGAACATACAGGTTGTTTTGTATATACATAATTTTGAAATCAAATTTTATATGAATTATATGGGATTAAAGCTACTAAAATATTACAAAAATATCCGTATCTATTAAAAATGATCCATAACATTACTAAAAACACAAACATACATAATTTTAATAAAAATTAAAAGATTTATTTCACAAATATTGATTTACAATCAATTAGTAGTTATGGAAACTCTTATTTTAATATACTTTTATATATAAAGATGTATATAAAGAAATATTTATATAGAATTATATTGATTTCTCTTTAAAGAACAAATTGTTGAGTCTCTTCAGTCAATTGCTCCATCATATCGGACACCCGCATGTTCTTATTTGTAATATCTCGTCGAGTTGATAAACAAGTCTCTGAAGATACCTCTTCGGATGTAAATATATCTATACCTGGTTCTTTTAAGTGTCCAAGATCACATCTATTTTTCATATTAATATATAATTCATACCAATAATTTAAAATTTTAATATAACCTCATTAAAAAAGCATCTTCACCATCTGCATAATATTCTTTTTCAACACCTACTACCCTATACCCATATATATTAATAACTATGAAAGTTAATAATATTAACATACACAAAATTCAAGTTATTCCGATACAACTTTAATGCTGCACGATTTGTTTTACGTACATGTAAAGAAACATATTTAGCTTGAAAATTATCAACCATTGCTTGTTCTATACATAAATTAAAAATACAAACACTCCTACCTGAAAAACTTACGACTTTGACGCATTAATTGTGCAGCAATACCAAGTCGTCGATAATTACGAAGAACACTTAACGATGTAATATGTCCTTGTTGAGATGTATCATCCGTTTCATCCATTTTAGCTAAAACATATCCAATAATACGATTTTTTGCATTAGTTGCTACGTATGATAATTGAGGCCATGTTAGAAGATGGTAAAGATCTATTATATTCATTAATTAAAAAATAAAAAAAATAAAAAACTATTAAAATATATGACTTTTTCATATAAATATTCAATCATTTATAAAGTTACAACCAGTTGTCATATAACAATCTAGTTGTCTACACAAGTATATCATATTCAACTATTCGGACACCCAGGTGTACAGAACTTTCTATTAATTATCAACTTACAATATTTCATTTGATAATTCTCAGGTAAATTTGTAAGGTTTACCTGCTGCATGCCCGGAAGATCTTCTACTCTTGCTAATCGAATCTAAAAGAAATTAATTAGAACATTTCTAATAAATTCATTTATATTCAACGCTTTACATTCATTTTTAAACATTAAACAGTTTTTAAAGCATAAACTGATCTAAATCTTATACAATAAAGTGCTTTATATGTTCTAGCAGTAATTTGGCGGGCTATATGCGCTATATATGCGTGCTAGATACGTTCTGTATGCACTGAATATATTAAGACTTATTAAAATTAGCGATTTCGGGACACAAGCGATATTCATTAAATCAACCTCATATTTATTTGATAAAAAATTAATAGTAAAAAATAGAAAGAATTGGATTTTAAAAGACCAAAAACCTTAAAAAATAAATAAGAACAGACAGTTTTTATATTAGCTTTTTTGAAGGGGCTTAAACGGTTAATTTTTGGGCGTTTCATATTGATTTATTGTTAAAAGACAAGATGAAACAAAAAGCTACATATTCTCGAAAAAAACAAACAATTACCACTGATATAAAATCAGATATCCGAACCAAAGAGAGCCCATGCGAAGATCTGGGTTTTAATATGGATATACCAAACAATCCAGTTCTTCCTAGACGTACATACTTACACAAACCAATTCCTGCACGTATTCTTTCAGATAAATCAAATATTGTCGATAAACCAGTGAAAAATTTAGTATCAAAAGAATCGGTGTTGTTACATAAACAAAAAAAGAAGGAAATAGATAATTTGCCGAAAAAACGAACGATTAATCGCCTCAGCAAACCATCTCCCTCGAAAAAGACAATTCCAAAGGCCACAGTTCCTATTTCGAAGCTTAGAAAAAAATGTCCCTTGCCTTTAGATAAGCAACCGCCCATTTCCACTAATAAAAAACGAAATCTATCAACTATAGCTTGCTTAGATGATTCAACACAAGCAAAAAATAACCCACATATTGATATAAATGATCTTTCTGCTAATATTTTGGATGGATTATCATCATTTCAACAGCTATCATCAGATGCTCCACCAGTTGCAACATCAACGCCAAAAGAAATAAAACATACAAAAGAAATGGCACAGCCAACACTTAATATTTCCGAAAACATTTCATCTGATATATCATCTTTATTGCTTTCAACTTCTACAGAAAATATATCAGAACAAGAAATGCTAAAGCTTGCTTCATTGAATCTCAATACAAATAAGCCAATAAAACAGTCTCGTAATAAACTTAAAAAAAAAGGAATGTTTGTAAAGTATCTAGCGCAACCTATTACTTGCGATAGTAGTCTTGACGATGAAATTATCACTAAATTCTCATAAATTTAATGCAACAAACTATATATAACTAAGTCTTAATAAGTTGTGATAAAGGATTTACTAAACAAAACGCTATTTATTTATACCATTAATTCAGATAAACGTTTCTTTTACTTATAAAATATCTATTATTCAACACTATAGGTTTCTTATTATCAATTTATCTGTTGTATATTACTATCATTTGATGAATGGTTATTCAATTGTTCTCTGTGACATATTAAACATATTTAAACATATATAAATAATCGTACCTCCATCCATCTTTTAAGTCTAATGGAATTCTACTTAATTTTATTCTTAAGATTGGGACAATTCTAATGAATATTAATACATGAAAAACAAAAGCATTTTTTACTTAGTTTTTATATTTTTTACACAATCTTTTGCACATCCAATTTCCAGGTCCAAAAAACGTCTAAAAACATTTTTGAGACATAGAACACTAATAGGCTCTGGAAATACTCTTTGCTGGTCATACTGGCTGTATGAGGCACACTTACATTAATATTATCAAGTTGATTATATTGCCAAAATGGAAGTTCTGCATCTCTTAATCGCCTCTTTAGGATTTCAATGATCGTCACTGCTTTTCCTATACTTAAACCCTGTGCTTCAATGGTGAATGTGTTTTCAAATTCTTGTTCAGTTAAGACATATAATCCGCGAGAAACAATACTACGAATTTTGCTAGATTTTTTTACATAAACTTTATTATTTGTTTTTATTGTTGAAGGAGACTGTGTTTGCATGTCTTTCTGGCTCATTAATTTATATAATCCATTTAATTTTTTTCAAAATATTGATTAGATTTCATATTAAACATTTAACGGTTTGCTATTTGTCTAACGGATAAAATGAAAAATGCTTAGAACTAGAGTAATTGATAATTTATAAATTAATTAGAAAGTATTTATTATATAAATTATTTTATTTTTTTTTAAAAAATAAAATAATTTATAAAAATAACAAATATAGTTCATAAATGGATTAAAATTAAATTAAGCTTTATTTATTTGGAGATTTATTCCTTAAAAAGATCTAAATGTTTAAAAACATTTCAATCCATAATTGAAAATAATGAAATATATTTTTGTATGTTTTATCAAACTTAAATTACTTTAATAAAGAATATTTAAAAAATCATATATTTATATTGTGAACTATATATCTCCAAATTTGAATAAAAACTTATATTTAATTTGTATTTTCTGTTTTTCCTCTAGGATATTGAAGTTTTTCAACTTTAATATCATCACCAATCAATTGATATACATAAAGTACAAGAACTGTTGTCTGAAGACTCATTAAAACAAATGTTGGTATCGGTTCTTCTGTTTCCCAGCCTGTATATAAAGCACCTGTTGCGCTACCTGGATTAACAAATAACTTTCCATCCCATTCATAAGCTTCAAATCGATGTGTTCCACCCCAAACAAGCACGTCAACATCCATTTGTCGGGCAACCATATGTAATGCGTCGCTATCAAGTCTAGGAACAACTGTATGTCCATGAATCAAGCCAATTCGAAAGGAATCAATTGCAATCACTCTTGATAAAGGCCATCCTCTGCTCTACGGATATCTTTAGTATTTAAAAACTAAATGTAAAATTTTCAAATATTCAACTCAATTTAAAATTAATAGATTATATAGTTTTAACGTGTCTACTTTGCTTTTTTATTCATTTTCTATTTTTTCCTCTACTTACTTGATCAAAATCGCCTTTAACAAAATGTACATCTGGTGCAACTGTTTGCAAAAAGTCACTTGTCTCATGATCAACAAGATTTCCTGTACATAAAATCTGTGAAATACGGCCTGGTACTAATAATTTTTTTAACTATAAATAATTTTATAAGAAATCATATTTTAAATATAATATTAAAAGATATTATATTAAGATCTTTATATTGCTTACCTTGACAGGAATATCAAGTGCACGAGATGGAATATGAAGATCTCCAATCAATAAGATCAACATTATCGAGATATTATGATAGGACTAAAAAATATAAAACCCTCGAAAAATACAATCAAGAAAAATATCAAGAGGTATTAGGTAGAAAAGATCCATAAAAATACAATATATTAAAAAGTATTAAATAACTAATGCATGTGATTTTGGTACAGAAACATTTTTTGAAAAATACTTTACAGATATGTTATTTGTTTGATATGAATCATAATGCTTGAGTTTTAAAAAATAAGATTTCACTTTTTTTTGTTTTTAGCTTTTAAAAAGCATTAAATGATATTTTTCATCCATTCTGTTCTTCTCTTTGTTCATATATTTGTGCCAAAACACCTTCAAAACCCTCTCGTCCTGTCCTAGCGTTTTTAGAAAACCGTCGTACTGACCATTCTTCCATTTTTGTATTAACAAGTCGTGTAAAACTTGCCATTGCTTGAAATGTTGCTTCCTGTTCAAATAGGGTTTTATGTTTCGGATCATCTGGTGCTGGCCGATATACAACTTGTTCTTCAACTGAAACAACATGCGAAAAAGTCAAGTTAGCCGAACGTATAATTAACATTTCACGATTCGTACGAGGATCAACTTCACTAACTTCGCGTACATATGAATCCCCTCCTCCTACAAATTTAAGAATCCAATGAGGTGCTGATTGACGACAAGTAATAAGTCGTTCTGTACGCAAAACACCTGTTTCCGGATCGATTTCTCTACGTAATGTGTCAATCGAAACAACATGTGTTGCTCGTTCATTCGGATATTTTCTCCAATGTGCAATACTAACCTACCCTTCTGTATGAGTTTAAACTTAAAAAAAAACATTTTTTCATAATATTAGAATAAAGATGCACATATTTTCCAAGGTAAAAAGCGTAAAGATATTATAAAACACGACATATACTTTATAGTGTGATTAACCCCATAAATGTCTCATTAAAAAGTTGATATATAATTTTTGATAAATATTTAGTTTAACTTTTGATAATAGAAAAGAAAAAGGCATTTATGTAAATTTCAAAAAAATAACCGAGTTATATGCGTATTATATGCGTTATATATGCACACCATATACTATGTATATCTGTATTATACACATCATATACCTACCATATACGTACTATATGCACACCTTTATTCCCCGATAAAGTCGTTTTATGCTATCTAATCTTACCTGATGCCATGGATAATCAAAAACAAATGTCGTTCCAAAAAATTTCATTAAGTAATTAAAGAATAAGAAGCAAAAATAGACTTCAAATGTCAAGATCAAGTCTTAACAGAAGGTCAAAACTAAAACACTATTTTACAGCGAATAATTATTTTTAAAACGCTGTTCAAATGAGTATAAAATAAAAGGGTTAGGATGAGGATGGTCTATCCAATAAACTCCTTTTATTCTATATTTCTTGCTTGAAAGTAGCTTTTTTAGAAAAAATGAATACGGGATTCGATTTATATTCAAATGCGAACGTTGAAAATTATATATTGAAAATTAGCTTTATAAGTAAAAAATATTTTTATGCAGCAAAAATAAGGTAAATTATGATAGAATGAAAAATATTATTTTATGTAGAAAGAAGGAATCTTTTTGGATAAAAAATGAAGAAAAATTAAATTAAGATAATATTATGAAAATATATATTTTTGAGAAAAATATATAAAATTTACTTTCTAAATCGTCTTTGAAGCTTAAGGATATCGGTTTGAAGATCAGTAGTTTTAGTTTCTAAATCATCAAGAGGAGTTTCTTGAATACGTACTTCAGAAATACGACGTTCTTGTTCAAGGCGATCTAAATGTTTTTTTGCATCTAAAAGAAGTTCAATAGAACGCTGAAGTTGTTCGAATTTAGCGCATGTTTTTTCAGTTGGCATGGTTAGTCGAGTAGCCAGACCCAACTCAGTTAATATTGTCGAAATTTTTGTTGCAACGGTAGATTTGGCCATACTTAACCGTGTGGAACGCAAATAAATACCCGCTTGCAATTTCTCATGCCATGATACACCATAAATATTCTCTGTGAATTAATATTAATGAAGATTTTTATATTTATATTATTTGTTACCTTCTCGAGATGAAAGTTTCCTGATTTTTTTAAAGATAGCATCTTTTTGTGAACCTATTGACCCCGAAAAAGTATGAGAAGAAGTATTTTCCGAGTTTTTTCTTTTTTTATTTTTATCAGCAATAAGTATATTATTTGTAAGAATTCCTAATCCTTGACTAGATGTATATTTAGCGATACTTCCGTTAGGTACAGGTGCTTCTAAAAGACGTAGCAACTCTTTTCTTTCTTGCGCCATTTTTTTCCTGTAGGCTTCTATTCTTTGTGATTCTATAAATAATGCTTCTTCTTCTGCAATCTCTTCTGGTGTTCTCATAGCAAGACTTGCAAGATGTTTTTTTCTAGAAATCTCTTTTTCTTTAAGGCTTTTAGCCCAAAATAAACAATAAAAAATATAAATACCTTTGTTATAATATAATTGATTCAATTCTTCTGTTTGTGTAGGTGTCATCATCGCAATAGGTGTTCTTGCCATAAGAATTTTACGGACAACTGTATAATATCTATCCTTTATATCCTCCATCGTCCTTTGGTTCCCTTTATAATCATATCTATCAGCAATAACGACAAAACGTAGATCATATTCTCTGCAAAGGGAAAACAAATAATCCGTTTCTTCTCGAGACCAATCCAATGCTAACAAAATTAATAAAAGATATTTATCCAATAAAAATAACCCGTAAGATTTAGAGCATATTCCTCATTCGAATAAGCTATAATATTAACTTTTTTATTCAATTTTTCAAATCGATATTCTTCTACTTAAAATAAGCCTCTCAAACCTAAAATAGACATATAAACACACCATTTTCACCATCCCCTGCCCTTACCCAATGACTAAATAGATGTCCGTCTTTCCTGGCTCCATTAACAAATGATGTCCAAACCCTATTAAACATTTTTTAATAATAAACATCGTGAATTCTTAAATCTACCATGATGCAGCTTTTTGCCGAAGTTTCGGCCTATTTTTGAACTTATTCTGAAGTATTGCAATCGGTGGAGTATTTTCTCCTAAAAGTGAATATAATTCTCGTGTTATAAATTCCGATTTTTTCTCTGAATGTATTTTCGGTTTTACCCGAGGTACAGGCTTAGAAATACCCATTTCTTGTAAATTAAAAACATCCCTTATATCAGAACTCGTCATTCTATAATATAATTCACTTTATAATCTCAAATATTACGTATTTATCATGCTTTAGGAGCTTTTACTTCTTTACAAATATATGTCGTCAGAAGCCTGTCGTCCGTTGTTGCTCGGGTAACGCGTGCTCACATGACTTTTGTTGACATTTTGAATACTGAAATTTCTAATAAAAAAAAACAATCTTTAAAAACTTATTTTTTTTTAAGAAAATAAGATGTCTTCTTCTGAATCTGTTTTTTTTCCTGCCAATTGTGAGAGCTCATTATTATCAACCCTTCCCTCTATAAACTTATCATTTGATGAAATGAAACATAAAATGGCACAATTTACACTGAAGTTTGATAAATTTATTATGAATATGAGGGAAAAGAAATTGGAAGAAAGAAATCGCTATATGAAAAGTATAGGAGAGGATCGAGGTTATTATTGAATATATGTGGATAGAGTTTGATATTAATAAATCAAGAAATACAGAAAAATCTTCAAAAACAAATAAATGATTGTAAAGAGATAGAAAAAAATTCAATTGAGGGTAGATGATTGTTGTATTTTTGTTTTCATGAATGTTGAAAGAATATTAGCTGTTGAGAAAGAAAAACAGGAAGTAATTGAGGCGGAACGATCAATTGCAGAATTTAAAGAAAAGAAAGCGATGATGACAGAGAAACGGGAATATTTATTGCAACAAATACAAGAAATAAGTCAAGCAATTCAAAAAAAACGGGAATGTAAGAATTAAATTGTTAAATTAATGTATTTAACAAGTTAGTTCGGACTAATATGAGACATATGTTCATTAAGCAGGCAGCTAAAAACCAACCGGAGCTTCGATTTTGGGAAGAGCATTTGGCTATGAAGATTAAAGGTGTTAAAGATGATTTTCTTAAAATTATTTTTACACATATTGATGAAAATGATTGGATGAAGGAATTTTATTTCATTATTAATCTTTCAAAAAGGGAATATGAGGGTAAGATCCTTTTCCTATGTATTTTTTTTTCATTAGAAAAGTTACTGAATGTTCACCCGCATTGGCAACGGTTCATGAAATTGTGTCAAAATTAAACAGTTCTAGAGATTTTTTTGAATTTCTTAAAAATATGAGAAAGGCTTTTAAAAAATCTATTCAACTATCTTAGATTATTACAAAAATTATTTTCTACTTTATATTCGTTGATTCATGGTATGGTTATAAAAAATATTATATGGACAAAATGAATCGTTTAAATATGAATTTTCGTAATAATAGTTTACTGACACTTATTAAACCTTTTGAAGCATCAAGGGTAATCGTTTCATGTATATCTCAATCGTTTAAACAGGTTAATCTACGGTTTACTCATCAAAATACATACTCATGGCCTAATACTCTATCACGAAAAAGAAAAATTGTATATGTAATATCAGGAATTACAATATGGGCATTTGTGCTTGGAGTTTCTTTTAATTATCAACGTTATTGTTCTCCGGTTATTTCTTATCTTATGTATGAGCTCAAACGTAGTCCGACTGTAGAAACATATCTTGGAAAAAATATTGATTTCTCATCTAAATGGCCCTGGATATATGGAAAAATTAATAATGTTAAAGGCCATATTAATATATCATTTCGAGTGAGTGGTTCTAGTAAGTGTTCGCTTGCTATATTATAATGAAAGGTTAAAAATTATATAGAAGATAGTGCAATTGTTAAATTTAAGAGTGTTCGCAAAGAAAAGGGCGTGGACTGGGTAACATTGGAGTGGACTATATCTCCAAGTAAGAATCATGAAGAAATATCTCTTTTGGATGAACTAAATTTACTAAGTAAATGATTATTTAGTTCTCTTGAATGAATTCTATGTAAGAATGAATAGTAAAAATAATGGTTAAAAATGTTATTTTTGATTATTCAGAATAACTCAGATTTCAAATTTTAGTTTTGTAAATACATTATTGATGTGTTTTTTGGTAGTAAATTTATATTTAATAAATTTCTTAAATTTTTATATAGTGTCTTGTAAGAATATAGCATCCAATTTGTTTACTGTTATTGTTGTATTGTGTATGATATACGATATTATCTTGAAAATAGAATTATATGTTAATATTTTTAATATATTTATATAAACTGTTATGATTATATTATATATTTCCACAAGAAATTTTAAATTTTTCTTGAATTGTATAAAACATTGAAAGATTAAAAAATGTAATTATTCTATGAATTATATTATTTTAAATTATCATTAATTATTCAATAATATTTTAAATGTTTTTAGCTATTTTAAATTAACAAAAACATAAATTTTGATATAAATTCTTAAAAATATAATATATTAGCTTAATTTTTTCAAATAATTTTAATCAAAAGCAAAATAAATTAGTCAAAAAACCATATTCTTAAAGAATACAAAAATTCTTTTTATATTAAATCATATTTAATATCTGTCTATAAAATTAATAGTCCTAATAGTTAAATTATTTTTTCCTAAATTAAATTCTCAAGTTTAATATTTAAGATTTTATAACTTATAGTTTTAAAAACTATAAGGATTTCTAATTTTAAATATCATATATCAATATGACAAAAAAGAAACATTTCATTTTTAAAAAGTCTCATCAACCTCATGTTATTAGATAAATATTAAATATAATTTTTTATTCATAGAAAAAAATAAATCCTTTTTCAAAAATAAATAACGTTCACCTATAAAAATATAAAGTAGAAATTCCTCAATTAAGAGAACCAATATTTAAATTAATACACAATTTAGTATAAAAACAATTTTACATTCAAAACCTATTTTATAGGGTTGAAAAATTAACATATAATATTTAATAATGAACCCTTTAAATAATTTTTAAATCAAAAATATCTAAAATATATACCTAATATACCTAGGAGCCTTTTGAAAAATCATGCATTTCTGACTTTTCAGAATACTTATGAAATGTTGAAGGATTTTGTCTTAAAAAGCCATTTCGCCTATTTTCCGAAAATCTTCCATAATTAGTTGACAAAGACCTTGGAATATCCGAATAACTGTACAACTTATTAGAAAAATTCTCTTTAGCAACATTTGAGTCGTAATCTAGAAGAGCTGCATTTCGATTGAAAGAATCCATGGTATTTTGTGAATTTAAAGAATAAGGAGAAGTACTATAATTTGAATTTTTGCTAGTATTAAAAATTTGCGCGTGCAAATTTCTAGATTCAAGAGATTTGGAATTTTGAACCTCATCTTTGAAAACTATATTAACTAAATTACTTAAACAATTTTGTGACTTACACTTAGAAGCTGCTAACTTTGAATCTTTTTCAGCATTGTCTCCAGAAAAATAGTAATCCGGTTTTTGATATGCAGGAGATACATTAGTAGATGATAAACTTTGATTTCTTGAAAAAGGTGATTTATTATTAGTAGGTGTACCTGTAGCACCCCATCCTCTGTATCCTCCTTTATTAAAATCAGTTTCTCCAACACTATATGATTGATCTTTTTCTGAATAATTAGTTCTTTGGACTCCTTCCGAGATATCATTTATAATAGGAGTAATTTTATAGTTTCCAACTTGTTTAGGAGGAACTTTAGAAAATCGTCTACGTCTTCGACACCAAAACCATATCAAGGCAATAAATACAATAATAAAAACAGCCGATGGTATCAATATCGCTATTAAAGATCCTTCTCCAAATAAACTTTTATTTTTAGTAGTCTCCATCTCATAATGATGAATATCCATTGAATCTGTTTCCACAGCTGTAGAAGTAGCAGAAGCTGAAGAAGAAGTTTCTGCAAGAGTTGTAGTATTATAAGATTTATCAACAGTTTTTGTTAATAAATTTGTCACAGTATTTGTTGCAGTATTTGTTATAGTAGTTGTCAAAATACTTGTCGAAATACTTGTCGAAATACTTGTCGTAGTGCTTACTGAAACATGCGTTTCAATCTTTAATACTGTAGTTAATGCAGAATACAGCGTTTTTGTAACTACAGAAATAGTTTTATTTTGTATAGATTCAATCTCTTTATTATTTACAGGAGTTAATGAAGTTCCATTAGCATTGGGACTCTGCAAAGACGCATTAAATGAATTAGCTGAACCAGGTATAGATGTTTCATTGGATAATTTGTCTGAAAGAGTTTTGTTAGATAATTTGTCTGAAAGAGTTTTGTTAGATAAATTATTCTCAGAAGCTATTCCAGACGAGTTATTTCCATGCCCTGTCATATTAGATGCTTTTTGTTTAGGTGGAATATCAGGCCTTGTTTGAGTTGTATTATGTAAATTCGGCATCGTTATTGTTTTGTTATTTACATTCAAAGTTAAATCGGTTGAATTTCTTAAAGAGACGTCTGATCTTTTAGATACAACAAAAGATAATTTAGCTCTTTCCCTCATTTTAGATGAAGATTCTTGTATATTCTTATCCGACTTTAAAAGCACTGGAATAGGCTTTAATACAAATATTCCAAGTAACAAAATCAATAAAGATGGAAAAAAATGCATGAAAAATCCCAAAAATATATTCGCTCTTCTTAAAACTAGACTTACAGATCCTATTAACAAAAAAATAATTATTTTCTTAATATAAAAAGCCATAAAAAACAACTTATCATCTTTTAACAAAAAAATACTATAAAGATCGTTCTCTATAGATAGTAGTTGACCTTTTAGAAAATATTAAAACACTTATAAACAATAATTTTTTTGTTCTTGTTAAATACTCCGACTTAATATATTTTTCTTAAAAATATAATTTTTAAGAAAAATATTAATAAAAATACTATTATTTATTAGCCTAAGCATTAACAAAAAAGTGCTATATTTTAATAAAAATACCATTTATATTTAATATTAACTTAGTTTCTTAAGAAATATTTAAAATTTAAGACGAATCCGATATTTTATTCCAGAAAAAAAATAGATAAAAATAAAATTTAAATTCAGCCTTTTTAAATGAACCTGTATACTTTCTTAATAGTACTTAAAATAGTTTTACGTTAAAAGTAGTTTAATATAAGTTAATAAAAAGATGAATTACTATATAAATTTTTTAGTTGAAAAAATAAAAAAATTAATAAGATTTTAAAATGTAAAACACAGATAAAAAAACCCGGGATATTTTATTGTATAAGCCAGAAATATTTTGAAATATATAAATTGTGTATGAATATCCCTGTGTACGTTTTCCGGGTTAAGATAGAAAAAAATATAAATATATTTTTGAATATTGTATGTGCTGAATATTGAAGTGAATTGTAGATGAAGAAAATGATTTAGAGAGTTGAAATTTTAAAAAGATGATTAAAATGCATACCATTTATTTTTTGAGTCTTTTGAATAGTATCCAGAAAAATTTAAATTATAATTTCTGATTTGTAATGAAATTTATAATTGAAATCTTATGTAGTGATAAAACATGTGATGAATTCAATCGACAATATATTTTTAAAAAAGAATTTAGGTGATACTTTTTATAAATACTTTCAAAAATATATGAAAAATCTAACTTATATATTTTAAATATCATGTATATTTAATTGTTTACCTAGATTTTTATAGTTAGAATTATTTTTGAGAAATCTAGTCATTATATTTATAAATATCTCGTAATATTTGATATATTCATTAAGAAGTCCAATAAAAAGTGACTTAAAAACATGAATAAAGTTATTAGTATGAATTGTCGAATTTCTTCCTAAACATTTTTGAAGATTTTATAGAAAATTTCTATATAATTGAGTGTAAATAAAATCTAGCCATTAAAATATCTTATAAAAGAATATATATAAAAAAGAAATTTTGTATATATTCAAAATAATATAAGTCAGGAAAAATTGTCAAAAGAATTGATTATTACATATATCTATATTCTAGACATTAAAAATTAAAGACATTTTTAAACAAAATACATACTTTCAATAAAGTTTAAACAAAAATAATCCATATTTTTGTTTTAAAAATCGCATTATAAACCATAACTTCAAATCCATTAATTATCTAATACTATAAAAATCATGTCTTCGATAAAACTGAAACTCCTGTATGATATCGAGTATCATTTGTATCAGAATGAAAAGTACGCGCAAATAAATTCAAATCTTGTGATGAAAAAATAATTGGAGGTAAATAAATATCCGGTATAATATCATTTAAAGAACTTCCTTCAAAATCTTGTCTATCAATATTCTTTTTTGGTGACTTCTTTCTAAAACAAAAAAATATTGACTTGTACAATTGAACTACCGAAAATCTTGACTTATCTATATCATGATCTTCCTCAAGAATCTTTCTTGTACGTAATTGATGAATAAAAAAAAGAACAATAATAGCTACAAAAATAGGAACACTTCCAATCATCAAACTTATGTTTATCAACATTCATTGACCTACAAAATAATAAATATTACCGGAGCCACCATTTACCTATCAGAACTTAATTCTTATATTCTTATTAAATTCTTAGTTCTATTCAAGAAATATACACAACAAACCTTTTAAATCTAACATTAAAGATCTTCTAATTACTTCTTTAATGTCTAACATATTTTATTAATCTCTTAAACATCAGTGCTCGACTAAGGGCTTGTCAGGTAAAGCTTACAACTTAGGCTAAAATATATAAAAACACAAATGTATAGATTAAGAACATTACAAGGTATCAAATAATTCTATTGTTTCAGAAAATTGAATAATATGTTTATTACTTAATATTTTTTAAACAAGTTAAATCTTTAAGAAATAAAAATAAAAAAATAAAAAAAATATTTTAAGATTAAAAAGAAGTCGTAAAACTGTTAGTTATCTATATTTTAAGTAAAAATATTAGAATTAAGATTTTTAAGGTCATCAGAAGCTCTTAAAACGATACCTTCTCTAATAAACGATTCTTTAAAGTGAGATCGACAAAAAAACAAATTGTTAAAAAAACAAGGAAAAGGCTTTATTTATTGTATAAAATAGATAAATATTCATAAAATATGATATTGATATTATATATTAGGAATTTTCGTGGAAATTTTTGGGCAAAATTTGGTAGAAATATTCCAAAAAAAAAGATTGGAAGAAGATGGACGATATTCTAAATTTTGAGCAAGATTTTAATGTTGAACTTCTTGATCGTATTGTTCATACATTTTATCAGGGATCAGGTGTAGAGGTATATATTTGTTTTGGTGGAAAAAGAGAAATTAACAAATGGATTAAATAGCAACAACAGGCACAAAGAATTCTGACTCAATTTCAAGAACATCCTGATGCATGGATGAGGGTTGATACGATTCTTGAAAAATCAAATGTTGTTCAAACAAAACGTAAGGGTTTTATGGGATTTATAATATTTTTATTGAACTTAAAATTAGATATTGCACTTTCAATTCTTGATAAACTTATATCGACACGATGGAAAATTCTTCCGCGTGAACACTGTCAAGGTGATTATTATGTTTTATAATTATAATATGAATAATCTAATTTAATAGGCATTCGAAATTTTGTTGTTGCAATTATGATTAAAACATCATCTGATGAAACAACTCTTCATAAAGAAAAACAATATTTAAACAAACTTAATCTTACGCTTGTTCAGGTATATATTATTTATATGAACGAGAGATATATTCAGGTGTTTATAGATTCTTAAACAAGAATGGCCAAAAAATTGGCCTACGTTTATAACAGAAATTGTAAATGCATCAAAGACAAATTTATCATTGTGTGAAAATAATATGGCAGTTCTTAAGCTTCTTAGGTATTTTTGGGGGCTTTATTTTATCATTGTTGTTGATTTTATATAGTGAAGAAATTTTTGACTATTCTGCTGAACAAATGACTCAAGTTAAAACAAAAAATCTTAGAAATCAAATGTCGGGGGAATTTTCTGAAGTTTTTCAGCTTTGTTCTGAAATCCTTGAAAAAGCTCAAAAAACAAGTTTAATTTTAGCAACTTTAGAAACAGTTCTTAGATTTTTAAATTGGATTCCTTTAGGATTTATTTTTGAAACGAATATTATCCATACTTTATGCACTAGAGTAGATATTCTTTTTTTAATCTTTTTTTTAGATATATTTTTTACTTTTATATAGTTTCTTGAAGTGTCTGAATTTAGAAACGTAACACTAAAATGTTTAACTGAAATTGCTGGATTATCTGTTATGCCTCAATATGACGAAAAGTTTGTAAGTCTCTTAAACTTAACAATGTCTTCTATCAATAATATTATTCCTTTGAACACTGGTATGTAATATAATATTTTTTTAATAATAATGTATTAATAAGATAGATTTTAGGGTTGCTTATGATTCTAGCAACTCCCAAGAACAAGATTTTATCCAGAACCTTGCACTTTTTCTTTCTACATTTCTTGGAACACATGTAAAAGTATTTTTTTCATTTTTACTTTCTTTTTTTTTTTTAATTTAATATTTTAGCTTGTTGAAAATCAGGAAAACAGAGATCTTCTTTTAAATGCGCATTTCTATTTAATTAAGATTTCCCAGGTAGATGAACGAGAAATTTTTAAAATATGTTTAGAGTATTGGTCAAAACTTGTAGCTGAGCTTTATGAAGAAGTAAATTTATGATAAATTTTAAAGTCAGACTAATTCTATTTAGATACAACAGTTGCCAATTACTGATATGAATCCTCTTTTATCCCTTAATTTATCGGCAAGTCTTGCTAGCGGTGGAGCTACACCAGCTAGTATGTATGCAAATATTCCACTTCGAAAACATATTTATTCAGAAGTCCTGTCAAATTTACGTGTTGTTATGGTAGAGAAAATGGTAAAACCGGAAGAAGTAAGCTTAATTATATTCTTAAAAAAAAAACTAATTAAATATAAGGTCTTGATAGTTGAGAATGACGAAGGAGAAATTGTTAGAGAATTTGTTAAAGAAAGCGATACTATTGTTCTTTATAAGAGCATGAGGGAATGCCTTGTTTATTTAACACATTTGGATGTCGTGGATACTGAAATTATCATGTCTGATAAACTCGCTAGACAAATTGATGGGAGTGAGTGGTCATGGGCTAATTTAAACACTCTTTGTTGGGCTATCGGGTCTATTTCTGGTGCTATGAGTAAACTTTTATTTAAAATTGCAGATTTAAGATTAAATAAATTTAGATGAAGAAACTGAAAAAAGATTCCTAGTTATGGTTATTAAAGATCTTCTTGGTTTAACGGAAATGAAAAGAGGAAAAGATAATAAGGCTGTTGTTGCATCAAATATTATGTATATTGTGGGTCAATATCCTCGATTTTTAAAAGCACATTGGAAGTTTTTGAAAACTGTAGTAAATAAACTTTTTGAATTTATGCATGAAACCCATGAAGGTGTGTTTTATAAAAATCGTGCGCATAGCCTACATTTATTGAGTTTAAATAGGTGTGCAAGATATGGCATGCGATACATTTATAAAAATTGCACAAAAATGTCGGAGACATTTTGTAGCACAACAGGCAGGAGAACATGAGCCTTTCATAGATGAAATTGTTCGGAATTTACATAAGATTACAGAGGATCTTTCTCCTCAACAAGTGCATACATTTTATGAAGCATGTGGATATATGATCTCTGCTCAACCGTCTAAAACTATTCAAGAAAGATTAATTTCAGAGCTTATGAAATTACCTAATGCTGTGGTAATTTGAAAAATTAATTAAATATTTTTATAATTATTATTAGTGGGATAATATTATACAACAGGCTGGTCAAAATGTAGATGTTTTAGATAATAATGAGACTATTAAAATAATAGGAAATGTTCTTAAAACTAATGTATCTGCGTGTTCATCAATTGGTGGCCATTTTTATCGACAAATTGGGAATATATATATGGATTTATTAGGACTCTATAGGGCAGTAAGCACTATAATTTCAAATACAGTAGCATCTCAGGGTAATATATGTTTACATTTATAAGCTAATAATATATATCATTATTAGGGAATATTGCCACCAGAACACCTAGAATAAGAAGTTTAAGAACTGTAAAAAAAGAAATTCTTAAACTTGTTGAAGTATTTGTCAGTAAAGCAGATGATCTTGAAGCTATCAATAATGCTTTAATTCCACCTCTTTTAGAAGCAGTTTTGGGAGATTATAATAGAAATGTTCCTGATGCAAGAGATAGCGAAGTTTTAAATATGATGACTACGATTATTTCAAGGCTTGGGGTAAAAATTTTATATATTTATATTGCTGCTATTGATATTTTTTAAGTCTTTAATGACAGAAGCAATTCCTATTGTTCTACAGTCTGTATTCGAATGTACTCTTGCTATGATTAACAAAGAATTTACTGAATTTCCTGAGCATCGTGTTGGATTTTTTAAATTATTGCATGTTATAAATCTTAATTGTTTTCCAGGTTTGTAGTATATTTAAAATATGTAGAAGATACCAATTTTTCTAGCTCTTTTAAGGCTCCCTGCTCCTCAATTTAAGCTTATAATAGATAGCATAATGTGGGCTATTAAACATACAACACGTGATATCGCAGAAATTGGTAATTTTGATATTAAACCTTTAGATCTTAGGCTTATAGAATTAGGTCTTAATATATGTTTAGAACTGATCAATAACATTGCAAATACAGAAACGAGTGTTGCTAATTTTTTTTTCCAGCAGTATTTTCTTTCAATTCTTCAGGATATATTTTTCGTTTTGACAGATACAGATCATAAATCAGGTATTTCTACTATTTAAAACATCTTTATATTTATACGTTTTAAAGGATTCAAATTACAAAGTGTAATTCTTGCAAGAATGTTTCATTTGGTTGAATCTGGCGCCATTCAAGCATCATTATATACTTCTCAACAAGTCCGGGACGAAAATACTCCAAATTCCGTATTTTTAAAAGAATACGTTGTTAGTCTTTTACATAGTGCATTTCCTCATTTACAACTGTAAGAATTATATAGTTTTAAAGAGTTTTATAACTAATGTTTTTAAGTGGTCAGGTACAAAGTTTTGTATTAGGTTTATTTTCTCTTAATATGGATATCCCTAAATTCAAACTTAATCTTCGCGATTTCTTAATACAGCTCAAAGAGTTTTCTGGGGACGATAATGCAGAATTGTTTCAAGAAGATCGTGATATGGAATTAGAAGCTAAACAAAAAGCTGATCGTGAACGTGCACTAAATGTGCCAGGAATGATTAAACCTTCAGAACTTCCAACAATTGATGAAGAAGAATTATAGTTTCGTATATAAATGTTTCTTAGTTTAAAATCTTAAATGTAGATATTACTTAGAAAACTTAATAACAACCCTAAATGATAAAAAATAATATTAGTACTAACATTACTCACAAAATACAAATACTTTTTATGAAGAAATAATATTAAAATATCACTATAAATATTTTTACATGCAAAATTTCCTAAAAAATATTTAATGTTTAATACCAAAATTAATTTCAATCCTATTTATCAAGAAAAGGCGGTAAAACTGATCTATTTATAAAATAAGTTCAAATTATAAATATTCTAACTAGATAAATTAGGAGGTGCCCTCTTTATAGTATCTTTTATAGTAACATATCCTTTATCAGGACCAGGAACCGATCCTTTAACAAGAATTAATCCATTTTCATGGTCTATTTTAATAATAGGAACATTTTGTATAGTAACATTTTTTCCTCCCATTCTCCCCGCCATTTTTTTCCCTGGTAACACTCTTCCCGGCTAAATAACATAAATATTTAGAATTAAATAAAAAAATCATATACATCTTGTGATTGTCCCATTGAACCGGACGATCTATGAGAAATAGATACACCATGTGATGCAGGAAGGCCGTGAAATTTCCATCTTAAAATATAATAAATTATCAAATATAGTAAATATATAAAATACCTTTTCATAACACCCGAAAATCCCTTTCCAATACTTTTACCACGTATATCTACAAAAGTTCCTTCTTGAAAATGATTTACAAATAATTGTGTACCTTTTCCAAAATTAATACACTATATTTATTAAATAAATAGAAAAAAACCCGGAACCAAAGATTCTACTGGCTCTTTTGTTCTAAATTCCACTAATTTTGATTTTGGTGGTACTTTCGCCTTTGCAAAATGCCCAAGCATTGCTTTAGAGATATTTTTCGGATTCCTCGACCCCATTCCAACTTGAACAGCATTATAACCATTTTTCTTTTTTGTGCGTATCTCTATAACCTGAAGACGATCTACTTGAAGTACTGTTACAGGAATTCGCTCCCCATCTTGTGTCCATACTGCTGTCATCCCTAAAATACCTAAGAAAAGAGTCATTCTTACAATAAAATACCTCTTTTACGTGCTAAGAGACCTGTTCTTTCTGGAATTTGCTTTTGTTTTATCCTTTTAGGGTGAACATAAGACGGTAAAGATAATTCTTGAGATGATTTTAACGGTTTACGGCTTAAAATGCTCCTTTTTGAGCTGGAAAAAAAGGATCTGTAACATCTAAATAACAACGATCTCATATTTACTGTCTTATAAGTATTATTTTTCTTAAATTTCTAGCTAATTAGATATTTTATTTTTTTCTAATTTTCAGAGGTTGCCGATCAACAGTGTTTATAAGTGTAAATATTTTTTTGATAAAATCCTTTATTATAAGTGATAATTACTTACTTCCGGAGAGGTTTTTTATTCTCTTTTATTACGTTATATCTATATCTTAAAAATCTGGTTTTTTTAGGACATTTTCATAGATTTAGAGAGTTTCTAAATAGTCATTATAACTCCAGGAATAAGGTGTATATTATTTTTAAAACTCCAGAATTTGAGAATTTCTACTATGGAAGATATAAATATAGATGAAAATAGTTCTTCTCAAGCTTTTTTTCCAAAAAAAAATCAAGAAATATCTATTGATGTGTTAAAAGAAGCATTTCCAGATATCGACGAAAAAGTATTGAATGCAGTTCTTATAGCTAGTAATTATTCAATTGAATCATCACTTAATGCACTTTTAAGTCTGTTTTATGTATTTTTTTTGAAAGTTTTGCTTAATATGTTTAAGGTATCAGTGATTCAAATTATAAGCCAGAAATACCAATACAAACACATTCTGTTTATATTAAACCCATATTTATATTTGTAAGTTATTTTTAATATTATTTTAGGGAAATGATATAGTTTCTGATATTATGAAATTTCATCAAATTGAAAACGATTATAGATATGCTTGCCATTTGGCTCAGATAACACAAAACCCATTAAATGGTTAGTTTTCTAATATTTAAATGTTTTAAGCCATAAAAATATTTTTTAGGTAGAAGAAATAGATATATTCCACATTATGACAATAAGAAAGAATATTCTTTTATTAGTGGTTTGTATTTGAAATATTTAGTATTTTATTGATCAATAATAAGAAGAATTATCAGCTATTTATGGAAACATAAAACAAGGATTTGGCGAAGCAAAAACAAAAGTTTCTAGCTTTTTTTCTAATATTAAAAAACGAATTGATAATGATGTGTCATTTAATGAAAAAAAGAATAATTTTTCTGACCCTTCTTCAAAAAAATCTACTGAGATGCCAAAGACATCTTTTGATGATTCTGATATAACGTTATTTGCACTTGAAGAAGATTTTGTTCATTTGGATTTAGAAGACAATAAAAAGGCCTCTCAAAGGCTACTATCAAACTCGTGTTCTAAAAATGATTCAGGTAAGTTTGAATATTACTATATTTCTATTTTCCATTAAATATGTTGAATGTTTTATAGACCAGAATTTAAAAAAAAATAACGATCATACAATTTAAAAGATTTTTGATTATTATTGTTATATGAAATTTAAATATTATTTATTATGAAGTACTATGGATGATTTTGTCTTTATACATGATTGAAATATTTTTAAAGATATAAAAAAAATTTGAAAAGCTTGGGAATTATATTCATATTTTAGATTAAAACATAAATAATTTTAAAGTATATATAATATATAAATTAATTCTTAAATATATCAACAAATATAATAGGACGTAACCTTGTTTTAAACTATGTTGATTAATTATTGTATTTATAAAATACACATATATATTTTTAAACTATTCCAATTATTTATAATTTGTTTTTATTGTTTTCATATTTAATATTTATAAATAAAATAAATTAAATTCTTATAAAAAGAAACTATTTTAAAAAATAATTAAATTGGTAAATATGTTTGCTTTTTCATTCATTATATATAACATACAATCTTTTAAAGGTTAAGAATATTTTTATTTGCTAATTTCTTTAAAAAATATAATTATAACTTTATTTTAGCTAATTTTTTATATTGAAGAAATTTTATGTTTTCTTAGTTATTATATTTTATAAATAATATATCTATTTGAAATTTAAAAAAAATCATAAATATTATCATAATAAAATTATAATATTTATATTTAATATTCAAAAAGATGATTTTAATAGATAAAACATAGAAATTCTAGAATACTTACATTCTTATAAATAAATTATACATTTATTCTTAAAAAGAAAAATAAACTATTAAAATGCAGTATTCTTTCTTAAATGATACATTGATTATATTTACATTTTATTATCTTCACTTTAATATATTAAAATAAAAATCTACAACTGTAAATTTTCATTTGTTCTCTTTTAAATATTCAAAAAACTTAAATATACCTTTAAAGCTTTTAAATATTAAAATAATTAACATAAATATAACCCTGTTTCTTCAATAAAATCATCACAAAATCTACATTTAGAAAATAACATAAGTATATATTCAATTTAAAAGATCTGATTCGTTATCTTTTTTAAAATTATAAAGAATATTTTCTAAAATTTTAAAAGAAAATATATCAATAAATCATTCGAATATCTTTCTAAATATAATTACAACATATTTAATTTAATCATAATCTATTAAATCATATAAAAAAAATTATAATATATTTATAATTTTATTATATAAAAAACTATTTAATATACGTAAAAATATTATGTTTTTGATTTACGTCTATATTAATATTAGTTTCTCTGTAAAAATGATATGTAAAAAACAATTGCCAATAGCATGCTATTTCTATTAGTTAAAATATTCAAAATCTGTCAAATGTCTAATACATACATACAAATGGAATGGAAAACCCAAATCCTACTCAAAATGTTAAAACAATTTCCTTTTTTTCTTTATTTAGTTCTATTTCTAAAACTTACCAAAAAACAATAGTATTTTTGTTGCCATTCTACCCTTAGATGTAATCTTAAATGGAAGATTCCTAAACACAATAAATATCAAATTCCAAACAAAAAATATACATACTTTCTCGGGCCTATGACATATTAGTATATTTTCATGTAATTGAGAATTATATTGATTCAATTTTTTATTTTTAAAAAAAAAACATATTTATTCAAAAATATTTAAAAAAATATTCATTTACAACAAAACAAAAATCTCTATATATTTAATTTTTTACATACCGTCTTCTACGTGTAATAACCGAACAATATATGTCCTATTAGCCCCCCGAAAATGATCAACATGGTTATTTCTCCATGCCTTTAATCCACTTGATATTACCATACTATATTTCCTATATTTTCAACCTTATTATACTCTTTTTAATTAGTATCTATATTTTGTAACGTTAACACCGCCGATTACTAATACAAGATTGACTATAAAAATTATTTTTAAAATAAATACTTAAAAAAATCATTTTTATACTAAATTATTATATAAAAAGACATCAATATTTAAACTTTTGCCTATTTTTTTTTAAATCTATTAAAACCTTTATTATATGAAGGTAAAAATGAATAAGTCAGTAATTTTATTAAAAAGAAAATAGATTATTATTAATTATATTATGAGATATTGAAGAAGAAGAGTATTGTTTTTTTGTACTATGTTCTCTAGAGAAGTATTTAGTGTATTTAACGGTAATGAAAAATCTGAAGATAATACGAATATATCAAAAGAATCATTATTATTGGAAGTAAATTTTGAAAAAAATGAAGATAAAGCCAAGGAGACAAGATCTATGGATTTTGATGGGGATTCTAAGTCTAAAAAAATAAAGTTGGAAGAAGAAACAGGAAATAATTTGATTGTAACGGATAGTTTTGAAACACAAGGAACATTTGAAATATTAGGACATAAAAGACTTATAAGTGCCAAAGAGGATCTAGAAGAGAACGCAGAAATAGAAAAATTAATATTAAATCATCAAGTAAGACACCAAGTTGCTTTACCAGTAAATTATAGTTATATTCCTATATCTCAACATGTGGCACCTGCAGAACCAGCAAAAAAATATGAATTTAAATTAGATCCATTTCAACAAGTTGCTATTGCATCTATTGAAAAAAATGAAAGTGTGCTTGTGAGTGCACATACAAGTTCAGGAAAAACAGTAATAGCGGAGTATGCAATTGCACAAAGTTTACGTGATAAACAACGGGTGATTTATACAAGTCCTATTAAAGTATGAAGGGTTATTTTTGTAGATAAATATCATTTATTATAAATAGGCACTTAGTAATCAAAAATACCGAGAATTATTAACAGAATTTGGGGATGTTGGGCTTATGACAGGAGATGTAACAATTAATCCTACTGCTAGTTGTTTGGTGATGACTACGGAAGTATATATAATTCTTTTTTTTTTACATATTCATTGGACTTAAGATTCTTCGATCAATGCTATATAAAGGCTTTGAGGTGATGCGTGAAATGGCATGGGTTATTTTTGATGAAATTCATTATATGCGTGATAAGGGTACATTGATAAACATCCTTTTTTATAATAATAGAAATAACATCATTTAGAACGAGGTGTTGTTTGGGAAGAAACAATTATTCTTCTTCCAGATAAAGTGCGCTATGTTTTTCTTTCTGCAACTATTCCCAATGCTATGCAATTTGCAGAGTGGATTTGTAAAACACATGTCCAACCTTGTCATGTTGTATATACGGATTTTCGACCTACACCTTTACAACATTATATATTTCCTGTAGATGGAGATGGAATTCATCTGGTTGTTGATGAAAAAGGAGTTTTTCGTGAAGATAATTTTCAAAAAGCTATAAATGTTCTTGCTGAAAAATTTGGAGAAGATCCCAATGCTGTTCCAACTAAAAAAATTGGAAAAAAAGGAAAACCTGGAAAGACTAGCCATAAAGGTTATTAAAAAAATATTTTTAGATAATAATAAATTTATTTTATTAGGTCCATCTGATATATATAAAATTATAAAGATGATAATGATTAAAAACTATAATCCAGTTATCGTTTTTAGTTTCAGTAAACGTGATTGTGAGAATTTAGCTTTACAAATGAGTAAGCTTGATATGAATGATGGTAATATCTTTAAAATTGTCATATATTATTTAATATTATAGATACTGAGCGAGATTTAATTTCTTCTATATTCAATAATGCTATTAATTCTCTATCAGAAGTAGATAGACAATTGCCACAAATTCAATATATACTTCCCTTGCTACGTCGTGGTATTGGCATTCATCATTCTGGTTTATTGCCTATTTTGAAAGAAGTTATCGAAATACTTTTTCAGGAGGGTCTTATAAAGGTTCTTTTTGCAACTGAAACATTTTCTATTGGCCTAAATATGCCAGCAAAAACAGTTGTTTTTACTAATGTTAGAAAGTTTGATGGAAAGGATTTTAGATGGATTTCTTCAGGAGAATATATTCAGGTATTTTTTTTTGGAAAATTTCCTCAGAAATCTAAAACAATTAAGATGTCCGGGAGAGCTGGAAGAAGAGGACTTGATGATCGTGGCATCGTAATTCTCATGATTGATGAAAAAATGGAACCTTCTGTTGCAAAAAATATGCTTAAAGGTGAAGCAGATCGCTTAGAATCTGCATTTCATTTAGGTTATAATATGATTTTAAATCTTATGAGAGTGGAAGGTATTTCTCCTGAATTTATGCTTGAACGTTCTTTTTATCAATTTCAAAACAATGCAGAAATTCCAAAAATTGAAAGCAGTAGGTTTAATTTTTAAATTTATATTAAATTAACAATATTAGAACTTTTAAAATTAGAAAAAGAAAGGGATAGCATTATAATTGAAGATAAAACTAATATTGCTAATTATTATGAATTAAGACAACAATTGGAAGCATATTCAGATGAGATGCGTAACATCATAAATCATCCTGATCACTGTCTCCAATTTATGCAACCCGGAAGACTTGTAAAAGTAAAAGATAAATTTTCGGATTTTGGATGGGGTGCAGTTGTAAATTACTGTAAACGTGTTTCTCCTAAAGTATATACTTCTTTTTTTAAAAATCGTATTAAGAATTTTTAAGGATTCTTCTGAAGAATATCCTCCTCATGAATCATATATTATTGATATTCTTTTATGGGTTGCTGCAGATTCTCAGATTACGAAAACAAATAATGATTATGCACAAGGAATCTATCCCCCAAAAGGGGAAGCTGGTATTGTTTATATAGCAGTAGTAAATAAAATACTTACGCTGGTAGGGAAAATGGAAGTTATACCTGTACTTCTCTCTTCTATTAATGGAATTGGACATATCCGTATATTTCTTCCAAAAGATCTCAAAGCATTAGATCAACGTCTTACTGTATATAAGTCTATAGAAGAAGTAAAACGTAGATTTCCCGATGGAATTGCTTTACTTGATCCTATTGAAAATATGAATATTAGAGACGAATCTTTTAGGAACCTTTTACGTGTAAGTATTTAATTTAGTAATTTAGTTCTATATTTAATTTTTTTTAGAAAATAGAAATTTTGGAGCATAAAATATTAATGAATCCTCTCTTTAATTCTCCTCAACTTCCTGATTTATATGAAAAATATAGCAAAAAAATGGAAATCAAATCTCAAATTAAGACTATAAAAAAAAAAATATCTGAAACGCAATCTATTATACAAATGGATGAACTTAAATGTCGAAAAAGAGTTCTCAGACGATTAGGCTTTACAACATCAGAAGATATTATTGAAATGAAAGGACGGTATGTTTTTTTTTTCTTAATATAACTACTAATTTTCTTGCTTAAAGAGTTGCATGTGAAATCAGCACTGGAGATGAATTGATATTAACAGAAATGATTTTTAATGGCGTTTTTAATAATCTTACCTCTGAACAGTCTGCTGCATTATTAAGCTGCTTCGTTTTTCAAGAAAAAAGTGAAGAAACTCCTAAACTTAAGGAAGAATTGGCTGCTCCATTACGAAAAATGCAAGAAATAGTTCGACGCATTGCAAAAGTTTCTCGAGAAAGCAAATTAAATATAGTTGAAGAGGAATATGTTAACCAATTTAAACCTACTTTAATGGATGTTGTATATGCATGGGCACAAGGTAAATCTTTTTTTCAGATTTGGTAATACTTTTTTCTTTTTTTTTTTTATCTAATATTTTACAGTAAAATGACTGATGTATATGAGGGTTCCATCATACGGGCATTTAGACGCTTAGAAGAACTTTTAAGACAAGTTTTTCTATTTTCTTTTTTTTTAATATATTGATAAAATTATAGATGTGTTCTGCTTCCAGAGTTATTGGCAATATTGAACTCGAAACTAAAATGACAAATGCAATTAATCTGATAAAACGTAACTCCTTTTTTGTATTTTTCCAACAATTAATTCATTTTCAGGTGATATTGTATTTAGTGCTTCTTTATATTTATAAAATATTATATATTAAAATCACTTTTTCTAAAAAAATATAGAATTATCATCTACTTTCACTACATAATCTCAAATACTATTTACCTTATTATATTCCCTTATTTTTTTCCTCTTTATATACCTATCTTTATCGACTTCATTTCTGCTTATACTTTTATAATAAAAAAGCATAGGATTCACTGTTTTTAACACAATGCGCAGAAAAATAAGCCGTGCTAGTAATTCTACTACTCCTGCTAACCATAATACATCTCTATATGGTGAATGTTTAATGTCTGGACGTCTTCAAGATCCTCATCAATCTACCTTAACAATAAGTCCACTTACTAATATTTATGCTTATGATGGAAGCCCTACTATGGCTATGTCTTCGATGTATTCCCATGGATCTTTATCAAATACATTACATACATATTCAAGGATTGAACGAATGCGTCTATGGCGTCATGATGCACTGGTGCAGCATCAGCATGAAACAGCAGCGTATATTGGAGATAAGATTCTTGGATTAACCAGTATATATATATCATATTATATATGATATATAAACTAGCCTTATGTAGATGATCCTAATGATGCCTTTTGGCTGGCGCAAGTTTATTATCATACGGGACATTATGCAAGAGCACGTGGATTATTAATGAATCGTTATTTGTTAGATAGTAGTGTTGCATGTCGGTATTTGGCTGCTCTTTGTTTGGTAAAATTTATAAAGTATTTTTTGAAAGGGTATTTTATTCATATATATTAGTCTAAATTATCCAAGTGGCAGGAAGCACTTGATTTACTTGGAGAGAAAAACCCATTTCGTCAAGAAGGTCGGATTTATGGAATAATTTTTGTATAAAAGTTTATTTTTGTTTAGGGTCAGATGAAACAGTTATTAAAAATCAAGATGGGGGGATTAAAGTATATTGAGAAAAATCTATAAGAGATTACTTACGTAACAAATAGTTTGAAGCGTCAATGTGTTATCTTAGAGGTGTTCTGTTTGCTAATTTGAATAAATTTGACAAAGCAAAAGAGTGTTATAAAGAAGCATTAACTATTGATGCAAAATGTTATGAAGCTTTTGAGCAATTAATAAGTAATAACTTGATGACGGCAGAAGAAGGTATGAGAAGAAGTTTATTTGAGAAATTGACTGTTTTAGAATGGTCTTTTATTCAAACATTAAATTTTAACGGCTTGATTGAAGAAGATGTGGATTTTGTTAAGAGTTTATATATTACAAAGCTAAACAAAGTTTCTATAGTATGTTAATGTTTCTTATTTAATCTTTTTTTTAGTATAAAAATGCCTTACGGTTTATTGAAGCAGAAACAAAATTGAAAAATACATATAATTTACATGATAATACAGATTTACTTTTAAGTAAAGCAGAATTGTTATTTGTACAAAATAGGTTTAGGCAATGTCTTGAAGTTACTGAGAAGTATTTATAGATTTTTTCTTATATATACTAATTTTATAAGAATACTTTCTATTGATCAGTATAAATTTAATGCTCTTCCTATTCATTTAGCATGTCTTCATGAATTAAATGAAAAAAACAAGCTTTTTCTTATCTCTCATGACATAACAGAAAGGCATCCTGAAGAACCTGTATCATGGCTCTCAGTAGGTATATATTATCTTTGTATAGGAAAAGTAGCAGAGGCTCGTCGATATTTCAGTAAAGCGTCAATGATGAATCCACATTTTGGACCAGCATGGATAGGGTTTGCTCATTCATTTGCTGTCGAAGGGGAGCACGATCAAGCAATATCTGCATATACGACAGCTGCTAGGTTGTTTCAAGGGTATGGTTCTTCTTAAAATCAATTTTATATTTATAATTATAGCACACATTTGCCCAGCCTTTTTTTAGGTATGCAACATCTTCAATTGAACAATTTAGTTTTGGCCAATGAATATTTTAATACTGCATATGATCTATGCAAAACAGATCCTTTGCTTTTAAATGAATTAGGAGTTGTAGCCTTTCATAGATTACAACTTCCGGAAGCAATAAATCTTTTTAGAAGCGCCCTTACTTTAGCTAAAGAAACAGATAGCGAAGAAAGATCATGGATTGCAACATGGGTTTATTATTGTTATTGTTTTTAAATGTATATTTTAATATTTATAGGCAAATCTTGGGCATGCTTATAGAAAACTTAGGTTTTTTTCAATATTTTTATAATTATAATTTAATAAAAAGAGTAGAATGTATGATGATGCATTGCGATATTTTTCAGAAGTAAAAAGATTATCACCTAGAGATCCATGTGTTTATGCCGCTATTGCAATGGTTCATTTAAGTGCTCATAGGGCGGGAGATGCTGTCCAATATTTACATGAAGTATTTTTTTAATTTTACATTTGCTATGCTAAACTTTCTCGAGGCTCTTAGTCTTGCTCCTTCTGATCCAATTGCAACTGATTTATTACGACGTGCACTAGAAGAAAATGCTCAGTTTCCTTTTGAAATTGAAACAAACATACAAGATATATCTTCAGATGATGATAATATTCTTGGTATAAATATAAAAATATTTTGCAATATAAATACTAATAGCTATTAATTAGCATCTATTAATAATAATTAATTTTATAGATATTAAACAATATATATAAAAGTGTTTATAAATTTATAAATATGAAATCAACCTTCACTAATTTTAAAATGATATCATTATATAGAATCATTATTTTAACGCATAGGTAAATTATATTATTTTATAAATAATCCTAATAAACTATAATACTTTCATTTATAATTTGCATTTTCAATTAGATTATTTACATTCATATTTAATAATCCTAAAAATTATAGATAAAAAACTAATATATAGTTTCTTGTATATATTAGCAATATATTTTTAATGATACAAATTAAGGATTAAATTATGATTTATACATATTTTCATGAAATGTCTTTTGTTCTAAATAATTATGCATGTTTAAGGTATCTTTGAAATATATATATTAAGCATTTTTATTATAAATTTAATAATGCTAACTTTCATTTTGATCCATTCTACTTCTTAGATCTCTTACAAGAGCTTTAGCTTCTTCCAAATCCTATATTTTAAATTATTATGTTATAATAATTTTGCAAAATAGCCCTACAAATGATCCATTCATAATTTCAGTAGCATATTTTTCGGCTTTACGTAAATTTCCTCGGCTCATTTCCCATTTTGCCAACCACATGTGAGCTTTGCTACTTTCTAATGTAATTACATCATCTTCTTCAGCTGTAATACATTGTTTATAATACATCGCAGCAGTATCCGTATCACCAATTCTTTCGAATATCCCTCCAAGCTTTAGTAAAATTACAGGATCGCCTGTAGAGCCTAATAATGCTCGTTTATATGATTTTATTGCTTCACCAGGTCTATCAAGTTTCTCATAACAATTTCCAAGGGCTTGCCACATTCGTTGATCATATGGTCTAATAATATTAAATAATAATATATAATAAGAAGAGCATATACTTTAAGGCAGCTGCTCTTTGATAGTAATATAAAGCATAATAATGCATCTCTAAAACTTCATAAGTTTGCCCGAGACCATACCAAGCTCTATAATCTTTACGATTGACATCTTTATAATATAAATAATATAAAAAACGTTACATAACTAACTAACCTACAGCACGACGATATGCTTCTATTGCTGCATGTGTATTTTTCATTTCAACATACTCATGACCCATTAAAGTCCAAGCAGATAACCAATTTCTATTTAATTTTAAAGCACGTCTAAAATAAATAACCGCTTTTTCATGTTCCGAAAGTAAACTGTAATAATTTCCTAATTATTAGACTGTTTTACTTTTTTGTGAAAATAATTACCTATTATACAACAAGTTTCCGGTCTAAATTTATCAGTTGCTGATGCTATTTGAGCTAAAAATCCTAATTTTGATCGTTTAGACATAACAAATAAAATATTTGAATATATATCCATATCATCGAGCCGATGTGGATCTAATTTTGCAATTTCCTCAAATTGCTTTTCTGCTTCTTCAAAATCTTTCTATTTTTAAAAACAATTTATGATTCTATCAAATGATACCTCTTCCATTATATGGTATCAAAGCTCTTTGTGTTTTTAAAAATAAACTATTAGGAAATAATGTTTCGAGTTCCATGATTTGATGATATAGTGTCTCTCCTGATTGATGAAGCTCAAGAATAGCATAAATCAAAAACAATTTTTTCATGAAACATTCAGGTAAGGCAGATGTAATAGAATTCAACTAAAAATGTATTAATTCATAATACCTAATAATTTTTTTAAGTAAAAAAGACCATATTTATACCAGCTAAACACATAGATAATTCTTGCCATGTACCCCAATTATATGGATATAAATTAAGCGATTGTATTAATGTTTTGATAGACAAAGAATCCTGTTTTTGTCTTCTTTGAAGAAATCCTAAACTAATAATAATTATTATAGAAAAATCATATCAAAATCAATATTACAGATATAACAAAAATGCATCTTTCTCTATTTCAATAATCTTTTCAAGTTCTTGGCAAATTGACGTAATTTCCCGATTTTTAACATTACTTGCGTCCAAAGGGCCTTGTTTTCACATATTAAAAAATAAAACTAAAAACAAAAACAAAACACTACCAAGAATTGATTCACTGTCTTCATCTCCTCTTTTTTCACCTGCAAGAAACTTTGAATATAGTCGAAGAAAAATTGATTTTGGACTATGACATGTTTTTAAGAAATATGAACATCTATCGTATTCTTTACAATCAAAATAACATTTCGCTAATGAATATTGATTGCTTTCCTGTTCTTCTTGACAACCCAATTCAAATAAATTCTCTTTTTCTTCTTTTTTTTTTAAATAATTAGACTTATATTTAGAATATTCAGAAATATCATTCATTGTTAAAGGTTCCATTCCATTTAAAAGCTCTGCCGCCCTAATATCTTTAGTAATTTATTTATTATTCTTTATTTTTAACCATCTTGCGCTTAAATAAAGACCTCTCTCTGAACATTGGGAAATTGCATCTTTTAATTGTAAATGGATTGTATGTTTTGAAGTTATTTCATTCATTTTTAATAAAAATTCTAAAAAAATTATTAATTTTTAATAAAAATTTTAAAAAAATTATTAATTTTTAATAAAAATCGGTCTAAATATTAAGAATTTTATTAATTTTTTTAGAATTTTAACCTTTTTCTTAATATTTAAGATGGAAAATAACCTGATTACAGCAAAACAAAGATTTGAGCGTATTTTCCCTTTAATTGTTGAGGATCTTAATGTATATTTAAAGACTCTTAATATCCCTCAAATTGGTAGAGATTGGTTTATGAAGGTAAATATCTAAAAGTCTTAAACACTTAATAAAAATAAATAGATTCTACATTATAATTGTTTAGGAGGAAAGCTTAGTCGTGGGCTTTCAGTTATTGATTCATATGAAATTCTATTAGATCGATCATTAAATGAAGAAGAATATAAGAAAGCAGCAATTCTTGGATGGACAGTTGAATTGGTAAAAACGAGGATTATTTATTGTAAATAAGGTTATAATGAATTGGATAGCTTCAAGCGTGTTTTCTTGTTGTGGATGATATTATGGATCAATCAAAAACAAGACGTAATCAATGTTGTTGGTATTTGATGGTAAGATTTTTAAAAGATAATATATAAAATAATGGGAATGAAATAAGCCTAATGTTGGGATGACTGCAATTAATGATTCTTTTATGTTGCAATCATCTATTTTTTTTTTACTTAAGAAATATTTTCGAGAGGAACCATATTATACATCTTTGATGGAGAATTTCCATGATGTTAGCTTAATTATATATGATTTTTTGAAATAATATGTTATAGATTACGTTTAAAACGGAATTTGGGCAACTTTTGGATCTTTTGACAGCACCAGAGAATAATGTTGATTTGTCAAGGTTTTCGATGGATAGACATTCATTTATTATTGAATATAAAACAGCATTTTATTCTTTTTATTTGCCAGTTGTTTTGGCTATGAATATGGCAGGAATATCTAGTGAGGATAATCTAGAGCAGGCAAAAAATATATTGGTCCCTCTTGGAAAATATTTTCAGATTCAAGTAATTCTCTTTTATCGTAATTTTTATCATAATATTTACAGGATGATTTTCTTGATTGCTTTGGGGATCCTGATATTATGGGAAAAATTGGAACAGATATAATGGAAAATAAATGTACTTGGTTGATTAATAAAGCACTGGAAAAGGCGACTCCTTCACAACGTAAAATTTTAGAGGTATTTTTTAAAAAAGGATTATTTTGATGAATTAATTTATTAGGAAAATTATGGAAAAAAGAATACCGATTCTGAACTAGTTATTAAAAAACTATATGATGAATTAGAGTTATGTAAAGAATTCGAGATATATGAGAAGCAGGTTGTTACTTATATTCTTAAATTAATCTCAAAAATTGATGAATCTCGTGGATTAAAAAAAAAGGTTTTTACTACATTTCTTGATAAAATATATCAAAGATGTAAATAAATGTATAAACAATTCTTAATTAAGCCTTAAATTCTATATTTATATTTAAATTCTTAGATAGGTGGGATTTATAATATTTAATGTTTCAAAATTATTAATTCTTAATAAATATACTTCATAATACACTAAATATATATTTAAATAAGAATCATGCCCAAAAATCATTTTAATATTCTGTATTATAATATTGCATATTTAAATACCATAAAATTGAAAAAATCAAAAAGCTATTTTTTTATTACAACTTACAATGTAAATGATTCTTTGCTCATCCTAACCGTTAATATTTTGTATATTTTTTGTTTCATTAAAATCTATTCCAAAATTATCTTTCAGCTAAGAATCTAAAGGCAATAAAGTCATTTTTGAAGATGTATCCTTTTTTATATCTATTAAACTTTTATTATCATCTATTATCAATGCCTTAAGATCCTCATGAAGTAGTTCAGAAGTCATATTTTCATTAAAGCATTCAAGAGTATCACTATTTTCCTGAATGATAGTAGAATTAGTTATACTAGATGCAGATGTAGGAGTATTTGAAATAGCAGTGCCGCAAAGCAAACAAGTGTTACGAAATTTCAAGTTTATAAAAAAACATGATGTACAATGCCAAGTATTTGTTTCTTTCTCATTATTCTTATTTGTTATTACCTTTTCTTTATTTACGATACTTCCATTACTTTGAGCAATAGTTTCATTGTTTATAGGAACTGCTGGTTGTTTCAAAGGAGAAAATGACGTTAAAATAGATGATCTGTAAAAACTGTTATGCGTTGTATTTAATGGGATTTGCTGCATAGGATGTGAATAAGCAGGATTCTTAGAATTTGAAAGATAACTTGTTGGATTTACAACTGGTTGTATTTGTGATGATATAGAAGATGAAGAAATATTATGATCTGTAATAGTAAATGTATTTTTATTCGCACCGCATTTTAAACAATTTGTATTTTTTGCAAAATTATGATACCCACATCCTTCTGCTTTGCATTTCCAGTCACCTGCACGAAAAGGAACATTTCCTCCTTGTGTGGAAGTTCTAATAGCCAATGGATATGATGGAAATGATGGATCTGCATTTGAAACAGATGGTTGTAAAGGAAAATTCCCTCCAAATGAAACATACGAACATGCCATCATAGGATCATCATTTATATTTGCTGGGAAAGCAGAAAAAGAACAACGAAAACAAGCAGTTCTTCTTTGAAAATTACTAAATCCACAAAAAGGACAATTCCAATCACCTGGTCTTGGTTTGTTCTTACTTAGCTATTTTTAATTATTAGATATTTATTTTAAAAAAGCAAAAAAGACATACTGGAAATGGTATAAGTATTTCTGCTGCTCTCTCTAACACTCGGCTACTGCTAGGCGAAATCTCAATTATTCTATCTTCTATAGCTCTTCCATTCATTACAAGACTTTTTATTGCTTCTTCATGTGAAGAAAAAATTGCAAATCCAATACCTGTGGGTTTATATTGATCAGGTGTTTTTAAAGTCCAAAATGCTATAGGGTGACTCCCATGTTGTGTAAACCAGTTTTCTAATTCCGATTGAGTGATATCATAAGGTAAGCCTGCCATATATAAAATACATGATCTTTCTGCGAGAAAAGCTTTGACATCAGCTCTAATATCTAATGGTCGGGAAAAAATATCAGGATATTTGTCTACAAGCTTCGACTTCTCTACAAGACTTTTAAATATATATAATAAATCTAAACATTCATCTATTGCGCGTCTAGGAGATGTATTTTCAAAAGAAACTTGAAAATTTTGTTGAGCAAACTGTGATAGTGCATGTATATCTGTCTCCAAAATCCTCCGAATATGAGTAATATTTGATGATCGATAGACTAAAGTTTCAGGATGATATGACTGCCAACGAGAATATTCTGTATGTAAATCATATACTCTAGGATGTTGTAAATATGACGGTAAAATAACTGATTTATCTCTAGCTTCTTTCGGAAGCTGAATTGTTAATTTTTTAGCATCAAAAGCTGCAAAAATAAAATTTTTATTATTAAGAATCAATTTTTCTTGAATAAATGTAGCAAAATGATGAATAACTTCACGAAATGTTCCTGCCGCTTGAATATTCTCCCATGTCAAAGCAATAAAATCTATCAAAACATAAGACTTTTTCAATTTATTATATATATTAACTAGAAAGATTTGTTATAGGTGTATTTACAGGTCGTACTAAAAAATCTTCTTTATGTTGCTAAATTCCTTATTATTTGCTCATTTTAACCCATGTCAATCTTACTTCTTCTAGTGTCTTTGCATCCACTAAAATCCATGATAATTCAATCAGTTCTGGTGCTTCTTTGGATCCACCAATTCCACATTCATAACATGTTGATCCATGAACAATCTTTATATATTAAATTTCCTATAATATAACAAATATAAACTTACAATAATAGAATCTAATGACTCTAGAAGAGGCATAACATAAGAAACTGGACCTAAAAGAACAAAAAAAGTTTTATTTAACTTATAAATAACTAAGATTTTTAATAATACTTTATCGAAGGTAGACTTTTTAAGTTTCGGAGAATAAAGAATGCTTTATATATATATAAATGATAAATAAAATTTATTAAATATGTCTATTTATAAGAGAGAAATATATATATTATATTTATAAAATTGAATAATTGTTTAATTAGTTTGGTTAGATTGAGTAAATTTATATAAAGCATTAGAAAATTTATTTAAAGAATTTTTAGTAAAAGAATCTAAAGTATTTTCCTTATAAATATTAAAGATGAATGTAATATTTAATATATGTATATTACCTGAAGAAGTGTATTAATAATGGTTTGAATGGAATGGGCGAGTTGTTGATCAGATACATAAGTAATATGAAGTTTATTTAATAAAGAACAAAGAGTTCGTTTTTCTTCTATTTATATTTAGTAAATAAATGATTTAAAAAAGAAATATACTATTGTAGGATTCAGCTATTTGTGTACAAATGTCTTTTGCCAAATATAAATAAATGTTTTCATTTGTTTTAGTATATTGTGATTGATTTTTAAATGTATCTGAATTGATTAGTTTTTTTGGATCAATCCAATCCATCATTTGAAGAGCTATTTGTGAAAAAGAAATGTATTCGACATCTTCTAGATTGTCAAAGATTTGCGATAATTTATGTAAAGTAGATACAAATATCTATACATTAACGATAGAAAAATGAATAGAAAATACCAACTTTTTGTAAACAAAATTGGTTTTTCGGTAAAGAATAGCAATAAGCAGGGATAAAATAAGCAAGGATTTGACGTAAATGTAAATTAGATGCGGTTCCTGGATGAAAATATAAGATAATAAGAGTTTTAAGCAACTTAGGGATTAGCTTTAGATAACCTTCAAAATTTAGCTACCTTTGGATCATCAAAGAATGATGTTAACATTAATTTTGCAACTGCTTCTACAGCAGTTGCCATTATATCTAAATTTGATGTGTTTTGTAATACTTGTTCATATAATAATTGAATTGAATGCAAATCCGTAGAAGAGTCATCAAAAATATCATATTTATAACTCATAAATATGTCAGTCATGATCTTTATTGCTTCAATTTGCAAAGAATCATGTCCTTTTACCAAACAATGACAAAATAAAACCAAATTTTCTTTAGCAAGTTTCTATAATATTTAAACAAATATTTGCAACAAATATGCCTACTTTATCTAATAAACAACATAAACCTAAACATCGAAGACTTTTTTCCCTAATAGGTGCATTGTGACTTCTTACAGATGGTATGATTAAATTATGGAGTATTTCAATAAATTCAAAATTATTTTGAAGATTCTTTAATTATAAATTTCATTCTATTATGTTAAGATTTTTAATACGTACTTTTTCAATATTTTCAAGCATAACTTGAGTAAGATGAAGACACCTAAAAATAATAAGTGTTTTGTGACTTTCACTAGATTCTTCTGTTTCTCTTTTAATTATAGAATCAATAGATATATACGAAACAGCATTATCTTGATTAGATACTGCAGAAACAAATGAATCTTCTGATCTGGTATCTTCTTTGTTGTCTTTATTTTTATTTGTTCTTATATCTAAGGAATCATAAAGATCTAATATAATCTCCATTAAAAGTTTAACATAAGTACGTTCGTCTGATACTATTTTTTGAAAGACTTCTACCATATGAGTAATGAGATTTTCAGAAAAAATAAAATTAGGGATATTGTTTTCTATAAAATATCAGTTTAATTAATAAAGATGCTATTTATTACGCAGAATATTAAATATGTTTTTTCTTCCCATTTCATCACTAAAGTCAGTTGTTTTTATAATTAGTAAAATTTGTTCAAGTATAAATTCTAACTCTTGTTTATTTTCATCAGTACTATTTTCAAAATTCTCTAATATTTTTTCTATATATAATGCTTGCTGTGATATTTCTGGAATTTTTTCTTCTAAAAGATGGGTATATCCTTCCTTAATACAAAAATCATTCCAACATCTAACCAAAAAAGCAGATTCGGGTGTAATATTTTCCCAAAAATCACCTAATATGATATTATATTTTTTTAGATTATTAAATATTAATTTACTATCAAAAGTTATAGTTTTGACAACATCAATTCTCATAGAAAAAAAGCTATTCATAGCATCCTCCGCAATTTTACTATTTATAACATCTAATCTCTCTAGCAACTTTTCTAAATAAGAACCATGTGCAAACAAATTAAGTATATACTTCAAGAAGATTATTATTTACATGTTCGATCCATATTGTAGAAAACATTTTTACCGCTGCTTTCTTAACTTGATCATTTCTATCCTTTATTCCCCATCTCAGGATTTTTTCCCGTTTACCTATACTAAGTTGTCTAAAATCACCCATTTCTGGAAGAGTTCTAGAAAAAATAGTTCGACGATTTATACTGTCAGTATCACGAGCTCTTTCGATAATAAAAGGCAATGTTTCTACACTTTTTTCAAGATTCAAAATTACCGAACGTCTTACTTCTCTGTTTTATAACATTAAAATAAAAACACTTATTAATAACTCTTACGCATTTGAATCATGCTGTATAAGATGTAAAAAAATCTTTTTAATACTATCGCTATTCACATCTTCCTCCGAATTTTGAAAACGAGATGCTGCTATCACTGCTTGGACTCTAATAGAAGGTTCTTTGTCTCTTAATCTTTTTTCAAGAGCTTTTTTTAATAATTGAAATAAATCATCACTTATATATTTAATGTATTAAATATTGACTTTTATTTAATTCTTACTCAATCTCTTCCATACAATTTATAACTAACGTAATAATTTGACATATTCTAAGTCGAACATATTTATCTTTTGATTCTAATCCTGGTAATAAATGATCAAATAAACTTCTTACTAATCTAGATGCTATTGTTTCTTCTGATTCATCTTCATTTTGCTTGCATGTTTCTGATTTTTTCACTTTTTTTCATTATTTTAATTTAATTTTTAAAAATATATACTTTTATCTTGAATATGTTGAATATAATGTGCACAAAACTTAATAATACGATCTGCTGTCAGCTCTTTTTTTTTTAAGGGTAAGATTCTAAAAATATTTCTTAAGAATTCTTTAGTAAATTCTATTTCTTCCTCTAATCCTTTTTTTGCTTGTCCTTCATGAATATGTAATAATGAATTAACTAACTTCCGATGCGTTGCTGTTGATGCTTGAGCATCATTAAAGTCTGAAGTATTTAAAAAATAGCATAATTAAGAATAATCACTAACGTTGCCTAATATTTTGTTCAATTGAACCTTTTGTTAATGACATTTTTATATTTCTTTAATATCTATAAAAACTTAGTTGTCTCGATGTTATTACTAAGATAATTCTAAAAAATAAAAATAACAATATTTTATATAAAAGATTAATGATATATAGATTTTGGCTCGTAGTTGCACAAGTAATATTATTTAAACATTGTAAAACAATATATATATAATTTTATTAATATATAAAAAAATTTTAAAATTGTGTTTTAGAAAATACTTTTTGATTCTAAAATTTTAAAATACCAAAATTTATAATGTTCCACATTCCTGAATAACTACCTTAGCAGACGGAGTACCACTGGAACTTCCATAAGATTCGATTTTCTAATTAAAAAAATTAATTAATTATAATACAAAAAAAATATCACACTTTAACAACATCCATTCCCTCAATTACTTCTCCAAAAACAACATGTCTTCCATCTAACCATGATGTTGAAACTGTTGTAATAAAAAACTGGGACCCATTTGTATTAGGTCCTGCATTTGCCATAGATAAAAGTCCTGGCTTGTCATGTTTTAACTTGAAATTCTCATCAGGAAACCTCTAAAAAAATTAACTTCCTTTAACAAATCAATCTACAATTGCTCACTTCTCCATAAATAGACTTTCCTCCAGTCCTATCATTAATAAGAATTTCATCTATAAATCAAACTAATAAAAAAATACCCATTATGTCTAGTAAAATCCCCTCCTTGAATCATAAAATTTGGAATAACACGGTGAAATGTAGACCCCTAAAACACTCCATTATTCTTCTAAACATATTCTACCTTTAATTCCCACCTTATATCCAAATCCTTTTTCTCCTGTAGCTAATGCACGAAAATTTTCTGCTGTTTTAGGAACAACATCATCAAATAATTTAAAAACAATTCTTCCTAAGGGCGCATTTCCAGAAGAAACATCGAAATATACGTTTTTCATTCTTAGTATTTTCCTCTTAATTTTAATCAAAAACCAATTCCTTTTTTTAATTAAGATGTCTCTTAAAAAAAAAGCTCCAATGGAAAATACGAGAACATTTATTTGCACGTGATCATTTGTCCACGTGATCAATTTGTCACGTGTTCCTTACCATTATTTACTTTTTTTGAAGGGTTAGGGTTTATTATTTTAGTTTATTCAAAAGAGAGAAGCTCTACTTTTCAGTGTCATTTTTATTATGGAAAATCAACTATTCGGAAGATCAACATCTTTAAGTCTTGATAAGATTGTTAATCGGGTTTCAAGTATAAGTGTAAGAATATATCTTAAAAAATAAATATTTTTTAAGTCTTAATATTAAATGTTTGATAGCTTTATGATATTAAATCTATATTTCGTAAGGCACAGAATGGTAAGAGATAATAATAAAAAAAAGGAAAAAGAGCTTAAAGGATTCAGTGGTTATGAATTATAATGAAATTGAAGTTAAGGTAGAAAATAATAAATAAAAGATTTATAAAAAAAAAGGTTAATTGATTTTTTTAAAGGTTCGAGAAGCAACTAATAATGAACCATGGGGTGCTAGTACTACGTTGATGCAAGAAATTGCAGTTGGAACTTATAATTAGTAAGAGAGAAAAAAATATAATATAAATGATTGATTAGAGGTTATAGTACAGCTTTTAATGAAATTATGTTGGTTTATTTTAGAAAAAAAGAATTAAAATAACATCGAAATATAGGACTATGATATATAGGAGATTTACAGAAAAGTCGGCAAGAGAATGGAGACAAATATATAAGGCTCTTCAATTGTTAGAATTTCTTGTAAAACATGGATCAGAAAGAGTAATTGATGATGCACGATCTCATATTTCAATTATTAAAGTTCTTCGAAATTTTCATTATATTGATAACAAGGGAAAGGATCGAGGGATTAATGGTAAGTATAAAAAATAAGATATTTTTATAAAGAATATTTATGCAAGAAAACAGTTTCTAATAGAGCAAAAGACCTAATTCAATTACTTTTGGATAATGATCTTTTAAAACAAGAGAGAAAAAAGGCAAAAATTAATAAAGAAAGATATATAGGAGTTAGTTCAGATGATAATAAATGTAATAAATATGAAGGTTTTGGAAGATCTAAATCTGTTTATACAGAATACAATGATGAAACATTTTATGTAGATCAAAGATTTAATAATGAAACGAAAACGGAGAATTATAATGCTATGGATCATTCTATCTGTAAAGCGTCTATATCTACTTTTGAAGAATATAATGAATTTGATGATGAACCACGATATAAATCATGTTTGCAACAAAAAAATAATCAAAGCCATATAAATTCAAAAGTGTCGACTATTGATAGTAAAAATACCGTAAATACGTTTACAGATTTACTTCCTTTTGTGAATGATTCTTTTAATTCTAATGGAATTGAACCACGTAGATATCTAAGTTTTAAAGCACCTAATGAGTCATTAAATTCCAGTAATGATGATAAGTTTGATGAATTCCAAAGCGCTTCACTTCCTTTTGAATACAAAAGCATAAATTCTGAACAAAACAATAGTTTATTATTCTCTAGTCAAATGTCTAATGATTCATCATTAACTAAAAGATCTGCTATTCAATCAAATCAAACAGGAGATCATTCATTAGATATTTGTTCCTTGATTTTACAATCTAAAGATGATAGTTCAATATATAGTTTTGATAAAAAAAAAAATACTGAGCAGCAACAAGTAAAAAACATAATATTATTTTGGATAATAGTTAATTAAATTAGAAAAACGTTATTGAATTTAGTTCTTCAAAGTCTTTAAATACACGACCAGATGATGCATTTAGTAATATATGGACAGCAGCTCTTAAAGATATTAATAAATCTTCTACTGCGGAGATTAAATCTATTACAAATGAAACTGAATCCTTTATTGTTGCATCTTCTCATAATGATAATATTCTTTAAAATTGAAATATCTTAAATATGTTAGAATTCATTTTTAAGATTTTTTGGAAAAAACTTGATTTAATCTTTTGAAAATATTGCAGAATAGCTCAAGTATAAAAAATGAATATTTTGCAAACTGTGATACATTTATATGCTAATATTTGAATTAGCATAATAACTATATATGAGAATTCGCATTATTATTGCTTAAAGTATGAACTAATGTAATATGTACATTATAAGTTTGTGCCAATAATATTTAGTTATTTAGAAGTTTATATTTCTATATTTATGCATTCTCATTATCGCCATTTATTGTTCTTAATAATTCCTATAAAGAATTATATAAAAAAGGATTTTTAGAATAAATTTACCTTTGTTTGTTTAGCAATATCGAATGCGATTCCTGCCAGTTTTTGTTTAAATAATTTATCAATATTAATATTTTCAATTTTATCACCGAGTAGTTCTTCAGATCTAGAGCAACAACTTATTAACCCATTTACTATTGTTGATATTTTTTCTCTTAAGTTCTCATCATTTTCTATTGCTATAACCTGAAAAGTTTTCGAGACCACACTTTGAACAATACTTGTTATTTTTGTCATATGATCTTTTAGTTTTTTTATCTGGGCATCAGCTCTTACAGATGAAAGAAGACTTTGTATTAATTCAACAATATCTTCCGTTTTTGTTTCTAAGAAAGTCTATTTTATTATTATTAATATGTATTTAAAATAATTTTTTCAAACCTTAAAATCATCTAAATTATTGTCAAAATCAGAATCTATTACTGCTTTTAGAACTGAAGTTTTTGGCATTTTTGAAGTATTAGTGTTTGTTGAACAAATATCATGAATATCTGTGTTTTTTGATAATATTTCTGATGTTTTGTCTTCCAAAACATCTAAATTAGTTTGTGTCAAAGATGGATTTATAGGAGGCTCTTTCGTATTATCAAAATTATCATTCAACTCTTCCGGTGAATCTGTAATAATTGGAGGCCGTAATTTCACAAGTTTAACTAATTCGATAACGGTAGCAGTAAGATGAAACGCTGCTGCATCCAATAAACTAACAGGACTTAGTCCTTTATTAAGAGCATGATTTTTTGAAGCTATCATTAAATTATTAGTAGTAGCAGACATTCTTGACTTCAATTTTGCAATAGCCGAACTCTTTTGTGGATCATTAAATATACTTTTGTGTTTGTTATCTTCTAAGTTCATATTTATTGATTTTATTGATACAATTACATCTTTCATAGCTTCTAGGACACTTTTATGTTCCAAGGATCTATTTCATTAGCTCAAGAATAAATTAAAATAGAAAAACAACCTTCCAGCATGCAAAAGATCGTCTATTGCAATTTGGAAATTTGTGATAGCAATATTACTAATCACTCCATGTTCTTCGACGCAATTTTCATAATTTGTTTTGAATTTTAAAGGTTCAGTATAAGATGTTGCTAATATTGTCATTTTTCTATATATATATATGTAGAATATATACCTTTCAAACCAAGAAGTTGGGATTTAGCTTTCGAATACTAGAAATATTAATGTTTTCAAACAAGTTATGTTATAAAACCTGATTTTTCCATTCTTTAACTTCATCTTGAAGAAAAGACACTTGTTGTGATAATGCTTCAATTTGTTGCCAAGAACACGTTTCTTTTTCCGATAAAGATTTCATCTCTTTAAGAAATTCCCTAGCTTCACGTTTAACCTCATTAGTAACCTATAAATATGTTAATGAATACATATAGTAAATTATACGAACTCGTTGTTGTTCCTCCATCTCAGATTTTAGTTTTTCATAATTAACAAGTAATAATTGATATTTTTCATTATTTTTATTCAGAGTGTCTTGCTTTTCGTTAAGGATTTGTATTTCTTCATTTAGAATTTTATTAGACTAATATTTTAGAAAATTAATATTAAAATAAAAATACTAAATACCTGTTGAAGCTCTTTCAAATTAATTTCAAGTGTTTTTCTTAATTGTATTTCATCCTCAACATTTTTTTCATATGTTTTCTATAGTTTTATTAAATCATTATATATATATATATATTATTACTTTAATCAAGGAAAGTTCTTGTTCTGATTCTGCTAATTTTGCATTAACTATATTGAGTTGAGATTCTAAAGAAAATATTTTATTTTGTAGAGAAACAATACGGTATTCATAATCTGTTGAAGGTTCATTCTTTCGTATATTCTAAAGCTTGTTAATAAACATTTAAATTTAGATTTTTTAGAATTACATCTATAGATTCGGTTTTATTGTTAATAGTTTGTTTTTTGGAATTTATTTTGTTTTCTGAAAAAAAGGTAAAAATTAAGCATTTCTATAAAGAAAATCAAAATACCATGATAATCTATCTCTTTTAGCCTAAGATTATAATCTTCCGTCTTTTTGTCTAAACTTCTAGATAATTCTTGTGAAGCAGCTGCATCTAAACGAAATGAATTCGATGAAATAGATGCTTTAATAGGGGAAATCTCCACGTCAGAACCTTCCTCAATCATAACAGATTTATTTGGAATAATTGTATTTGGATGAAATGTTTTTGGAACCAACAGTCCAGAATTAAGCAACGTATTCGTAGAATCCGATGAAGATTGGGTATATGGCTCAGCATATATATCACTACATTTCAAAGTCGTAGAATTTTCAGCCTTCTATATTTAAGAATTACGTACTAAATAAATAGTTAATTTTACTAATTCAGGGAATCTTCGTTCTAATTCAAATGAAACATCTCCTAAAAGATCCAAAAAACGCGATATAGACAATGTAGATAGCTTTTGACGTGCCTGATTTCTTTTAGGATGAAATGATTCATTTGGTTGTAAAAATGATGCTAACAAATTAATTATATTGAATAATTAAATATATAAAACATTTACTATCAAGATTCTTCGTTTGTCTACGTATAAGCTCATCATAAACGTCTGTAGATAGTTCATAAAATTGCTGTTTTGAAAGATATGTAAGTTTTTCTCGAGCTTTTGTATTTCGAGGATCAAGCTCTATTTTCCATCGTTCTTAGACATTAATATTATAACAATAAACTCTACCTTTCCTAACGTTGGTTTTCAAAAACTGCTTAAATGCTGCATGATAGATGATATTTGTTTTTTCCTCAAGATGATTTACCATTGAACGATCAAAGTTTTTCGTTCTATTATTTTGATATGACATTTTTCATTCATCAATCAGATAAAATATTTAATTATATCTCCTGTCTTTAAATAGACATATAATGTTTGAGCTTATATTGCCTAATATTTATCTTTAAATAAGATAATTTTTAAGAAAAAAATCCAAGTCGTTAGGTATAAAACTGTCGATGTTAAGTTAATGATATTTAAAAAAAATAATTAAAAATATATAAGTAAAACAATAGATGAGTAGAATTAATTAAAATAAAGGGTTATTTATTATTATTTTTTCTTTGATTTCCAAAAAAAATAGAAAAAAATATTAGAAATACATTCAATTATTGATAGTGAACAGAATGAAGTAGAGATAATTTAGGATGATTTTTTTGCCATGTAGATAGAATATCATAAATATTATCGTCCATTGAATTAGAAGAGGCAAACGCATTAATTAGTTTTAGAATAGCTTGTCCGCCAATAACAGCTTCTTCATGATTATCTTTAATATCAACGTTTATAACATGTACTATTCGATTCATAAGTTGACCACGATTGATTAGATCTTGTTAGATTAAATGTATATATATAAATAAAGGAAAAATTATACCTTCACATACAGTATCGAAACATCTTTCTTCACATGTAATGACGATATCGAAAATATCTCTATTATCCTGCCATCTTTCAGGAAAGTTTTTTATTTTTCTATTTCTATCCAGCATATTTAAGAGTCCATTTGCTGTATATCTGTATATTATTAATAAATTTTATTTTATTACAAAACTGATACAATTTTATATCTTTATTCTTTAATTCATTGTATATTTGATCATAAGGTGTTCCAAATGGATAAATATTAGGTTTATCTATAGAAGGGCCAGGAAGTCTTACAGCTGAACCTGTACCAAAAGATCTTACATTATAACCAGCATTTCTATAATAATTTAAGGGATTATTAGAAATAGTTTAATATTGTTTACTTAAGTACACAATGTGCTTCCATACTTCTATAAAATATTTTAATAATTATATTAATTCTTTAATAAACATTTTGAAACTACCTATTCTGATTTGACGCACAAATGACACTGATTGCAAATTTTGTATTAGAATCTGTCATATTTTTCTTTTTTAATTAAAAATGATTTATATTATAGATAATACTTGACATAAAAATATAAAAAACAGATAAAATAATATTACTTTAATATATGATTCGGATGTATGTTGTTCCTTTAAAAAACATTTATAAGCAATTTCTCTTTATAAATTAAGCATTTTTCTGATTTTATGAATTAATATCGTTTTTTTTTTGTTAAAAAAATCAATATTTTAATAAAAATTCATGAAAAATCATTAAATATTTCATTAACTAAATCTTTAATTTTTTAGAAATATAATTTATAATATGAAAATTAAAAGTAATAAGAAATCATTGGGAAATTTATATGAAAAACGGCAAAGTTTGCCTTCTAAATGGTTGCAGACAGATATTTTTGGTACAATATATAGGGATTATGCCTATTCATGTGATGACCCTCGATTTTATAAATCTCCATTAGAATATGATTTTTTGAAAAGCACTCTGAATTCATGTATGAGATTTTCTTTTACAGATGATGATTTGGATTTTGATCAAGATTTATTGTTGAAGGATGATTATTTTCAGTCTACATTTGAAAATGAACAGTTTAATGATATAGAATCATATAAAGTTTTAGAGACATCAGCGGATGAAATATATGGAAAAGCAGTTGCTTTATTTGATTTTATACCAGAGCATGAAAACGAATTTGCATTAGTGAGAGGACAAAAGATATGGATTTCGTATAGACATGGGCAAGGATGGTTAGTTGCGGTTGATCCGGAAACAGGTTTCTAATTTAAAAGAGATAGTTTATTATTATTAATTTAAAAATAGGAGATACGGGCCTTGTTCCTGAAGAATACGTACAAATGTATGATTTTGATGATGTTTTTAGTGATAATAAAAAACAATATATATCTATTAAACAAAGTGAAGAAACTATTCTGGAGAATGATGTTCAAAAAGATAAAATAAATGATAATTATGATTCTAGTAGAAATTCGGATATGGATGACGTTATGAAAAATGAGACATATTCATTAGATGAGCAGTACTCTCGTTTAAGTTTATATGAAGAAAATAAATAAAATTATAATATATATTACCTATTTTATTTGTTATAACATATTTTTATCTATAAAAATATGTATTTAATAATTCATATTGTATACTTAGATTGTTTTCATATTTTGGTAACTACTTTTTTGATTTATTAAAGTATATTTATATAAGTCAAAATATATATCATTTTATTTTATATAAATTAAAGATTATTCATTCTCTATTTTATCTAATATATCTTAAGATATTTAAAATTGTTAAATTAAATATCCTTAGATATTTTTATATAACATAAAAACATATCTAAATACTATAAAAAACATTGAATTTAAGAAATTAGATAAAATACAAAGATTTTATTCAAAAAAAAATAAAAACAATACACTTCGATTTTTTTGTTTTAAATCTTTTATTGTAATTGTTAAAGATAATTTAAGACTTCGTTTTATTCAATACATTCATTATCATTTAAGATATAAATTCAATATATACCAACAATATACTCATATCTACCTATATTTATATTATTATCTTATAAAACGCTCATCTTTTTGCATAATTCATGTAGAAAAATATTACATAAAACCTTTTACACAAAAATATTATTATAAAAAACAGGATAAAATACATAACACTTCCTTTTTTTGTAAAAAGTTTCAACTCTTTACTTCATAATCACGTGACTCACGTAGCAACATTTGTTGTCAACACAACCAACACTTAGAGGTTTTCGATAAAGCATCTTATTTTTTTCAAAAAAACTTAGGAATTCTAATTTAAACTAAGATAAGCTTTGGCAAAAGCCATTGCTAGCACTTAAGAAAATGTCCAGTTCTTCAGTCTCAGTAACAGGTATAATATTATTACTAATATTAGTCATTTTAACCTTCATATTTAAGTGAGAGTTCGGCCATTAAACCCTAAAGAAACATCTCAACTTCAAATAAATAATAATGAAGTATCATCATTTATAGGAGATGGATCATTTACAGGGAGCTCTATACAGAAAAATCCTCCGAAGGGATTAAGACGAATTGTTCAAGTTTTAGATGAACGTGTTTTAATATTTGATCCAGTGGATACTAATCCTATGGCACGATTTCAAAAGACGTTATTACCAGTAGGGAAGAGGGTGAAGGAAATTAAGTATGCTTTTGATAGAGTTTTTGACGAAAATGCAACGCAAGAGATGGTTCAGATCATATTTTTTAAAATTAATATATAATTGTTATAATAGGTTTATGAAAATACAGCTAAACCTCTTCTAGATGGAGTATTAGAGGGATATAATGCTACCGTTTTTGCATATGGGGTATAATTTTTCTTTAATGGATTTTTAATTAATATTTTTTAGGCCACTGGATGTGGAAAAACACATACCATAAGGTATATCCTTTAAAAAGATTTTAATACTCTATTTAAAAATTTAGTGGATCACCAGAGGATCCAGGAATTATTTTTCTAACTATGAAAGAACTTTTTGATAAAATGACTTCTTTAGCTGATGAAAAAATTATTGAGATCACCATGTCTTATTTAGAAATATATAATGAAAGCATTAGAGACCTCTTAGTCCCTTCATCGATTGCGAAACCTCTTTCATTAAGAGAAGATTCAGATAAAAAAATAGCAGTACCTGGCTTGACATCATATCGTCCACAAAGCGTAAGATATTCGCTTTTTTTTTCTTAAACTAATATAGAGAAGGTGAATGAGGTCATGGAAATTATTTTGAAGGGTAATGCAAATAGAACAATATCTCCTACAGAGGCAAATTCTGTTTCTTCTAGATCTCATGCTGTTTTACAAATTAATGTTGCTCAAAAACCACGAACTGCTGATATTTCAGAGGAACATTTTGGTGCAACTCTTTCTATTATTGATCTAGCTGGAAGTGAAAGAGCATCTGTGACGAAAAATAGAGGAGATCGTCTTCTCGAAGGGGCCAATATTAATAGATCTTTATTGGGTAACATAATAGGTTTATTAGTTATATGATCTAATAAAAATAGCATTGGGAAACTGTATTAATGCTCTTTGTGATCCTCATCGACGCAATCATGTCCCTTATAGGGATTCAAAACTTACTAGACTTTTAAAATTTTCTTTGGGAGGAAATTGTAAAACTGTAATGATTGTTTGTGTAAGTCCTTGTAGTACTCATTATGATGAAACGTATAATACATTAAAATATGGAAATCGTGCTAAGAATATAAAAACTAAGGTATCTCGTAATATGATTACTGTGGATAGGCATGTCAGTCAATATGTTAAAGCAATTTATGAATTACGGCAAGAAGTTTCTGAATTAAAAAAAAAGTTAGAAGACAAAAAATCGGAAGAAAATGATAGAATATCTAAGAAATATGCATTTTTTGATATCAAATTAAACGAAGGTATTCATAAACTACATACAACATTTGAAAAATTATCTTCACTTAAAGAACAATATCTTTTAAATATGAATTTGCTACTTTCTCTAGAAAATCAATTTGAAATAATAAATTCCTGGCTCATAGCTTTCGATATTATATCTAATGCAAATCTTGATGATGAAACTATTTCACAATTTAAATTTACAAAAGAATTAGCTAAGAATTTATTAAATAATTTGGAAAATAAACGTCAAATTACTCTTCAGGAAATTTCGAAGACTACTATAAACAAAGATTTTGAAACTACATGTGATGAAATTTTAAAAGAATTAAGAGAAGAAAATCTTAATGAAACATTGATAAATTTATTTTTAAAAGAAGCTAAAATTATAAAAATAACATCCGAAAGAGATACTCTTTTAAAAGAACGAGCAAATTTTCAAACAATAATGGAAAAAACATACTCGATGATGCAACAATTTGCTAAATCAAGTTTTGAAGGATTAAATATTTCTGTATTAATGTTAAAGAATAAAGATAAAAATCTTATAACTCAAGTCTCTTTGGAAGAAAAGTTTAAATCTTCATGCAAAACTCTTGCAGATATAATTCATCAATTTTCATCGAAGACAAACACTTCTTTTGAAGGTGAAACTGATACAAATGAATTTATAAAACCTTCTAGTCCATTTTTGAGAGCATGTTTTAAAAAACCATATCTTCAAATTTCATCTCCTTTTCAAATTAAATCTCCAAAAACATTCAAAGTACATACTCCAAAAAAAAATGTTATGTTTCATAAAGGAAAAAACGTTTTTAAAAAGAAGAAAGTTAGGTGGAATGATCAGCCAAGTGATACTGAAATGAACAATACAAAGGATGATTTGACTGAATCAGATTCTCATGTTCTTTCTGATTTAAAAATCAATATTACACCTAAAACAACGCCAACATATTCATTAGAAAGTCAAAACCGTATGTTGTCAGAAGCAGATAATATAATATTTTCTCATATTAATCAAGACGATCAAGAAAATTCATTTATAGAATCAGATTATGAAACTGGAAACATAATTGAAAACATTAATTCACCAAAACTAAGAAGCGCTCTAAAGAAAACAGATAAAATAATTGCCAGAGTTTGTAAAAGAAATAGATTGTCTTCTAACATAACTGAAATTTCTACAAAACCTATACTTAGAGGATTAAAATTTGATAAAGAGAATCTGAAATCTAGTCCCACACAAGAATCACCCCGAAGTCGCACTTTTGCAGTAGGGAATTCGATAGGAGGTTCCATTAGAGTCTCTAATCCCGCAGCAGTTTTTAAGGAGACAAAAGATAGTTCTAGTATATCTAGAACAGAAAAAAGTGAATTAAATAAACCGCAAATTAATAATAAACCATGGAGATAATATATAATGTAATAAAAGATATTTTTTAGAATCGCTTAAGATCAATATATTTGGTCAATTGAATAAATCTTTGTAGTATAGTGCAATCGATTGTCTAACAATATTTTCAAGTAATTTAAAATTGATTAGAAATTTAAACTTCAAATATTTTATATTTAAAACAAGGTTCTGAGCACAAAAACATCCTATTTTATAAATTCCTAATTCTTTTTAATATTCATATATTTTATACAAGATTATGAAAAAATTAAATGCTAAATATCAAGCAGAAATCATTCAAAGTACTTAAAAAATAAAGGGTTTTAAAATATAAATTAGAAAATACATTTATATAATATTTTATAAAAACAAAATTTAAGTTTTAAATTCAAGCCCTTATTTAAAAAATTAAGTAAAACACAACACAAAAACACTAAAACATGATATAGATTCTAGAAATGGGCTAGATGAATTAAAACCTCCAAAAATAATTACGCAAATATAATTACATTTAAAAATACCCAGGCAAGAATTCCACAAATTATGTAACCCATGTCAAAATATTCAAAAAAAACATACTCTTATGAATTGGAATAGAACTTCTTAAAAATCATATGCAGCATTAAATTAACATTAATTTTAACCAACCCTTCAAATAAAGGCAAAACCTCAATATTATTATATCTAAAAATATCAATTTCTCTATTATTAAATTAATAATCATACTGTGCTTCAAGCAAATCATCTAGTTTTAACTTTAATATGGAATCAGGAAAATGAAGAGACCCAGAAGTAACCTCAATAATAAAAACACCGACATCGTTCGAAGAAAGTGTGAAATAAAACTTTCCGTAATCTTTTTCTTCATGATTATTTATTGAAACAATTACCCCCTTATCAAAAAGTTGACGACCAGAATATTTATGAGACCCAAATTTTGGGACCTGACCAGATCGTTTTAGATTTCTAAGATGAAAATATTGTTTAGTAAAAGGAACAACTTGCTTTTTCTTTCTAATAGAAAGTAAGCATATATATATATATATATATATAATATATTACCCTTTTTTAGTTTGTAATGAAATCAATGATTTCTCTATATAATTGTTATAACTTTCTAATTGAGATTTCAAATAGAGAGCCTTATTATCTAAATGAGCTAACGTTTGTCTTGCACTCTCAAGTTCCATTTGTCGCTGTATTCTACGGCGATGTTTTGTACGAATATCAGTAGCAATTGCATTTAATAAATCCTGATAGTAATTGGATCTAGATATTATACCCTTAGATTCAAGTTTTAAAATATTGTCAAGAGCAGCAGCTTTGATCTGAGAAAATGTCATTCTAATAAAAATAAGAAAACAGAAACTTTGAAAAAATATATGTTACTCTTTAATATTATATATATTATTTCTTGTATATATATTTGAATGTTTATTATTTTTACTTTCTTCAATCAGAATTTGCTCCCATTTTATTTCATCGTTAGGATGTACAGGTTGAATAAGTATCTCCATCAAATTTAATCCGGTTTGAATTCGAATAATATAAAAAATATAATATTTTGTTTCGATGAATAAAGCTCGAATTTCAGAATCAGGATCTAGGTTAAATATTAAAAAAGCCATAATTTTAAAAAATTATCGGTACTTTCTATGTGAACCAGTCTAGGATTCAATGTAAGATCAATTTCAGTGTCCGAAATTTTCATAAATTCCTCATTATTCGATAATAATCCAAGTTGTTTAATAATATCGCGTAACTGATCATCTTGATTTGGTGCCTAATTACTATGAATTTATTTTTACAAAATCAAAAAAACTACCATAATTTCAATTTCATTATAAACTAAAGAATGGATAGCAAATATGTCAGAAATCTTAATATATAAAATCGGTTTTTGAGTACAAGTAAGATCATCAAATTCATCCATCTCAAAATACTGTTCAGCATCTTGTACATTAATTACTTGAAAGATAAATTAAAAAAGAAACCAATAACCCTTTTTTATTTACCCGTCTTAAAAATTTTCATCATTTTTTGAATCGCCGTTTCAAGATATAGATTAAGAGGACAAAGAAATACATCATTTTCATCAAATAATTCACCTGTTGTAATTTGTGAAAGCATTTTAGAAATCTCTGCTAAATTTCTACGCTGTAAAGTCGTAATAGGTCCATCAATAATATTAAAAACATCTGGTGCATTTATAACAGGATCAAAATAACGATAATATATTATATATCCAATAAATTTAAGAATTTCTAACGGGTTTCCATCAGGGAATCTTGTCTATTTATAATTAAAACTATTAAAATAATACGAGTAAAATACCAAAAGTGTACGATATACTTCTCTTGCTATATATCGTAACCCAAATGGCATTTTATGTATATTAATTTCTATAGCATTAATAAAGCTTTCTGTCCAATCCCTCAAATCTTGAAGATGCTTAATAAAAAGATCTCTGGTCTCCGGGTCTTGAATTGCATCTGTTTTTTCAAGATTAAGCCGTCGTTTACTCTTCTGACCAGTTATACGTTCTTCTTTACTAATTATTGAATGATATATCTATAAATCATTAAAAAATAACAAGATAACAACCATGCTTGCCATCGCAGGATCGCTTTCAAGATCGAGATCATCATTTTTAATTATTTTTTCTATTAAAGGTTCAAAAAGTTCTTTTAAATATTTTCTTTCTTTAACACTCCTAAAACATATTAAGAATAAAATAAATATAAAGATAAAAAACCTATTATAAGAAACAATAATTCTTATCCACAAAGAATCACGTTCAAAAAATTCTTGTATATTTTCAACTTTAATAAGTTCTTCAATGATACTTCTTCGAAGTAACTTTAATAAAAAATATTCTTCCCTTCGTTTTTGAGCATAACCAAAAATACATGCCAGAAAATTCTCAAGTTGTTTAATATTATCCTCTGATGCTCTTCTCTCACAATAACTACAAAATAGACGTGCAAAATATTCAGGACAGGTTTGCAAAAGAAAAAAAAAATCCTGATATAGCTCCAATTTCTCTCTAGAAGATTTATTAAGGGCTTTTAAGTCAAATGGATCTTTTAAAAGTCCTTGAGAATTGGAATGTAATAAAATTTTTGAAGAAAATCGCTTCTGATGACAAATAACTTCATCCAAAGTTACCATATTTTTAACCAACAAAGCAATTTTCAGATCTAATTGGTAAATATGTTCTTCGGCATTCTGATTAGCACGAACACGTTGAACAATCATTTTTCTAAGCGATTCCATTTCTATAAAAGCTTTTAGATAGAATAAACTAGAAAATAAAAAATACCAATTTCTTCTTGAAAATCATAATTACTATCACTTAATAGATGGATAAAATTTTTAATAGTCGCAACAGGAGGATTTTTTCCAGAAGCTATATATGTTATAATTTAATAATAACAACATCAAACCTACTTAGATTTTTATAAGCCTGTCCTTGAAGTTTTCCACGAACAAAACTTTGAATTTTAATTATCTTTTGTATGTTTTCCTTATAGTATTTCATTTTCCTATTGAACTTATTACGAACTAATATTCCTCGAATATAACTTTGAAGAATTACAATCATATCCCCTTCAAAAAGCAAAGATCCAAGAATATAATGAAGCCTCTTTCGAAGTAGAACACCACGAGATTGAGCTTGCAAAAAAATAGAATACCGATTCATTGAATGAAAATGCATAATATGGCTTTCAAAAGCACGTCGAAAAAGCAATCCTCGAGAGTATGATTGCATCTTAACAATTAAACCCTCTTTTTTCATGAAATCATTAAATAAAGAGGAAATTTTTTTTCGTAGCAAATATCCTCGGATTATAGCCTGAATTTTAACAATATCTTCTTTATAATAATCAATTGAATCTTTCCATCCTATATAAAATTTCCTTATAATATATCCCCTGGATACCGTTTGAATCTAAATACCTACTTTAGTATATAATAATAACATTAATAACAAAATATACATTTTTTATCCATTTTTTAAATTTATGATACTCATTCATTTTTTCAAGAAACAATTTTCGTACAAAAAAACCTCTTATATAAGCTTGCAGTAATGAAATAACATCTTCTTGATCCAAAAGAATTCGAAAGGCTTCTATCAATCTCTTACGCAAAAGATATCCTCTACAAACTGATTGGCATTTTAAACCAAACGCTTCTTTTTCAAAAGGAGATTCATCACCTAATAAGCGTTATATTTTCATTAAAAATAAATATAGCTACATTTATTTATCCTTTTTTCTTGTGGAATATTTAATTCCCCTGCGAGTGTATTCCCAATATTTTTAAAATTAGGAAGACTTACGCCAGCTATATCTAAATCACGTTGAGTATTTTTAATTTCTTCATCTGTGAATTCAAGCTTTCCAACTAAATTGCTCATGGATGCAGCAAGTCCAATATGTGAAAGCATGAATGAAAGAGCGTGAATGCAATAAATAACTTTTGGAATATTTTTTTTTTCATAAAGATCAGTAAGTTCAAATCTGAAAACCTAAAAAGTTAATAAGTATATCCTGAATTAAAAAAGAATGTACATCCGGCAAATTAATTCTTTCAATAAATTGAAAAAAACGATTGATATTATCACTGTGTCGAAATTGCAATTTAGTAGCCTCAAAAATCTTTGGAACTAACTCTGGAAAAAATACTCTAGCAAGCTTTGCTAAAACAACCCCATCACGCAAAGATTCTTCTAGTTCTAAAATAGGATGAATATCTTCTCCAATACATAATTCTATCCATCTAATAATCCTTTAACCTTTATGAAAAATTATTTTTAAAAAATACTCTTTTGCTTCCCCTATATGACAGAGATATTCATATGCTTGTATGTTTGCACGTTGTTTATCCATCTACCATCATTCAATTCTATAATAAACTCTAAATATAGAATTTACCCAAGTTTTATGCCATGAATAAACCCTATTTTCAATTCCCTTCTGTAATCGTATTCTCCCATGCAAACCTTAAAATCATTATTTACCATTTTTTTTCAATACCTATATATACCTGTAACATCTTCTGCTCCCTTTGTTACTCCTGGAATACAAATCTCTTCACAATTATTTAACAATGACAACTTACAAAGAGTACGAAGATGACTAACTGTACTCTTATTCAGTTTTTTAAGATCATCCAAAGACGGTTTTTGTATTAAATCATTTGATATTTGTAATTTACGTGGCGATAATGATAATCGTGACAAAGGCCCTTCTCTATATGTAAAACAATTCGTAGGAACCTCCGTAAGCCCTTTAGAGGGAGTAGATGGTAAGGATCCTGTCATATCTACTTTCTTAATAGGCTAGTTCTGTCTGCTAATATTCTTGGAGGTTCAACGCTTTCAAAGAAAAATAAATATACGTTGTCATGACAACAAAATCTCGCTCCTAGCTTTTTACAACGTCAATAAAAAGCTGGATCATGATAAATACTGGAAAATACTATGAATTCAAGCAACAAATGATATAAATAGGAGAATAATTAAATCTTACTGTATGGAAGAATATAATTCTCTATGTTTGTTAGAAGAAGTTGAAAAAAAACTTAAAGAATATCCGGAAAAAGTATAATAAGCTTTTTAAATTTTTATTAAAAACTAATAATATAGGATGGACTTGACCTTAATACACTTATTTCTAGTCGACATAATGGGGGATTGACATATAATGATATGATTATTCTTCCGGGATATATTGATTTTGAAGTAAATTCAGTTTCTCTTGAAAGTCATATTACAAAAAAAATAGTTTTAAAGACGCCATTTATGAGGTATTTTTGGCATCTATTTATTTGAGTATTTTAATATGTAGTTCACCGATGGATACAGTTACAGAGTCAGATATGGCAATTAATATGGCGCTTTTAGGCGGTATTGGAGTGATTCATCATAACTGTACTATAGAAGAACAAACAGAAATGGTTAGAAAGGTTAAGAAGTTTGAAAATGGGTTTATAACATCACCTATTGTATTATCACCAAATCATAAGGTAACAGATGTTCGTATGATAAAAGAAGAATTGGGTTTTAGTGGAATTCCGATAACAGGTAAATATAAAAACATTAAATGTAAAATATGATGATTTTTTTTTGAAAACTTTCGTTCTTCCGTATATTACTATTAGTTATGTGGAAAAATTTATCTGATTTGTTCTAAATAATTATTTTATGATATTAATAATGGTATTTTGTAGACACGGGTCAACTTAACGGAAAACTTTTAGGGATTGTTACTTCTAGAGATATTCAATTTCATAATAATGATGATTCGCTTCTTTTAGAAGTGATGACAAAGGATTTGGTAACAGGTTCTGAGGGCATTACACTTGAAGAAGCGAATGAGATTCTTCGTTCTAGTAAGAAGGGAAAATTACCTATTGTAGATAAAGAAGGAAACTTAACTGCTCTTCTTTCGCGTTCTGATCTAATGAAAAATCTTCATTTTCCTCTAGCATCTAAATTGCCAGATTCTAAGCAATTGATATGCGCAGCAGCAGTTGGAACACGTCCTGACGATAGAATTAGATTAAAACATTTAGTAGACGCAGGACTGGATATTGTTGTACTAGATTCGAGCCAAGGAAACTCTATTTATCAAATTAATATGATTAAATGGATAAAAAAAGAATTTCCTGGCTTAGAAGTTATTGCGGGAAATGTTGTAACTCGAGAACAAGCAGCCAATTTAATATCAGCAGGGGCAGATGCATTACGAATAGGCATGGGTTCTGGGTTTATTAATTTATATTTTTATTAGATATATAAACTAATGTCATCTAGTTCAATTTGCATAACACAGTAATTCTTTTTTTTATTTAAATAGGCATTGATCTTATTTTTTTTGATAGAGAAATAATGGCTGTCGGTAGACCTCAAGTATTTGTTAATTAACAAATAGATATTATTTCTAATTTTAATATTTCAGGCAACAGCTGTTTATGCTGTCTCAGAATTTGCTTCTAAATTCGGTGTACCAACTATTGCAGATGGTGGAATCGAAAATATTGGGTAAAGAATATTTTTATATATATTATTTAAATTTATTCAAATAGTCATATAACAAAGGCATTGGCTTTGGGCGCATCTGCAGTTATGATGGGTAATCTTTTAGCAGGAACTGCTGAATCTCCTGGTCAATATTATTATCGTGATGGTCAACGTCTAAAATCATATCGTGGAATGGGTTCTATTGATGCTATAGAACATTTATCAGGAAAAAATAAAGGTGACAATGCAGCAACTAGTCGTTATTTCAGCGAAACAGATACTATTCGTGTTGCTCAAGGTGTTTCTGGTAGTGTCATAGATAAAGGTTCATTGCATGTATATCTTCCTTATTTGCGAACAGGGCTTCAGCATTCATTACAAGATATCGGTGTACAGAATTTAACAGAGCTAAGACAACAAGTTAGAAAAAAAAACATTCGGTTTGAATTCAGAACTGTTGCAAGTCAATTAGAAGGAAATGTTCATGGTATATTTAATTTTAATATTTGAATCTAATATAATTTATATCAGGATTACATTCATATCAAAAAAAACTTTGGAGTTAATTAAAATATTTTAAATATATATTGACAATTTATATAAAAATATTTTTTTCTGTTATTTTTTTAATAAATTTAAAATTTTATAAATACTTTATCTAAAATTCATATCTATCAATATCAACTTAAATTGAAATTAAAAAATATTTAGTTATAAAAATAAGTATTCTTTAGGAGATTTAGTAAGGTTTATATGAAGCTCATAAAGAAGAATATTGCTAGGGATTCTTCTGGAACAGTTATTTTATATCCCGAAGAACCTGAGGATATGTGGTAAATTGATCTATAAAATTATAATAAATAAATACGTTAGAAGGCACACATATAATCTAATACAAGAGGGAGATCGTGTTAAGTCTTTTACTGTTAGGTTTATCCAATAAAATAACCTGGAATATTTATTAATATATATTAGACGTATACAAAATGAATCATCTATAGGATCTATAACATCTGAAAGAGGGAGATTCATATAATATTAATTACTTATTTATAACTTTTTTTAGTGAAATTAACATTAGAATTGATTGCAAAAAAAATAGACTTTGATTCTCAAGTATCTCAAGTACATATAAATGGTACAGTTTCAGAGGAAAAAAAATATATTAAGATGGGATCTTATCATACATTAGATCTAAAACTTCATAGCAATTTTACATTAACAAAACAAGAATGGGATAGTATAGCATTAGAAAGATTAGATGAAGCATGTGATCCTAATAAAAGAGCAGAAATAGGAGCGGTTGTATTACAAGAAGGTATAAATACACTAATAAAGTTCAATAATGATATAAATTATCATTAGGATTAGCAAATGTATGTTTAATTACAGAATATATGACAATCTTACGGCAACGGATTGAAATTCAAATACCTCGAAAGCGCAAAGACAATGCTTCAGATTATCAAAAGGTAAATCAACTATTATTAGAAGTTGGATTACAATAGATTAGGGTATAAACAAATTTTGTGAGACAGTAATGCAAGCAATCTTACGATCATTTGATTTTACAAATTTAAAAGTAGTATTAGTAGCATCTCCGGGATTTATAAGTGAAACATTAATAAAATATATATTTGATGAAGCAGTTAAAACCGATAATAAAACACTTTTACAGTCACGTTCTAAATTTCTTCGACTACATTGTTCTAGTGGGCATATGCATTCATTAGATGAAGTTTTAAAATCACCAAACATATCAACAAAGTTAGCAGATACAAAATTTGTTCAAGAAACAACAGCATTAGATAGATTTTACAAAATATTACACAATGATGAAGAAAAAGCATGGTATGGTATTAAAGAAGTATCTTGGGCAATAGAATGTAAAGCTGTTGAAACTCTTTTAATTTCAGACATGCTTTTTAGGTAGTATTATAAATATTAAATTTAAAAATTAATACAAGAATAGAAGTAATAATATTAATGAGAGACAATATTATGTAAAATTAGTAGAAACAGTAAAACAATATGGAGGAAAAGTATTAATATTTTCAAGTTTACATGAATCAGGGATTCAACTCAATCAATTAACGGGAATTGCTGCAATTTTAACTTTCCCAATAAATATGGTTAAAAATAATGAATAAAAAATCTATCAACGTCTTGTTTGAAGGTACCAAACATATTGTCCATTTCGATATCGTAAAATATCTTGTAAGACTCCATTAATCAAACCAAGAGAGCTTGTTAAATAAAAAATACGAAGTGTCATTGTGTAAGAAAATTGATGTACATAAGAAAATATTAACCCGCTTAATACAGACGCAAGTACCGTATTTCCTGCATCTATACATTTACGAACATAATCTAATATATACTCCATACCGAGATAAATATTCACCCATAAAGAAGTTCGAAATGCATATTTTAAACCCACTTTTATGCCACCCAACATAACACTAAATTTTAAATATATAAATTAAAAAAATAAATTAGAAATGTTACTAATAATTTTTTGTTTTATGATAAAAATACCATCCTTGAACAGTTTGGGGTAAACGATGTGCATTTTCTACAAGGAACTGCTTGCCATTAATTATTAATAATAAAAGCTAAAATAAAAAACATACACGAAGCCCACTTTTTTTACCTCCTACGATTGAACCTAAAGTAAAAGATAAAAAGGAACTAACAGATGTATAAAGAATAAGTCGTGATATGAGTGGTAAATTTAAACGATCGTCATTCATATAAATCAAGATTTCTTTAAAAAATGTGGATATTAAAAGCGAAACAACAAAAAACAACGGTTTTTCTAACGGCAAAGCCGAATGACTCTTTAAAAACATTAAAACAGGAATTACGAAAAGCACTTTATGAGACATCACTTCTTGAAAAGACAGATGATAAAATGGCAGATGAAGATGCTTGTCTTCAGTTAAAAATTCATGGAATTATACAAATGAATGACAAGAAAAGTCTTGAAGAAGTGGGTCTCGAAGATGGCGCAATTTTAGAATTTAGTCGATTACATAATGGTGTATGGGAACCTTTTGAATCTGAATCATATCCTGAATCTAATGAATCTTAAGAAAAAATTAAAAAAATTCTATTTTCAAAAATATCGACATTAAATGATGTATAAAATGCAATAAATATTTTATCTCCTTTTTATATATAAATCTTTCCATCTAATAAATTTACTCATTAGCCTATTTCGCTTCAAAAACTGACAAGGCAATATGATCAAGATCACGTTGACCTTGTTGAGTAATTCTTCGACCCCCTCGTGCATCTTTCTCAAGAACTCCTATCTTTTCAAGACACTGAAGTGCTTTTCTTTGAATAGACCCCGAACCATCATAATGATGAGATGGTCTAGATCCTCTATTTTTCGATCCACCATATAATTTACATAAAGAACCTACTCCACTTCGATTTTTTAAATATATATGTCTTGCAATAGCTGCTACTCGAACATAAAACCTAGATATACATTAATACCTATTAATTCCCATAATTTCTGCCTTTACCAATCTGAATCATATGGTCCCAATTCTTTAAAATGTCCTGTTTTAACTATATCTACCCATGAAGGAACTTCTAATTTTCCCGATTGTTTTAGAAATTTTGCATAACAGCGAATAAATTTATCAGCATCTACGTCCCTTAAAGTAACCCCTCCTACCATCCTTAACCTTATGACTCAACAAATCCTAATAAAAGTAAAAACTAATTTCTTAATAGTAATCGTTTCTTAAGATGTTTAATATTTTTTATTAAAAAACAGTCCGAGCTTAAGAAATTAACCCTAAGATTAATTAAAAATATGTTAAATTGTTAATATTAATATAAAATTGTAGTAGAATTGGTTATATTTCTTATATTTTTTGGAGAGGGTGGATTTAAAAATAAGAAAGTTCTTAATATATTTTTAAGCTTTTTAAGTAACTTTTAAATGATTTTTAATGATTTTTAAATAAAATTTAAAAATTATTAAAATAATATTGATGAATAAGAAGAATGATATAAATAACACATTTTCATGGAAAGCAGAGGGGAGTTTACTTTCATTGGCAGCAAATGCGGGGAAAGATCGTGTTGCAGTGGTTGGAAGAGAAGGTTAGATAAAAAAAAGGACCATGATAAGACAGGGAATAAGACTAATATAGGATTAGTTCTTAAGATATTAGATGTTTATAGTGGAGGAGTAACTGGAGAGGTTAATCTTTATGCGGGAAATCGATGGAGTCCTACATTTTCATCATGTGATGTTAAATGGGGATGTGCAGGTAAAATGAAAATAAATGTAAAATATCTTATTAAAGTAAACTTAGGTACACGCAATATTTTAGCAACAGCATCTACAAATGGGTCTATTGTTTTATGGGATTTAACAAAGCCATATGGACATCAAATTGATAGAATTATTACAGAACATTTTCGTTCGGTAAATCGTCTTGCGTTTAATCATTTGACAGGATATTGGCTTCTAAGTGGATCGCAGGATGGAAATATTAAGCTTTGGGTTTGAATATATGTTAAATAAGTTATAATGGTAACTTTTATTTAGGATTTAAGGGATAGAAATGGGACATCAAAATATACAATGCATGGAAAAGCGGAATCAGTCAGAGATATTCAGTTTAATCCAAACTCAGTGAGCGAATTTGTAGCAGCATTTGAAAATGGAACTATCCAGCTTTGGGATATTCGAAAACCTAATATTTATGAACGTAAAATTAATGCTCATAATGGTCTTGCACTTACACTTGATTGGTATTCAGATGGTCGACATATTGCTACTGGAGGAAGGGATAAGATAATTAAAGTATGGGATATATTTTCAGATTCTCGTAAACCTATTTCTGTTATACAAACTATGGCACCTGTTAGCAAAATTGCATGGAGACCTATTTCTAATAGAAGAAATGAAAATGTCTTAAAAACCGAAATTGCTAGTTGTTCTTTGGTATCTGATTATAAAATATACATTTGGGACATACGGCGTCCTTATATACCTTCACGAGTTCTTGATAAACATGATAATGTAACGACTGGTATGCTTGTTTCTATTTCAACATCTTTTTTATTATTTTAGGGATCATTTGGAAAGATGAAAATTATTTATGGTCATGTTCTAAAGATAAAACATTCATTCAGCATTCAGTTTCTACAGCTGATATTCCGTTGAATTCTATTCCTGTTATAAGCATGGACTGGAGTCCTTTAGGAGATTTAAGCATTGTATTACAAAATAGATATAGCGAAATGAATTATTTTAATACAGAATATTTGAGCTCAGTAGAAGATGAAAGTATATCACGAGAAAATAAAAAACATTTTCGGTTACATCATCGTACTAGCAAAACGCTTAATAATATTGTAAGTCAGTTATATAAACCATTGCATATTTCTGGAACAATTGTTATTCCAAATCTTCAATACTATGGTTTTACTTATCTTGCTCAACACTATAATATTACTGCATCACCTAATCTCTCAGTATCTCAAGCATGTGAAAACAATGCTAATTTTGCATTAAATATACAAAAATATCGCACTAGTCAGACATGGAAAATACTTCAACATCTTTTAGAAAATAGAAAGTATCCAATCAAGAATTCTACACATACTAATAAAACCGCTGACACGGATAATTCTATCGAACATGATTACAAAAATAATGATGATTTACTCTTTAAAATGTCTTTGAAAAACAATATAAACGAATCTAAGACTTTATTGAATAGAGCAAGTTCTGTTTCTCGTAAAAATGCTGATATGTTTTTGAAAAGTGATCGCGTTGGTAGACATTTTAGAAATAATACAGAATCAGTAATTTCGAGACAAAATGTTTTAGATGATGGGAATATATTTGACAAAAACCAAGAAAATACAAATTTCAATGATGAAATACATGAGTTATACAATTTTCGTGATAATTTCGAAACAATTTCTCAAAGTTTCAACTCTGATTATACTGTGTGTTCTTTCAGAAATGATTTTGATCGGGAAAAGCATTTAAAATATTCTGATACAAGCAATAATAATATCTTTGTTAAACCTCGTTTTACTAATATCGATACAATAGAAAATACATGTCCATGGTCTATAAATTCTCTTATTCAAGCTGTAGCCGAATATTATAGTGAAATAGGGGATATTCAAATGTGTGCTACTATTGTTTTATTAATGGGTAAATATACGAATTTTGATTCTTTAAAAATAGAAAAATGGATTGGAGAATATATTGAACTTTTACAAAAATATAGAATGTTTATAACTATGACAGAAGTTATAAATGCGTCATCATCGTTACTTATAAGAGCATTAAGTCAAACAGAAACGTCTGTTTATATAGATTGTTATTGTTGCCACAAACCAATTGTAAATCAAAAAGAAAATAATACCTTTTCATATTGTAAATGTTGTCGAAAGATACCCAATGGATGTACAATTTGTGATATACCAGTAAAAGGTAGATATTTATGGTGTCAGAGTTGCGGTCATGGAGGACATACTGAATGTCTCAGAAACTGGTTTATGAATAATTATAATCATTATGGTGCATGCCCTGCTATAGCCTGTACTCATCATTGTGGTTTTTTTCTAGATAATTGCAAGGTTTTGATTCCATGAAAATACCCTATTTATATAAATTTGTTTTTTTTTTTCAAAAATATTTCTAATATATTTATTAATTCTATTTGAAAAGTTTAAAAAGAAAAAAACAATAATTCTAACTTATTTCAGATCTTCATTTTTCTTAGAAATATTATGATTTTTTTATATAAAATTATTTTGAAATATATTTTTTATTCATGTTGCATATTTAAATATAAATTATTGTTTAAATATTTAAAATAACAATACAAACATAGTATTTATGTTCAATACTGTTACTTAAGAATATATAATTTACTAATTATACATATAATTATTATTTATTTTTAGCATAATTATATAGATCAAGCGTCTTATCACCCCCCACGACCTTAAAGAGTATAAAATACAACTCTCTATAAATATCTTATAAATAACTTTTTATCTAATTCCTTTTCCTTAATTTTGTATTGGACAGTCTAGAAGACTAGATTTAACAATCTATATTCTTTATTTCATGAATCCACTATCTTGTCAGTCGTCTAATATTAAACAACGATCAAATTCATTTTCAAATTCTTCAAAAATATGGCAGCCGGATTCAGATGTTTTACTTTGTCCTTTTTGCAAAAGGTAGTTAAGATATGCTTTAATAAGGAGGGTAATTATTTATTTTTTTACTGTAGAGCATTTTCTTTTTTTCATCGGAGACATCATTGTAGGAAATGTGGATGTGTGGTTTGTTCAAGCTGCTCTTCTAATAACTGGGTTTTTTTATTATATTTTAGTGGTTTATATACAGAACTGATAGTTTTAGGACTTTTCAAGGTCCTTTGATTTAAAGAAAAATAGCAATAAACAGTGTGATTCTAAAGTCCTTCGTGTCTGTGATAAATGCTTTATGCAGTTGTTTGAGGAACAATCGCAAAAGAAGACAGAAAGTCATTCTTTAATTCAAAAAACACGAATTAATAATGATGAAATGATGGAATGTCCTGTATGTTTAGAGTCTTTTTCAATGATACCAACATTGTCCGAACGTGAAATACATATTGATAAATGTTTAAAAAATAATCATTATACCTCAGAATCAACTCTTAATAAACGGCGATTCTTATCTTATGTTCTTCCTCAATCTAGTTCTCTTGTAGGTACCGAATGTATTATTTGCTTTGAAGAAATGCTGCCTGGAGAAAAAATAGCACGACTTGAATGTCTTTGCAATTATCATGTGGTATTATTTCATAAAAAAAAACTATTTTTTTAATTTATTATTATTAGATATGTATAAGACAATGGATTTCTATAACCACAGGTAGAGGATGTTGCCCTATTCATATGCTACGATCTTGACTTTCATATATACCCATCTTCGTCATAATTCATTTGAATCGTATACCTTTTCGTTTTTGTAATTATTGATATTAGTTACTTTTTCTAGGACCTTTATGCATATTTGTATAGATTTATTTTTTTATTAGAACTATATTGTTCTTATTGTAAATAACCCTTTTTTTTATAAAATATTGATGCTTTAAAGAATAAGATATTTATAAACTTATGAATATATCTATAATTAATAAATTTCATAAACCTTAAGAATCGACGTCTGTTTTTTAAAAAAATAGAAAAATATAATACTAATACTTTATTCTTAAGAATATCTTCTATATTTTTTTTATTTACGTAAGTACTTTTTAAACATGATTTTAAAATTAAAATGTAACTTTTTAATAAGGTAATATTTAGTCTAATCTTAGGATCATCATAAAGTGAAATACAGATGGTTTTGACAAGATTAGCATCTCATTCGTCAAGATATCCTATTCATACAGTTGTCATTGTTTCATTACTTGCAACAACAGCGTATATTCATCTGTTTGAAATTGCTAGAGATGGCGGTATTGATTTTGGAACATCTTTCGCAAATAATCTTAGTCTTGATTTTCGGAGCATAGAAGGAGCTTTAGTAGGAACTAAAGCTGTAGATGGGGACTGGCATTGGGAACATAACAAAAATGTTAGTTTTAGCATTGTTATATGATTTAATTTATCAAATAATACTAATTTTTAATATAGCTATATAATATTGAAGCAAATTCATTAATCTTAAATATTCTTCAATTTGATCACCCATATTTAGATAAGCGTGAAGAGTTAGTAGATCTATTTCTTGATATGTGCTTAAAAAAGTCTAATACGAATATGTGTCTTTTTTATGGAAATGAAACATCTTCTAAGATTATATTAAAAGACCTTTCTCCGTTATTGGTATTTGAATTAGAACAACGTATTCAAAATATAAGAACAGAAAACTTGGCGTATTCAAAAAGAAAGCATTATTTACAGCAAAATATAAACAATCCTGGAATAATAATTTATTGGTTACGTAACAATGCATACACTATAGTTCAAAAGATATGGAAACATATTAAAGTTAATTATATTATTAATTTATTGTTTATTTTAATTAAAAATTAGGATACTGACATAATCGACATTGCTGTATTACTTATTGGATATATATCAATGAATTTTGTATTTATTTTACTTTTTCTTAATATGAGAACCTTAGGATCTAATTTCTGGCTTGCAGCAGTTGTTTTGACCTCGGGAACCTTTGCTTTTTTGTTTGCACTTAATACTGTTAATTACTTTGGAGACAACATAAACCCTTTGGTTTTATCAAAAAAAATACCTTTTTTAGCTGTTACTGTCGGGTTTGAGAAGCCAAGCTTACTAACTAGAGCAGTATTAAATTCATCCCCAGATATAAACACAAATCCTATAAGAGAAAATGTAGTAAATGCTGTTAGAGATAAAGGTTGGATAATTGTTCGGGATTATTTATTTGAAATAGGAATATTAATATTGGGGGCAATGAGTGGTGTTGATGGATTAAATCAATTTTGTAAAGTTGCTGCATGGATATTGGGATTCGATTGTTTACTTTTATTTACATTTTATATAGCAGTTTTGAGTATAAAGCTTGAGGTTTATTTTAAGCTTTAAAGAATTATAATATATTGAAATATTTTAGATAAACCGTATTAAACAACGAGCAGGTGTTCAAAGTATTTTTGAAAAGAATATCTTGTTACAGGAAACTATATATGATATAACAAACAATAATTCTTGCATACCGAGTAATAATGTAAATGAAAAGAAACCTGCAAATATTGGAATATACAATGTTTTTGGTTATCACAATGTCAAAGAATCAAGTATAAGTAGATTCAAATTAATAATGACTAGCTGCTTTTTTCTTATTAACTTCCTTAATTTATGTACTTTCCCATTTCAAACAGTGAATCATTTGAAGTCTTCGTCAAGTAAAGAATTCAGAATAATTAGGATTAATCCCCTTGAAATTTATGAAATTCTTGACCTTCTTGACAAGTTAACTCAGGACATTCATCCATCAATTCGGAAAGTATCACTGAACGTTTTACCTGTTTTTACTCTTAAGGCTATAAATAAGCCATTTTCTGTCGATGCTGTGCTTGAATCTCTTGAACTATGGGCAAAAAGCATTTCAGATCCTATAATGAACAAATGGATTATGATTATATTGATTTTAAGCATTATATTTAATGCATACTTATTTAATGTAACTCGTTGGGTTACTCCGGTTCAAATATCATTAAAAACTCAGGATTCATCTTCTCATATGATTGAAGAAATTAAAAAAATTACAGATAATACTTCTAGCTATTTAGAGAAAGATCTATATGGTAATATTAGCAATAATAGTGAAATAAGATCTATAGATAAATGTGAAGAATTATTAAAAAAAGGTCTTTCTACTTTAATGCAAGATGAAGAAATCCTACAATTGACCTTGAATTCTAAAATTCCAAGTTATGCATTAGAAAAAGTTTTAAATGATCCTGAAAGAGCAGTTAAAATTCGAAGATCATTTATTTCTCGAAAATCTGGTACAAATGTTTTAGAAACGTTAGCACTTCCTTTTAAGGATTATGATTATGCTCGTATTATGGGTGCATGTTGTGAAAATGTTATCGGATATGTTCCAATCCCTGTTGGCGTTGCTGGACCATTATTAGTCGACAAAATTGAGGTATATCTTCCAATGGCAACAACTGAAGGTGTTCTTGTAGCAAGTACTGCTAGAGGATGTAAGGCTATTAATGCTAGTGGTGGTGTTACAACCATATTAGTTCAAGACTTAATGACTAGAGGTCCTTGTGTTTCATTTCCTACCGTTTCACGAACGGGAATGGTGAAAGCATGGTTAGATACTGAGCAGGGTCAAAATGCTATTAAAAAGGCATTTAATTCAACAAGTAGATTCGCTCGTCTTTCTAGTGTTAAATCGACTATTGCTGGTACTAATTTATATATAAGATTTTCTACAACTACAGGAGATGCTATGGGAATGAATATGGTATCAAAGGGTGTAGAAAATGTTTTAAAAGTCATGATCAAAGATTTAGGATTTGATGATATGAGAATAATTTCTATTTCAGGAAACTATTGTACCGATAAAAAGCCTGCTGCTATAAATTGGATTGAAGGCCGAGGAAAAAGTGTTATTGCAGAGGCAACAATTTTGAAAGACATTGTTAAATCAGTTCTTAAATGTAACGTCGATGATCTTGTAGAATTAAACATTTCTAAAAATTTAATTGGAAGTTCCATGGCAGGAAGTGTTGGAGGATTTAATGCACATTCTGCCAATATCGTTGCTGCTCTTTTTATTGCTTTGGGACAGGACCCAGCTCAGGTAGTAGAATCTGCAAATTGTATAACTTTAATGAAAAAGTATGTTTTCTTTTAAAAATCAAAAATTTTTAATATTAATAGTATAAACGGAAATCTTCACATAACTGTTTCAATGCCTTCAATCGAAGTTGGGACTATTGGGGGAGGGACTATATTAGAACCACAAAGTGCATTATTAGATTTGCTTGGAGTTCGTGGACCTCATCCAACAATTCCCGGTAATAATGCAAAAAGACTTGCCAGAATCATTGCCGCTGCTGTTCTTGCAGGTGAGCTTAGTCTTTGTTCTGCACTTACTGCTGGTAAATTTCTTCCTATTTTGTTTTACTTATTGATATTTGTAGGGCATCTTGTAAAAAGTCATATGCAGCATAATCGTAGCTCATTAAATACACCTATATCTAGTTGTTCAAGTACACCAAGGTTATAAATGAATCCTTTGATATCCTTAAATCGAATTTTATGCATTTAAGCATATCTTTTTAAAAGTTCATTATATATCATATAATAACTTATTCTATTTTTTTTAATATCAATATTTACGCTTTATTTATTAGATAATCTTTGCATGATTCGACATTTTTGATCTTTATTTCTTAGTTCTTATTAATACATATATCTTAGAAGTAAAACAATATTAAATCTACATATTAAAACATAAAATTCTTAGTCAATATCAATTTTTCTTTTTTAAAATAATACATCTATTTTAACAAATGACATCTAATTCCTAACCTTTAAACTTTTTTATACATATTTATCATTTTTCTTAACATATTATTTTAATATTAGTTTCTTGAGAAGAACAAATATCTTATTTATTTAATATACATGAATTAATATACTATCTTTTAAATCCTTTTAAATACACGTTATTAAATATTTTAAAATCTATCTTAAGCGTATAAAAAATATTTAGAAATTTTTAATAATTCTTAATAATATTAAGAAATAAAAGGCTATGGAAGGCGTTCAATTATGTAATACAAGTGTACTTGGGAAAGAAAAGGAATTGACATATGAAAGAATGTTATCTATGGTTAATATAAGATTAAGAATTTAAAATTTAAAGTTGACTTAATAGGAATTTGAAGACACATCTATTAATATTTCATCAAGCTCTATGAGAAATGAACTTGACAAGTTGTTAGGGACAGTTAAAGATGAGGAACGTCAGAAGGTTTGTTAATTTTTATTCAATTATAGAATAAAAATAAATAATAGTAATTATAGTTCTTCAAGATGGAAATGGATAATTTTTTTTCTCTTTTTAATAGATATTTGTTAAATAAAATGAAAAAAACGCTGTATGTGTTTTTTTTTAAGAAAAAATCTATTTATTATTTAGACAATGGGAGAGAATAAAAATACCTAATAATGAACAAGTATTGCAATATAAAACTATTAAAGAGGCAGATATAAATTCTGCAAGAGTACTTCTTGATAAATTAGTTGTTCTTAAGCTTAATGGCGGACTTGGAACCACTATGGGATGTGTTGGACCTAAAAGTATTATTGAGGTTCGAGAGGGTCATACTTTTCTTGATCTTAGTGTTAGACAAGTAGAGGTGATTTTTGAAAATTATTTACGTTTGTTTCATGAATATTTAGTATCTCAATAAAAAATATAATGTTAATGTTCCATTGGTCCTTATGAACTCATTTAATACGGATGAAGATACTACTAGAATTATTAAAAAATATACAGGACAGAATGTTGATATTCTTACATTTAATCAATCTAGATATCCTCGTATAAGTAAAGAATCTTTATTACCTATTCCTCGAACATATGACTCATGTATTTTTGAATGGTTAATATATTATATTTATAATTACATATATTTAATGTTTAAGGTATCCACCTGGTCATGGGGATTTGTTTAAAGCTCTTTCAAACAGTGGTTTACTTGAGAAATTGCTTTCTCGGGGAAAAGAGATATTATTTGTATCTAATATTGATAATCTTGGTGCTGTTGTCGATTTAAATATTTTGCAATATATGGTTGATAATAAATCCGAGTATATAATGGAATTAACAGATAAAACGAAAGCAGACATTAAAGGTGGAACAATTATTGATTATGAGGGTAGTATTCGTCTTCTTGAAATAGCTCAAGTACCTCCACAACATGTAGAGGAATTTAAATCTATAGAGAAATTTAAGTATTTTAATACCAATAATATTTGGCTTGATTTATCTTCGATTAAACGAGTCCTCGAAAATAATGAATTAGCATTAGAAATTATTCCAAACTATAAAATTCTTTCATCTGATGTAAAAGGAGATAATGACATAAGCGTTATACAACTTGAAACAGCAATTGGATCTGCAATTCATTATTTTGGAAACTCTCGTGGAATTAATGTTCCTCGCAGTCGGTTTTTACCTGTTAAAACATGTTCAGATCTTTTTCTAGTTAAGTCGGATCTTTACTCTTTACAACATGGTCAACTTACTATGGATGAAACCCGTTTTGGAGGAGTTCCGCTTATAAAGTTAGGAAATCATTTTAAAAAGGTTAGCGATTTTCAAAAACGGATTCCATATATTCCAAAAATTCTTGAATTAGATCATCTTACCATGACTGGTGCTATCACTTTAGGAAAAAATGTTGTTTTAAAAGGCAATTAAAAAAATCTATAGAATTTACCTAATTATAAAATAGGCACAGTCATCATTGTAGCAGGCGATGGTCAAAGTATTGACATACCAAATGGATCTATACTCGAAAATACAGTAGTTACAGGGTTACTATTTATTTATTTGATATTATTTTTCTCACAGAATTATAGAAACTTAAGACTTTTGGAGCATTAATATTATATATCTACAATTATAAATTGTAACTTTTATGTTTTTCATGGTTTATTTAAATATAATCCTAAAATTTAGGTATTTTAGTAAATTTGATTTCTTTATATTTGATACGCATAAATTACTTTATCTACTAAATCTATATGTGTAATTTTTATTTGTATTAAATCTCCTGGATTATTATGATAATATTCTTTACTAGTAATTTTGCAATTAACACCAAGTTCTTTAATTATTCCAGTTACCAGTAGCCTTTTATCTTGCATAGACCATATCCATGCATGAAAGGGAGAAAGCTTATCTAAACCTATTTTTAATAATAACATACAAACCCATAATTTTGTAGATAATTTTCCAAAATTTTTTGAAGTTTTTTCTTTAAAAAACCACAATAGCAAACACGAATCCAAATATTCTTTGGAAAATGGCATCTCGTTATTCCCTTTTCCTTTAAGAGATGCTTGAATTTGCCAATGAGTAACTAAATCACAATAACGTCGTAAGGGAGATGTTGCTTGGATATAATGGTCTATAGCTAATGATGAATGAGGATTTGGTGATGTAGAAATTATTGTTGGTCCAGTGTAATTAGCTAATTCTATTCCATCCTTAAGGCTTAGTCTTCCTGTTACAAAATTTCTTCTTTCGAGTATTTCATTGTATTTATAACGATATTGATGTTTCGAAATTATACTTTGAGATCGAAAAGGAACTGGTAATTTTCTTTCAATGCAAAATTTTGCGGCTATTTCTCCTGCTAAGATCATTATTTCAGCTACCATTACTCGTGATGGAGAATCTAACAGATCAAATGCAATATTTTTAATACTTGGATAATTTTGAAAAAATTGAGGACCATCATTTATAGAAATATAATAAGGTTTTGGATATTGTAATTTAATATTAGCTGATGTTGTAGAATATTGCCAAAAGCCACGTGAAATTCTATATTGTAGACGAAGAAGCGAAATTTTATAAATGTTATGTATACATGTCTTATCTAAAGTACTTATTTTATCCTTTTTCTGTTTAATTGATTCAGTGGCTAAAGTATTAGGGAATTCTGTCGAAAAACAGTAAGATATGTTTTTTAATGAAACATCAAAAACGTCATTATCTATGTCATCATATGAAAATTTTTTAATATTAGAAATGTATGCAGGAGATATTTTAAAATCCAAAATTTTCCCGTCCTTGCCGAGCTTTGTACTAAATGTAAGAACTGAATGCTTTTTTAATGGTGAGTCCAAAGAAAAAAATGATGAAGTTAAAAGATGTGGTAGCATATGATATCTTTTTTCGGGAGTAAAAACTGTTGTTACTAAATTTGAAGCAAAATTTGAAATATCGGAATTAGGTGAAACAAATGCACCAGGGTCCGCTATATGAATATGTAACCATGTTTCATCGTGGTCTTTTTTTTCTATTGAAATGCCATCATCTAATTCAGTGGCATCAGAATCATCTATCACATATACTGGAAGCTGATCAAAATCATGTCTTAAATTCTCAAAACTATCTTTCAATGAAAAATTCTTAAGCTGATCTGGTGATAAGTTCGACATACTTGTTATTTTCTTTAATAATATATCCATAACTATAGAAGTACCAAGGCCAGGAAGAGAAAGATTTCTGTCAAATCTAGCATAATTTTCCCAAGGTGCCCATGCACCTATTTCTTCCATAAATAATAAAGCATTTTCTCTATCCAAGACGCTATTATACATTTTCGTAGCTTTAAGAATTTGTGGAACCAATGAAAGGTATATAGAACTTTGAAATTGTCTTCTTTCTAAAAAATATTGTCTTATAAATTTTATAAATAATAAATCCGTTTCCGAAAAAGCGTATTTTCTAGGTAAAATTGTATCTTCCAACCTATGCATCTTTTTCTCACGATATATTTTAATAATATCAGATGTTTTTTCTGTAAAGCGTAGAAATTCGGGTGATTTAATTCGAATCCAATGTGATACACTTTTTATCATCTCTACTTCGCTTTTAGGACGAACTTCGTATCTATTTAAATACAATTGATTACGAGAATCTAAAACATAATGACAAGGATCATTCGCTAATAAACTATGTATTGCATATAAATGTATAAAATTTGGTTTTGATATCTTATATTCTGAACGACAAAGATCCAAAATATTAATATAAGTATGCTGATCAGGATTTGGATGATGCAATCGCTGATAAAGATTATCAAATTTAGTCAAAAATTTTCTATAAAAATATTGCGATTTTAATTTAAAATATCTAAGAGATTTTATTATATTTTGAAAAGCTGAATCGTTAAAAGATAAATATCCATTTATTATTTCCAAATCTGATAGTTCTATGTTAGAAATATTTTTGAAAAATGAAGGTATTAAAAATAATATATCGCCAGGTTTGCAGTAAATAACTTTTCTATTACTTAAAAGGACGCTAAATCCATCATCTGATGGAATAACTTTTTGAATTACTATGCCAAGAATTCCATATTCTGATTTTCTTATTTCAACAAGATCACCGGGAGAAATGTCTTTAAAAGATATACTAAAAAGATTCTTTTCTATATTAATCATATCATCTATATAATTTTTTTCTTTATCTTTCATGTTTTTTAACGTATCTTGATTGACTAACTTTTGATTTTGTATTATACCATATTTTTCAATCATTTTTTGACGTATTTTAATTTCTTGTTTCCTAAATAAGTCTTTCTTTTGAAATAGTTCCTGATTTTTAGATACATTATCATGTTTAAATGTATTTCTTTGCTTTATATCATCATTAAGACATGAATAATATCTCCAAATAATATTTGTATATGATATCCTATGCCTCGATTCAATAAATTTTATACAAGTTCTATTTATAATTTTCTTAAGTAATCTTGAAATTTTTTTTTGAATCATGGAAAACTAAAATAATGCTTTTAAAGCAAAATTCTAGATAAAAATATTTTGAATACATAAAATATTTTAAGGTACATCGTTAAAATCAAAAATACCGAGACGTAAAAACTAGTAGATAAACTATAATTTAAAATTATATACAATGTATATTTAATAAGAAAGAATTAAATATGATTATGATATAAATACAAAAAATAATTGAGTAAAAAATATTATATTTTTTTCCAAATAATATCAGCCAATCTTCTAAAAGGTAAAGATTGAGAACCATCAGGCTCTGCAGCAACAGTTGGATAGCCATTTTCACAATCTTGCATAATTTTCTTATGTAACGGAATGTCTGCAAGAACTTCGATATTCATATTCTTTGCAATACTATTAAGCTTATCAATTCCAAAGATATGTGAGTTGTAGTTACAATTTGGACAGATAAATACACTCATGTTTTTAACAATACCAAGAATCTGTTATAGAAAATATTTTAATATATACTGTATATATGTTTTTGTACATACGTTAACATTCATTTTTCGAAACATATTAATACATCTAATTGCATCGATCAAAGCGATATCTTGAGGTGTAGATACAATAATCACACCTAAATTTTAGATAATGTTATATTGAAATAAATTAAAAATACCATCTAAAATAACATGCTGAGTTATCGTAAGCTGTGTATCACCTGTTCCAGGAGGCATATCAATAACAAGCAAATCCAGTTTTCCCCAGTCTATATCATATATCAATTGTTGTAAAGCTTTCATTACCATTAATCCTCTCCAAACAATAGGTGAATCATTATCAATAAAAAACCCCATTGACATAGCTTTGACGCCATAATTCATTAAAGGAATAAATTGATTCTCTACTATTTTAAACGAAAATTTAATAATTGTCTAAATTACCTTTTGATAAATATGGTTTTTCTGATAAATTAAACATTTTTGGTATAGAAGGACCAAATAAATCTGCATCCAAAAGACCTATTTTTTTTCCAGAAAGCCTCATTGCAATTGCTAAATTAGCTGATTTCCTAATTTTCAAAAATATATCATATTTTTATATAAAATACCTGAAACTGTTGATTTTCCAACACCACCTTTTGCTGATGCAACTGCAATTACCTTATCAACTCCTTTTATCCTAGATTTTTTTGGAAGTCCACGAAGTCTTCGGTATATTTCATTTTTTGAGATTTCCTAAGAAAATAACTATAAATTATTCAATTAAGATTTTTTTCTACAGAAATGCTTCTGTATATTAATTTATTTATAGAAAAATATCCCAGAATTTCTGCCCTCTTCAGTGTATAAATCATAAGTATAAAACTACGTTGGCTAATTTAAGTAAGGATTTTTATATTATCTAAGCCCCATTAAAATTATATTTTAAGCTTATTTGAAGCTCGAAAACGACATTGAAAAAATAAAAAAAGAATGGTGCATGAAATATATAGAAAAACAAGTTAATACTAATCTTAAGTCTATATTTTATTATAGATTTCTTACATTTCTTAGAAGGTCAAAAAAAAAATAAGTTAAATTCTCAGTTTTATGATCTTAAAAATCCAAAAATTGTTGGTATATAAATCTAAATATACATTTAAAATGTCTTTATATTTAATTGTGTAGATACACATGATCCAGAGGATATCATTGATGAAAATTGCTGGTCAGATAGTATTACAAGTTCAGATGATACATATACAGGTCGTGAACATTATTTGACAGTTGGGTATATTATTTAAAGAAATTAAAGAAAGTGGTTGATTATATCTATTTAATAGAAAAAGAAAAATAAGAGATGATGATATAATATTAGAAGATAAGAAATATATTGGGAAAAAAACAAGTTTAAAAGACTTATATCAAGATAATTATGATACGTTGGATGATAAAATAAAATATAGAAATTTTTCAGATAAAGATGAAGAAACATCAGGTTCAATAATTATGGAAGATGGAACATCTCATCATTATGCTAATTTAAGTGATTTTTCTGATGATATCATTGATGAGGAAACAGAAAAAAAAAAGACGTAATGAATTAAAATCTTTCATTGAAAATGAACAAAAGTAAGGGGATAAATATTTTATTTTCTAAAAAAAATATTTATTTCAATAGAAATTTTGTTCAAGAAATAGCAAAAATGAACTCTTTGGAGATTGAAAAAGGGAAACATATTCAAACACAAATAGTAAGAATATTATACAATAATTTATTATAAACTAATTAAAAGAAAATTTATGATTCTCTTCTTGATGCGAGAATAAGGTTACAGAAGGCTCTTGTTGCAGTAAATTCTCTTTCTATAGTATATACTAGTTACTTTTAAATTTAAATTCATTTAAAAATAGGACTATAAGATTAATGATTTGGAAAAAAATAAATTATTTATTAAAAATGTTGAAAATGAATCTAATTCTTTAATTGGTTGTTTGTCAGAAATACGAAAAGTAATACTCAATAAAAAGGATATTCTTGTTTAACTTAAATAGACGCTAATCGAGATGGACAAAATTGATGTTGAATATACTCTAGAAAGAAACAAGGACTTTAGTAAAAGTTCTCTTGAATCCTTGTGCGATAACGTTATAGATTTAGATAAACAGTAAATAATATAAATATAAATTCTTTAATTTTATATGATATAGGATTTTAACTTGGCAAAACGAGACTTTACTTAAATGGTCTGATAAAGTAAAGGCTACATCTGTTCTCTCTTTAAATAAATTTAATTCATTAAATCAAAATATTTTGGATTTAATTCAAAAAAATATGACAAATAAAGAAAAGTTATTAGAAGCAACGTATATTGATAGAACTGAAAAAAAGCAACCAAAAAATAAGGAACGCTTTGATGACACTGATTTTTATCAAGCATTGTTGTTTAATTTAATTAACAAGCGAATGGTGGACTCAGGTTGTGTTTATAAAATTGATTAAAATGACTATTTAAACCAAATTTAGGAAATACTCAGGGACTGCGTTGGTCAATTTTAAAACAAAAAAAGCAAAAAAATAATATAGATACTAAAGCATCTAAAGGTCGTAGGTTACGATATCATGTACACGAAAAGATACAAAATTTTATGACGCCAAATCCTGTTAATTTATGGGTTGAAGAAAAAATAGAGTATATTAATTATTTTTTATATTTTATGCTAAAGTAAAAAGTAATTTATTTTCGAGTCTTTTTGGACAAATACCATTAGATAATATTATGAAAACTTGTGATTAAAAAACGACAATATTAATATTTTTATAACAGACTTTAAATTTTTTAATTATTAAAAAAAAAATTAAAATGGGTTTTAATTATGAAATGGCTGTAAAATGTTTATACTATGTAGTTTATAGCAAAATAAAATATTTTTGGGAAAGTGGATATTATGTTTAATATTAATTTATTTTAGATTATTATCATTGAAAAATTCGAAATAAGTTTGTTTTATTATTTATAGGCTCAAATAGATATTAGAGTTGTATTATATGGCAATTTTGAATAAGTGATGTAACTAGGATAGCATATTTATTACAGTATTTTACGATTTTTAATAATGGTTGTACATTCTAAATTTTATTCTTTAAATTATAGTTTTTTATGTAAAGATTAGTGTTAATAGAAAAATCTAACGCTGATCAGAATTCTGGAATAAAAAAGAAAACAAATTCCCAAAATTTTGTTCAATCCGCTAATATATAAAATTACTCTAACAGATTGTGAAAAAATTAAGATAAAAAAATGGTATATTTAACAATATAATATTATATTTAAATAATAGAATTAAATCTTCAATATAAAATAAACAAAAAAATAATTATTATAAAAAATTATCTTCTTGTAATCTTAATAACACCTGCATGTATAAGCTTTTGTATTTTGCTTGCAACTTGGGGATTTTTCATATGTTCTTCCAAAGCCGATGGATTATCACGAGCCTGAGTTAAAATACTTTGCATTATAGGGTCTTGCAAAATAGCAACAATCTAGAAATAAATAAGGCTAAATATATATTATATATTTCTAAACTTACTTCAGGATCACCTTGAATACGTTGTATTGTTTCTTCCTCTGTCTCATTCTCACGTTGAGCATACATAGCAGACATACATTTTTGTAATTGGAGTTCAATATCTTTTGCATGTAAACCTTTATTATTACTATCTTCATCTGCTTTGGTTGCTGCATGACATGTATCAATGCATTTATTATATTCCTTCATGGCAAAATAACAGGAAGCTTTACGAAGATAAGCTTTTGTGAAGCAAGGATCAAGTGAAATTGCTTTTTCGCAGTCCTTGTTATCTCAGCCATCTACGAATATAAAATAATTATCAAAATACCTTAAGAGCATCATTTAAACTCATAACTTTGATATATGCAGCAGCTTAAGCATGTCAGGATCGAAAAACAAAATAAATAAGATCATTACCTCTGTTTCCATAGCCCCTAGGATCATTTGGCGACCTTTTTATCATTTCGGAATACATTTTTATTGCACCGCAAAAATCACCTTCCTTAAAAAGCTTGTTTCCTTCCTCTCTCGCTTCATCAGCTTTATCAAGATCAATATATGCTAATCTATCCTTTTCATCTTTGATTTTTTCTGCCTATTATATTTAGAAATATTGAATTCAAATGTTTAAAAAACCTCTCTAAGCTTTTTAAGAATATCAGGAGTCCTATATTCTGTAAGAGAACAGTTAAAATTCTTAATAGCTAAATCATATTTTTCTTGTTTCATATATGCTGACCCAATTCTCCCAAAAGCCCTAAAAATATTAAAAAATATATTAAAAAACCATAATAAACCTAGAAATTAATTTAAAATCGGCAAGAATCTCTCTCCCGTATGCAATCGCTTCTTCACAACACTTAATACACTCTTCGTAATTACCATCTTCATAATATGCTGCAGAACAATTAGTTAAATAACTAATATCCTTAAAAAGGCCCCATGCAGCAAGATAATGTTGGATTGATTCTTTGAATTTTCGTGCTTTATAGCATTCATTTCCAAGACATTTTTCTTTTTCTGCTTTTTCTTTATTTTCCTTTTTAATTCTGGTCTCTTCAACTTCATCATCATCCATAGACGTTGACTCCATTTCTGGCATTGGCTCTAGCTTGGGTTCCTCTGCTATTTCTTGTTTTGAAATAGGTTCCTGATCCATTTCCATAGTATCTTCTAAAGGTGAAGAGTCTGTACTTTTTGCGCTCCCATTAACATTGTTAGATGCCTTTATAAATTATTAAAAAGAAAACTTCTAGAAAAAAATACATCTAAATCTATTCCCAGAAGCAAGGGAAGAACTAAAGTCATACGTGGATCACTAAGTTCCTGAATAATATTTTCAGGATTTTGTTGTATTTTTTTAAGTTTTTCCATAAACTCTACATCAGATAAGAGACCTAAAGTTTTTGGATTTGATGCCATTTTTGAAAAAAGTAAAGGATCTTTTAATTTCTACAATAAAATTAACACAAATCAAAAACTATTAAATTAAAACAGAAGTTATATGTGCAAATGGATCGTTTTTTTGAAAACCTTTAGGATATTCTTTAGAAACAGAAAGCTCAACCTCCTTTAATCCTGTTTTAAGTTGTTGATTTTCAGGCTCTAATTTTAACCCTTCTTCATACGCTGTTTTAGCTTCCTCTATACATATAAATAAAAATTTATTAAATCTAAATATAAAACCTAATTCTCCCTTTCCATGTAATGCTGCTCCTTTTCTAGACCATCCTTTTGGCCTGAAATTTATTAAATTAGATCTTTTATCCAATACTAAATTTACCAGTCTGGTTTAATTTCTATGCACTTAACGGCATCTTCAAGTGCTTTATCAAAGTCTTTAATAGACGCATAACATGCCGAACGATTTGAATAAAGCAAATAATTCCTTGGTTCTATTCCAATTGCCTAATATAAATTAATTTTATTCTTTTTTAATTAAGTTAATTACTTCACTATATAATTTAATAGCTTCATGATATTCTTTTTTAGAAAAAAGAACATTAGCTCTCTCTCGTATTACGTCTACCATTTCTATCTATTTTTCTTAAATAGTTTGGATATTTGATATTTAAAGATATTTTTTCTTCAAAGCAACGATTTTTCGAGAAAGCCTTAAAAAGTTAAAAATTAATCAATGCTAAGATAAATATTAAGATTTAAGATGATTTTGAAATAGAAATAGAGATGAAGACTAATGAGAAGAAGTCCCCGCTATTGGAGATGGCAGATTATTTTGAACTTTCGTCATTTGCTAAACATGTTTATAAATGTTGTCTTGAATTTTTACCTAATTGTGTTACACAAGATGATATTCAGAATATGCTTAAAAATAAAAGTATTGAAGATTTAGAAAAGATAATTAATGAGCTTCTTGGAAAAGTATTTTATGAAATAATTTATTGAGGTTTCTGAAAGGAATAGAGATTGATAGATGCATTTGTTCAAGGAAATCAATTAGTATATAAAGCAGTACAAAAAGATGAAGCAAAAAAGTATTCTTTAATATTTTGTTTTAATGGTTTTAATTTACTATGTTAGGATTTCTGCAATGGATGGAGATGAGGCAATGGTATTCAATTATATAAAAGATGCAAACAATGATGGTTGTATTGGTTCCTATGAAAATTTCGGTTGGTTTATATTTATTAGGAATATGGAGTAGGACTATAAAAATTAAAACAAATTTGCATACGACAGTTTTAAATAGGGCTTTAAAAAGCTTAGAATCAAAGCAATTAATTAAAGCTGTTAAGTCAGTTAAAGTAGGAATTTATGTTTTTTAATTATATTTTTTTATTTTTCTTAGAATCCAACGCGAAAAATATTTATGATTTATGATTTAGTTCCTTCTATTGAGCTCACTGGTGGGCCATGGTTTACTGATCAAGAAATGGATTTAGAATTTATAGAACGATTGCAAGGCGCTTTATATAAATATATATTATCTCATTCTTATCCAAAGTCTTCAGATGGTTTATTTCCGCCATCATATTCTGGATATTTAACTGCCCACCAAATTCATTCTTGGCTTAAAAATAGTGGAATAACAGAAGTAGATCTTGAATTATCTGATGTTGTAAGTTTATTAAATGTTCTTGTTTATGATAGGAAAATAGAATATTGTTTAAATGGTACTGCATTTAAAGCCTTACGTAAACCTACTCATAAAAGCATTTATGAATCTACGGAATCCGCTTGTGATTTTTGTTCATTAAATAATACTTATTCCAAAGAAAAAAACCTATCTACTAACTCTTGTATCTATTTTCGTTCTTGGTTTGACAACAATATATAATCTTGAACATGTTTAAATATGATTGTATAATAATATAAAAATATATTAGAAACTATTTCTTATATAGAAAAGAATGGGCTGAAAATGTTAAGAATATGGGTAATTTTTAATAAATTTTAATGATATAATTTTTTTTATATTTTTATATTATCTATTTAAAAGTTAATTCGATACTGTTAAGTATTGCAAATCATCCAAGTTTTTTTGAGAACAAAACAAGAAAGTTTGGTTTATTCATTTAGAAGAACAATACACTTATCTTATGTGTATAGAGTTTTTATTCCTTTATATGCTCTAAGATAAGAAGATGAATGATATTTTGTTACCAAAACACACCACGTTTAAACATAAAAAAAAAGGTTTTAAAACTATTTTTTGTTTTTTTTTTTTTTTTTATTTTTTTATAAAAAATCCTAATCCCTTGTAGATAAAGAAGATCATGATTCAGAACATTTAGGGAGAGAAGGAACTGTAAGTATTTTTTCTTTAATATGTATATATTATTTAATTTAATTAAAGAATATTATACTTGGCATTATCAGTCAGTTAAAGTATTGTATTAAATTTTTTACATCTCAGTAAAATATTTAAATAGATATCAGGCCTGGAATGGACCTTTCAAGGATAACTTTGCCTACATTTGTTCTCGAACCGAAAAGTATGCTTGAACGGATTACAAAGTATATTTATGATCTTTTGTTTATTTTTACCTTATTTTTTAGTTTTATGTGCCATCCAGAACTTCTTTTGGATATTCCTTTTATTGATGATCCTATTGAGCGTTTTATTGGAATTTGTAGATTTTATCTTAGTGGATGGCATATTCGGCCAAGATCTGTTAAAAAGCCATTAAATCCTATTCTTGGTGAGCATTTTACATGCAAATGGGAGTTTCCAGACAAATCTGAGGCCTTATATATTGCAGAACAAGTTAGCCATCATCCACCTATTTCTGCATATTTCTACATGAGTCCTGAAAATAATGTCAGAATAGATGGTGTCTTGAAGCCTAGATCTAAATTTTTGGGAAATAGGTAACAATAATATTATTATATATTGCTAATATCTCATTTATGTAAAGTGCAGGAACAATCATGGAAGGAAAAGCCATTTTAACATTTATTAATAGAAACGAGGAATATATTCTTACACAACCAAATATGTATGCAAGGTTTCTGGTTCCAATTTTTTATTGGTATTTTTTAATTTTTTAATAGAGGAATATTATTCGGGCGATTGAGGTTTGAACTTGGCGATCATAGTTATATTAAATGCAATAAAAATGATCTTATTGCTGATATTGAATTTAAAACAAAAGGATTTTTATCAGGAACTTACAATGTAATATTAGGAAAAATTAAATATGAAAGTAACGGAGAGGTTTTATATGAAATTTCGGGAAAATGGGACGAAGAAATGACAATTAAAAATGTTAAGGTTTTCTATCTTTGTAATTTAGCCTCTATATGCTTACAAAAAAAGACTGGAAAAAGAGTAGTATTATTTGATGCTACAAATTCTTCATATACCCAACCAATTGTTAGACCGGAATATGAGCAGGAGGATCGTGAATCTCGAAAATTATGGAGTAAAGTTATTGATGCAATTATTCGAAATGATCAAGATACTGCAACAGAAGCTAAATCTGCTATCGAGGATCTTCAGCGTGAAGAACAAAAATTACGTGATGCTAAAGGTGAAAAATGGATTCCAAGATTTTTTGAAAAAACAGAAACAGATGATTATATTTTGAAGACAAAAATGTATATATTTATATTATTATATTGAAAAATGACTGAGTTTCTATAGAAATTGGACAACACCTGATGATATTAAAGAGCAAATTGAGAATATTATTACGATATCTGAAAAAAGAAAACCTTCAAATGAACATAACGAATCTTTTGGTTTTGATAAAGTATTTCATAGTTCACAGATGCAAATATCATCTCCATCATCTTTTTTTACTCAAAAAGTATCTGATGATGATGATTTTCATGATGCTATAGACTGCCTTTCTATTATTAATGATAATTTATAGAATATTAATACAGATGTATTTAATTTATATACTATTAGAAGCTTGAAAACTTAATGTTATACATTTAATAATCCTATGTTAAGATATTCGTTTAATTCTGTTTCATTTTATCCTAATAAAATATTTTATAAATTTAAAATTTCTATCGTTTAATTTATTTTTAATGCATACTTTTAAACTTCCTAATTATCCATCAGAACAAGTCCATATAGCACTCTATATTAATATTAAAAATTTACAGTATATAAAAAACTTGGTTGTATCTGGAAATCTTGGTTTTCAATGCGCTTTTATTGATGCTTCAACTGTAAGTTCAAAACACAAAAATACATTAACATTATTATTAGATAATTTCATTTTATCAAATTCTAGCTGCAGTGCATAATTCTATTAGAAATTGTAAAGAGAACGAGTTACGAACTAAAAACATTTATTCTGAAATAATCTATTCATTATCATCTACATTAAGCGTATAGTATTTTAATGTTAAAATAGAATTAATTGTACATAGATTATCGATGCTTTTGAAAAATTTGGTATAACAAATAAAACAGAAAATCTTATTGTTATCAAAATTGGTGGTAAAAAAGAACAAGTAGAATGTATTTATATTTTATTTTTATTAATAATTATAAAGGTTGAAAATGACCTTAAAAAAATAATAAATGGAACGGAAATAGAACCTAATGATTCTAATATTGAAAAGATACGTGATATGATAAAGATTTATAAGGTTAAAAATATTTATTAAAAATTTTAAAAATAATATTTTTAAGAATTTATAAATTAAGTGAAAATAAAAAATATGATAATTTATCAGAAGCTATTAGGATAATAATAAGCTCCATGGCAATGAAATCCGTCATTTAGAGATTTTTAATATTAGTTTATTGTTAGCTGTATATTTTAATATATATATATGGTTTATTATATGTTTTTAGATAGATTTGAAATATATTTGTAAAAAATTAATGGATAATCTTTGTTTTGTGTATTTTGTTTTATTTTTAGTTTATTTTTTCTGTAAAGTATTCAATGTTTTAAAAATTGCTAATTTTGTATTTGACATTGATTTATGAAATAAGAAATGATATTTAATGTTAAATATTTTATTATATCATGTCTTTATAAACGCAACAATATATTTTTGTTTTTTTTTTTTATTTTAAAAATATATACGTTAATTTTTAAGATATATAAAAAAATTATTTCATTTAATTAAAAATAATCAATATATTTTATATTTTCTATTAGTCATCATTTAAAGATTACCTAATTTTAGAAAATTTGAAATATATTATATTTTTATTAGATTTATATTAATTGAATTGATATTTACAAATTATTAATTTTATTGATATATTTTAATAGAAGTTAATCTATAAAAATTTAATGTTAATATATTATTAATAATAATTAAATGAACTATTTGAAATTAATTTACTTAGAAGAATATATTTACACATTGAAATTATTGATATTTTAAAAAATAAGATATAATTCACCAAAGATTCATAAATTATTTATTTAATGTTTTTTATATAATATTTAAAAATATTAAATTAATATCTATTATTAATAGAATCAGATTAATATTTATTTTTTAAAATATTTTATTACAATTCATAAAAAATATTAGCCTATTAAAAATATAGATTTTTCTAATATTTTATTTGATAATTTTTTTAAAATAATTTTTTAACTACAAATAATACAAATATTTATATTTTAATTTTAAAGAATATTTATAAAAAAATATTTTATTTATATAAATATTTAATATTTAAAGAGCTAATAGGATGAAAAATAAATTTAAAGAAGCATGTCTTTGTTCTGGAATAACAGTAGCAGAATTGAATGGAAAACTAAGTATATATTATTTATAACGAAAAATCAAATTAATAGAAATTAGTCACATTGAAGTCATCGAATGATCTGAAAGGATTACAGGAACTAAGCAATTCTGAAGTAAATTTTCTATTGTAAATTATTTTTTATATTAATTATAGATTATGATCTTTCCCGTTTTGTCTTTACCTTTATTACTTGATATTAATCGGACATATAAAAAGGAAAATATCTCTAAGAAAAAAAGTAATAATTTATATATTAGTGAAATATTTCAATTATTTAAACTAATTTTTCAAACTTTACAAATAATTCCTCAAACACCACTTGATCTTTGGTTTCGATCTGATAAAAAACTTAAAAGCAATACACCAGTTCTTATATCTCATATCGCATGGCATAAAGTAATACCGATCATTGCGCTTTCTCATTTAAAAGGAATGATTTATATTTACGATTTCAGAAACAATTCTTACTTTAAGTATCATCTTTCTAGTCCACCGTTTACATCAATCACTTGTTTAGCGTTTTCAAATCAAAATAGGTTGATTGTAGGATATGATAATGGTCAATTAGTTTTATGGACATTAGATTTAAGCATTACATCCACTTCCAACAAAATTAAAGCTTATTGTAAACAACTTATTCTCGTAAAGCCTTCCTATTTTTCCGAATTTCCATGTGGATCTATAACTGATCTCTCATTTTCTCAGACAGGCAGGCAAATTTTTATTACTACATCAAAAGGTGCATGGGTATATGATCTAATATTTTCTCAAGCTCAAAGAATAAGTTTTTCGAGATGCTTTAAAATAGCTCTCACTAGTTCTGGGTCGCATTGTTTCGTGGCCTTAGGCACAGAAAACTCTATAGAAATATTTTCATGTTTAAATTCAGGACCAGGCTTAAGATTTTCTCCTCCACTTTATATTTCTACTTCTGAGGTAGATAAACTAATTTGGGCACATGATGATAAAACATTATTTTATCATATTTTGGGATCTTCTACAATTGAAATCGTATATGTCTCTCCAGCAATATTAGCGGATACACCACCTATTAGTAGAAAAATTCCAACAGTTATTGCCTTGCAATCTGAATTTAATAGACCTGAACCAATATCTAATTTTGTTCTTGATTCATCATCAGAACGTCTTATTCTTTGTTTTGAGAAAAGGTCATATTTGGCATCTTTTCAGGTATATTTGGATGCGGTTCTAATGACAAATAATGTCTCAATAGTATCACCAATTGGCCTTATATATGGACCTGATACAGATAAAAATAAAAATATTGGTCCAATCGATATGCAGTTTGCACCAAAATTTGTTGGAGGTGCATTATTAGCAACTATTTGGAATGATAGAGTTACATTTTTACCGATGAAATTTCCTAGTAAAATAGAAATTGATGAATTTTCTAAGGATGGTTGGTAAGAAATAATATATAATTTATAAAAATTGTTCAAGTATCATATGAATACAGCGAAATCCTTTAAATATAATTATATATGTCTTTATGATATACATATAATGGTTATATAAAATCAATAATGTTACATGTTAGAAAAATGAAGGTGTATACATGCATTTATTAGAAATAATTTACAAAATATAAATATATAGATATTTTGATTATTTTACTTTTGAAATGTGTTTATGTAAGAGTATTATACTATCGAAATTAAGCCTTAATGGGACTTTAAAGACAATCGATCCTGCATTACTCTTATTCTCTTAAAAGAGCTTTTGTTTTTTTAACCCATATTTTGCAGCACATTAAAATTATGTCTAAAACATGTTAAAAGATTATAATTACGTCACAGCAATCTAATAAAACTATCAGAGACGCAGTGCTTGGCTAATGGGTATTAAATGATTAAGAAATAAGATATAAAATAATATATACTAATCAATATATTATTTTACCATGCAACAAAAGCAACAACATAATCACCATCATGACTAATTGATAGTTTCATTTGTTTTGTTGGTTTTCCTTCGCTCCATAGCTGAATATATGGTTGATCTAAAGGCATTTTAAATGGTACTTATTAGAAAAAATATTTTTTTACTATTTTTATATTTACATATTTGTATATCCTTCCATTTTAATTTTTGCTGAAAATTTATTGCTTTAAAAGCAGCTTCTTTTGCTGCCCATCTATTATACAATTATTTCTCTTTAAAAAGGCTAATACTTTTCTTATAAACTTTGTGCAAATCCAAAGGGCAAACTGATTTTTATTCTTCAAATTAGGTATTATGTCTTGTTCATCAAATCTTAATATTCTTTGACAAATTTTTTCCATGAACCTTGTTCTCCGATCGAGAATCTTAATCATTCTACTTATATGGACTATGTCTATTCCAATACCATGAATCATGATAATTTTAATTATTTATCAAAATATAATTCCACGACTAATTTATTTTGCAAAAAAAAAATACAAAATTAAAGATGACATTAGAGATTTTATCGCCAGAAGGATTTCGCATAGGTAAAAATATATAATTGTATTTAATATATTATTTTATTCTAGATGGTCGGCGATGGAATGAATTAAGACGGTTTGTAGCTAAAGTTGGCTTTAATACTTCTGCAGACGGTAGTTCCTATCTTGAACAAGGAAACACTAGAGTTATTTGTACGGTTCATGGTCCAATTGAACCAATAATAAGAGGAAAAGCATTTCTTGATCGTGAACATATTACGGTAGATATTAGTATTGCAGCATTCAGTACTGTTGAAAGGAAAAAAAGAACAAAATTAGATAAGTAGATTATCTTTTTGATTTTTTTTTTTTTAATTTTATATTCATATAGACAAATTCAAGAACATGTTTCTTGTATACAAAAAGTATTTGAAAAAACTATTCAAACTGGTCTTCATCCTCGAAGTGAAATCAATATATATATTCAAGTTTTAACACAAGATGGGGGTTAAGAACATCTTTTGATTTTTGCATTGTTAATTATATTTTAAGGAATATTACAGACCTGCATCAATGCTGTTTCATTGGCTTTAATCAATGCTAGTATTCCTATGTATAATTATGTTTCTGCAAGTACTGTTGGATGTACTGATACAGAACCCCTTTTAGGTAATTAATATTTTATACTAATTAAAAAAACTATGCAAATTATAGATCTTAATAATATAGAAGAAAACAGTATTTCGTGGTGTACAGTTGCTGTTCTTGGTGCTTCAGATAATATTATTTTTTTACAGGTTATCTATTTATAATATATTTTTAAAAAATCATTTATTATGACAGACAGAAACACGCATTCATATAGAAAAGTTTGAGCATCTAATCTCTTTAGCTTTATCTGGATGTCAAAAGATTTATAAATTAATGGACAATATTATTCGAAACTCAGATGTTGTTATAAACCATTCTTAAATAATGAATTATTGTTTATTATATCCGTAGATTTAGATTTTTCAAATCATATACTACTATTATCTCTAAAATTCATGATAAATTTATAATTTATTGTTTTAAATTTTTAAAGTATTTAAAACCAGACAAAACACTCAAATTACAATGCTTATATAACCCTTCAATGCTACTTAAAAACCGGATAGAATTTAAAAATAGAAAAAAATACAGAAATAAAAAATATATTCTAATAAATTACTACATAAAAAAACTAGGCCTACTCTAAGAATATTTATATAAATAATAAAAAATGTAAATTTAAAAAGCTAAAATAAAGCCAATAATGCCAATAATGCATAAAGTGCCGAAAATACTGAAAGTAGTCATATCGTGATTTGCATTACCTTTCTTTTTTTCTGTCTTATCACCAAAGGAAGGCTTCCATGGAGTTTGAGATAACTTATCAGCAGTACCAGAAAATACTAATGTCGATGTAGCTACAATATTATTAAAATAATTTTAATACTTTAAATTATTTCATACGAGTACTAGTCATATATTTAGGCGGAACTATACACAATATATTAGTATAATTGACGATATATATGCTACTATTACCTTGTTTTTCTGGAGGTTCTGGTCCTTGATGAAGTTTACCGTTAAGACAATGATAAATCAAAGGTGAATAACATGCATTACTGCATCTCAAAAAAGCAGTTCCTCCAATAATTGGGCAAGCAAGGCCATCAAAACACGTATACTACAGATTTTAGAAAAAAAAACGCGTGATGACAAGATACTTTTCTAGGATCAAAGTATCCAGCGCCGCATAAAATCATTTTATCCCTTTGGATCTGCTCTGGAGCTGATGCAACAATGTGAAAAATTGACATAAGAAACAACACAATCCACACATTCAATACCATAATTTAGTCAAAATAATTTTATGAAAACCTTGAAAAATCGACGTCCAATATTAAAATAAAAGATCAATTCTTGATAAAAACACGTGAAAATGCACTTAACTTTTTTAAATATATTTTATCGCTAATTAGCAATCTAATTAACCCTATATATAATATATAGTATATATAATTAACCCTCCCCCCTTTTTTCAACAATTTTGTAGATATATAATATACTTATTTTTTTAATGTTTATATAAAAAATACAGAATATCTTTGTATTAAACAGATTCAATTGTATAATATAAATAAAATTATAAATTTATACTATATATTCATAATTTTTCCCAAAAGTTAAATATAAATTAATGTTTAAAATCGAAAAAATTAAAGGCTAGTTATTTGCCTTAATATAGTAAATTTCTAATTTATATACAAAATGTAAATTTCAATGCAATTTTTAATATTTTAAATTTTAATGATTAGTGTTAATATCGCCATCTTCAGTGAGCAGTGAATTAGGAATTTCTTGCATCATAACTGAAGGCGCGCTGTTAAGATAACGAAGCTGCTCAATTGTATGCATTCGTAAATTTTCTAGATATTTGCGATTGTTTTTGTTTTCAACACGACTAGTAATTTTAGGATGAAGTGTATAATCAGGTGCAAAATAATCAATGTATGGAGTTTCAGATGGTAGCGTATCCGGAAGTTCTGCATCTAGACAAATTCCTGTTTCATAAGCCCAACATCGTGCAACGTTCCGTACTGTATATCCACCACCGCCTAATACGAGCAAAGGTAAACCGAATGATTTAATGAATTCTAGACATTGCCCGTGTCCTCTAATACTTAAATTAAATTGGCCTAAACGATCGCATCCTAAAGAGTCTGCTCCGCACTGTAAGACAACCGCTTTTCAAAATTACCTTTTTATAAAAATAATTCAGTCTAGCATTACCTGTTGGTCTATACGAATTTATTACTGGCTCCAGTATAGCACGAAAAAGCATTACATAGCTTTGATCATCAATCCCATCTTTTAGTGGTATATTAAGTGAATAATATTTGCCCTTTCCTGAACCTATTTCATTATAATATCCTGTTCCAGGAAAAAAGCTTTTATCCGGTGATACAAGGTTTGCATTATATTTATGAAAAGATACTGTCATAACTCTATCGGTCAAATAGAACGCTTCTTGCACACCATCTCCATGATGAATATCAATATCAATATATAATACTCGAGGATGATATCTTTATAAATTGTATTGGTATGACTTCACTTGTATTAGGTTTTTTTACCTTAATAAAGACAAAATCGCCAAAACAATATCATTTACATAGCAAAATCCACTAGCTTCAAATTTTTTCGCATGATGTAAACCTCCACTCCAATTAATTGCTATATCTGTTTGATTTTGATTTAATTTCCGTGCAGCGTCTAAGCTTGCACCTGCATAAATACTACAAAAATCATAAACTCCATCAAAAATAGGACAATCTTGGCCCATATTAAATTTCATAGAAATATCTGAAAAAGATGATGCATTTTCTGGTGTTACTCTATACGATTATTAATCAAAACATATATAAATCAACTACTAAACTATTACCTTTTTAAAAAATCAATGTATTCAGAAGAATGAAATTGTTCCAATTCTTCATCAGTAGCTCTTCGTGGACGATAAATGTTCATATACTTATGCAAACCATAACCAAGAACAAGATGATTTGTTAAAGTAAGCCGATGGGGTTTCATTGGATGACCTTCTCCCTATTAAATTTAATATAAATGCGTAATAAAAAAATAAATCTACAAAATGAAAATTCCCTACTTCTTCTTCATGATGATATGATACTATTTTTTGTTATCCTTTAAGCAAATTTAATGTATATATACCCTATAAAGTAGTTAAAAAAAGAAAAAATAGGCATTAACTTACCCTCAATTTTGGCCGGCCTGTCTTAAAAACAATTTGAGGCTTTTCCAAAGACTTTGTTGAAAACGTTTCTGTATTATTTAACATAACTCCAACACTTTTTTAAAATATAAATGACTTAATAATTTAATATATATATTATTAATGTTTATAACATATGCTTTGATAGATTTTATATATTTCTTAACTTTTTATAGTTCTAATATGAATTAAAAAGTCTTTCGGTCGTTCAATCCTAAAACATTTTTCAATATAATATTAAGAAAAATAAACATATGGAAGATGCAGCTTTTGTTCTCTTAGAATATCTTAATAGTATGGATGGCTATTTAAAATCTTTTTTTATTAATTTTTCAACTTTTGCAGGTTTAGATAATCTTCCTTCCGAAATAGCGCATATTTATGAGGAGTTAAAATCCAAAGAGCTTAAATTTCAGAAAATTCACAAACGCATCTGTACCAGAGATAATTCTATTCATAAACATATACGTTCATATGGTTCTTTAGTTGTTAATCCAAAAGAAACTCAATATATTCCGAAGATTCAAGCAGATTTTATCTATGCTATTAAAATTCAAGAAGAAAAACTCTTTCTTTCTAAAAAAAGTTTAGATCTTGTATAAAAGAAGGAATCTACATATTTTTATTAAACCTTTTTAGTTACAGAGACATCTACGACGATTAGACAATGAAATAAAACGTTTACATTTGGATGGTCAAATAGCTCCAGAAACGACCAAAAATACTTATTCTCCATTTTCTACATTAACCTCAGAATCTAGAACATTAGTTATTCCAAGAAAAAGACGTGCGTTATCAATTCGTATGTCTGATTCTGATCCTGATTCTATTAGCAATGATAACGATGATTCTCAAGTATATTGCTTTTGTCAGCAAATAAGTTATGGAGAAATGATTGCATGTGATGATAGTGAATGCGTTTTTGAGTGGTTTCATTATGGCTGTGTTGGTTTAAAAGCGCCGCCTAACGGAAAATGGTTTTGTAGTGATACCTGTAAAACACGCAGTCTTAAAAAGAAAGATAAATATTCTGCATATAACTGATTTAATATATGAAATATATATACATATATTTGTGTTTCTATATTTATATTTTTTTAAAAATATATTATTACCAAGAATATCAGATGATATATCTAAAATTTAGATATATTATTTTGTTTTAAAGTTATTAGATCTATATAAAATTTTAACCATATAAATTGAAATTGAGGATTTTTTGTTAATTTAAAACTTTAGAAAATGAACCGTTAGTAGATTTTTCTTAAATTTAATAAAAATCATTTACAGTTTAGATATAAAATAGAATTTTTTGATATATTTCTTTTGAATTAAGGATTTTCTTTATTAAATTATTATTTTATTAAAACCAGTATTATTATAAATGAATTGTTTTTTATAAGACCAATTATAACAGACTGTTTTAATAACAAAAAAATATTTTAAAAACTATTTAAAAATAAATTTTTTCTTTAAATAATAATTCAACACATTTTTATTTAAAATTATCTTTGCTAAATAATCTTAATTTTTTTTTATTATTAGATAATTTATTAAATGTATTCATCACTTTAAATATCAATCTTTTAAGATTAAAACTAGATACAACACTTTGATATATTTATGAAATGGCATTAATCTAAAGATATATTTTTTTCTCTAGATCTTTGATTAAAAATTCAAAATAGAAAAATTTAGTATTAATATATTCCTGAAATAAATTTTATAAATATTTTTTTTTAAATTTTTTAAATTTAATAAACTTTTTTAAAAAATCAAGTCTATATCTATATACTTTCCCATTTACATATCTGCTTACATTTTATTTGAGAAAAATATAGATTAATTTGTTAATTTGACAAAAACAAATTTTACTCTTCGAAGTCTAAAAATTCTTATGTGTTAATGCTCCCTATTAATGTGGTCAAACTCAATAAAAATATAATAAAATTAACACGTTCTACAAATATTGATACTTTTCTCCTTTTTATATTTAATAAAGTTCATGTTTCATTTTAAAAAAATAAAATATTACTTTTATATCTTTTATTCTCGTTCTTCTAGTATATATATGTATATATATATAAATTATGCATTCTAAAGATACGTTTCATCTGAAAACAAACATTATAACGTATAATTATTTAATGTATTATTAATAAAAAATACATTACAATTTTTACAATTATCTATTCGAGATTTTTAATATTTAAAACATTTAGATTATATAAATTTAATAAAATTATGAAATTTAAAAATTAGCAATCTATTTTATATAGCAAAAAATATTTAATTTAGTTTTATTTTTAATAGAATTTTTTAAAATTCATTTAAAAAATTAATACTTTTATATCATTTCAATGACAAAAACATAATTCTTAAAAAGACATATAATCAAATAGAAATATGAAAAATTATCTTTAAATTTTAAGTGTAATACTCCTAAAAATAAAAAACTATTACAACGATCCCAAAAATTGATTTATTTTTTAAAACTATAAAATTATAAGCTATATATTTACATTTTAACTATCTTAAAATAATTAAAGCATTATTAAATAAAATCAAATTTTCAATTAGCAATAATGTTATTACTGAATTTAACATATATTTTTACGTTTAGTATTTAGAAGTTTTATGTTTAAAATAAAAAATATTTAAATGTTATGTTATTTTAAAAAATTCAATTACAAAGATATTCTATTGATATAATAAAAGATACTTTAAAAAAATTATAGTAGCAAAAATAAAAAAAATAAATAAAATATATTATTACTATAATATTATTTATTAGAAAAAATAATGAAAATTCCACTTTTATAAGAGTTTTTATAAAGCCTTTTTACATTTTTTTTATATTATTTAATTTATTTTAATAATCTTTTTAAAAAAAATTTTTTAAATATATTTAAAATTTTATAGAGCTAATATACATTATACATTTTACAAATAGCTAAACAAAAATAATTTCTATAACTTTATCATTATTTTTTATTTTTAAAACTATTTATAATTATTAAACTATTAATCTTCTATAAATTGTTATAAAAGTATATCATATAAAATAAGATTTTTTAAAAAATACTCCATTATTTAAAAACTAAAGAAAAACTGTCAAAAAAATAATATCATGATTTAATAAATTAATCTTTTTTACGATAATATATCATTATTTAACATTAAATTGCAATTATTTGAAACTGATATTTATAAACTATTTATTATTTTAATAACAATTATAATATTTAACATATTTTAAAATAATTTAAATTTATAATAAAACTAGTATTACAATCATTTTTAAAAGATTATTCAACATATATTTTTTAAAAATATTATAAAAATCAATATTTATTTTGCTGACAATAAATTTTAAATTTTTTAGAGACCAGATTATCAACAAGTCCTAAGATTATAAACTTAAATATCTTCTAGTATATTTTTCTTTACATTTCTTAACTTTAATCTTGATAAATATCAGATAAAAGTTTTATAACATATAAACATAATTTATATAATAAGAATACTATATATTATATATATTATATAATCTATTAAGAATTTTTATAAATACTTTCTTGCAAAACCACGATTAGTTTTAAGATGTACACAACATATACTATATATATTACAATATTGTTTAACAATGTCAAGAGTAACAACTATATTCTGCTCAAATAACCATTTAATAAACTGCTCAAGAACAATTGGTTCGTAACGTAATATTTTAAACCAATATATTTCACCAATCGTACTTTTAAGAATTTTTGTAATAGTCAAAAAAATACTCTGCAAATTGCTATCCAAATGCGCTAACAATGTGCAATTTTTTAACGTACCAGTAACACTTTGTTCTAATAAAGTATTACCAAAAGCTTGAGAAAGTCCACAATCGTTATGTTTATCATTCTTAATTAATTGTTTTTTTTCTGAAAAATTAGATAATTCCCAACATTTAACTAATAAATCAATCATTGTTTTTCGTGAATGCATTATCTTAAAACCATATTTTGAAACCTCAGACTAAAACAATAAAACTATTTTAGTCTTATACGTATTAATATTACCTGTAATTGAACAAGCGTATAATTCCGAAAATCAGGCATTGTAATTCCTTCAGGGTTAGAAATCTGCCTCGTTTCTATTGCTTCGACTAAATCTTTTTTTTTAGTAATATATGAATTATTTTTTATTTCCAATCCATATTCATCTAAAATATCATTATTTATATCATTTTTCATAATTTTTAAAGAGACGTTTTCATTAAGACTTTCTATGTATAGAGAATCATCTAAAGTTGTATTAATTAATTCCAGAGGATCTTCTGTGAAAGATGCATATTTTTCTGCTTTCAAGTTCTTTTTTAAATCAATTTCTTTTGTATGTAATTCACTAATTCTTTTATTTTTATCCAAATTAGAGTCTTCTGTTAGTAATAAAGAATCAATTCCTGATTCATTAGAATTGACTATAGGAGACTTAAACATTTTTCCATGGTATTTTTCTACTAAACTACTATCATGATTTAACAACAATTCCTCTTCAGATCCAGATGAATTAATAATAATAAAATTAGGTTTAGAGCAGTTATCTATATTTTCTTTTTTTATATTATGTTTATAACTAATATAAAGATCAGGATTCATATTAGATTCTGAAACTTCAGAAAATCTTAAACATTGAATTAAATTCTGGTAATTTTCACTTTTTTTTGAAAATAATTCATTCTTTTCTCCAATTAATTCACCATTTAAATCTCTGCTAACTGCTTCCCATAAATTCTTACTTCTTTTATTCATGATATTTTTAATAAATGATGATGTATATAATTCTCTATTCTTTTCAATAAAAAAGGGATTTGTTTGATTAATCTTATCTGTTGAAAGATTAAATATTAATCTTTGATTAGAAATCCTATCCAATGCGGAATTTGGTGAAATTACTGATTTAGATAAAACTTCTGTTTTTTTATTTTTTTCAGCTTTTTTAATCCTTTTTTTACTGCCATCAATTTCTTTTTTTTTATTCATATTATATATTTTTTTGATTAAAAGCTCTGAACTTTCAATAGTATATGCAATAACAAGTAAAATGACTCTGATAAATATCCCTTTTCTAAAAACTATGTTGATCTCAATTTTTTCTCCATAATTTAATTATTAAAATTTCTAAAAAAGTTTTGAAAACTTTATAAAATACATAAACTAATGATTTTTTTGATAGTCTATTTATGCAACATACCTTAAAGATTAAAGACTAAAAGTAATACTACAACATTAGATTCCATGATTTAATCTTAAAATAATTAATTTTATATAATTTAAACGTGTCAACGCACTTTTCAATATTTTCTGTAAAATAAAATAAATTTAAATACTTCAAAACATTTTATATTCCATACAAAAATTTCCCATAAATGCAGACTTAGAAATTAATTAAAGATAATACATTTACAAAATTAAATATTATATTTTATTATTTTTTAAAAATCTTTAAATCAACTAAATTTTTGTATCGTATTTTACTATTTTTAACTCTAAAATAATTCAAAAATTATATATTTATATTCTATGATAAAATCTTTAAATTGAGCCATTTTTTTAATTGAAAAACATATTAATCAAATAAATATTTACATATATTAAAACCTTAATTTTAAAATGCTTACCCTATTTTTAAATGTAAATAATTTCCAAAATAAAATTCCTTTAAATTAAATTTACACGACTTTTAACAAGGCCTCCATCAAATCCTCTCATAGCAACATGCTTTGGCCGAGGCGTCTGAAGCCTTCGGAATCCTTCCTCTACATGTTTTATTTGTAAAGGCGTGCGACCTTCCTCTGGATCGTCAAATAAATATTTTCCTCCTCTCCTCTCCTTAAGAGCACTGCTTTCCTCTAAACTATCCATCTGTGCTTTTACTCTTAGAGATTCCTCTGTAATAGTGGAAACTATCTCAAATGTTAAAAATCCAAGAATATCTATTATATCATCGTTAGGACGAGAATCTATTAATTGATTCATGCCACTCCATTCTCTAAATCTTTTCGATTTTCTATACGTAAAACTTGCTTGTCGGCATTCACTATAATGAACATATTCATCTTTTGTCATTGTACGTGTTCTAAGATCGGCAAATCTAAGACGAAGAAGTGTATCAAGATTCGATTCCTGTTCATCCGAATCATAGTCATCTTCTTCGTCAAGATTAAACGGAATAGGTTCATTAAACATAGAATATATGTCCCATGGAAGATCTATTCTCGATTTTCTTACTCTCATTTTTGTATCTAATATAAATTATAAAAATCATTAAAAATATTATTAATACCAGAATCATCAAGAATTTCAGAGGATTCAACTCCATCTTGCTCCTTTGCATTCTTTCTTACATCTTTCCATGAAAGGTAAGTTTTAAGTCTATTAACCTTTGGTTTATCGTGACGAATTAAAAAGATTAAATCTTCAACAGAAATGGTGCGAGAACCACGCTTCATAGCATGTTGCGTAGCCTGCGTTATCATTTCGATTACTTGTCCTCGAACGATATCCTCAACAAGTGCTGTTGTTTCAGGCAACGAATCTAATACTTCACCTAAAACTTAAAAAGTCAATTTTAATTTATAATTTTTAACAAAGTTACCAAACATCATTTGTTGTATTTCTATTTTATATTTCTTTTCAGAAGACATTTTTTACCCAAATAAATATAATTTTAAGAGATCATGCATTTAAAATCTTTATAAAGGACAAAGTTTCACCTTCAAAATAAACCCTACCCCTAACAATAACCGTAACCATAACATTAAACCTCAAGATTTATAAAATATATATAATAAAATAAATTTATTGATATATCAACAAGTATAAACCAGTAATAAAACGAATAAATTATAATTAAAATATATAAGTAAATTGTGTTATATTTAGCTTTTTAATTTAGATTATTTTAAAAATGTTTATATAAAATTTTAAATAAAAGTCTTAGTAAAATAAAAATAAAAATAAAAATAAAAATAAATCAAATGAATTTTCTAGAAACCAATAAACATATAATTATACTTAAAATTGAATTATATATTTATTATTTATTTATTATCAAATACTTATTTTTATCGTTATCTTCGAATCCGGAACAAAGTTTCCTAATTTCTTAATAATTATAAAAATGCAAAAGTTTTATGAAAATGCCCATTTTTTTTTCTTGACTCTCAAGGGATATGAGGGCTTTTATATTTCCAACTTTTTTATTAATAACACAGGTCTTTTCAAGGGGTTTAGAGGTTTCAGGTTAGTTTTATTTTTGTTATATATTCTTTATATTTATTATTTTAGAATTCATTAAAGATTCAGCTGTCCCAGAAAATGAAAGATACATAAAGTTTTACAGAGAGTTGTTAGATAATCCTGCGAAAGAATTAGAAAATCCAATAACTGATAAAGAGAAAAATACTCTTGAGCTGATTAGAAAGGTTCATTCTTCATTATCCATTGAAAAACATTTTGAAAATCAGGATGGTATAAAATTGATGAATTTGAAAGATACTAAAGAATATAGATGTAATAAATGAGCCTATTCTTGGAGAATTAACAAATCATTTTAAACGCGATTTTTCTATTGATGAATGCATTAATTTAACATCAATTTGCTGTAATGTTCTTAATACTGCTGAGAATAAGAACAAAGAAACATTAAAAGGAATATGCTCCAATAAAGAAAAATTTTGCACTAATCTATTAAAATATTTTAATATAATTTGCACACAAGTAAAAGATGAACAAGAAAAAATTGTTGATTTTACAAAAGAAATTTGCCTCAAGGAGTGTCAGAGATGTAATGATTTTGAGGAAAAATGCAATGGTATTCTAAATAATACATGTATAAAAGTGAGAGAAGAGTGCAAAAAATTTAACAATGAAACAAAAGCACCGGAGAAACCTGAAACACCTAATAATCCTAAAAAAGAAGATAAGCCTAAAAAGGATGAGCCTAAGAAAGAAGACGATCCTAAGAAAGAAGACGAGCCTAAGAAAGAAGACGAGCCTAAAAAAGAAGACGATCCTAAGAAAGAAGACGAGCCTAAGAAAGAAGACGAGCCTAAGAAAGAAGATGATTCTAAAACAGATGATATAAGTGAATCATACCTAACGGAATATGAAGCAATTACATCATTTGAAACTGTACCTGTAACGGAATATACAGGCACTGGTACTATAATTGCTCATGTAACAACAACAACTCTTGAGGTTCCAGAGACATCTACTATCCTAGAAACGCAAATAGAAACAGTTACACGTTGTAATTGCAGATGTCGTTATTCTACATGTACACAAACGATAATTAATGATTGTCCTACACCAAAACCGACAGAAGAACCAGCAGGGGAGCCAGCAGGGGAGCCAGCAGGGGAGCCAGCAGAACCAACAGAAGAACCAGCAAAAGAACCGGTAGAAGAACCAACAGAAGAACCAGCAAAAGAACCGGTAGAAGAACCAGCAAAAGAACCGGTAGAAGAACCAGCAAAAGAACCGGTAGAAGAACCAATAGAAGAACCAGCAAAAGAACCGGTAGAAAAACCAATAGAAGAACCAGCAAAGGAACCGGTGGGAGAGCCAACATCTGAATCAATAACGAAGACAAGTATAACTGAAGGATGTGTAATTTCGAAAACACTAACTCTAACAATAGAGCCAACAAATAAATCAGGCGAACGCAACAAGGGTAGTGGAACAAAAATTGAAAGGCTTTATAATAATAAAATGATTTTTACGATTGTAGGAATGATAACAGGAATATGGATAGTTGTTTAATAGTGAATGTTTCTTATATTTCGGAATGTTAGAAATATAGAAAATCATGTGGCAGCATGTAAAAAATAAATATTTTTTATTTGTATTTGATTAAATTAATATTTGTAAAAAAGTAATTTATTTTATATATTAAATATTCATAAACAAATTCTATTCATAATTTTAATGGAAAAATGATTTTAAATTGATAGTTTCTAAAAATGGAAATAACTTTTTAAGTTAATTTGATATAAGAAACTACATTACTTGAAAACCTAATTTTTAAAATAAATCTTTTTAAAAAAAGACTAATTAAAATAGGTAAGTATTAATGATTAAAAGAATTGTATTTTTTATTTATTGTTTTGTGATTTAATAGAAATAAGATTTTTATAATAGGTTTTTTAAAGGAAAAAATAGAATATTTTATAATATGAAATTATTATATATTTTTTAAAATAGATATTTTTATTTTTATTTATACAAAGTAATTTTTTTCAAGAACATTTTAGATGGTTAGAAATTTATTTTTAACCATTTTATAGATTTTAGAGTGAATAATTTGGATAAGAATCGATAAGGAATAAATTTTACATTTTCAAAAGAATTTTTATTAATAAAGATAACATCAGAAAATAATATCGATAAAGACCTTTAAATTTAACAGTAATTGAAATTATGTTTTTTTTTTTCAAAAAAACAAAACATCTAATTATTTAATTATCTAACTCTTGGAAAAAGATTACCCTTAGGTATAATTTTTTCAAAAAAATTTGTATATTAATAAAGAAAACAAACAGAATTTAGAACATCTGACGTCATTAGTAAAAAGAAATATTTAAGATTAATTATATTTTGTAATAATCAATTTAAGCCTACAGTTTTATTGTGATTTAATTTACAAAAAAATAAATACAAAAAATTATTAAAAACAATTATATTTTAATATATTAAGCGTGCTTTAAGATAGGGTTTAGAAAAAGCCGAAATTAAAATATTAGATAAATTTATAGTTGAGGATCAAAAAATGAAAAATTACCCTAAATTACAAGAAATATGGTTGATTATTTAAATAATTATATTGTAAAAGTATTGTTGAAAAAGTAATAAAAAAGTTTAAAAAATATAATAATAATTTTTTAATTAAGGAATAGAAGTGATAATTTTAATAAATGCAGAAGTCGAATAAAATTATTTAATAAAATATAATAAAAATAAGGAATATTTGTATAAGAATAAAATAGGTCAAAAAAAACAAAGAAAAATTTAATAAGTTTAATATGAAAAAGTAATTCTTTTGGGATAAAACTTTACCTTAAAATATTATCAAAAAAAAAAACAAGTATCTATAAATGGAAAAAGTTACAGAAGTTATTTATTAAGAATGTCTAAAATTAAGATCCATATGTTTTTATCTACAAATAATCTTTAAAAGTATATTATTAGATGCGAGCAAAATACAAAAATAGTATATTGTAAAAGAGGATTAATGATAAATAACCAATATTTCAAAAGAAAATAAATATAGATGATTATAATTTAAATCGAAGCATGGATAAAAGTTACTAAAAAATTGATAATCCATAATTTAAAAAATAAAAATTGTGTTATTTACTTTATCTATTCAAAAAAAAGGATATACAAAACAGTTAAAAGCATTCTTATATATATTTTAAAAATATATTATAATTATTAAAAAAATGTAGAAAACCTATAGTATTTTTTACTATCAAAAAAGTATTTTTATTAATTTTATGAGGTTGGTGTAAATTTAAGGTCATAGTATGCTAAATTTCTTGAAAAAAGATTTCTCCCAAGAAAATTAAAAAGGTATATAGAAATGATTTATGTTTTTTGAAAAGCGTATTATGATAAATTTTTACTAGATAGTAAAATTGTAAAAAAGAAAGATAAAAGTGGGGAGGTTTGTTTAAAATTTAAAATCAAGAGCGATCAGTTGTGAAGAATATTGAAGAATACATTAGTCTATGTTTTAAAAGGCAATTCAAATAAGAATAGAAGCTAATGTAATTATTCATAAAACGAATGCAATATGAACGAAAAAACTCAAAGAATACTACAATTGATAAATTATATATAAACAATAATGATAACAAAAATAATGTAATTATGAAGAAAAGCTAACAAAGGAATATTTCTCAAATGAATCAATATATGATATCAGCAAAAGAATTTTAAAAGAAAAATAAGGGATAGAGAATCAGACAAAAGGGTTTAAAAATTAAGTAAAATAGAAAAAAAAGATATAAAAATGCTACTTTAATTTTATTCATTTATGAAATAATAAAAAAAATTGATAAAGAAAAATAGTAATAATAAATATTATCGATTTTATCACAATATCAAGTGACATGCACTTATGAAATATGAAATAATTATCATAAAGACTTAATAGATAAGACAAAACGTATATATTTTTTATTTTTATAATAATTATCAATGAAATGAAACAAAGAAGAAAAGAACGAGAAAGATAAAGACAGTATTTTAAGGACAGTGATTGATATTTATAATGATTTTTAAGGAAGAAGCCTAAATTATTTTTTTAGTATTTTTTTCTATGAATAAAATTGATAAAATTTCTTAAATCGATAAAACTAAAAATGTATTCAAATTTATCTAATATTTTAAAACTCAATGCATATGATATGTTTTTTCATACAATATATATAATTATATTAATAGAATTATTGAGTTTAATAAGTAGTTATATTTTAAATTATTTTAATTTTTGATTTTTTTAGATTCAGCTTATGGAAGACAAAATATACCATTAAGGTCTAAAGAGGCTGAAATGAATTCAGTAAATTCATCGTTTGAATATCTTGTTGATGAGGAAAGTATTTATGCTTTGATTCTAAAAACAAATTATAATAATGAAGCCAAATGCAAAGAAGAGCTAGAAAAATATTGTGAAGAATTAAAAGAAGTAGATCTAAATTTAGAGAGTGTTGATAATAGGGTTAAAGAGATTTGTAATGATAGAGGAAAACTAGAAAAAAAATGTCAGGATCTAAAAACTGAGTTTACGAAAAAGTTAAAGAAAATAGAAGATAAAGCTAAACAATTAATAGATGATCCTAAAGATGAGGATTGCGAAGAATATGAAGCAGAATGTTTATTTTTAGATCAAAGCAGTCCTTTACTTTCGTATTATTGTAATAAAATGACTAATGAATGTTATAAAAAGAAACGCCAAAAAGTAGCAGATGAAATTCTTTTTAGAGCTCTTAAAGGGACAGTTAATGATACAGATAAATGTAAAGAAAGAATAAAAGAAGTTTGTCCAATATTGAGCAAAGAAAGTGACGAGTTAATGTTGTTATGTCTTTATCCTGATAGTACATGTAAAAAGCTTGAAAAAAAAATTGACTATTTTTGCAATTTTTTAAGAACAGAATTGAATAATAATGAATTAGAGGAGAAATGTCATGAAAGGCTTGGAGACTGCTATTTTTATGGTGAAAATTGTAACAAAACGAAATGCGATGAAGTTAAGAAGCAATGTGAAGAAAAAGGAATTACATTCAAAATTCCAGGATCAGATTTTATTCCGATTAAGCCAAAAGTAACATTGTTAGAGGAGATTGGACTGGAAGAAGTTTTTAAAAGAGCAAAAGATAAAGGAATTATTGTTGGAAGATCAGGAGAAAAGAAGTTGGAAGATATGCTATTATTGTTAAGTAAAGATGAAAAGAATAAGAACAAAAAATGCGCTAAAGCGTTAAGTGTATGCAGTACTTCTGACTATTTAGCTAGTGAGTTGAAGACTTTATGTGAAGATAGTGAAAAAGAAAGTAAATGCGAAAACTTAATGAATGTAACAATTAGATGTTCAAATTTCAGATCAAAGCTTTACACAAACAAATTGTCACCATATTCTAATAATAAGGATGCGGAAACTATTTTACGTCATTTGCTTCCTAGATCACTTACTGAAGAAGAATGTATAATGTTTGAATCAGAATGTTTTTATTTAGAAAATATATGCTCAGAAATACTTAAAAAAACGTGCAAGAATCTAAGAGCAGCATGTTATAGAAAGGGGCAAGAAGCAATACTGTATGAATTGTCTAAAGATCAGTTGCGTGGAAAGTTTAATTTAAAATCCGAGAATAAAAGCGTTAAAGAATGTCAAAAAGAAGTCTTAAAGAATTGTAGAAAACTTAAAGAAAATAAAGAACAGATTTCAAGATGCATTAAACCAAAACAAGTATGTCTTGAGTTTAGTGAGGATATTTCAACTCGATCGAAAGGATTAAAACGAAATTTGGATATGATACGGGATTCTTTTACAAAAAAAGAGTGCGTTGAATTAAAAAAAAGCTGTGAAGATCTTGAAAAGGATTCAAGTCTAAATTATTGGAACTGTATTACATTGAATATACGGTGTAAATATTCAGAAGTTGTAGAAGAATTGAAGAATAGATTTCTAAAAGAAAAAAAAGATACATTAAAAAACCAAGAAAATTGTGAAAGAGCTTTGAAAGAAAAATGTGATGGAATGTTTAAAAAGGAAACAAATCTATTTAGAATTTCATGTGTTTTACAGAAAGAAACATGTCAATCTATTCGCAAAGGCATGGAAAGCCACTGTCATTTACTTAAAGAGAATATAGAAAACCAGAATATTCTGGATGAAAAAAGTGGAAAAGGAAATGAAACATTACTTGAAAGAATATGTTTATTATGGAGTCCATATTGTGATCAACTTATGGAAAATTGTCCAGACCTATTGAAAAAGGAAAGTAATGGGAATGATGGGGTTTGTTTAAAACTTAAAGAAAAATGCAAACCATTCCGGGAAAAGGAGCACTTAGACGATGAATTGACTTATAAATTAAAGGGCAATTTAGGGGATAATGCTAAATGCAAAGTAGCGTTAGAAAACTATTGTGTTCAATGGAAAACAGGAACGAATGATACTTTAAAAAGTCTATGTAATACTAATAAAAATATGAATGTTGAGAATGAAATTTGTAAAAGATTACTGGAAAAAATAGCGGAAAAATGTTCAACTTTGAAGACGAATCTAGAAAAAGCGGAAAAAGAATTACAAGAGAAAGAAAAAGAATATGAAAAAGTAAAAAAAGAGACAAAGGAAGCTATGGAAAAGAGTGGCATATTCTTATCAAGACCTAAAGAAAGTCTGGATCAACAAAGTATACAGGCAAATGCAGTGAACAGCAGTGTACTTTTGTCGTCTATTTTGCCGGAAAATTATTTAAACAAACTATCAAACGCCAAAACAAAACTTAGAGTTATTCAAAAATCATATGTAGACACAGAAACTTCGGAAGTAGAAAAAGAAGGGTTTAATGCAGTGGTGAGAATATTGGAATTGTATTTAGAATTCAAAGAGGAATGCAAAGTCTTGCAATTGGATTGTGACTTTAAGAAGGATTGCCCGGAATCTGAAGAAGTTTGTAAAAAAATAGAGAAACTATGTGAACTGAAGCCATTAGAAATTAAACCTTCTAATGCAACAATAATGACAACAACAATAGAAGGATCACTTTGTAATGTAACAATGGCAACAGAACCAGGGAAAACGACGGAAAAAACAATAACAATAATAAAGACTATGAATGAAACAGCAACAAAACAGCGCAGTACAATAACACTTACAAGAACAAAGATTATAGGAGAAGGGAATTTTACGTCACTTTGTGATATCAATATACAGGAAACAAATGTATCATTTTATACAAGTACATTGACAAGTACACTGACAAGTACACTAACAAGTACACTAACAAGTACACTGACAAGTACACTGATAAGCACATCTATAATAACATCGACAGTGAGATTGACGTCGATACAAAAATGTAAACCTACAAAATCTATGATAGATTCGACTAAAGAAACACAAAAAGAGGAAGAGAAAGAGGAAAAAGTGAAGCTGAATGAGGGGATGAAAATGAGAGTTCCAGAAATAGTAAAAATAATATTATTGGGAGTGATGGTTATAGGAATGTTATAAAATGAATAAAAAAAGCCATTATAATGAAAGTCTGCATATATCCATTATTTGTATATAGGATAAGAGATTTAAAAAAATAATATATAAATTTTTAATGAATAATGAATTGAAAATTAGGGTTCGAATATTTTACCCCACAAATTTACCCCCTAGTTTTTCCTTATTGGGTAAAATTAAGCTTATCCTAAAAGAATTAGCAAACCTATACTTATCGTCTAAAATGATTTCATGATCTATTTTTCACTCACCCACTTATATGCCACTCAGGGACAAGCGATGGGTAGAGGAAGTCGCCCAGAAAGAGGCGGCGATGGCACAGCCGGTTAAGAGGCAAGCAGCAGGACAAGCAGCAGGAAATGATGAGATTAAGGAGGAACAGGTTTTGGGTTTAATTGTGAAAAAGGAATATAATGATGATAATAATTGCAAGGAAAAGCTCGAACAATATTGTGCTGAATTGAAGAAAATAGATGGAAAATTAGAGAACGTGGATGCCAAAGTTAAAGGACTTTGTGAAGATGGAAAACAAGGAGAAAAATGCCAAAACCTGAAAGATAAAGTTAAAAAAGAATTGGATGATTTCAAAACAGAACTTGAATAAACATTGAAAGACCTAACAGATGAAAATTGTAAAAAATGTGAAGAAAAATGTGTATTATTAGAAGAAGCAGATCCAAGTAATCTTGAAGACAACTGCGTTAAGTTGAGAGATAGATGTTATGGACAGAGACGTCGAGGAGTGACAAAAGAAATTCTTTTAACAGCTCTTAAAGGGAAGGTTAATGATACAAAGGAATGTAAAAAAAAAATGAAAGAAATTTGGCAAGGATTAATTGAATATAGTGATGAATTATTGCTGTTATGTTTTAATTCAAATAAGACATGTGAATACCTTAAAACAAAACATGTAGATAATTGCTTACCTTTCGAGACTGAACTTGAAGATAAAGAATTAGTGGAAAAATGTCAAGAATATCTTGAAAAGTGTTATTTTTATGGATCAAGTTGTAAGAATACAAAATGTGATAAAGTCAAGAATAAATGTAAGGGAAAAGGGATTGAATATGAAGGACCAAAATTAGATTTTAGTCCGGTTAAAGAAAAACCAAGATTTCCGGAAAAGATTGAAGTAGAAAATCTTTATAAAAGACTGGGAGCTAAAGGAATTATTGTTGGAAAACCAAAATATAAGACGTTGCAAGATCTAATATTATTGTTGATCAAAGGAAGGACTGAAAAAGATAATAAAGAAAAATGCAAAGAAGCGTTAAAAGGTTGTGAATTTTTTAAACACCTAGATTATGAATTAGAAGAATTATGTGAAGATAAAGATAAAGATAAAGAGAATAAATGCAAAGAATTAGTAGAAGTAGAAGATAAATGTACGAATTTAAAATTAGAACTTTATCTGAAAGGATTGTCTACGGAATTTGAAAAAGATAAAGAATCAGAATATTTTTCATGGGAACAGGTATCAAAATTGGTTAGTAGGGAAGATTGTAGAAAGTTTGAATCAGAATGTTTCCATTTAGAAAGTGTATGTACGAATAAAATTGAAAAAGCATGTGAAAATGTAAGAGTAGCATGCTATAAAAAGGGACAAGATAGGATGTTGAATAGATACTTTCAAGAAGGATTGAAAGGGCTTATTGGTAATTTAGGATTGGCTGATGAGAATCTTAAAGAATGTCAAAAATCGGTAGTAGGTAATTATACAAAACTTAAGAAGGATAGAAGATACTTTGCAAAGTGTCATCGACCGACTGAACTATGTTATGAACTTTTAGATGATGTAATTCTTCAATCGGAAGAATTAGAAGTAGTTTTAAATTTGAGAAGAGATTTTCCAAGAAAGGAAGATTGTGTAGAATTGAAGAAGAAGTGCGAAGATCTTGAAAGTGATTCATATTTGAATCATGAGAAATGTGATACACTGAATAGACGATGTGAATATTTAAAAGTTACAGAAGAATTGAGAAAAAGATTATTAAAAAGAGGAGATGATGCATTAAGAACTCAAGGAAATTGTACGGCAGTATTAAAGAAAGAATGTGAGGAATTATCTAGAAGAGGAAAAGAAGATTTTAGTGTTTCATGTGCTTTACGAGAAGAAACATGTAGTTTTATGGTAGAACAAACAGAAAATGAGTGTCTTTTTTTAAAAAATAACATGGAAAATGGAAAAATTATAGATAAAATTGAAAAAGGAAAAGGAAATGAAACATTGGTTGAAGAACTCTGCACGTTGTTTGATCCATATTGTCATCAATATATAGAAAATTGTCCAGATAGGTTGAAAAAAGCAAACAATGCGGGTGGAAAAGGAGTCTGTTTAGAACTGGAAGAGAAATGCAAGCCATTCTTTGAAAAGTTGAAATTGGAGAATGAGTTGACGCATGAATTGAAAGGTAGTTTAAGCGATGAAACTGAATGTAAAAAAGCATTGGAAAAGCATTGTAGTGAGCAGAAAAATTCAGCAAATCAGAAATTCAATAGTTTGTGTAATACTGATAAAGATAAGAGTGTTGAGGGAAGAGTTTGCAAAAAGTTGGTTGAAAAAGTAAAAAGAAAATGTCCAACCCTAAAAAATAAACTGGATAAAGAGAAAGATGAATTAGAGAAGAAGAAAGATGAATACGAAAAGGTGAAACAGGAATCAGAAAAATTTACGAAGGAAGCTAAGTTAGTATTATCAAAACCTGAACAAGATGGACAAGATGGCAATGCTCCTAAACCAGGGGGACCACCGGTACAGCCACCAGTACCAGGAGGAACACCAGGAGGCGTACCAGTACCAGCACCAACACTAGTACCTCCAGCACAACCAACATCAGGAGGGGCACCACTACCAGTACCACCAGCAGCACCAGGAGCACCAGGAGCACCAGGAGCACCAGGAGCACCAGCAGGGCCAGCAGCACCAGGAACACCATCAACACCATCAACACCACCAGCAGGGCCAGCAGGGCCATCAGGAGGAACACCAGCAGCACCAGCAGGGCCAGCAGGGCCACCAGCACCAGGAGGATCAACACCAAGTGGAACGACAAACACGAGTAATGTTATACTTGTTCGGAGAACATTTGTAAGTGGAGAAGTATCAGAAGCAGAAAAGAAGGCATTTGTTGCAACGGCGAGAGCATTGGAATTGTATTTAGAATTGAAAGAGAAATGTAAAGGTTTACAAGGAGACTGCGGGTTTAGAAAGGATTGTCCAGGGTGTGAAGCGGCCTGTAAAGAAATAGACAAGTTGTGTGAAGGAATAGAAGGATTAAAAGTTACACCGCATCATACGGTGATATCAACGGCGACACAGACAACGACGACGACAGCAACGACAACGACGACGACGACAACAACAACGACGACGACGACGACGACGACAACGACGGCAACGACGACAGAGTCGGTAGATGGAGGGAAGGTAACGGAAGAATGTACATTAGTTCAGACGACAGATACATGGGTGACGAGTACATCGTTGCATACGAGTACGTTGACAAGTACATCTACAGTGACATCAACGGTGACATTGACGTCGATGCGAAAATGCAAACCTACGAGATGTACGAGTGATTCAAGTAAAGAAACAGAAACACAAAAAGAGGAAGAGAAAGAGGAAGAAGTGAAACCGAATGAAGGAATGAAAATAAGAGTTCCGGAAATGATAAAAATCATGTTGTTGGGAGTGATTGTTATGGGAATGTTGTAAAAAGAATGAAAAAAGAGATTAGAATGAAAAAGTGCATATATCCATTGTTTATATATAATATAGAAGAAGATGTAGAAGAATGAGGTGTAGATTTTTAATCTAGAATAATGAAATAAAAATTGAGAATTGCCGTTTAATTATAGGAAAAATGGAGAAAAAAGCCCGAGAGTTAGTGGAGAATTG